AATAATATTAATTACTTTGGTTTAGAATGAAAAATTTATGATTTTTGCGAAAAAGTCCTGTCATTTTTAAAGTGGCGGCCATCTTGAAAAAATTTTTTTTGCGTAAAACTTTTCATCAATATACATCTTTCCACCAAATATGAAGAAAATCTGTCTACTAATATTTGAGTTATCTTCCGGACGGACGGACGGACTGACTGACTGACGGACTGACGGACGGACGGACGGACGGACGGACGGACGGAGGGCTTCACTATATCCCTACCGAACTTCGTTCGTTGGGATAATAATCCTTTCCAGAGTCACTTCATGATCCACATTAACTTCATGAGGTGCTCAGAATAGGCAGGCACCCTTATCATCAATGCACATTTGCTGTCTTGTGACCCACTGTGATACACATTTTTGAAGCCACCCTTAAAGTTTGTGGCTAGGGAGGTGTTCACTGCAGACATCAGCTGGTTGAGATTCTGGTGCGATATTCCTCTCAGATCCCTTTTCACTGGGGCAAATACAACAAAATCAAGCGAGGCTTCAACTGGAAAACATGCTCTGGAGGGCAATGCTTCCATGCCAATCTCTGTTATTGTATTTAGGAGAATAGAGGATCTGTGAGCAGGGGCGTTATCCTGGTGGACCGTATAGGTCAATATTGCTCTTTGAGGACGTTGAAGTGTGTGGCTAGGGATGTACAGTGTTCACTGCAGACATCCGCTGATTGAGATTCTAGTGCCATATTCCTCTCAGATCTCTTCACCGCTGTTAGATAATTCATATAATTCAAACTGACAACATCAAGATTTGACCATATCAACAGTTTTTATTCATCAGAGTGTTTATTTGATGTATAACAATAATTCATCATGTAAACCCTTAAGGTTGCCCCGTGTATCCGTGACAATGGTTACCCTAGTAACCATAACTTTGTCAATACTAAGTCGGTTGTCCAGAAATTTGGATAAAATAAGGTCAGATATGTGTTGCTTATGTTGTAAAAGTTTCACGAAGAAATATGCAAAATAACAAAAGTTATAACAAAATTAGCAATACTTATTGAACGCCCTGTATAAATGCATTTGAGATTTCCAGAAATATTTCTTTTCAAGTCATGTTAACTTTCATTTACCGTTGTGTCTACTGTGGTCTATATCTGTGGTAAAAGTTCTTTCTTTAACCTCCAGTATTTTCCTTATTTCATCTTATATTATTTGATCTAGATTGAAATCAAAATAAATGATTTGAAAAAATGTCACTTTATGACAATTCCAAGGTCAGATATAAGCTCCTGACAAAATAAAGGTAGTTTTAAAAATGACTGGTTCAATTAATGGAGAGTCAAAAGACAAAGTTAATGCTGACCTTTGACATTAAATATCAATCTTTTTTAAATTTATTTCATGAATTAATTTCAATGGTGTGTCTGAACCATAGAGATGAATGGTAATATCACCTTAAATCAAAGGTTAGATATATCAGATAAATCCTGACAATTTGTAGGATGATTTCTAAAAAATTTGTTGAAAAATAAACTTTTGACCTTCAATATCTCAAAATCTAAGCATAATTTCTAAAGACCACATACAAAAAATGTATTATCTGCAAATCACAGTTCTTTCAGTAAATTGGTACAATCATTCCATTTTGTATGATATAATAATGTATACCAGAGACATCTTTATATGGTATCGGATCAAAGTTATTGTAAAAAAAATCACCATAATGTGAGATTTGTATACTCATAATGGAAATTTATAATCCCATGTTTCCCACTAAAATCTTTAAAAAAATTATCTAATTTTTCCAATTTTTCAAGGTTCTTTTCAAAAAACAAGACAAATGTATTGAACATTTTTTGATGAGAAAAAATGTTCAGTGTCGGTAGGTGTTCACTAACAGAGAGGGTAATTTATACAGAAGTCAGTAAAGTATGTGCAAAGGAAGGGTGTCTACAAGAGACAGTTGTTCACTATGACGTTTTAACTAAATTGGTAAATGTAAGACACAAATGTACTATACTATTTCACTACTTCTAATACTCTATAAAGCATGATTCATGATCTGGTTCATTTTTTTGAAATAAGTGTAAAATTTGTTACCCATAGTCAATCCATATTCTTAATGAGTCATCCCATACAGTACTATTAGGCCATCAGCCTGGGGGGTTGGTCGGTATCAAATTAGGGGAATAATCGCCATAGTGATTTTTGGGAAGATTAAGACCTCAAAAGTAAGAAAATATGTGATAGCATTGTAACAGTTGTAGCTAAATGGGTGTTATCACCCATTTTTCAAAATGGCCGCCGGTGCACGTGTCACAATATAAGAGTGGGTTTATCTAAGCACATTGAGATGCAAAAACTGTGATTTTAGGACCTATGTCTAGGTTTTAGGGGTCAAGGATTTCATTTATGTTTAAATCTAAGTCATCAAATAATTGTTTCCTACAGAAATCCAAGATGGCCGCCAAAATGGGTGCAGAAATGAATATGTAACTACTGTTAATGCTCAAGAAACACTTAAGAACAGTGATTTTGGACCCCATGTCTACATTTAGGGGTCAAGGATTTGATTTATGTCTAAATCTGAGTCATCAGATAATTACTTTTCATAGAATTCCAAGATGGCCACCAAAATGGATGCCAAATCAAATATGTAACTACTGATTTAAGCTCAAGGAACAGTTAAAACAGTGATTTTGGAGATGATATCTGGGTTTTAAGGGTCAAGGATTTCATTTATGTCTAAATCTGAATCATCAAACAATTACTTTATATAGAAATCCAAGATGGCCACCAAAATGGGTGCCAAAATGAATATTTAATTGATTGATTTAAGCTCAAAGAACAGTTGAAAACAGTGATTTTTGAGACAATGTCTAGGTTTAAACGGTCAAGGATTAGACTTTTGTCTAAATCTAAGTCATCAAACAATTACTTTATGCAGAAATCCAAGATGGCCATCAAAATGGGTGCCAAAATGAATATTTAACTATTGATTTTAGCTCAAAGAACAGTTAAGAACAGTGATTTTGGAGACAATGACTAGGTTTTAGGGGTCAAGGGTTTCATCTAAATCTGAGTCATCAAGCAATTGCTTTTCATAGAAATCCAAGATGGTCACCAAAATAGGTGCCAATAACAAAAAATGTTGATTTAAGCTCAAAGAACAGTTTATAACAGTAATTTGAGACCATGTCAAGATTTTTGGTGTCAAGAATTTAAGTTATGTCTACAACTATAATTAATTCCTTTATTTGGATCCAAGATGGCTTCCAACATTGCTGCCGAAGTGAAAATAAGATTAATCATCTAAACATATAGAGGAGTTAGAACATTAAGTTTGTCTTTAATAAAATCAGCAAACATTTTATCATCTAAACATATAGAGGAGTTAGAACATTAAGTTTGTCTTTAATAAAATCAGCAAACATTTTATTTATATGGGTATCCAAGATGGCCTCCAAAATGGTTGCCAAAATGAATTCATATAACTATCCATTTATCCACATAGATCACCAAGAACAATAATTTGGGAAGCAATGTTTACTTTAAGGAGGTCATGAATTCCAGTTACATAGAGCTATGCCAATCTGTGATTAACATCAGAATTCAAGATGGATGTCAAAGTGATAATATTATGCAGCCATTTTGGTGGCCATCTTGGATATCAAAATAAAGGAATTATTTTATGACTAAATTCAAAATTGAAATTCTTGGCCTCTTAAACCTGGACACGGTCTTCAAAATCACTGTCCTTACCTATTCTTTGAGCTTAGATCAATAGTTACATATTCATTTCAGCACCCATTTTGGTGGCCATCTTGGATTTCTATAAAAAGTATTTATTTGATTACTTAGATTTAGACATTAATGAAATCTTTGGCCCCTACAAAATAGACAGAGTCTATAAAATTACTGTTCTTAACTGTTATTTCACCTTAAATCAATAGTTACATATTCATTTTGGCATCCATTTTGGTGGCCATCTTGGATTTCTATAAAAAGTAATTGTTTGATCACTTAGATTTAGACATAAGTCTAATCCTTGACCCTTTAAACCCAGACATTGTTTCAAAAATCACTGTTCTCAACTGTTCTTTGAGCTTAAATCAATCAGTTAAATATTCATTTTGGCACCCATTTTGGTGGCCATCTTGGATTTCTATATAAAGTAATTGTTTGATGACTCAGATTTAGACATAAGTCAAATCCTTGACCCTTAAAACCAAGACATGATCTCTGAAATCACTGTATATTCTTTGAGCTTAAATCAATAGTTACAGTGCATATTCTTTTTGGCACCCATTCTGGTGGCCATCTTGTAATTCTATGAAAAGGTAATTATTTGATGACTCCCATTTAGACATAAATGAAATCCTTAACTCTAGAACTGTGACATTATCTCAAAAATCACTGTTCTTAACTCTCCTTCGAGCTTAAAGCAATGGTTACATACCAGTATTCCTTTTGGCATCCATTTTGGTGGCCATCTTGTATCTCTATGAAAAGGTAATTATTTGATGAATCCCATTTAGACATAAATGAGATCCTTGACTCTAGAACTGTGAGATGGTCTCCAAAATCACTGTTCTGAACTGTTCTTCGAGCTTAAATCAATCTTTACATACCGGTATTCGTTTTGGGACCCATTTTGGTGGCCATCTTGGATTTCTATAAGAAGTAATTGTTTGATGACTTCGATTTTGGCATAAATGAAATCATTGACCACTAAAACCTAAACTTAGGCCCTAAAATCACAGTTTCTGCATCTCTGAATACTTAGATATACCCACTCTTATATTGTAACACGTGCACTGGCGGCCATTTTGAAAAATGGGTGATAACACCCATTTAGCTACAACTGTTGCAATGCTATCACATATTTTCTTACTCTAGAGGTCTTAACCTTCCCAAAAATCACTATGGCGATTATTCCCCTGATTTGATACCGATAACCTAAATTTTGGGGTGAAGCTGATGGCCTATATTTCTAAGTCCTACCTTCTTATAAAATCTTTGAAATCATCAGACCATTTTGGTGGGTTTTTCATCAAGGGTGGAGAATCTCGTGGAATTCTAAACAGTGCTCTCATTGGATGCATATCAGCCAATGGGGCTTCTCCATCTGCTAGTTCAATGGCAGTTATGCCGAGAGACCATACGTCGCAACGGCTGTCATAGTTATAGTCCATTTGCTGCTCACAGGCGATCACCTGAAAATGACATCACAATGTAAAATCTGCTTGTGGCAATGGTCTCAAAGCGAAATGTCAAATAAATGTAAAACAAATGGCATGAACAAAGTCACAACACGTAATAGCTCCCAAAAAGTAAACAAAATCTGATGACATATTAGGCAAGATGAAATTATAAAGAGCTTAGAGAAAAATAGAGTCAATAAGCATAATCAGGTCCATGTAATTAGTTCAATGCTAAGAAGTAATGAGCAGAGAAACATTTCTATACTCACTTCAGGAGCCATCCAGAAAGGAGTTCCCACAGAAGTATATCTTCTGCCTTTCGTTTCTTCCATATGTCCAGATACACCTAAAAATGAAAAAATAATAATGAACTTCACTTACATTATTGTATATTATTAGTCAAAAAATGTCCATATATAACAGTTTTGACTTTTTACTGCCTAAAATGACCACTTAAATGGGCTTTAAAAATACTTCGCTTAAGTGTAATTTACAGGTCTAATTGCCAGGTAATCATAGATATTTTATATCTAGGTCAAGATCAAGGGTAAAACTTGTTTTCAATTCAATTTAATTGATTTATAATTTCATCATACAACATTATATACATTACTAAGGGCTGTACACATCATCAAATCAAGTTCAAATCAATCTGTTTTTTCTCACTTTGTCTTTATACTTCATATTTTGAAGAAAATGCCTATTTCTCCATAATGTGGCAAAGCAGGAGTTGGGACAAATGGCATAGATTTCCAGTATGGACCCCAATAAAATGGATATTAGAATAATCCATACAACAAGTAATTTTCATTTATTTTTGATTTAATTTCTTAAATAATTGACTTCGATACTATATCCAAATATTATTATTTGATACAAAACAACATCTCAATTATTAATACTTGTATGTATACACAAAACAAACTTGTTTCTAATGATCTATCAAAAAGACATCAAGCCAGTCTAAAAGTTATAAATGATAATTCTGTATTGTGCTGGGAGGCCTTAATGACTGTATAAAGCTTCCGACACTCCTCAAAACAACAATTTGAAAGGTAACTAATGCTACTAATAGTCATTACATTGCCATGTCAACATCACAAAAAGCTAATCAAAAGAAAAAAACAAAGAGAGCATTGACGTAATATTGCCAATGATGTAAATAAATCATGACTAAAGGCTGCCTATTAGGTAGATATACGGTTTTAACTGAGTTTGTCATGCCAGATATCCCAATATACAGTATATTGTCTTACTCCGAGTTTGTTTTTGGTACAATCGTAACTTACAATTCCAAGAAAACCATTGTCTATATTTTGACGAACAGTGACTTGTGACTAAATAATAAGTAACGACAATTTCAAAAATGTATTTATGCAGTAAAATGGGAATTAAATTTTCAAAATTTGGGGGCCAATTTTTTTTTACCTGACTCAAAATTTGGGCCCCCCCTTGTTAGCTTTTGGATCCGCAACTGTTATGTAAACGTTGTACGTAAGAGGAGTGCACATTTTTATGCACATGGACTTGAAGAGAGTCTACACATTACTAATATTGCACCAAGTCTTTTTTTAAATAATAAGGTCGTGTATCATGGGCACGATTATTTCTTTTTCAGTTGTATCATTAGCCCCTGTGTATTCAACACATCTAACCACTTTAACATGCTTGACTTCATAGAGGTTAAATACTACTTTTATGCAGAAAACATTTTAATAATACTTATTGAGATTTAACATATTGGCAGACAATAGGCAATATAAACTTATTGACAGACAATAGGCAATACAAAAATATTGACAGTTCATGGAATATATATACATATTGGCAGACAATAGGCAATATAAACTTATTGACAGACAATGGGCAATCAAAAATATTGACAGTTCATGGACAAAATATACATATTGGCAGACAATAGGCAATATAAACGTATTGACAGACAATGGGCAATCAAAAATATTGACAGTTCATGGACAATATATACAAATTGGCAGACAATAGGCAATATAAACATGTTGACAGACAATATTTTTTGTCTGTTTTTTCATGAGTATGATGCTTCTGATAGATTTAAAATGTGGGGGTAATTGGTTCCAAATATCAGGTATAGAATAAGATAGCATTGATTTTCCATAGTTTGTACGAATTTTGGGTTTGTCGAAAGTTTTCTTGTTTCTTGTATCATAATTATGTCTATTTTCAACTGTTTGGAAGAAATCTGGAAATATTTGTTTGTAATTATCCTTGTCATTGATCCATTTAAACATGAATATATATCTTTGTTGCTTATTTATCTGAAATATGTTCAGGATTTTTAGATCATGAAAAAGAGGTAAAGATTGAGCTCTAAAGTCGCTATTTGTTGCAATTCTTACAAATTGTTTCTGAGAACGATGAAGAGTATTAAGCAATGTACAGCCTGCTTCGCCCCAGATTATATTTCCATAAATAAGATATGAGTAAATTAGAGAGTAATATATACTAAGTAAGCTTTTGGCATTCAATAAATGTTTAACTTTGTATAATATACCAATGGTTCTTGATATTTTCATGTTTACTGCTGTAATGTGATTCTTCCAGGTAAGATTCTGATCAATTATAATTCCTAAAAAGTTTATATGTGTCACTTGCTCAAGTATTTTATTATTCACAATGACTGATATATCATTTTTATTATATTGCTTTTGTCTAGACTTTTTGTATAAACGTATTGACAGACAATAGGCAATATAAACATGTTGACAGACAATGGGCAATACAAAAATATTGACAGTTCATGGACAATACATACATATTGACAGACAATAGGCAATATAAACTTATTGACAGACAATAGGCAATACAAAAATATTGACAGTTCATGGACAATATACACATATTGGCAGACGATAGGCAATATAAACTTATTGACAGACAATGGACAATACCAGAATATATTCAGTTCATGGACAATATATACATATTGGCAGACAATAGGCAATAAAAACATGTTGACAGACAATGGGCAATGCAAAAATATTGACAGTTCATGGACAATATATACATATTGGCAGACAATAGGCAATATAGAATTATTGACAGACAATAGGCAATATAAACATGTTCACAGACAATGGGCAATACAAAAATATTGACAGTTCATGGACAATATATACATATTGGCAGACAATAGGCAATATAAACTTATTGAGACAATAGGCAATATAAACATGTTCACAGACAATGGGCAATACAAAAATATTGACAGTTCATGGACAATATATACATATTGGCAGACAATGGGCAATATAACCTTATTGACAGACAATAAGCAACATAAACATGTTGACAGACAATGGGAAATACAAAAATATTGACAGTTCATGGACAATATATACATATTGGCAGACAATGGGCAATATAAACTTATTGACAGACAATAGGCATTATAAACATGTTGACAGACAATGGGCAATACAAAAATATTGGCAGACAATAGGCAATATAAATACTGAATACATATTCTCTGGAGCGTGTATTATTGTATTATTAACACCTCAAATCTAACAATGAAAACCTTTCTAAACATCACTTAATAGGATTGCTTACAAATAATAACCATTGCAGAATCTCGTGCAAATAAATGACTAATCGAGGATTTGCGCTTTATTCTCTGTGATTGATCTACTTACTGTAATAATGTGGATTTAAAAGGTACTTACCAAAGTCTATTATTCTTATATCTGCATTGTTGTTTAGTAGTATATTATGTCCTTTGATATCCCTATGGATGACATAATTGTTGTGAAGATGCTGGAGAGCCTGAAAAGATGTTTGGAAAATTATACTTATCTTCCTTGAATGGGGGGAAGGTGGATTTCCATGGTGAAAGTTGGGTCATATTGATAGAACATTGAATAGTAAAAATTATTAATAAAAAAGGCATTATGCAAAATGTTCATGCGTAAATGCCATCTAGTGGCAATTACTATAAGTGATTAGAATAAACGAAAATTCAAGATAGAACATGCAGTTTTATCGATAACAGTGTTTCTTTTGAAATATGCCTTTTGAAATAATTTAAACAATTACAAAGAATTTCATCGGCGAGAAAGGTAACAACTTAAAATTAATCTCAGATTACAAGTTTTTGTGAAACATGCGCAGCCCTCTTAAGACATTCAAAAGATCAACGCTGCATAAGCATAACCAAAATTAGACGGAAAATGTAAGTTGTTGAACTGTTTTAAACTTATTAACTATTTTATTTGTTATGTCCCGTTCCGTCCCAAATATCCCGTCCCGAAACAGATAAATCTTGTCCCGTCAAGATTTTCTCGCGGGACAGATTTTTTAAACCCAGTGCCCAAAATTCGCGGGATTTTGCGGGACATCTACTAAATTCGCGGGGTTTTGCCGGACATTTAAGGGATTTGCGTGATTGCGCTAATAGGAGATTTTTTTTATCAAATTCGCGGGATTTCGCGGGACCATTCGAGGGACAAACACCCTAATTGCGGGACAGTTAACAGGTGTACCACCAAAAACTTCATAGAGGGACAGATTTTTTAGACAAAGTGCCCTAAATTTGCGGGATTTCACGGGACATCCACCTAAATTTGCAGAATGTCCCGGGACATTCAAGGGATTTGCGTGATTGGGACTAATGTAAAAGCGTGTAGAAGTACTTAAATCAAACTTTCAGATACTGATTAATCAAATATAATGCACCGTTACATTGTAACTTAAATAAACGTCAATTTCACAAAATACGCATAGGAATATTACTAAACTTTATTGTAATTTATCAAAAACAAAAACCATGCTTCAGGTGTGATTACCGTAATCTAACACGAAATTCAAAAATTCGGAACAATACTTTGCACTACTGGCGTCGGGACCAACTATGAAACGCTTACCCCCATAATGTTATATATTAAAATGTACCTATTCATATACTGTAGGCTTTCAATTGAAAGCCCATGATATAGGGGTTCGATTAATCTACATCAAATTATAGGGAATGAGGTTAATTTTCTAGATAGGGTTTGTATAAAAACCGGGTACCAGGTAGTAAATCCTCCATGCTGGGTTCAAACTTGGTACCCGGTCGAAAAAAACCAAAAAACGAAATATACGAATACACAACATAATCAGATCATTAGAAAACGTGTAAGATTTGTTTTGAATTTACAAAAATGTATGTAACTTCCTTCAAAATTGAGCTAGAAGCTTCAAATAAAAAGCATTTTAAGGCTCTTTTCTTCCTCTATCATCTTGGTCATATTTCCACTGGTAATGAAGGGGGGGGGGGTGCGATCGCACCCCCTCCTGGCTACGCCAATGACATTGTAAGACGATTTGAAAAACAAGACAAATCAATCTTACTCTATTTTCAATAGTTCGTATGTTGGTACGTGAATTGTTTTGATTATGATTTAAATCTGTAAATAGCTATCGTTGCTTTAGCAGAGAGGTGACGTTTGTTAATTTGCATGATGCAACATGTAAGATTTTGATTTTTAATCATAATTTAAGTTATCCCAATTTATGACAAAATGTCCACTGAATTGTAAATTGTTATGTCTTACAATGTCATAGGCGTAGCCAGGAGAGGGTGCGATGGTGCGATCGCACCCCCCCCCATAACCAATGAAAATATGGCCATAATGATAGAGGAAGAAAAGTGCCTTAAAATATGCTTTTTATTTGAAGCTTCTAGCTCAATTTTGAATCATGTTACATACATTTTTGCAAATTCAAAACAAATCTTACACGTTTTCTCATAATCTAATTATGTTATATATTCGTATTTTTCGTTTTTTGGGTACCCGTTTTTTTTTGACCGGGTACCGGGTACCAAGTTTGAACCCAGCATGGAGGATTTACTACCCGGTACCCGGTTTTTTATACAAACCCTTTCTAGATATCAGCGTACATTTATTGTAACTCGCGTTTGCTAACATTTGCTCAGTTCTGAGATGAAGGCCACACGGGTAGTAAAAAGGCCAACGTTGGAACTATTTGTGACCTACATCCCTATTTTCGTAATTAAAATGAAAGTTGAACCCTTCCCCTTTATTTTGATACCAAACAACAGCATGCTAGGTACTTAAAATTAGGTAAACTTTACTCCTCAAAAGTGCAAAAACTTAGCTTCTTATATAAGATAAGATAATCAAAATATAGGACGTGTCGCAAAAAGCTCGCGCACGCATTGTTACACATTTTGTGGCGTAATCCAGAGGATCCTCGCTTTTAACATGATAGAATGTGACGTTTTTGAGAAAAATGTACACACATGAAAATCCTTTCGTCCTCCACATTTACCTCTATATCTTAAAACATTTTAGACGAATAACTCTGATATCATATATATATTGTTAATGGGCTAGGAGCATCATAAAACACGAATCAATTGATATTTTAGGTGAAATGAATATACGTGTTGCTGTGCCTGAAAATAGGCGAATGGCGTAAATTAGCCCTATTTTAATGACTTTTGAAAACCTTTCGTCCTCCACTTTTCCACATACAACAGAAAACACATACTTTTGTGAACAAAATCAACTATTTATTAATAATCTAGAGTTAAGGAGCAAAATAATCATGTATGATTTATTAAAAATTGATCTCGTATTTTTTGTTTAATGTACACCTGAAAAGTTGAAGGTACCAAAAAATGAGCAAAAAAGGTCGCTGTCAACAGATTCTATTTTTCAGACTCTATGACGTCACAATATGAGACGCTTACTAAAATTCATCCTTTGAATTAAAACTTCCATCTACCTTTATCAAGACGAAAAATAAGTATAATAGTCATATATTGTTTGAGTTATGAGCGTTTAAAGACGAAAAATAATTCAAAATGTAACGTGTCAACATGGGATATTTGCCAAATGTTTTGGTAAAAAACTCTTTTTTAAAAACGAACACGCAAAAAATGTGAACGGAGTGTAGTTGATCTAAAATCTTCATCGAAACAGCTTTAAAATGATATATAACTTTAATAAGAATATTATCTTATAATCCGGGGAATCAAAGTTACATTCACGCGATACCCTTAAAAAACAAATGCGCCACCTTTTTGCGACACGTCTAGGGGATTGCAACAATTTCGGAAATTCGCGGAGGTCAAAGCCACATTTTGCGGGACTTCGCGGGACAATGCAGGACACGCGAATTAGCCTAATTTTGATCAAATCAGGGATAATCCCGCCATTCGCGGGACACTTGACAGCTCTGCATCTCTACCGAATACCAACTTCCAAACACCAACCACGGAACATCATCCAAAAAAAGTTGGAGACCAATTTTGATGGAGATAAAAAAAATATAATATTCTGGTTTCTTACCCAACTGTTACAATATACTCAAGATGGCAATGTATTTTCCCCTTGCATTCAACAACAAATCAATTACATGGTACATGTACATACATGTACATGTATATCGATGCAGAATAGATTCCGAAGTGTTTACATATACAATCTGCTGCTAATTGATTTTCTTTCATTTCCATAGTGTAGATACGTAGCATATAACATCAATAAAATAATGGCTAATTGTTATCTTTACCATCATTAGTTGCATCATTGATCAACTAGAACAGCAAGGTTATTGTCTTAGAAACCAGTCTTACATAACTACAGCACAATCAAAGGGTAGGTTGTGCAAATACACATACATATTGAATTTAATTGCTACATTGTTAAATTTATCATCTAATCGGGGTCAACCCAGTTGTCCGAAACCCAGTTGTCCGAAACCCAGTTTTCCGAAACCCAGTTGTCCGAAACCCAGTTCTCCGAAAATTAGGGGATCTTATTTGAAAAATACAATTTTTTTAAACGAATAAGATCATTTAGACATATTTTTAAACGAATCTCGTTGTCGCAACCTCTGCGAATCACAACATAACATTGGAATAACGTTGACATCATTGCAAAATTAGGCTAAATATGCTAAGTCAAGACGTTAATTCTTTAATGTTTAGCCTACGAAAGTTCATATACAGGTGATACACATGTTCAAACAAACAAAGTTAAATTATGTTATTCTCATTGTAAAATGGCGTTTACACAACATACATAGATAGGGGTCTACAATTTTTAAACCAATTTTCTTTATGGCCCATGGGCCTTTTTTGAGAGGGAACAACATTTTTCCAATGGGTGATGAGCGTTCATAAAAGGAAAATAGCTTTCCCAAGCCAGTGGGCATTTATTTAGTAAAGTTGACATGTACATCTTTTGAAACCAAAACTTATTCTTCATTTACGTACTCTGTTCGAGAAATAGAGATTAAATTAAAAGGATGAAGAGAGTACATGGCGAAAATGAAACTTCTTGCGAATGGGAGAACATCCATTTTGACACGAGGACAGCCTGCCTTCGTTTCCAGTTGATCCCAAGTGATTAAGTTAAGAATGTTTTGTTCTTTTACGATTTGATAAAATACAGAGACTAAGAAATTAAATGCGACGAAATATTTTGACAACGTAATATGTATACTGTTTTATTCTTAAAGTACTATATGCGTAAACTTATTTTATCTGTTTCAAAATGATTCATTTTATTTTGCCTATATAAAAGAGATTGAAGAAGATAAAATAAACTGTTCCGTAATATATATTGTGTTTTGATAACCTTTTTTTAGAATCACAATGTAAAATAAATCCCCCGTTCCTGCCATTCTGGTAATTCAAAGTAAGAGAGAGAGATCTATGAACATCAGAATGCGTCCATGCCATTAATTTGGCCAAATACATTGCATGAAACCGGCCTAAGCTTAGTATGTCTCCCCTTTCTCTGGTAAATTATGACTATATTTTTCGGAGTAATTGGTTTCGGGCAAGTGGGTTTCGGACAAGTGGGTTTCGGACAACTGGGTTTCGGACAACTGGGTTTCGGACAACTGGGGTGCACCCCATCTAATCAATAGACATAATCCAGCTAGACAGTGATGATAAATTGAATTGATATATAATAATGCAATTTACAAATTAAAATCCCAAAAATAAAACTAGAGAATTGTTCAACAAGAAAGAGAATCTTAAATATAACAATAACTACAATTTTGGCTTCCATTGGCTCACATGGTGCAGGGGCGGATCTGGGACCAACAAGGGGGAGGGCCCAAACTTCTGGTCCGAGAAAAACTCTTCCGCGCTTGCGCAGGAAAAAATTTTGAAATTTTGAGGCCCATTTTCTTCATAATTTGGTCTAAGATGAAAAAATAAGGCCTTAGAAGGCCCATTTATGACAAAAAAGGCCCACTTTTTGGGGCCTTAAGGCCTTTTTTGGTCCCAGATTTATTTTGAGCCCAATTCTTTTTCTGGGCCCCCCCCCCAGATCCGCCAGTGTGGTGAGCCAGAAAATAGATTTTAAATTTCTAAAACATAAAGTTGAAAGAGTGCAAAATAACACTTTTTATAATGGATACATCTTGCATAAATAGTACTATGTTACAAAAATATACTCACGAGTAGTGTTTCCTTGAGTATATGGGCAATTAGTAGTTCATCCAGGTGCTGCCCCCTATCTATGCAGCTCTTTGCGAGCTCTGTAACTGACCCCGATGCACAAAGCTGAAACAGTGAGACCCCAATTCTATAATTTATTACAACTATATGGTTTGGGACCTGAACTATGTAATAAGACAATTTATCCCAAACTTGCACAATATTAATATGTATGCACAATGGCCAAAGAGAAAGGACATCAAATTGGTCAGAACACAGCAAGAAAAAGAAGTAACAAGGCACAGACGTGAACAATATCGTACCTAAAACACAGCAGTGTGACAGTGAAGAATTTAGGACGGAAAATCCAAAATGGCCACCTTAAAATTAACCCAGAATGCCCAAAAACTAATCAGTTGTTAACTTTGATATGTAGAAACATCCCTGTAAATTTCAAATGAATCCATCAAATGGTTTGGCTGAAAACCTGTAGACAAGTCTTGAAAGTGAAGATTTTAGGACGGAAAATCCAAAATGGCCACCTTAAAATTAACCCAGAATGCCCAAAAACTAATCAGTTCTTAACTTTGATACGTAGAAACATCCCTGAAAATTTTAGATGAATCCGTCAAATGGTTTGGCTGGAAACCTGTAGACAAGTCTTGAAAGTGAAGATTTTAGGACGGAAAATCCAAAATGGCCACCTTAAAATTTACCCAGAATGCCCAAAAACTAATCAGTTCTTAACTTTGATACGTAGAGACATTCCTGAAAATTTCAGATGAATCCGTCAAATGGTTTGGCTGGAAACCTGTAGACAAGTCTTGAAAGTGAAGATTTTAGGACGGAAAATCCAAAATGGCCACCTTAAAATTTACCCAGAATGCCCAAAAACTAATCAGTTCTTAACTTTGATACGTGGAAACATTCCTGAAAATTTCAGATGAATCTGTCAAATGGTTTGGCTGGAAACCTGTAGACAAGCTGATGTGAGACGACGCCCGCCCGCCGCCCGCCCGCCCGCCAAGCTGACGACAATATCGTACCTTTATTAGGTACGATAAGACAATATCGTACCTTTATTAGGTACGATAAAAAGAAGGAAAACAAGCCCCAACTACCAAAAAAATAAACAGTTATATGTAATAAATAAATTAATGATTATAAAAGTAACTGAAGTCAAACTCGCTGGTTTGTTGGTTTGTGCCACGAATCTTTGGTAACCACATGCAAGAGATGACATAAATGACCTTATATTTTATTCTGCAGATAACCAAAGATTTCAATACCTTTAGAACTTCAGTGTTTTCACAGTAATTATAAAAATCAGATATTAATGGTTTATACAGGTTTGATCAATAAAGTTACATTATCTATACCACTAACTTGATTAAATCTATAGTAGGTGGCTTTAATCTAGAACAGATCTATTGACCAATCCCGCTTTGCTATATATACCTCCATGCCAAGCCAGATCTGATCAGCACCAAGGGGATCTAACTTTAGATATATTCCTTTGAACTTCACAATATTGGGGTGGTTCCCTAAATCACGTAGGATGATGTATTCCTCCTCAATTTCTTCCATGATTTCGTGCAGAGATTCAAGTACTTTCATAGCCACAATTTCCCCTGAAATAAGTTGATGCAATTCAATAATATATAATGATATAATATATTTAAGAGATCAGGAATGTTATACAGATTGTCAATATTTCTACAATCTGACATTCTACTTAAAAGTCCTCCTCATCATTTTGTAAAACTTTTATCTTTTACTGACATTTTAACTTTCATTGCATGATTATATTTGTCACAAAAATTCCCCAAAATTGAATAACCAAAACTACTTCTATATCTACAGAGGAATTACAAAATACATGTATACAAAAGCATACAAAATTTTATTTGCATATTGAATATTTGCAAAATCTTTCTAAGTGTGTTGCATAGAACATTTTGTACCTGTTTCTTTATGTCTTGCAGAGAAAACCTCCCCATATGTGCCCATACCAATCCTTTCCTCCAGTTCCCATGTATTGGTGGGGTCAGGTAGGTTGTTGATGTCTATCACCTTGGTATACTCACTGTATAGTCTGGCCATGGTTGCTTCTTCCTGAAAAATACAGCATTTACTGTTTACTTGGTAGTGTCATATATTAATTGACATAAATGTTAAAATAATCCTGTTTTGATATGTCAAGAAGCATTGATATTTTTTAATCTTTTCATTCATACTTTCCTTTGAAGCATTTACACACGAATTCCAGGTTAATGAGAACAGTAAAATATATCAACTAGATAACAGCAATGCCAAAGCGTAGCAAATCCAACCTAACGGTCATGGCTGCCATTTTTAAAAAATCCTTCAACTACTTTTTCAGTTATAGCTAATATGTGTAATATATACTTATAAGTAGGAACATATAAAATTTCAACAAAATCGAACACAAGTATATGCGTACCCAGACTGACAGAGGCACGGACGGAGGCTTTCCTTATGTCCCTCTGAACTTTGTTTGATGGGATAATTATTTGCCTCAGAAAATGACACATATAAAACAATTCTAGATGGTGAGACTGCATAGGTGCAATGTAATTGTTTATAATAAAGGTGTATGGTATAATTAGTAATTGTCATGTAATGAATATGACTAGTCGCAATATATCCATGATTCATGTATGCATCTATTCTCCATATATTTCTGGTTAATTGACTATTCTAGAAACTATTCTAGAATAGTCATTCTTTATAAAACTGTTTACTTTTTGTCAACATTTCTCTTTCTGAAAACCTGTTCAATAAGTGTTACACATTTCCAAAGTTTTCCATTTTTAAAATTGTTAGTAAAATATTCCCAAGCCATGATTACTGTTAAAGTGACCTCTACCCTTTGTATCTATTTGCATTAAAATATAGTTTTATCTACACTCTTCCATGTCATTGTTAACCAAGTATTGACCAACATTTAAACATTATAAAAAAAATGTTTCTTTCTGCTCACAGCTGAAAAAATGACAACATGAAAAGTTTGAATTGATATGACCTGTGGTATGATGGCCAATGACCATCAGTAGTAGGGGCAGGTCTTCTTAACTATAAAATTCTCTAACCTTCTGAGAGGTTAGCTTGGAACTTAACTCTACACAGAGGGTAAGTGGCCTCCTTAAATATAACACCTGTAATTTGAGGTAAATTTGATGAGCAATCCATTGATGATGAAGATAATTAATATAACAAAACCATCTTAAAAGAAGTCTGAACCCATGGTTCTTTATGTTCTGATGGTAAAAGGTACAGTCTATTACCTTAAAACTGAACTTCTCAAACAAGGCAAACGATCTACTTTTGTTCATACGTGGCGAAAAAGTCAACAGGCCATGCAATAGATTTTCTTATGTTCCCTCTTAACTTACTCCTATTGTCTATAGAATAGAATATTGATGATAATTACAAGATCTGGGAAATTTACAAGACAATGTATGGGCAATTTCTTATTCAACCTAAGACTAATATCTCCCGTACACAGCCGCTGAATATTTAACAATGCAAAACCAACAGTGAGTAATTACTACAATTCATTTCAATTAAAGACACTTTCTATTTTCATCTCAATGTAATCTCACAGTAATAATCCACGATTCTACAGCTAATCAATTATTTTGTATATACAAACATTGAGTGAAGGAATTCCATGTGTTAATATGCAATTTGTATTAATCATGGAATATATCTGTTATTCACTGATTAGAATAAATATAAGTATAATTAATGGAAAGATATCAGGCCCGTAGCCCGGGGGTGGGGTTCGATGGGTTCAAGCGAACTCCCCCCCCCCAGCCAAAAATTCTTTTAAAATCATGCAGTTTTTCACCATTCTGAGCACTCTGTTAGTGTTTTGGGCCATTTTTGGACCAAAATTGTCAAAAGCGAACCTACCTGGAATTTATCAAAAAGTGAACCCCCATAGCAAATCCTGGCTATGGGCCTGGATATTGTTGATTTATCCCATGGTTACAAGGATATAGATCGAATATCAGGTGAAGATATATCTGATATGTGGATCAAGATATCATATTTTAGCAAACAATCGCCAAACCATCGAAAATCCTGAAACTTCACCTTTAAAAGACGAAATTGATTTGTCAAAATAAAATTGTCCTCAATACATTGTCATATTCAAAATCTAGAATTGGAAATGAGGTTTAGAAAAACTATGTACGTGTATACTTTTCTTTAATGGCATGATTTCCATATTGTAAAGATTTCTCATAGAGCAATACATTTTAAGTCATGATGGTTTCATTAATAACAATGGTATTTCTATTATCCCCATTAGAGTCATTGGCACTGAAGTTAACATGGCGGAGATTCTATTTGATTTGAGATCTATCCAAATGCATGACCAAGTATAAGTGAACAACATGTAAAAGACAATCAATAAGGCCATTGATTGAAATAAATGTTCTTACTAATTGTTTTACATGGATCCATATACCAAGCAATCTATTACAGATATAGGTAACGATTATAACCTTATGTCCCCTGAAGTTGAATCACTGATAAAGCAAATTACTAAATGGATGAATATATGAATATCAGATAGGATTAAATTAACTGAGGTAAAACTCGCCTCTGACTTATATTTTCCTTTGAGATCTGGTTAAGGTTACCCTTTGCATTTGTTCGTTCTTAAAAGAGAGCTTAGGTTGTTTATGACTAGACTCTGTGCGCAGGGTAGGTTAAGGTAATTCTGGAATTTTGCTGCATTCCTCAATTGAGTCACATGAGGATTGCAGCAAAATTCCGAACATGCAGACTAACCTTAAGGATGGTATTCAGGTTCGTTGCCAGTATAATCCAGGGGGTTTCACTTTTCCTGCTGGGATTTTCTAGGGAGGGGGTCACAAAAAATGTACCATTTCATATGTCAATAATGCAAGAAATTACAGTTTTTTACTATTCAATATTCTGCACTCCCCCTCCCCCCTCATGGCTATGGGCTAGGTATCTTACCTTATCCACTTATGACCAAGCACAAGTTCCAAGTGTTCCGGAGTTGTTCTTCACATGTTTGATCCCTCTCCCAGTATAACACTGGACTTTGGAGGTTATTTCTGATGGTTATATCTATTTTATATCCACCACGCTGATGTCATCATTGTTTCTGAAAATAGAGAGTAAAAAAGAAAAATAGAGCTTGAAGATACAAAAATTCAAAAATGTTTCCTCATTTGATAGCATATGTGCAGGGACAATCACAAAACATACTAATATTTGGAAAAAAGCAATAAATACATGTATGTAAAAGGAAGATATACGATAAATTAATGGATAAACATAATTTTTGGTGTACAAATTATTTTTCGACCATTATTTGGGAGGAGGGGGCATTTTCATTTTAAGGGGGAGTCTCTTTCAGGTTTGGCAGCCATGTCGACTCGTGATTCTACGTGATAGTAGTATATTATTTCAGTCATGAAATACCTTTATGGATCAAGATGATTAAGTTTATACATCCTAATAGGTATTACGTTACGGATTGTAAAATCAAACGCTAATAAGGCCAACCTTATATATAGACTGTAATATACATGTATACGTATAGTACAAGGACAAGCTTATGTACAAAATGCATGTACATGTATATTATTAGTATAGACTTATATCTACAGGGCTCTCACCGGGAAATATTTAGGGTGTCGTGGATTGGTGGAAACATCTTCAGAATACTGTTCAATCCTGATAAATCATATTTATGTTATATTTTACCCATTTTACATGCTATTATTGTATATTCAAATTATTCAAATTTAGACTGTGGAAAGAATCATGATTTGCCAATAGCATGCGGTGTGAGCTAAATATAACGTGGTGCTGCGCCACATTCTAAAAGCCTAGCGAGAGCCCTGAGATAAGTCTAACAAGGAAAAAAAAGTATGATTTCACCTCTTCACAAATGAAATACAAGTTAACTCAAGTAAAATCATGCTTAATGCTTTAAGCATGGCATTACTGAAGTCAATAGTTAGTACTTCAATAGCTATAAATGACAAATAAAAATCCATTTTGTAAGTTATCATCTCTTAACACAATGCTCGCTGTATCAGAAATACAATAAATTACAATATTTCTTATTTTTAGTGGACTGGTTAAGCTAAGGTGAAGATAAATACTTGCAAAACAGTTGGAAATGTCTCAAAAAGTCTCGAATCCTAATTCAACTGAAACGAGCTCAATAAATTAAAATGACAGACCTCACTTTCAATGATCCAAAATTTTCAAATTCATTTTGTTTGTTGCAAACCTTCACTATACCTCTTTGATAATTCTAAAATAATTCTAAAATTCCCGGGGCTCGATCTCAATAAGCTATAAAATGATTCCGATCTGTAATACTGAATCAACAATGCCAAATCTTTCATAGAACATAAATGATAATGATTTCCATTGATTTAACCATAGAAATTTGTAATTAATGTAGCATTTAATTTCTTTTTAGGCAAAAAGCTAGGGAATTTCTACGGAGCAACAAATTGTAATATGTCAAAAGGTTGATAATCACTGGGGGTTAAACATCACTACCATTTTCAAGATTGTGGTTTCAAAATTTTCTAAAATCGCTTCAAATAAATCTATGTTAATCTCTGGCGACTTAACCTATATCATAGCTTGTTATTTAATAACAAGATAAAGAAATGTCGAAGGAGCTTGTTTTTAGTGATTAAAACATCACATTGACATGTGGTATTCATAAAGACAGTGAAAATTTTAAAAGCGGGGAAATTTTTAGAATGGTAAAGTTCGCGGAAATTTTAAGATCTGGATGAGGTACGTTAGAGGAGGCATGGATTGCAGTGAACGAGGGCTAGGAGCTTGTCAATGATTACAAAATGAACATCTCATTTACATGCTTTTTGAGGGCTTGATAGATCCTAAAATATATTGAGGTTGGTTGACAAAAAGATTTTTGAAGAAGATCATAATGATGTAATCCTGGGGATGTGATTTACATTATAATTAAAAATATTAATATGATAACATATGATTTTATAAATAAACATACGTATATTGTATATTATAACGTATATTATATTATAATGATGTGGTCCATCTAACATTATATGTTGCAATTTGCAATTAATAAACATATCAATGACATCACTTATATTCATTATTGATCATGTTTATAACAAGATAGCAGTTATATAACTTTCTTAATGTTCAGATATAACAACATTTAATGTCCCTTTTCAATTTGGTCTGAGGTTGTGAATTAAGGTGGCTCAACTTGAATTTTAACTTTAAAATGAGTAATCACGATACCGCATACACTGTATATTCCCCTGTGGTCAGCATATATGTCTGACATAAAAATGACATTACAAATATTTATTCTACAGCAAATTGTGAATTCTTTTGCAACTATTATAATGATCATACCACACTCAAAAATACTAGAGTATTATAATAGGGAAAAATGAATTAATGGTTTAACTTAACAACTGGCAAATGCAGTAATGATGACAGTTTGCTAAATGGAAAACCTGTCTTAGTGAACACCTTTACTAATGAACACCTGTCTCTAGTAGAAACCCATTCTCTATACATACTCTACTGACTTTTGTACAAATTTTTCTCTAGTGAACACCTACCAACACAACACAAAAAATGTTCAATATACACAGGTTTTACTGTACATGCAAATGACCTGGGAATATATCATTAATTATTTTTCAAGTCGAAGAGCTGAAACTAAAATACCTTTAGCATTTATATATACACTGTATAACTACAATAGACCTTACTGTCATTACTTAACACCTGTGATAAGCAAAATTGATTAGGCTGATATAATAACTTGAGCAAGTAATTAAATATCGAATTAAAAGTGAATAATACTAAAGTGCAGAAGGTAATTACATTATTATCATATAAGTAAAATATAGTTTTTACTTTTTATGAATTGAAAAATAGAACAGAGACTAGACAGTGGCAATGCAAGGGCATAGCATATGGACTTTTTTCTGCTTAATAAGTGTAAATAGACTAGATGCGAGTAGAAATGATCTTGATTTAGGTCATTAAATATTCAAAATTCAGTCAAAGTGAAATCATTTAATATTTTTTGAAAATGTGACTTCCAGTTCGAGTTGATTCCTCATAGATATTATGTTACAAAATCACAAAAAGTGAAATATCTTTTCTTGTATTTGGCATATAAAATTTTCTTTTACTAGACATATTTCAATTTGCATAACTATTAGATACATAAAGGTTATGTGAAAATTGAACCACTAAAACAGATGTAATTTAAGTTAAAGGGAACTTTCTACTAATATACCCGCCATGCTATCTGACCCAAACGAGCCACATGGTGGTGAAACTGGTAACTACCTACTCGCATTTGCGTTATTGACTTACATATTCACATATCGTACATTTGTTAGTTTATTTTAGTTTATTTGTATTGTTGTTTGCATTTCTCTGTTGGTAAATTGCATGTCTTTTCATTGTTTATTTTCGTTAATTTAAATATTTTCCTTATTTCCTATATGCATAAATAATATCTGATAACTAAATTACTGTCAGGAATTCATATGTACAAAAATTGCATTTACGACTTCATTACGTCTTCAAATATCAGAAACTATATTTACAAACAAAACATCGTCAACAGGTTAATATTCTTTGTTTGGAGATATTACCAATGCCACTGAACTGATCAATTTCTGTCAGCCTAAAATACCTGTCGCAGACATGAGAAATTGCTTCCAATAATTCAAGTTTTATAAGGTTAAAATGACTTTTAACCATTATTCACATTTTTTATTGAATGTAAACAAGATGGCTTGATTTCTAAGCCTTCTAAGTTATTTTATTTACAAATGCATAATTGGTCTCGAAAGTACAATCAATCTTCTAATGTAAAACAGCTACTTGAGAATCGTGCTACATAATATACACAAACGTGTACATTTTCAAAGCTTCTCAAATCTAGAATATGTGGCCTATGGCTTATTCTGGAATTATATATTTTATATATTTTCATATGATAATATTATTTTTAATCCATATTCGTTTTAGAAAAAATTGAATTGAATTGCTAAATTTTTATTATTATTAATATTAGTTGTAGTTCCGGGGTTGTAGTTATGCCATACATGCAAATCTGTTTTAAAAGTATCCAAATGATATTCGATTCTCTCCAAAAACAACAAGGTTAAATCAAAGAAATAAAAAGTGTCATTTTAGGTAATACAAGATCACTTTGATTTCAAAAATTATTAGGGTAATTAACAGTGGGTAGGATGTCATGTCCCGTTAACGATTGGCTTATCTTAATCTCATTCATATAAATCCAAGCCCTTCAAAATCAAGTTATTGGCTTAAGTCAATCACACCTCAAAAAAAAACAATAGGATGTTCAAGTCATGTAACAAATAGTTTCATGTTCCTTGCACTATTATGAGACAGTAAATCTTCATTCAAACTTTACGCAAAAACACTGTTCCTTAGACATCAAATTTAAAGATACAGAACGGGATTACATGTAACTGACCTGAAGAAACATTGACATCTACAAAGGTAAACAGATGAAGATATCACCTTATTGTAAATGGATATCACAGATTGGTGGTTCATTTTCATCTGACACTGACATTATAAATCTAACCTTGATATTGCAATATGACATTTCAGATATATTATACTGAATTCTCAGTTTTAATTACTTAAAAATGTATCGTGATGAACTATTTGTTTTCAATATTTGACAAGTAATTTTCACAACTAGTTTGGTTCATCTAACCATGAACAAATGATAAGCAAATGATATTCAGAATTTATTGGTGAATATAAAGTATACTTGGTTAATTTCCAGGATCTAATCAGGTACTATTGAATACTTACAATAAGATAATGCATTAGTTTCAAACAGTATCATCAAATATGCAGAATAATAACACAATGATAACGTAGCATATTAATCGCTAAATTACTCGAACATGTCAACATCCAGTTAATTTTCCTAATGAGTATTTCATGTTGCCATATTCAAACATTTCATCGTTAAAAAGATTTTACTTAAGTTGAACAAGAAGGATGTTCAGGTATAAAAAATCTTAACATAAGCAGACATGTTTCTCATCTGTGTAATTCAATATATTATTTGTATACTTCAGTATACATTATTTCAATTATTCACCTATGAGCAGGTTAACAAGTTACAACTCTAATCTGGCAATCATATTGAAAGGCTTGTTTCTTTTTAAAGTCATTTCATAAGTAATTTTTGTATTAGTTATAGCTATGTCATGTTATCTTCAATATCATTGCATACCAGCATAAACAAGCTGCCTAATTTGATTAATAGTTTGTCCAAAACGGATAATAATGGTGATAAGATCAAATCTTACAAATATTGATGTGATAAAATGGCAGCGATTTAATTTTGAATTTCATTATCACACTACTGAAAATCAGATAAAAGTCACAAATTAAAATTATTGATAACTGTTTGGTTAATCATTTGACATTGACATCACAAAAAGAATAGATGAGTGCTAAATTTGATCACCCAATTTGAAGATTGTTAAAATATTTTAATAACTTTCTCAATTATAATGAATGCATTCTAGAATTTTATGAATGGATGAAGGGTTCAATGCATGACACAGTAGTATACAAATTTAGCACCCTTGACTTTGTGATTTGGATGAATGTGGCCTTTTCCATCTTAGAATGCTGCTGCATAAGATTATCCAAAATATGTAAAGCCTACTTAGATGGAAAATGTATCCCTCATCCTTGATGGTGTTGATGCTATTGAGTACATTTACACCATTGGTTTCTGCACTGATCACATTATATTCAAAACAGAATTCAAGATTTAGTCATAATTGAAAATGTTATTCCTAAACTACAGGGTTGAATTTTATTGTCATCCAGTATTCAGATAAAAGACATGTAAAAAATCCAACTTTCCTGATGCTTTATTCCCTTTTCCCATACACCATACTAGAGTAGACTCCTTGACAGAACTGTTATGGCAGAGAGCTTCAATCAGTTTAAGATTAATCCAAGGGCTGACTACCCGACACCCATGTATTAAATTTTATAACTATATTTTAATCTTTTAATCGTTTAAATGCAATAACACAGTTTTGAATTGATAACATATGACATTTGTGTTCTATCTATTTCATTACATTATCACGCAATAAAGCCACTAAATCTTGAATATAAATGATTAAATTATGATGATGACTGTACATGTTTTGCCCGATGTGTTGTGCAAAGTTCCAATGTCAATTCAATGATCAATTAGTGAGACATGGATGATACTAAAATAAACCCAGGTGTCTCCATTACCTTGGTGGACACTGTCCTTTGGTGTCGGACACCTAGGTGTCATACAGTGTCGGACACCTAGGTGTCATACTATCCTGTATACAAATGATGACTGTACATGTGCCACAATGTCAATTCAATCAAAACCCCATCATTCAATTCAATATTCAACAAAAATTAGTGAGACAGTGGGTGATAAACCCAGGTGTCTCAATTACCTTGGTGGACACTGTTCTTTGGTGTCGGACACCTAGGTGTCATACAGTGTCGGACACCTAGGTGTCATACTATCCTGTATACAAATGATGACTGTACATGTGCCACAATGTCAATTCAATCAAAACCCCATCATTCAATTCAATATTCAACAAAAATTAGTGAGACAAGACAGTGGGTGATAAACCCAGGTGTCTCCATTACTTTGGAGGACACTTTGGTTTTCTATCGGCCACCTAGCTGTCTCACTATGTTATTTCAGTTTTCACTGTAGATTTACAAACAAGATAAATGACGTGCTACGTTATCAATGACAGGAGTATAAAACTATAAATATAAAAGCATGCTTTTCTCACATATTTTTCTTACTACTTCAAGCTAGATTTGTGTGCGTTGTATACTTTATAAAGTGTAAAGCAAGAAACCAAAGTGTACATTAACTATTGAACTGTAATACTTACTAATTTTCAGTAAAATCCACGCTTAATCGAAGTCGTATACTGTAATGATAAACGAGTCCTCTCATACAAAATATTTGTGTACATTTGTGGGGTGTGGTGTCTTTCAATGAGCGCCACCTATAACTTAACCATTTTGGTATAACTGTGTGTGTGAACATTCACTTTAATTTAGAGCTTATCCTGAAGAGTATATTCTATAAAAATTTGATTTTTCATGATAAAATATATTTCTGATCCTGAAAGATCATTATCTTTTGGTGGGGAATAATTTTTGTAAAGAATATTTCTACCAAACCGTACATGTCGCAGTCAAATTATTCTACTTCCGGGTTCGTGGAAATGCTGAGTTGGAAAATTGAACATGCATAAATCGAAGAATATCTTCATATTGTTGACATGTTTATTCATAATATTCAGGTAAATCAATAACATATAGATCAATCATCACCACATCACCTGTGTTTGTCAAAACCACGGTGTTTTGACGGTTGAAGTTAGATTTTTTGTAAAATGTAAAACGAAACTTGATTTGATTTTGAAATTGAATTGATAAAAGTCTAATAAATTCGGTGAGATCAATGGAATGTGAATAGCATGTGTGTAGAATAAACCATAAGCTAATGTTGAAACTATATTTTCCAGTGCTAAAGTGGTGCGAGGAGACAGTGCGACGAAGTCATCGGCAAAGGTAAGACCTCTTGGGCTAGGGGGTCTTCAGTGTCGTTTGTGATAAACCTGCTGTAATCTTTATGTTTACTTACGCAGAGACCTGAAAAGTGGATTGGAAACTTGAAGACTCTTGTCTCGGCCTTATTTTGCTGCTAGAGGTGCTAATGTACAGTGCTGATATATTATAATTAAGGGTGCGTTTTCAAACTAAACAGAGTGCTCCTATCAAAAGGAATTTGCCTACATACCCCTGAGACTCTTATCTGATAGATAGAATGCACAAATAAAAAAAAGTTTTGCTATTATAGGTAAAAAGTTCTCTTGAAATTTCGAAGTGATTTTACCTGTTAATTCTGTCCATGGTCCGCCATTTTTGCGGAAGTTACACTGAAAAGCAAACTCCATGAAACGAAACGAAATCACTAGAAAAAAACATGGCACACATTGTGCGCATGTGCAGCAAAGTTTAGACCAATCAGATTATTTGATTATTTTGCGCACATGAATTATTTGCTTCTGAGCACTTACAAGCTTACCACAATAAACAAAGCTGGCAGAGACTACCCTTAGCCTACTTCATTTTGGCAAAATTTCAGCTCAAACTCGTGACAAATGCATTATGCATACGCTGGTGTGAAGCCTTGGAGACACTCATTTTAGTAAATATGATTTATGGGGTATACTTTTCTGCAGTTTGTGGGAGTTTGGGACATTAAATGTTAAAATTCAAGAAAATATGCCAATTAAACGACTGATCAATTAATATATACCAGCACTGTATAAAGGAAAGACTCTAAATTTATCGTTATTAGATTTGAGATCAAAAGATCATTTTCATCTGGACTGAGACTAACATAAAATTTTATGATGGTCTCAGATCTGGATAATCAGTTTTGTCACCATCTCTTTAAAATATGACTATAATCTTATCAATTGACTTTTCGAAGTTAGTGAGTATTCCAACCAATAGTTGCGCAAACTCTAAATACAAATTGTTATTTTTTACAGTATGTCATAGGACCTGCTTGCCTTAGTGTTTTACATTTTCTTATGAAGGATAAACTTTAAACTTGTACATGTCTAAACTTCTGTATTTTAGGGAGATGAAGGTTCTTCAAACACAACATGGATTGTTACTGCTGTGTTTGGCGTTCTCACCATCGTAGCTTTGGGCTCAGTTTGTTCAAAGAGAAATCAACAAACACCACCACCAAGAGGTATATTTTACATATTTTATCATTTGATTGCATTAAATACCATTCCATTAATGAAATGAGAAATCAAATTGCTTGTTTATATACTTTGTATTGCCAAAAAGTAACCATATCAGTTTAATGGAGCAAACACTTTATATTAAGTTTTGGAATGTATGTCAAAGAAAGATGATCTTTCATGTCATGTGACCCAGTTTTGACCAGTCAAACAATTCCAAGCATGTTATTAGAATGGTATTATTAAATATTTTTCAGTTGCTAAGGAGTCTGTTAGAGAGGCCAGATTAGCAAGGTTTCAACCTTCTAACACACAACAAAATAATTCAGAAAAGAAAAGAGATCAAAATGGTAGTCCAGAGACTCAAATTAAAAAACCAAAAGCCAAACCTCAACTAAATATTGAAATAAGGGATCCAGGAAAGGGTCAGAATAAAATCACCGGAGATTCAAATGATGGAACTTGTAGTGAAAAATCTGTTAAATTCGATATTGATACAGCAGAAAAGACTCTAAAGAGGGAACCTCCAAAAAGAGCAGAACTTAATGTCAGAAATTCAGAGAAACAGTCATGCGGCACTTCAAGCCATGATTACGATTCAGAATATGATGAAGCTATTCTTGCAGCTATTAATGATCTTAATCTTGACAATGAAGCTGTTGTGACATCAATTGACAGCCAGACACCGGGATTAGGTGTTGACTCTGGGGATGGATCTCAGTTTGTTTTCCCCAGTATTGAATCTCAACCAACGTCCACAATAACAGAAGAAGTATCTGTATCCACAACTAAAAGTACACCGTCCAGCTTAAAAAGTCAAGTGCCAAAAGAAAGTCCAGCAGATGAAGATGCCAAAGTACCACCATTGCCAAATTTGTTTATTAATACATTATCACACATTCTTGATACACAGATTGTAAGTTTTCTTCTGCCCATTTTAATTTTGAAATTCTTTACTCTATAAGTTTAATAATACTTTGTGCAACCATGTACAGTTTAGGTGATATTTTGTCATTTGAATTGTATTTTATATATTTATATTTATTCATGTAATATAATTATGATCAAATATTACATTTACACACTACATACCCATAGGGTATATAATAATAACTGACCTGTAGATTCATTTAAAATTATCCCACCATAATTATTTGTTTTCCTACCACCATGGCCCGTATCACCAAAAAGAAGCTTTTTTATATCGACCACTGTTTTGTAACTTGTTTTGCATAAGCAACAAAAATTTTATCGAATATGCAATAACAATTTGCAAAAGTAATTTTCACATTGATTTGAAATTTTTCAAATTTTTCACTTAATTAAAGGCCACATATAAAGTTAAAACCACTTTGACTTATAAATGTAATCTTAACAAATGTTATTAAAATGTGATATGTGAAACTTTTTTTTTAATTTGAAAAGTAGTTTTTATGTTTTGTCCAAGGGATAAAATATTGATAATATATTTTGATGATCCTAATTCTGATTTCTCGATTTCTGTTCAGAAAGTCCAAGAGCGTGATCGGAATGAATCAAGGGATAGAAATGTAATGTTTATCAAAGAAGCAAATGTTGCTCAGAATGCCAAGGATGTAAGCAAAAAATCTCTTATCATTTTCACGAGACGAATGGCGAGGGAGTACGTAGGCAAAATGAGGTACAGTACACCCTTTTATTCAAAATCGTATAATATCCTTCGCCTCTGATTTATATCTTTGAACTAAAGTCGAATATCTTTTCCCTGATTATCTTTTTCCCTTTTACCTCTTTTTGACAACATCATCATGTACATAAGATTGTATTTTGTCAATATTAGAACTATTGCAGTCTTATTTTTAGGACACTGCAGGATTAACTACATGTATTTTCTTTAATCCTCCAAGGTATTGTATCCAGTGTTATGAGAGAATGGGATGTGTGCAATTTGGTCGAACAGAAATTGTTGCTGACATCAAGACTAGTCTTACAGATGCAGTTGCCATGACGATTCTATCAGAGTTGAATGAAGGTATCTATATTGATTCCCTTATATGTTTCACACCATTTCATTAGCATCAATGTATTTTTATAGCACAACCATTATGACATTTGAGTTATATTTCAAATCACAGGCATTATGATACGCACATCACAAGCATCTTAATATTTCTCACCACTAGCATCATGAAAATGCAAACTAAATGATATTTCATATCACATTCACAAGCAATATTATAATTTACACCATAAGCATCATGGTATTTCACCTTACAGACACCATGCGATTGTACTTATTTGTAACTAGAACTAGCTATGTCAGGCCTGTAGCTAGATGAATAGACCCCCCCCCCTTGACCAAAAATTCTTTCAAAATCAAGCAGTTTTCACCGTTTTAGAACTTTTCGAATTATCATTATGGGCCAAAATTGTCAAACTTGAACTCTTCCTGAAATTTTTTAAAACTGCCCCCCCCCCCCCTGGCAAAAGCTGGCCATGGACCTGCATGTATTGTTTGCATATTGATTGTAGATCTTCAAGGAAGTAGTGAGGATGATCTCTGGTCTGATGTTGGTGGAAAAAATAATGTAGATGAATCAGTAAGCTATATCTGTCTCTATTATATTAATATGTTGGGTGACTTGGTTAGATTGTACAAGTTACAACTAGTCTACAACATTCAATGAAAGAAGTGGACATTATGTATCTTCAAGAAATTCACATCCAGAATTGTGAGGTCATAATACAGAATTCTAATTTCCATAATTTATCCAGTAAGGGCAAAGATAACTTTCTCAATATATAATTTGAAGAGGAATAATTATTAAATAGATTTATTTAGGAATACATGTATTACCAAATTTCAAGAATATTCTTTCATCACTCACATAGTTATTCCATGTCTTTTTTGATACATTTTTGGGGACACCCTGTATTTTGAATTATTTTGAATTTTTAGGGTCCATTGACTGAGCTTTTGTTGAGGGTGTCTGGCTGGAGTGATGATGATGTTACCATAGCAACTGATCTGTTACAGCACATCCTCAAAATGGCAACCAAAGATGAGTCTAAAGAAAAGGGAATACTGAAATTGATATCCGTTGCAGCTCAGCATATTAAATCTACAAAAAGATTAGATGAAACAATGTTGTATCAAAGGAAGTTTTTTCAAGCTCTTGAAAACTTGGCAAGCCAGGTATCTACTCTAGACAGTGCATTATTTTTACTAACCTAATGATTGGTCCTGCATAAGTTCATACTGACACCTCTGTCATTTTAATTGTATCACTCTGTATCTTGTATATTAGTGCACTTAATAATTGTGCACATATGCTCTATAAAAAGTACTATATCTAGTAATTGATTTGATTGATTGAGTAATTAGTTGGTCTTGAATTTGGAATCCCTTTAAATAAGTATATGTTCGTGTTATTGTCTAGTATGTGTAATACTTTTTACATTTAATTTGAATTACCACTGAGAAGAAGCATTTTAAAATTTATATTTTGGCTTGCTGTTTAGGCAACATTCATCGAGATCTTGGTGAAGGAACTAAAGTGTGAAATCGAGAAGAGTGAAACAGCCCTGGTAAGTGTAGGGTTAATACTTTACTATCTATGTCACTACCACAAGTGGTGATAGATTGTTATGGTTCTCAACTTTTTTATGGATGATGTTTGGTGGTCGGTGTTTGGCATCTGTAACAAATGGCAGGTGGTGATATTTTGCCTGTTAATGTCTTGTATTGCATATATAGAGGATATCCTATGATTTATGAGTGATATGATTTTTGTCCACGAATGGATATGATATCTGCATTCACATGTTATCCTATGAATATCATGCTAACTATGGAATAAATGACCTAAAATGGCATACATTACCATATATGGTCTTTTATATACATACATCATATATAAGTTACAAGTGAACTTGTTAAATCTTTCTTTAAACATGAAGCATGTTTTATGGCCCACACTGTTTTCTTTAGGGCATATATTTTGAAGAAAATGGAATATTTGGTGAACTTCTTTCGTTGACAACCATCCCAGTAGGTCTACAGGAAATCAAGAGACCCGACCCAATCACTTCTGCTCCATTCTTGGAGCTGCGAGGTTTTCCACGAGCATCCTTGGATGACATGAAGTTTCTAGAGGTATGTGTCCTGAGATGAAATATACTTAAAATGTCATGATTGTTTGGAAATGTTTTAGAATTACCTAGAGAAACATATTTTAATATTTTGAGATTTGCTCCTCGATGGGATTGCCAATTTCTAGTTTATTCATGATGTCAAGTGGTGACATATTGTTATAGTCTCCAACTTTTGGTGGCTGGTATTTGGCTTCTGGTGTTCAGCATCCATAATAATGTTCTGTGGTTGACGTCTGTAACAGGGCAGGTGGTGAAATTTTTAATGTTAATGCCTTGTATACATTTGGATTTGCAACTCGATGGAATTGCAAATTTCTAGTGTATTGATTTATTTTACCTGTTTAGAAAATATATTTCAGAACAATATTCAAGGTGTATTTCATCGAACTCAAAAGATTGTGTTTGACATGGTAAAGAAGATGTTAAAATGTGATCGAACAGCTGTACTGTCTTGGTTAGCTGCTGTGGTTACCAGCAATGAGCTAAGGGCAAGTGCTAACCCCCTTATACACGAGGAGATCACTAACACAGCCTGTAGTGATGGTAAGATACTTTATTCATCTTATTCTGTCTTGAATCTTATCATACTTTGTACTTTTCAAGATCAAATCTTATGTACACATCATTGGGTGTCTGAAGGAGGGGGGGGGGGGTGCGTTGGGTGTGACCACACCTGATTGCCATTTTATAAGATGGTTGGTGGTGTTTGCCACACCCTTGTATTGTTAAGTTTTGTTTCTCAACTTTTTTTATTACTTTCATTTGTTGTATTGTAGGCTTCATGCTAAACCTATGTACAGTGTTGCTTGAGCTATGTATGCCCTTCTGTCACGATGTCACCAAGTTGACCAAGATTGATGCGAGTTATGCTGGCTCCACATCCTGTCGTCTTAACTACAACCTGGAGACATGCCTGGCCTCGGGACAAATTGGTGAGCTCATTTAGATCCATTAAATGCGCTGGTAAAACAAAGATATACAAGGTGTAATTAAGAGGTTTCAGGAATATTTCAAACCTCATATTTGGCCTTTATGTACAGTAATTAAGCATAATTGTACATTATTTGAAAGATCTCTGATAGAGACTCAGAGAAAGATTAATAACTTCTGGGTGTTTGATTTATTTTCCAGTTCAAGAGGAGAGTGATATGAAAGAAAAGGCTGAATGTGAGAATGTTCAAGATAGTTTCAACTTCATGACTGAGATTTTCCACATTACACAGAGAGCCCTCAATGTTGGAACCTTATCTGCCACAAATACATTTCTACATAACAATCAGTAAGAATTCATTTTCCAACATGACTTTGTACGTCCGTCCATCTGTCTATCCAACCATTCATCCAATAGTGTGTCTAGGGAAAAAACTCAAGTTATGGCTATGTAATTTTAGATCAAATTTTACAGCCTGATGCTCCATGGGAATATGACCTCTGCTTAATGAACATGCATTGATGACCTGGAATCATCTGAACTCTTTCTGTGACCTAGCTATTTACGTCCCTTTTATTTACCCATCATCTAATCTCCTGTTCATTCCCCATTATATCCCTCTTCTCTACACCTTTTCCCACAACCATCCCTTTACCCAACATCACCCATACTGAGTTGTGGCCCTGTAAGTCACCCTCCCCTATCTGAGACACGAGCAGTGTCAGGCCAAAAGACAAGGTTGGTTTACCCAGCCACTGTCAATGGTCTGACATATCAACCATGTCTAAGCTCTGCCCAGCTTAGACACAAGCTCTGACTAGACACTAGTCGAGCTCCAGAACACCTCATAAAACAATCATTGGTGCACTGAGTTGTGGCCTTGTATGTCACCCTCCCCAATGGACACCCCAATCCCAGACACAAGCAGTGTCAGGCCAAAAGGCAAGGTTGGTTTTATCCCGCCACTGTCAGTGATCTGACATATCAACCATGTCTAAGCTCTGGCCAGCTTAGACCCTAGTCGAGCTCCAGAACACCTCATAAAACAATCATTGGTGTACTGAGTTGTGGCCCTGTAAGTCAATGAACACCCCAATCCCAGACACGAGCAGTGTCAGACCAAAAGACAAGGTTGGTTTTACCCAGCCAATGTCAGTGATCTGACATATCAACCATGTCTAAGCTCTGGCCAGCTTAGACACAAGCTCTGACTAGACCCAAGTCGAGCTCCAGAACACCTCATAAAACAATCATTGGTGTACTGAGTTGTGGCCCTGTAAGTCAATGAACACCCCAATCCCAGACACGAGCAGTGTCAGACCAAAAGACAAGGTTGGTTTTACCCAGCCAATGTCAGTGATCTGACATATCAACCATGTCTAAGCTCTGCCCAGCCTGACACAAGCTCTGACTAGACCCAAGTCGAGCTCCAGAACACCTCATAAAACAATCATTGGTGTACTGAGTTGTGGCCCTGTAAGTCGATGAACACCCCAATCCCAGACACGAGCAGTGTCAGACCAAAAGACAAGGTTGGTTTTACCCAGCCAATGTCAATGATCGGACATATCAACCATGTCTAAGCTCTGCCCAGCCTGACACAAGCTCTGACTAGACCCTAGTCGAGCTCCAGAACACCTCATAAAACAATCATTGGTGTTCTGAGTTGTGGACTTTATGTTCTACTGTTTGGTGACAAGGTAAATACAAAAATCACAAGTAATGGTTTTAACTTTTGTAACTTTGAGATACAGGGTGTCCAAAAAAAAGCAGGACCGTAAGAAAGTTGAATAACTTGGTCAATATTGCATATTTTGCCTTGAAATTTGAGAATTATTTAGCTCATTCAATGTGAATTTTGTTCTGAAAGTTGTGTCAAAAACTACAGTCCTTTACAAAACATGCTCAAAGTGGGCACTTCTCCTCTCTATGCACAAACGAATCCTGCAAACAAAGTTGTTAATGACCCTGACCTATACACATGAATGTGGATGGTAAATATTGGGGTAGTTATTGCCCTCTTAAGATTGTTAGGGGCCTGTCAGTATACAAATTGGCTTTGAGAAATCCTCAAAGAAAAAAATTTGAGGGATTTAGATCAGGCGAATGAGCTGACATATGGTTTGCATTCTGCAACTGATGAGCTGACCACCAAAGCATTGCCTAAACCATTTCAGCATATCATTTGCAGTGTTGGGGTGGTATTGGCTTGTTGAAACCACTGCTTAATTATCTTCTTAGATGTCCCTTCTGGTGCTTGGTGACCTCCAAAACTTGGTGAGAACTTACTGGTCCTTGTTCATGGTGATAACAAGTCCCCAGTCACCTTCGAACCAAAAGGAACTGATGATTCCATGTTTCCTCATTGCCATCCAGGGAGTGCATTGTTCAGAATGCAATGGATGCTGTAACACTTCATCAGGAGGATGTAAGCCCCAGTAGCAATTGTTCTTGGAACAAACTTGTCCATTCAGAAAGACATGTGTGTAGGAGGATCATCAACAGCTTTGTTCGCCGGATTGAATTGTGCATAGAGATGAGATTTGCACATTTGGGGCATGTTTTGTAAGGAGCTGTAGTTTTTGACTCAATTGGTAGATTATTATCAAACTTTCACAACAAAATTCACATTGAATAAACTAAATAATTCTGAAATTTCAAGGCATAATATGCAAAATTGACCGAGTTATTCAACTTTCTTACGGTCCTGTTTTTTTTTGGACACCCTGTATGTTTTTCAGCATTTTAGTTAGAAGCATTGAAAAATATAATCATTGAAAAACGCAACACTTAACATTGATAGTTTTGAATTCTGATAATTCACTTTATTTGCTAAGATAATAAAAGGATTGATTTAATAATGCCATTTGTTCTTTTTATGGTCATCCAATCTGGATGATTCAGCTGGGTACATATTTCTAGAACCAGTGTGAAGAGGTGGAGAATTTCACCTAATAAACTTTTGCCTAAATTGGCTAATTTCCTACTTTAAATGAAAGTGTTAAAAATATCCAATAACTGAGTGTATTGTTGGTTGAAACTTTTCTGTATTAAATTTATCTAAAAGAATATTTTTCATTTCGATTTCTTCAGTTTTGACCAGTGAACAAACAATAAAGTAGGAACTGAATATATTGAGAAATTGTGTATTTAGACATTGTTGCAAGGAAATTGATGACTGATTATATTGTGTTGTGCTCTTTCAAATCATTAAAGTGTCTTCAACTGGTGAAATCATATGTTTAAAGATATTACAGATGGTACTGGCCAAATATACTATATCCTCTAGCTATAACATATTGTTATGGTATCTGTTTTTGTTGTCCGTGGTTGGTGATCGGCGTCTGTAACAAATTCTTACAACTTCCAATAACTTAATAAATACTGTTTAGACTGACTTCAATTTTTTTCAAAATCATCTGCATGTAGATGTTTTCAGGAGTTCAAATCTGACTTTATTTAAAATTTGACCTTCAATGGCCTTTTTAAGGTCGAAGAAGGTCTTTTTTCAACTTGCTACAAATTGACCAATTTTTTTTTCAAAATCATCTACAAGTTCTCAACAGTTTAAATCTGACTATAGATTTGACCTTCAATGACATTCTCAAGGTCAAAAATAAGATTTGTCTTTCAATGACATTCTTAAGGTCAAAAATGTCTTTTTTCATCTTGCTTCAAATTGACCATTTTTTAAATCACCTACAAGTTCTCAGAAGTTCAAATTTGACTTGAGATTTGAGATTTCACCTTCAGTAACCTTCTCAGGGTCAAAAAGGTATTTTTCAACTTGCTTCAAATTGGCCAATTTACTGTTTCAAAATCATCTACAAGTTCTCAGAAATTCAAATCTGACTTAAGATTGAACTCATAATATTGTGAGCAACTAGGTGGTGACATTTTGTCATGTAAATGCCCTGTCTTGAGATTTTTTGAAATTCTTAATATTGACGTGAAAGCTATAATATTGGTTAATAAATACCCCAGTTAAATTAACATTATTTATTTCAAAGCATTTTTACAAAATTTTGAATCCACCATTTTTTGGCGTTAGCTATGTCATCTGACCAATCAGCAATGAGGGTCATCTCTATATAAATTTCCATTGAGGTTGAGGTCATCTTTGAACTATGGGGGTTTCCCTCTCTTCAGATAATCATATAATCAAGTGACACTGTAAGCCAATGAAGACATACTTTCTCTTCTGACTAGTAGATATAATGCTACTACAGTATTGTATTTCTTTGTATTGCAGAAGTCTAGCAAGGGCCTTCCATGCTCAGTGGAAGGGCACCCCACAAGAGCAAGAGCTGAATAATCGGATAATTGTGAGTATAATACTGTATAACCTGTGTAAGTGGAACACTTAGTATGTAAATAAATGGATAAAAAGACTTGGAGAAATGTTCCACTTAAAGAGCCATTCTATTTACTGAGGTGTTCCACTTTACAGGTTTACTGTACTATATTTCATGTTTTTATCAAATTCTGATAAAATGATGATCCATCTTGTGTCATGAAATTCAAGTTTTCAAATCATGTAGATGATATTTTATCAAGTCAATTCATGATCTGTTTGTACAGCTATACATGAAAAACTAGAAAATTGAATTGATGAATAATTTGACTCATTGGCCCTTGATATGTAATTCGAATTGGTCCTCGGAGATTTTAAAGATTAAATGCTATTCAATAATAATAAATTATATTTTAGTTATGGGGTATGAAGTGGGACTGCCATCTGCTTGACCCAGAGATGCTACGGAAGACATCAGAGTTCTACCTGGCACAAGCTCAATGGCTGTTACTACAGTTAAGCAACTGTGAACAGGTATTAGATCACATAGCATACCATATTCTCTCTAATGAGGGCACAGTCATGGGCGTAGGGCTATATTTTGAGTTGGTACACGCACTCAGGGATGCCTGATTGCGTGGCTGAAGGCTGCACATCGCGGGGGGTCCGGGGGTAGGCTCCCCGCGAATATTTTTATCGTACATGTACCTAACAAGAGGTGTCTCACTTTTCAGCTTGTCTACAGGTTTCCAGCCAAACCATTTGAGGGATTCATCTGAAATTTTCAGGGATGTTTCTACATATCAAAGTCAAGAACTGATTAGTTTTTGGGCATTCTGGGTAAATTTGAAGGTGGCCATTTTGGATTTTCCATCCTAAAATCTTCACTTTCAAGACTTGTCTACAGGTTTTCAGCCAAACCATTTGAGGGATTCATCTGAAATTTTCAGGGATGTTTCTACATATCAACGACAAGAACTGATTAGTTTTTGGGCATTCTGGGTAAATTTTAAGGTGGCCATTTTGGATTTTCCGTCCTAAAATCTTTACTTTCAAGACTTGTCTACAGGTTTCCAGCCAAACCTTTTGAGGGATTCATCTGAAATTTTCAGGGATGTTTCTACATATCAATGTCAAGAACTGGTTAGTTTTTGGGCATTCTGGTTAAATTTTAAGGTGGCCATTTTGGATTTTCTGTCCTAAAATCTTCACTTTCAAGACTTGTCTACAGATTTTCAGCCAAACCATTTGAGGGATTCATCTGAAATTTTCAGGGATGTTTCTACATATCAACGTCAAGAAATGATTGGTTTTTGGGCATTCTGGGTAAATGTTAAGGCTGCCATTTTAGATTTTCCTTCCTAAAATCTTGTCTATCGAGGCTTGTCTACAGGTTTCCAGCCAAACCGTTCAAATTTTTACATATGTTACACAGTGATAAGTTCTAGAGCTGATTAACTTTCTGCGGCCATCTTGCTTTCTTGGTCAACAAGACCACAATGCTGTGTTTTAGGTACGATATTGTTCACGTCTGTGCCTTGTTTATCAAGGACGTTATTTTATGGAATCTAAGCGTTTTTATCAACTTTAAATGTTTACAATGGTAAACATACAGATACGGTAGGATGCATCAATAAATTCGCAAATAAATTAATGCATTTTAACATATTTTTAATTTTTTCAAATTCATTTGGTACGCCTGTGCGTATTTTGCGTAATAGGCGCTACGCCCGTGACAGTTCCATTGAGTGCACATGCAGCTTCTATGTTGAATATGGTCTCAAGAAAATTTTAGTTTTAGAGTTAAAGTTTAGTGCAGTAGTTTCGATTATTTACAAGATATCAATTGATGATTATATTATATTTAGTACAGAGAAAGAAATACAGGAACTTTAGAATGTGTTTTTTAAAATTTTGTATGTGCGCTTAATATTGGAATCTCTTAATACTTTACCATTATACATTTCAATTTGGAAACTGCAACATGTGCTAATTAGAGAGAATACAGTAGTCATATACTGACATATTCACAAGGGTGAAATAACTCACGAAGTTGTAAAGCACATGTTCTTCCTTTTTGTTCATCTCGTCCGTTCTTTAATCCGTCTATCACAGAAATAATTCAAGTACCAGTGGACCTGATTTTCTTCATATTTGGTCATTGTACATGTATGCTTAATTTTCTTTTCAAAATGGCTACTGTCTGGAAAAGGAAAACTAATGAAGAGTTTGCTAATATTATTCTGTGTCTTTTTTTCTAATTTAGCAAATCATATTGTAGGATATATTGGGATTTTCTACTCTGGATTGCCATTTTTCTTGTTTACTGTTTTTAGAAATCAACAAGTACAGAGGACTTAAGAAAACAACAGGCAAATGCATTTTCCCATGTCCCAGAGTACACAGTTAAAGACATGGCCCGCTGGTTCAGTTTCATGGCTAATAGGGGGCTCCGTGTTCACAAGGGTGTCCTTACAGGGCTACAAGTAAGTGGGGGCAATCATAAAAGTGAAATATATCACACTATGGCCAACCTTTTTAAATATGATATAGTATAAATAGTTATAGTCTCCAACTTTTTTGTTGACAGTGGTTCATGTTTGGTATTGGGTGGTTGGTGTTTGGCATCTGTAACAAATAGCAGGTGGTCACATGTTGCATGTTAATGCCTTGTTATAATAGTTCGTAGGCATCTGGGTGATTGAGCAAAAGTATAAGAGCACAACATAAAAAAGGCACAAAATCAATATAACCCATATCTTTAATTGTTTAACAGATTTCTCCATTTATTGACTGTTGTGTCATGTTGCTTGAAAGACATGACTTGATGCCAGGGCCAGTATGTGCAACCAAGATCATAGAGACACTCTATGCATTCATACAGACAGGTGGCAGCACTAATGATATGTCAAGGTTTGTCATTTCATGTATTCGCTAATTATGGAAGATGCAGAAATTATGTATCTTTCTTCACAACCTATCTCAAGATTAGATGGACTTACTATGATCTTCAGTCTTCATAGTATGATAGTATATTAGAAGTTAGTTGTTAGCAATCACAGAGGTTCTGGTGGTCACAGTCATGTCTACAATGTATGAATTGAGCTTAACCTCTTGACTACCTGGATTGACGAGATTTCTCTTCACCTCAGAAATGACCTTGAAACCCAGTGTGACGAGAAAATCTGTCACTAAATTTTTCACTAAAATTGCTCTTATTTAAACAATTTCCATCCAATTTACACAGAAATTATTTTAAAACATGAAGCAATGATCTCTGCTGTATAATTTTATCAAAATGAGCATCAACTGTTGTATGTGTATGTAATAAATTAAGAGCCTGGGAATCAAGAGGTTAAATTACATATAATTATTACTGAATTGTAGGAGAGGAGGTTGGGGCAGTGGTCTGATGTCTGAGCTTGGTAGCATGGTACATACATGTCCAACTGTAAGGAACTCACTTGGACCTGCATTACTGCATACATTTGTCAGTGTAGATGTTGTTGAGGGACTGGATGTGGATAAAGAAGATTTTGAAAAATACAGATCAAGGTAAATAAATGCCACCTGACTTAATTAATTTGTAGTCTTTAAGTGTATCACAAAGGATAATCTTACATGTACATGTTTAAAAACATATGATATATTGTGAGTTGTTATTATTGCCATCTTAGAAAGTTTGTTAGGATAAGTGTAGCCCTCCATCTGGGTGTAAATTTTGCCAAAAGGAGATAATAGTACTGTCTTGACCCATATGAAATGTTCAGAATCACAAGTGGTTTGATGAAATATATTTTGTTTGGTTGGATCTTTTATGGAGAATATGTTAACAAGGAAAAAATATTCTTTAACTTAAAATTGTTCTAGGCATGAGATCAGCAAGCTTATAGAGCATCTGTGGAACAGACAGGACTGTAGAACATCCATTTTGGCACTGTGTGGTCAACCAATCTTCCAGGTAAATCTTCATCTTGGAACTATGTGGTCAACCAATCCTCCAAGTAAACTTTCATCTTGGCATATTTGTGGTCATGCGTTAAGATTTTTATGGAAGTTATCAAAAGTGTCCAAATATTTGTTTCACCAGCAGTCAAACTTATAAATTTTCATTTTATGGCCCTATTATATGGGCCTTAATGGGGTTTCCATTGGAAGATCCCCAAACTGATGTTTATCTTACATAATCAGAAAAAGGTTTAGTGACATGATATCAGTGATATCTTTACTTTGAGAATACTTTGTTTTGTTTACTCAGTAAATGTGAATTCATTATTAAATTGTCAGAGAGATACTTTTTTGCATGAAAGACAAAAATAAATCTAGGGTGTAACACAAGGTAACACTTTATCGCCTTGCCTCTTTAATGTATAATAAATGATTTGCCACTGATTTGATTTGATTATTTTCAGAAATTCCTTGGTGCAATTTTAGATGAGCTCCTATTCATGTTGCATGATGGTCTTGGTACCCTGTCTAGTGTAAGACGACTGGAACAGGCTAAAGCTAATGGTACAAACTCTTATATAAATCTGAAAATCATTCACTCTATGAAAAAAGGAATATTCACAAATTGATTGAAATTGATTAAAACAACAATGAATAATCACACAGGCCATCTTAAATAGCAGATTCACATAAATATTAAGATCTCTCTCCATCAAGATGTAATTCCAATCCTCCACACCCCTCGAAACATGGAACTTATACACACAATATTGCCACTTTCATTGAGCTAAAATTATAAGAGTGTACTATAAATCATGCCTTAATTTGTAGAATCCGAATGGAATAAACAAACACCACAGCAACAGCAGGACAAGGAGAAGTTCCTGAAAGCTGAGGAAGCCCGTGCTGCTGGTGCCATGAACATGGCTAACAATCTTATGGCTTTCCTTGAGCTATTAACCAAGTCAGAAGATGTTGCCAGGTGTTTGACCATGCTTCCCTTGGCACAGAGGGCAGCTAATGCCATTCTAGGCTTTGTAGAGAAACTGTGTGGTCCGAACTCACTCGACTTCAAGGTGAAAGATATGAACAAGTAAGGATTATACACTCTAATGGGGACATTTTTACTTGGATCTGTTGTACAATTGTCATATCATTAAGAACAGTTGAGTCATCAAAGAAGTATGAAATATCCTCAAGAGGAAACTACTGTAATCGATGAAGAAGAATTCATCATGATATTTGCCCCTTTAAGAACAGATAAGTTGATATTTTGAAAACTTGTAATTTTTTCATAAGCATATTACATGGAAGTGCTTATAACTAGAAGATTTAAGATTGCAAAAAATCTTACGGAGGCCCCGTAGGTGTTTTGGCAATTTGAAGGTCAGTCAAAGGTCAATTCTAAAAAAAAGGCATATATGAACTCCAGGGAACTTGTAAATGATTTTTTAAAAAGAAATTGGTGGGGCTTTTGTGATCAAATATACCTAAATTTGAATCCAGAAAATCAATTTGAAAAATCAACTTTTTTGACCTTTAAGGTCAGATTTGAGTTCCTGAGAACTTGTAGATGATTTTTAAAAAAATTTGGTCAATTTAAAGCAAGTTGAAATTTAGTCTTGAAAAGTTTCGAAATTTGACCTTTTTTCAGTTTTTGAGTTCTAATAACTCAAAACTGGTACACAATTTTTATAAATAATCAATTGCTAATATGTGAAGAACCCATAGAGGAATATATATCCTGACTTTCATGGAAAAATATTGATTTGTAGTCACCAATTTTGAGAAACTTTAAAAACACAGTTTGTGATTTAGTTTGATGACCTTGACCTTTGACCTTGCAAATTTTACATTTTTAGACCTCGATATGTCTTTTGTGACTAAATATACCTAAATTTAAATCCAGAAAATCGATTTTAAAAATAAAGTTTTTTGACCTTTCAGAGGTCACTGAAGGCCACCTAAAGGTCAAAAGTGAGGTCAGATTTGGAATTCTGAGAAGTTGTAGATGAGTTTTAAAAAAAAGTTTGGTCAATTTAGAGCAAGTTGAAATTTGACCTTGAAAATTTTTTAAATTTGACCTTTTTCAATTTTTGAGCTCTAATATCTCAAAACTGGTGCAAAATTTTAATAGATAATCAATAGCTAATATGTGTAGAACCTTTAGAGAAATATATATCCTGACTTTCATTAAAAAAATATTGATTTGTAGTCACCAATTCTGAGAAACTTAGAAAACACAGTTCGTGATTTAACTTGATGACCTTGACCTTTGACCTTGCAAATTTTAATAATAATAATAATGGATCTCATATTTTGTATTTTAGGTATAAGTTTACTCCTAGAATCCTGCTGAAACAAATAGTTGAAATAATCTTGATGGTCACGCGCGAAGAATCATCGCGGTCTGAGGGCTTTCTTGTTTCTATGGCAACAGATCCTGATTTCAACGATGCTATGTTTGAGAAGGCGGTTCAAGTGATAGGAAGAGAGGGACTTACAGAGGAGGCCACATTGAAGGAGTTCCAGGAGGTTTTGCAAGTGGTAAAGAACTCTTGAATTAGCTTGTGATTAGGGTTCACTGAACACACAGTAAGATCTGTGTAATTAGAACACCTTTGGTACCTCAGAATAGTCTAAAATAGTCTCCTGCTTATAGCAGGTGTCTTGCAAACAGAGGTTCATTTTGCATTAAGGTAATGGCAGGGTAAATGGAATTTGAAGTATTCCACTAAAGGAGGTGTTCCACTTACAGAGGTGTTTTCATTCAAAATTTTTAAGGAATTTTCCTGTTGTTAGAGGATTCTTAATTCATTTGAGAGATTGATTTGAAGCATTCACTTCACAGGTAATCAAGTTAAAGGAAGAGAAACAGTCAGAAAGTCAAGCTGGTCATCACATTGAAGCCACTTATAACTGGGAGGATGAAATCACCAAATTGGAAATCAATGAGGAAACTTATGCTGACGCTTATACAAAGTCCCTAGAGAACTATACATTTGACAGCGCTGATTTACAGGTAAATACCACTGAGATTATTTGGTGGCAATTTATTATTTTCGGAATCTGAGGAGATGAAAATAATGTTGATTGTAAAAACTGTTTGGAAGACATTATAGTAAGAAATCGTTATCTTTGTACTTAAGTGAACATAATGAGTAAGTAATCTTAAAGAAATAATAATATTGTACAGTGGATACACTTTGTATATTTTAGGACTGTCATAGCTACACCAGCAACTTTGGAGACAAGCCAGTAGACCCAAGGCAAGTATTGAAAGTACTTTTGGCTGACATTTAGTGAGCCATTCATTTGTCCTATGCACATACTTTATCTTGAAGAAAGAAAATAATTTTTGACAATATATGAGACTAAACCTAGTATAGACATGCTTTTACGATTTGATCTACTTTTTGACCTACATATTTTTTAAACGTCAAAGATGTAATGCATATAGGCTCCATTTGATTGAAAATTGTCTATACAAGAAAACTTTTTTTCATTTCAGAGCTCCAAAGTTGAAGGCATTCAGAAAGGAACTTAAACAATTACAGGACTTGCCTCTCAATATCCATGCAGCTATATTCATTAGACAGGTATACATCATGCTTGCTTCGTTTACATAATGCAAATATGAAATTGATTTTATGCTTGCTTAGTTTACATAATGCAAGTATGAAACTGATTTTTGCTGATCACTCAGAATTTTTCAGTTAATTTTAAGATTTATAACAAATTGATTTAGTTTTGCAATATTTTGATTTATTCTTTAATAATCTTTTTCAAGTTTTTTTTGATTGGCTAATAAAACCAGTAAGATTTATAAATGATACATATTTAGGTCAGTGTAGACAATAGTTACATAACCAGGGTGACATTTAGTTGGGTGATACTAAAATACACATAGGTCTTCCCACATGGGGCACCCTGACAGCATTGAAGTTATGAAATAAATGAATTAAGCAAAATTGTTGATAATTCCTGGTAAAATGTTGTGTAGAGGTCCTTTACCAAAATAAGCCATTCTGACTAATTGGTATGTTGTATAAAATCTCTTTTTATACAGAATTATATGAAGTAAATACAGAAGCTTTTCTCTCATGTACACTTTAACGAAGCAATGCTGCATTATTTAAGATATAATACTATAGATCAACAAATATTACACTGTAATCTGAAAATTGTAGGATGAGGATCGCATTGACATGCTACGTGCCCTAGTGACAGGTCCTAGTGGTACGCCATACAGTGGTGGGTGTTTCTGCTTTGACATTTACCTGCCCAACAACTACCCAAACATTCCACCTTTAGTGAAGTTCATTACAACAGGGAATGGCACTGTTAGGTAAAAATTAAAATCAATGGAAATTGAACACCTTTGGTACCTCTTAAAGTGTATTCCAATAACAGAGGTATTCCAATAACAGATGTGTTCCACTTTACAGGTTTTACTGTGGTGTAAAATGAATGGATTTTTATTACATTCATGTACAAATACTGGAATGAATTAACATTTTTATCAATCAGGCTGTAGACTGTACAATTCAGTCACTATGGTAACATTAAGCTACAGTAGTGCCTTTAATAATGCTTTGATAAAAGCAGATCTCTCAATGAACTTTACCTAATGCACCACTGTTGATTGTTTTTTACTCCATCTTTGATGCTATAGCAACATTGAGTCAAATAGATTAACATTAACCTATCAGAAACATCTAGTTTTTGTTTTAATCGACTTCCTTAGTTACCAACATCACATATACAAAACAGGACTCTGATGCCTCTATGGAGATTTCATTTTAATTATGGTTTCCTGCAATATTATTCATCATTTTTTAAACTTTAGTACAGGGTGGTAAAAAAAAATGGAAACCCTAATACCATTTTCCTCATATCTTTATCATTTTATAAAATAACTCTCTGATATTTTACATTTTTATACATCATTCAATTTGCTACCAGCCTACTTTATTTCATGACCATCAGATTGATAGTCACAATGTTACAGTACTTTAAAGAACATGCCCAGTGGCCACTATTGCGTTGTGGGGAAACCTGTACTCATCGTCTAAAATGTCCCTACCTGTGATATGGCAGAGATCGAGTATATGAGAATGACCTCAGGACAATTGCAAATCTCAAAAGTGAGATCATTTGTGTCATTCAGGCCATACCTGCTGAGGAATGCATTCGGGTCATTGACAACTGTGCTGTTTTGCCCACAGCGCGATAATGGCCAAATCTGAAGCATGTTATTCAAAGTGCTGAAAAATTGTGACTATCAGTCTGATGGTCATGAAATATGGTAGGGTGGTAGGAAATTGAATGATGTACAAATGTGTGAAATATCAGGGAGTAATTTCTTAAAGAGACCAAGATATAAGGAAAATGCAGGGTTTCCATTTTTTTGACCACCCTGTAGGATGTATTTGTATCATGAATATAAACATTTCAGGTTCAACCCTAACTTGTACTCTGATGGGAAGGTGTGTCTAAGTCTATTAGGGACCTGGCATGGTGGCAATGCCAGTGAGAAGTGGAATCCACAGACATCTTCAATCTATCAGGTACATGTATTTACAACTATAGACATTTTCGACATACCAAGCATTTAAAGCTTTTGACATCTTTACAATGATCATACAATTGATTTGAATAAAAAATGTTGTTATTGCCATCATCTTTTTCCTTAGGTGTTGATGTCCATCCAGAGTTTGATCTTGATAAGTGATCCAATGTACAATGAGCCTGGCCAAGAAGGTCTACAAGGCACCACTGAGGGAGATGTGAGTTTGGACAACTAATTATTTATTGCTTATGTGCTCTGAAATAGTCAAATCATATATTCATTTGAACAGAAGTAGTACTAGATAATAGATGTTCTCCTTAAAAATGAGATCTTGCAGAGATCACTTTATCTGATTTGCATCCCAAATCAGTTGTTTTCTTTCATCTCGGTCAATCTTGATTAAGTGCTTCTTCTGTTTTAGATGCGTAGTGAGGCCTACAATCAGAATATTCGTCTCTATACAATAAGGCATGCAATGCTGGGACAGCTACGCCACCCTACCAAAGGTAAATAAATTGGGTATAGGTGAAAACTGGCCACTACTCATTGCTAGTTAAGGCTACATTAACCCTGTATGCAGAAGTGGTTTCATATTGTTCCCATCCCCAACTTGTTAGTAATGTCATTCACTGATTCTTAAGTCATACATATGGTCTTTTCATTATAGCTATTCAATATTTTCAAAAAATTGAAGTTCAAAGATTGGTATTAAAGTTTTTATCTTTTATAAAAAGCTTTTTTTCAAAATCAACTTCAAAATTACTGGAGTTTATACCTGACTGGAGTTTCCAAAAGTTCTTAATTTTTCTACCAACTTATTGTCTTTTACTCAGAAATAGTGTCTTTATGTCACATGATTTATTTTTCAGGTTTTGAGAGTGTCATTCGTCGACATTTCAAGGTTCAGCGTGACCTCATTCTGAAACAGTGTTCTGATTGGTTAAAACGTTGTGATGATTCTGGAATTGAAAAGCGGATGAGAAGATGCATTGATGAACTTTGCACTGAAATAGACAATATAGAAATTGAGGAAGAGGAAACATGTGATGATTCAGAAGATGGATCTCTAGAGGATTAGAATCTACAATTACTGCAGATGACAGAATGGCAACATGCAGTTAAACTTTGAAGATTTAATAATTAAGAAAGACACCAATACAAATCATATTCAAATTTCCTTTATATGTGATTCCTCATGGCATAATTTCTTTAGGTAATAATGATTCATATGTAATACTTTATATTCAAGTTACTTGCTTATACAAAAATTATGCATATTTGAAAAAGGCTGCATTAAAATGAAAATTGATATTTCTCCATTGGTGTATTATGAAAGTGCTTAAAAAGGCAGCTCCATATGAAATTGCTTAAAAAGTCAGCTCCATATGAAAGTGCTTAAAAAGGCAGCTCCATATGAATGTGCTTAAAAAGGCAGCTCCATATGAAAGTGCTTAAAATGCAGCTCCTTATATTGGACAAGTTATGTATATACACTCCATATCATTTTGAGGAAGTTGTTTGAAGAAAACGCATTGTGTTTACCTATGGGAGTCTTAAATCAGTATTAGGGGTATATTGAGCAGCTAACATTTATTCACCAGATGCCTCATTATGGAGCATCCGCAAACTTTGCATTTGCTATGCGCTTGTGATTTGTACATTTGCGCTGGCGCAACACTTGAGTTGCATTGTATCATGGATCAGATTAACATTTAACACATAAACACAATTAAATAGTCCTGTTGGTCACAGTAAAACAATACAGCTATTTAATTGTGCCAAATGTCTTTGTATAGATTTCCACTTTGGTTTTTATGGTAATTACATGAAGTTATACACTGGTAAACAATGGCTTCATACTATAACATAGCAGTCTTCAGCTTACATGTATATACTGGATATCTACACGGTACATGTCGTTTGAGATGGATTTATTTTTAGAGTAACATATCATGTACATATACTTCAAGTTTTGTCAGTATTGTTTAATATTCTTGCTTAATGATACACCCTAATCTGATCCATGTGGAATCCATGTAGAAACCATGTGGATCATTGTGACATGTGTTTCACATGGATGTGGATCATTGTGACATGTGTTTCACATGGATGTGGATCATTGTGACATGTGTTTCACATGGATGTGGATCATTGTGACATGTGTTTCACATGGATGTGGATTGGCTGTGTTTCACATGGATGTGGATCATTGTGACATGTGTTTCAAATGGATGTGGATCATTGTGACATGTGTTTCACATGGATGTGGATCATTGTGACATGTGTTTCACATGGATGTGGATCATTGTGACATGTGTTTCACATGGATGTGGATTGGCTGTGTTTCACGTGGATGTGGATCATTGTGACATGTGTTTCAAATGGATGTGGATCATTGTGACATGTGTTTCACATGGATGCGGATCCTTGTGACATGTGTTTCACATGGATGTGGATCCTTGTGACATGTGTTTCACATGGATGTGGATTGGCTGTGTTTCACATGGATGTGGATTGGCTGTGTACTGCCTTAAAAACAAACAATGTTCATAACTACATTTTGACAATTGAATCAGAGTCTGAAATTGTGTAAATCAGATTGTAAAGAATTATATAACTTTTACAATGATGTAACATGTACTTCTGTACTTGTATTGGATTTTGTAAAATAAATAAATACATTTATTTTATTTTTAATATTGCTTTTTGGCCTAACCACCATATTTTTATGGATTCACTAAAGTATAAATATAACTTATTATGAAGGGGAAGCCTGGTTTTGCAATGAATTCAAAATGAAGAGACCTAATTTGATAAAAGAAAGTCAATTACATTTTCGGGGAGGGCTGATATCTCCTGCATAATGCACTATTTAGTGTAGTGAATAGTGCATTATGCAGTGCATATTCTGTATTTAGTATGATCATGGGCCATGGTATGATCAATTAAAAGAAAAGCTTTTGTCTTTGCCCTGACGTGGCCATTCAAATTATTCAAGTGGAAAATACAATATTTTAAATTCAGCAGTCTGTATTTATGAAAAGCTGTGGAGCAGATGTGACAAGTGAAGTTGTTATGTGAAAAAGAACAATGGTTGTATCTATAGATGACTGGCACCTTGAATTATTTTGTCTCTTAACATTGTTTGTTTGACAGAAAATATTCATGAGTAATTGTCGAAGAAAAGTTGTTTTGATTATTTAATATGTTATGTCATATCTGATGTTTTATGAATAATTCTTTATAATTTTATGGAAATTAATTTGAATAATAAAAGATGTTTAATCTTTTGTTCTTCAATTTCTCAATTTTCCATATACCTTTTTTAGAAAACGAGATAAGTAGGAAAACATGTTTATTTAGCGTATAAGATTCATGTGGTATTTCAAAATAAAGAAAAACGTTATTTGATTTATTTAAGTTAAGGTAGTCCATAAGTGGATATTGATATCTTCATGAGGGAGCACTTCAAAAAATATACAGATATCAAATTATCCCATGGAAAATTACAGTGTTGAACTACAGTGTACCACATTTATTACAATTGAAAACCAATTAACATCACTTCTGATATTCAATTTACAAATGGTTGGTTACACTCCATGAACTTAATGTTGTTGTTAACCTTTTGTTTAAATTTGATTTGCTTGTCCAAAACTTAATTTTTTCATGGGCTTCATGTGGTATTTGCTCTGTATCGGGGACCATGGCAGAAGCAGGTATAGATGTATAAAAGTAAGAAATATGAAGCACCATAGTGTTTTCCTATCATAATTCATAATTTCTCTAGAAACAATTCAAGATAGATCTGCAGAAGTTTATTTTCAGTGAAATTATGAAATATGAATTTTGATTATCAAATTTGATTCATTAAAGCAGAAAATATGACAAAAACACACTTTCCTTTGCAGACAATTGTTTGATTATTTATATGCCAATCAAAGCCGTAAATGTAACCACAATCTTTTGTTTGATTTTCTTATGAATATTCACATTTTAATTTGAAACATATGAAAGTTATTGATGTGAAATAAAAAATGGCAAATATCAGCAACTTTATGAATATATAATTAACAAAACATTTTATAATCTCATCATATATTCATATGAAAAAGTTATTTAAATTCAAACCCTCTTGGATTATCTCATAATAGGCATCAGCAGCATTGTCGAAAGACATACGCCTATTTGTAGTTGATTTTTATCACGTACGCAAATCAAATAGAGAGGAGGAAGTATTTGAAAGTTGGTGTACTGAACCCGTGCATTTCAAAGCACGATGAGTGGTGGCGAACCTGCCTTTCTGTCCCATGTGGGCTGGATGGTGTGTTTCATGCTGCTTAACACGGCTTCGACACAAAAGGACAATAATGGGTAAATGAAACATTTTTGACTCTATATTATGCCACATTCGTGTGGCTTCATTTCTGTTACAGTCTTCAACTGTTTGTGGATTGTGTTTGGCAGTTGGTGTTTGGAGTTTGGCCTCTGTAGCAATTTGCAATAAGATGGTGACATTTTGTCATGTAATGCCTAATGTTGTAATGAAACTCAAATCAGAACAACACCGACCTTTTTAGCATTGTTTGAAATGGAAGTGGAAAATCATATAAAGCTTTGGGTTAGTAGCATGTCATATGTATTATTATGGGTTACTAAATTGATTAAAATGAATAAACTGTACATGTAAAATTGTGGTTTGCAATGAGAACCTTAGAAAAAACTCTCATGAATATGATTGACTGCCCATAGCGTGTCATGATATACAAGAATATGAGCTCATACCAAAAGTGAAGAAAGGTAATTTTCCTGATTTTAAGATGGCTGTCAGACTTTGTAAACCCCGCATTGTCTTTCTATCCATGCATCTCTTAATTTACTTTTAAAATCAACTTAATCAACTACATGTATACTATATATACACATGTGTATATTTGAAGCACATGTACTGCATATAATCATTTTCTCCACCCTTCTTAGAGATGCAAAAACAAAATTGTGGCCATTTTGCCCTTCAAAGTGTCATATTTATCACTATGTGTCTTGTTCTATGTTGCAGAGGTCACTGGTGTGATGTGCCTCAGACCACTAGAGACTACAAGACTGATCTTTGCATGGACTTCCTCGAACTTGCTTTCGATGGCTGGCAGTTCCTCCAAGAAGCCCAGGACGAACCTCTCAAATCCCTCTCAAAGAAGGAGATGCAGCGTGCCCTGTACAGTTTCATCGTCACTGAATCCGATGAAAAGTGTAATTTTGTTAAAGAAGTTACAACTGATGTAAGGATGTGCTGTGCAGGTTATACAGGGAGAAGGTGCAAGCAAGGTAATGTTAAATCAGGCCATTGTGTTTTTAATAATCTTTTATTGCATTTTTAAAATACTGGAAGTTGAAGGCCCACCATCAGTTTTTACCTTACAAAACTTTTGAACAATCAGGGTGTTCTATGGGTTCCCCCCCCCCCTGGGCAAACCTAACCACAAGAAAAATACTTTTCTTGAATTTGAAATGAATTATATACATTTCTACGTATTATTCAGACAATGACTACTACTTCAATCCTGTCATGTTTACTCAACCCCATCATGTTTCAAACTTTTGTTTTCAGCTGTTTGTGACCCTCCCTGTGAGAATGGAGGAACATGTGTGAGCCCCCAAAGCTGTAGCTGTCCATCAGGCTATGGCGGATGGCGATGTGACAATGACCTCTCATGTAAGTACAAAGCCAGCATCCAAGATGATGTGTTTTCATCTCCAACACTATTAACATTATAAATGAGATTCTGTTACAATTATCTCCCCAACATTTAATTAAGTGCGTGGGTGCTGCACCCACTTGACATTTTGATAAAAGGCAATGCACCCACCTGAGAATCCGTTTGCAGCCACTTGAAAATGAGAAAAATCACGTAAAATAAGCATGTTTTTACCAATTTTGGTCTAAATTGTGAAAATAAGAATTTTGAACCCATTTGAGAAAAAATCCTGGAGATGATCACCATCCCAATACATTTCATGTTGAGATGGCATATGTATCTTTTTCAAAAGTGGAACATGTTTTTCTGTTTTAGTGGCTACAGGAGGGCTTGGATTCTGCTATACTGGTGATACATGCTATGGTGAGAAGTCCAGGGCCATCAACAGCTCTGTGCCAGTGGTCACCCAGGTATCATGTTTCCAGTATGATGATGCAGGTTCATGGGGTATAGGGGACCAGGAGTGTATCACAAGGAGTAAGTTTGCAATGTCTAGTTACAACTCTCCCCTCAGTTTTATTCAGAAAAATTTCTAGAATCATTTGATATTTAATTCCAACAGGCCTGTAGCCAGGATTTGCCAGGGGGGTTCAGTTTTCAAAAATTTCCAGGGGGGTATACATTTGACAATTTTGGCCCAAATATGGTGAAAATCACTTGAGAAGTGCTCAAAACGGTGCAAAACTGCATGATTTTGAAAGAATTTTTTGCAAACCTCCCTGGCTTCGGGCCTGTTTCCAAGCTGTTTTTGTGGTAGAATGAAAGGAATATTTGAAATGCACTGTGTTATGTAAAACATGTTAAAGTTAATAATTCATAATTTATTGAATTTCTTATTTCAGACCAAACAAATGGCATAATAGGTATGTGGGACATTTGGTTAATTCATTCTATTAAAAGGATTTATTTCAGTTGATGATTATTTCATTTAATTTTGATTCAAAATAATTTGGTTAAGAAATCAAAAATCTAGAAACTGAGTATATGGTATTAGAGACTGAGAAATATTAGTGACTGAGTTTCTAAAATTCTATTTCTATCATTTGCCCCAACATGTGCCTTAAAATTATAGCTAGAGATTGATCTTCTTTATACCACTTCTCATATAATGCACTCTAAAATCTATTGTCATATGTTATAATGTCTTAATTTTTCAGGTTACATCGAGAACACCAACAATCTGAACTATCGCACATGTATATCTTCTGGTCCTCACTACCATAGAACCTTTGATGGAACAGAGTTTGAGTTTGCCGGAACATGCGAATATACCTTGTTTGAGTCTGAGACTAACCCTGACCTCTATGTCAGTGTCAGCATGAAAGATTGCGTCTCATTTGCTAACTGTAAAAAGGTTTGTTGCATTGCATTGTTCTGGCTTTCCATACAACCCTTATCAAAATTACCAGTTTTTATGTCACCACCAAGAAGGGGTGACAAATTGTCACCACCTTTTTCTGACTGGTGTTTGGTGACATATTGTCACCATCTTTTTCTGACTGGTGTTTGGGGACATATTATCACCACCTTTTCCTGACTGGTGTTTGGTGACACATATTATCACCACATTTTCCTGACTGGTGTTTGGTGACATATTATCACCACCTTTTTCTGACTGGTGTTTGGTGATGGCATTTGCATTTGTATCCATTACAAATTATTACATGTTTGTAATTTCAACAATTTGGTTACATTTTGTTATGTATTGTAATATTGTTTTGTCTAACTTTCAGAAAGTAACAATAGTGTTCAACAAGAATGAAGTATTTGAGGCAGTAGGGGGGAACATTTTCAAGATAGACCCTTTAACTGGTGACCTGTCTGATGCCATAGTGTTGCCCTATGCCAGTGGTAAGTTCCCATTAAGTCAAGGAGTTGTTAATCAAATATTTTTATTGTTTACACTAAATTTTTGTTCATCATTTATCTCCTTAAAGCTGATTGTGATGTCTTTCATCAGCTTGTACATTTGAAATTTGGGTATCTTATGGAATTTTTTCCAGTATTTTTTAAAGGTAAATTATAGGCTTTTGATCAATCATATTGAATTGAGATAACAAAAAATTGGAATAGATAAATTTAATAATGACCAGATATACATATGTAGTATTCAGATTTAATTAGATCCTTGCTACATTGGATGCATTCAGAAAGCACATATATGCTCAGGAATCAGACTGACTGTGAACTTCCATCGCATGGATTAGTACCTTAAACTATGTTACAGATCTGTACATACATGTACATTATAATCATATAACACTGTTTATTCCTATCTTTGCTCTGTAAATGTGTCTAATCAGCTTGATTAAGAAGCTCTATTAATGATTGAGTTATTTGTGTCATCACTGATTTTTGTATTTATTCTAAAAAGGTGGCGTGTCGGGCAAGCAGAAAAATGACTTCATATACTTTGAGTCTCAAGGTCTGCGTGTAAAGTGGTCCATATATGGTAGCAACACTGTCAAGGTGACTGTTACTGAGGTGTACAATAAGAACAACAAACTGAGAGGCTTGTGTGGCAACTACGACTCTGATGCTACTAGTGAGTATAGTTACATGAAACCTCACTTACACCATCTGGCTGTGTAACACCATACATTTTACCTAGTTCAAATCCCTGTTTTATATCTGAAAGCATTCCATTTTTGTGATCATGCCAAAGGGTACCATTGAGAGTGCATATAGAATGCCCCATTTATATGGTATATAGAATAACACCAAATGGTCCATTTAAAGGCCACAAGTAAAGTAAAACTGTGTAGGTGGAACACCTTTGGTACCAATCAGAACATAATGTGTTCCACAAACAGTTTTATTTTGCATTAAGGTAATGAAGTATTTGAGGTGTTCCGCTTACATAGGTGTCCCAATTTTAATGATATGAGCAATAATTGCAATTTACAGAATTTTACGCATCTACATGTTATTACAGATGACTTTGAGATGAAGGATGGTACTGTAGTGACATCTATAAGTCAGTTTGCCAATAGCTGGGTTAGGTACGACCCCACAGGAATTGCAGTAAGTATTCCAAGCAGTTAATCATTAACATTTAAGAGGAACTATTTGTTAAAAGGGGCAGCATACCATTGAAAGGTGGCACCAGTCCAATTTTACTTTTCAAAAATATTGTATTTACAAGACAGTATGACCATTAAGCCATCGGAAATGGTAATTCTTATCCCAAATAACCCTAAACTATTTGAATTCATAATAATACACGTATGTTTAAAAAATCTGTGCCACCCTCCAAGTTTTTAGGATGAGAATTACTTTTAGAAAGCCAAAATACAACATTTTATTTTTAAAGAAGATTCTTAATTTACTCTAAAGGTCCTGTGCATCATTAGGAGAAAATAATCTAAATTTGTTTTTTAGTACAATTAATTGTATTTTCAGGTAAACATTTTGAGGTATTGAATAAATATATGTTCATGTGCAATATATGTTTATTCCAGGGTTGTACGACTACAGACTTCAACCCCTCGTGTCAAGGAGATGTAGAAGGCCAACGTCAAGCAAGACAAAGTTGTAGCTATCTCAGCTCTGGAATTTTCTCACAATGCCATTCTAAGGTATGGCCTTTTGGCCATGCTTGTCAAATATTCTCTTGATAATGTTTGATAATAACTCGTAAACATCCACATGGTCATTTAGCTCTTAAATACTTCTTAGCTCATAAACATTTTCTTAAAAATGTATGTATTTTTGTAAATAAACTCCAAAACTTTTAATATCTTGTTAAGTTTTTGTTTGGCCAAAAATGTTAAATATGGGAAGAAATAAATTTGAAATAATATAAAGAATGTATTAATGCATCTCTAGAAAAAACATTTGTAGGTGTCATGGTACAGTCATTTTGACCGATGCGTGTCACTTTTCTGTGAAATCAAAAGACTGATTGCCATAAAGAAGAATACTGAGGAAGACATGATCAGGATGATGTGTTCAGCATTTGATACTTACAGCGCAGAGTGTTCCAATGCTGGTGCTTGTACCCAATGGAGAAATGGTTTCTCCTACAAAAATATGACATGTGGTATGTTTGTGAAATTCCATTGAAATAACTGGAAAGGAAAGTGTTTTGGGATTGAGTCAATAGTCTCTTTGTATTCTGAAACATAGTTGGTTCATTATCAAGCAATGGTACGATATTGTAATGACCTTCGATAGCAAGTTGCCACTACATTCTCAGCTGTTTAGTAGTGGCCTACTATGGCTAAGGGGCAGAGTTTTAGACTCTGGAGCGGAAGGTCCTGGGTTCAATTCCCACATGGGTCATTGAATTTAGCACACTCCCTTTTATGTCAAATATCTGGCTTGTTACACTGAACCTCCCCGGACGAGCAGCATCAGGGTCGATGCAATATTGTTATGTCTGTATCTGTGACTAGCATTGGCATCTGTAGCATTATCATATTTTGGATTGGATTGACTAAAATTGTAACAGTCAGATTAATTTTAAACTCGTACTGTGACCATCTACATGTATCAACACCCAATTCATCAGATTTTATGCAATATTTATGACCATAGCAATAATTCTACTTTGGCTCACATATGGTGCGCTTATGGAATAGCCAACTTGGTACAATTTCTGTAATAATGATGTTAACGAAACATGTCATTGTTTTCTCAGAGAAGCAATGCCCTGCCAAGAAAATCTACAGTGAGTGTGGTTCTAGTTGTCCAAAGACATGTTCGACTCTCTATCAAGTCGTGGATGAGTCATGCTTCAGGTATACCTTTTATACTGACTAAATATACATGTACAGTATTATGCACATTCAATTCCAAGGTGCAAGATTGCGCATCCAGTGTCTGTTATTAAATAAAATTAATTCAACTAAATTTAGTATGTACAGAAATAAATGTATGTCATATTGTGAAAAGGATAAGACAGAAGACATTTGCTCATATTTAGTCATCAAAAATGGCTATAACTGTGGGCTCCCTTGCATTTATTCATTCACAAATAGCTATAACTACATGTATATCATAAATGGCTACAATTATATCACAAATAGCTATTACTACAGGGTGTATCATATGTATGCACTCCCCCATAAACTCATACATGTAGTATTGCCACCCTATCATGTTATATATCATTTTGTTCCTTATGGAAAGGAACATAGAACGAGTTTCAGTGTGACAGTTATGCACAAAGATCTATAGATAGGATTCATGTTGTGGCTTTTCACTAAAAATCAGTAGCAGACAAAATGAACAAATCACCAGAGTCCAAAAATGTCTCGATATTGCCCTCTAAATTGCCTTGTACCCACTAGTGGACCTAGGGGGCACCCGCCCCCAGCGCCCCTCTAAAATATTTCAAAAAAGAATGTTCTTTTAAATATCTGTTATAGTTGTCTCAAGAAGAAGCCTTTTTCATGAAGTCATAAATACTTTGATTGTGGGAAAATGTTCAGATTGCCCCTAATTGCACTCTATTTTCAAAAATGTTTGGGTGCATCCTCCCCCCACCCATAGCATACACTCGACATTCATTCTCACGCATTTGATACATTTTATCTTTTTTCAGGGACACCCCTTGATTCTTTAACTTTGCAATCTTATGGAACTTTCCATAAAGAACAAAATGACACATAACATGATAGGGTAACGATGCAACATGTATGAGTTTATTTGGGGGGGGGGGGGGTACATACATATGAAACACCCTGTTTTTCACAAATACCTACATAATGTATAACCATATCACAAATGGCTATATCTATATCACTAATAACTGTATCAGTATGGCACAAATTACAATTCAGGGAACTAGATCCAGGATGTCAGTGTGAACTGGGGACTTACCTACAAGAAGGTGAATGTGTTGAACCAGAGGAGTGCAAATGTATGTTCAAGAATGTCCTGCATGCCCCTGGTAGTGTGGTCAAGTCTGGTTGCAATCTATGGTGAGTCTCCTTACCAGTTTCACATTTTCACATTTTTTATCATATTTCTACATTATACATATAAACCAGACAGTTTCACATTTTCACATTTTTTGTCAAAAATAATTCTGAAAAATAGTCTGATCAAACCTTTGATGCTATTTTAGCGTTAAGGAATATATTATGTATGGTAGTTCACTAATGACTCAGATGCGAGTAGGTAGTTACCAGTTTCACCACTAGGTGGCTCGTTCGGGTCAGATAGCATGGCGGGTATAGGAGAAAGTTCCTTTTAACTTAATATTCATCTGTTTTAGTGGTTCAATTTTCATATCACCCTTATGTATCTAATAGTTATGCAAATTAAAATATGTCCAGTTAAAGAAAATATTATCTGTCCTTTACAAGAAAAGATATTTAACTTTTTCTGATTTTGTAACATGGGCTCTATGGGGAATCTCCCCGAACTAGAAATTACATTTTCAAAAAAACTAAATTTTCAAAGTTGATAAACAATTTCTGTCACCATATTTCTAGATGTATTTTTACTTGTAGATTTCAAATATGATATCACTTTGACTGAATTTTGAATATTTAATGACATAAATCAAGATTAATTCTACTCGCATCTAGTCTATGTTCACTAAAGCAGGGTTATTCTTCAAACCCATTCCATTGTTACAGTACATATTGCTGTTCAATTGCAGTACATGTGACAAAGCAAGATGGTCGTGTACAGATGACCCATGTCCCAAGACATGTTCTATAGTAGGATTTCTTCACTACACAACATTTGACTCTGTTTCTTACTACACCAAATCTAAGGCGGGATGTTCTTACACACTGGTTGAGGTATGTATGTGTGTAATATCTTCAGTAACCACTCAATCATACTCGTATCTTGTCAATAATGCACTCTTCCATGATGTCAGTTATACACTCAGTTATATTTTCTGTTACATACTCAACCAGGTTGTCAATCATGCACTCAGCCATATTGTCAGTTTTGTACTCTGTCATGTTGCCATTTATACACTCAGTAATGTTGTCAATTATGCACCCAACCATTGTCAGTTATGCATTCAGATCAGTTATATTGTCAGTTGTGTACTTAGCCATGTCGTCAGTTATGCACTCTGTCATGTTTTCAGTTATGTTAATCATATAAAGACCTTTTTCATCATCATATTTTATTTTATACTATTTAGTCATCATCCACAAAAGACCATCGACTAAATCTTCAAATCTCCATCACTCTTGCCGAATACATGGAGAGCAAAGGATTTCAGAAGGTTGGGAGTATGAAGATTGTTCAGAATGACGCCACATTAGAACTATCTCTCTCAGGTGATGACATCACAGTCACTTCAGACAGTGGACGACTGGAGCACAGAAAAGCATCTAATTTGTTTTATGAAATATCAGGATATGGGTTCACTGTGTTATTGGCTAGGAACCGCATTTACATCACACTGACACCAGTCTATCAGGTAAGACGGGGGTAAGACACTATGTAGAGTGCCTACACAATGTAACTAAAAACGGATTAATCACTGCAGTAACTTTTCCAGTTACCATGACAACCAATACAAGGCTGAATGTCAACATATCTCTACTACATTTTCATATGTTTAGTTTAGAATATAAAATCTTTCTTCTGTAAAATTTAAGTAAACAACATTGGACATAAAAGCTTTAGGGAAAAATTAGCTTTAATTATTGAATGACCTGTATAAATCTAATCCTCTTAAAATTTACATCACTCTGGCATACCAGGCCAGAGGTCTGTGTGGTACACCAGATGGACACAACGCCAATGAGATGATGAAGAGAGACAACTTAGTTGAGGCAGATATGCATGTGTTCATGAATGAGTATGCAACAAATTGTCCACTTAACTCTGGAGATGGGGTTAGCATGGATGATGTCACTCAGCTCAGTGAATGTCCAGTAAGTTATCTCAGTTTATTGAATGCCTAGTTAACTATCTTAACTCAAAAGAATTTGGCACTGGCGGATCTGGGGGGGGGGGCTGGGGTCCCGGCCTCCCCCCTTGGGTGGGCCCAGAAAAAAAAATTGGGGCCAAAAAAAATTTGGGCAAAAAAAAGGCCTTATGGCCTAAAAAATGGGCATAACTGGGCATTGTAAGGCGTTATTTTTTTTAATTTAAGGCCAAGTTTTGAGGAAAATGGGCCTTAAAATTTCAAAATTTGGGCCCACTTTTTGGTTTTAACTGACATTTTTTTTAACTGACCTGAAATTTGAGGCCCCCCTTGTTGGTTCCCAGATCCTCCCCTGTTTGGAGTTGTTTAAGATCAGAGTTAAACTAGCTCAGGTGCACTTTAAGATAGAGTCTTTAGAGCCAAACACCTCGTTTAAATGAATAATGAGTATATAATAATGATACAAGGGGTGATCAACAAATAACACAAATAGGACCATATATCAGAAACTAATTGGAGTTAGAACATCAAATTTGAGACATAACATAACCTGTGTATGTGGTACACCCTTGGTCCTGCCAAAAATGTTTCACTTGTGAGGTGCATCATTTATAGAGGTTTATAAAGGTTTTTTACAGAGTGTCACTGGAATTAAAGATTCATTTTAACATGAAAGTAATTTCGTTTGGGAATGGCCTGAGACTAACATAAAACAATTTTATGTTAGTCTCAGGAATGGCTAAAAACATATGGCCATTGCATATACAGTATATAAACCTATATAAATATTGAAAGAATTATTTTTGAATTTCAGGTTGCTGTAAGAGGCACTATTGAAGATGGATGTAAGAAGTATGTACGAGATATTGTATCAATTGAATCAGTATGCAGTCTTGATAAGTCAGTCATAACTAAACACCACGACATGTGCTTCGCTGATGGCTGTACTGCCCCATCTTTAGATAAGGTCAATGAGGCAGTCTGCGTACATGCACATGCCTTAATCTTCCAATGTTCTCTGAAGGGATCATATTTGAATATTGATGACAGCGCTTATGATGACCTGAGGACTTCTTGCCCTGGATTCCGTGAGTACATTTCTAGTTTACTGATATTACTGACACACCCGGGTAATACAAAGATGTAATATCATATTACATCTTTTCTTATTTTATACTCATTATCATTTTTATTTGAATTTGCAGAATGTGGTGGTAATCAGGTTTACCATACAAACCTCCCCTGCCAGGCTTACTGTAAAGATGTCACTCTCAGAGTTGCTTGTGGAATCCATGAGACACAACTTTCTGGATGCGGTTGCCGTGACGACCAGTACATGAATGAAGCTGGGAGCTGTGTCAAGCTGGAGCAATGTTCTTGTTTTGACAAAGAGAACCCTGATAATCCATACGGGGCTGCGGGAAAGGAAAGAATCATTGGGTGTTCAGACTGGTAAGTAAAGTAGCGATATACACCCCCAAAATGCAATCTGATTTTCGATGCCGTTTTGGTGCCAAATTTTGGTGTCTAAAGGTTTCGGTGCTGGAACGGCGCCAAATTTTTTCGATGCCAAAATGGCGCCGAATTATATTAGCTGTGAAAATTACATGTAAGGGAGCATTTCAAAAGATCGGTAACGGAAAATTAACTGTATTTGCACAGCTAGGGAGGGAGGGGGTCATTGGTCTTAAAGTTTCCTTAGTGCATGCTCTTTTTGTCCAGTGCACTTCTGGTACGAAAAATAAAAAAACATGTACACAACAAAAGTCAAATTATACAAAAAATTCATTTGTTTTCAACAGTGATTCTGAATTCACAAGTCGCGATACTTGTCCAGTATTATACATGTACATGTCAATCCATGTCATTTCTCTTTAAAAATTCCCTACATGTAACTTCATACTATAGGCTAGTTTATTCATATATTTCCCTCCCCCATCCATTTGACAGGAGAAATCACATTCCTCCATTGGGAAACCTTGGCCTGCAATCTTGGTATTAAGTGCTGACATATAATCTAACGATGCATTACTGATTGGATAGATCACTTGATGAATGACAACAATGTCTAAATTTTTATTATTCCCTAATTTCCTGTTTAACATAGCATCTGTATCAATGGTGAATGGAAGTGTGACACTGAAAACTGTGCAGAGATAACCTGTCCAAAAAATCAAGTCTATATAAAGCAGGACCCCAATGAATGCCCCAAAGTCTGCTCAGACTATGATAAGGACACTTGTGATCATTATGGATGTGGATGTGAAGCTGGAACAGCTAAGGATGAATATGTGAGTGAATTACTTTATTCCATAGTTATTGTGAAATTCATGGAGATCATATCAAAAGAAAGATGGTAATTTTGTAAGCAGTGGAATATTATACTTTTGGCATTGTAATTTGGGAATATAATCATAGGATATCTCCACATAGCTATCTTCCTTTTATCTTCACTTTTCTAAACATATCCTGCTGATCCTAATCATTGTGTGTTCCTTTTGAAACATGATCATCTAGATAAGGTACATCATATCAATGTAGTAGATATACAGGGTGTCCATAAAGTCTCACTTCACACAGACTTTGTATTGTAATTAATTGTAAAGAGACTTTGCAGACAAATTATTTCTACAAATGTCTTCCAGGGGAATTGTATAGATCCTGACACGTGTCCCTGCTACCATCAAGGCATGGCTTACAATGCAGGAGAGATCCTTGCAGTGGGCTGCCACAAATTGTAAGCGATACTTTTTATTTTATTTAGCAATGGACTTACAGTCTGGAATCTTGTAATGTATTTCAACATTGAATTCAATAAACTTCACAATAACTTAAATATTTTGATAAATGATAATGATTCAGCTATTCAGTAGACTTAAATTGTGACACAGAGGTTAAAAGAAAAGAAAAAAATAAAGATGACCAGTGTTGTGTTACCAACATGCTAAAGTTTCAGTACAACGTATTTTCTTTGATTGATTTTAGCAATTGTTATTCAGGTGAACGTTTAATCAATAAGGCCTCTATGATTCATAACTTACTTGATCTTATAAGATCATCATGTTTAATATGTATTTATTTGTTTATTTCAGTACATGTCAGAAGCGTAAATGGGTGAAGCATGACCCAATAGGACAAGACTCCCTCTGCCCAGGTAAAACACAACCTCTCGGTTTTATAGTTTCAGCGTGATTCAATGTGTCCCTCACACATATATTGATCAATAAGGTCTAATTTGACTGAGCACTGACCTGGAACTTGGCACAAAATTCAAACTGTTCATTACATGTCTTCTTGGAATAAATTCAATGATGATGATGTCACTGCTTGTTAAGGGGCAAAATTATTTTCTTGACTGTCCCCTCTAGTCCAAAGAACAACTCTTTTCATGGAATTAGGGAACATAGCCTTAACCAATAGACATAATTTTCTCAATCATATAATTCATGGAAATAAAGATTCTTCATTCATTGACAACTCCACTCTATTTCATCATGACCAGACATTCGTCAGAGACACTCAGAGATTTTTATAACTGTATAATACTGTCTAACTTATTGCATGACATCTCAAAATTTTATATGTAGATCCCTAGGGGATATAATAGTGTAAACTGTAAACCCTAGGCTAAATAAAATGATTTAAAAAAGGGCGAAATGTGAATGATCTGAGAGGCCCGCTGATGACGCAATGAAGGACTTTCTCATAACTTTATACGAGGCCATCCACCAGTTTGTTTCTCATTCAATTTATAGCAATGCATGGCTGATATTTATTTGAAATGAAAAAATAAAACTGATACCAACATAATCATGGGATATAATTGCAAAATGAAATGACAAGATATGATATTTATTCCAGCCCTCTGTGTTATATCTGGCGACCCTCACTACCGAACATATGATGGCTTCCTGTTCTCCTTCCAAGGCCAGTGCGACTACATACTCACCCAGGATTCTCAAACTGAACTGAAAGTCGTTGCTGGTAACCTGGCATGTGGATCATCAGGAGTAAGCTGCACGAAGACAGTCTCTATAACCCTCTCTGGTGGAAGAAGCATTTCTCTTGTTAGAGGCAATCCAATTATGTTTGACTCGGGAAATGGCTTTTTGGAAGAAATAGATGTCTCTATTGGTACTTACTCTGAGGGTAATGTGACAATATCAAGAATTGGACTGTGGATCGTGATCAGCGCTGAAGATAACAATTTCAGACTTCTTTGGGATGAAGGTAAACATGAACTCCATAATGTGTGTTAACATGAGCAGAATAATGTATGTAAACAGGAATGTCTAGGCAAGAAGTAATGTGACAAGGTGACATTGACTGGAGAATCATCTTACCTTGTATCATGTTAAAAATCAACCCTCAGGCAAGACAGACATCATTTTCAAAATCCTGATGTAGGAAGCCTCACTTTTAAAATATTGGACCCTCTTGAGAAGTCTCAAAATCCCTAGGAAATCGATGAGATATGAAAATCTGGGACCTATCCCGCTGTGCTTATAACAACAGACCAACTGAGGTACATTTTGAGGATAATTCAATAACATTTATATTTTCCATAGGTATGAGGTTGATGATTGAACTGAAGTCAGTATTCAAGAAGAGAATGTCTGGCTTGTGTGGTAACTTTGATGGTGATGTAGATAACGAGTATACATCAGCTTCAGGGGTGAGAGAGGAGACTGCAACTGCATTTGCTGATAGCTGGAAAACTGACATGGCATGTGCCGACACAAAAGAGGTGTCAAATACATGCACTGTAAGTGACGTTGTATGTTTCAAATATTACCTCTTTGACATTACTTTGAAGCTTCTTGATCATGAAAATATCTATTTTAATCGAATTATTAAATCAATGAAGATGGTCCAAAAATTCAAATTGAAGATTGACTTTAATTTTTAAATGTAAATAGCTAAATATGTGCATTAGAGTCTCCTCAACTTTACAGCTGTTGATGTAATAAAGTTGATTATCCTTTTGGTCCACATTGGGAGGTCAATGAAGTCTATGTTTTTTAAATGGGCAACTGCCTATATCGTGTTTAATGGAAATTCTCTGTTTCAGCCGAATGGTTCACTGGCATACAGACTGACATGGGCCCAAGAGAGCTGCAATATTATAAAGTATGGCACACTGTTTGAAGAATGTAGAACGAACATGCAGGACAGTGCAGTGGACAACTACTACAAGGAATGTGTACACGATGCTTGCAGGTAAATATATAATATACAGGGTGGGCCAAAAAAAACCACCCCCCTAGCCAATATTCCTGATAGATATTTATTTTTTAACATGCACACCAACAATGATATATCATATTAAAGATAATTTAATTAGCAACAAAATGATATATAATAGCACCATTTTCAACAACCCCATATAGAAATATGACCATTTATGTGACATGGGGGTCAAAAAACACCTTTTCAATTTTCGTCGATTTTGCGAACAATTGCCTATTTCTACCAAATTTTAGTAAATTACGACATTGTCATGAGTCTTTCATAATTGGATATTATATATTGTTTTCATTCAGTTTTTGAACCACACATGCTCAATATACATGTGTATGCTTATAAAACTAATTCATTTCTTCTTCAGTCTGTCCAAAAATAGCTCAATAGACCCACCCCCCGGACCCATCCTCTGATTGGATTATTTGCTTAAGACGCGGAAGCCATTGGTTGATGGCATAATTGATGGATGTATGCGGAAGTACCATTCAACTGCTAGTTATTCTTTCTTTTAGTTCCTCTACATCCCTGATAGGCTGGGTATATTTAAATACCAACTGTTCTAGATGCCTCCAGGTATGGGAATCAACATTATTGGCAACTGGACTGCCAGTAAGCCATTTTTCTGGGCTAGAGATGGTGATATTTCGAATCTCCAAAAACTCCAGGGTAGCATTGGACCTGTGTGATGGAGCACTGTTCTATCAGAAAATGAAATTTCTTTCACATGATTTTTATATTCTTGAGGAGTCCTTTTTTACCACCTCATGTCATTAACATTCAGAGTATATTTTTGCTCCTTGTTCAAAAAACAGGGCCTGTATGGTCTTTCCTTTTTGGGAAACACCGAGTGGACACCACCTACCTTTCAGAAAAAATGTCATCTCGATTTGAGTAGCCTTTTATCGCAAATGTCACTATTCTTGCTTACTGATATAGAGTATAGCCTTTTGATTACATGTATAGTACTTGGGGCATTTAGAACAGTTTGTCTATGGAGATCCCTAGCCCATCAGGGGTGTAGACATACTGATAGAATGAATAATTAGGTGTTGGATGGTACTTCTGCAGAGGTCCATCAATTATACCAATGGCTTTCGCGATTTAAGCGAGTAATCAAATCAGAAGTTGGGTCCGGGGGTGAGTCTATTGAGCCATATTTTGACAGACTGAAGAAGAAATGAATTAGTTTTTAAGCATACACATGTATATTGAGCATGTGTGGTTCAAAAGTTGAATGAAAATAATATATAATATCCAATTATGAAAGACTCATGACAATGTTGTAATTTACTAAAATTTGGTAGAAATAGGCAATTGTTCGCAAAATCGACGAAAATTGAAAAGGTGTTTTTTGACCCCCATGTCACATAAATGGTTATATCTCGATCATTTTGTTGCAAATTAAATTATCTTTAAAATGATATATCATTCGTGGTGTGCATGTTAAAAATTGAATATTTATCAGAAATATTGGCTAGGGGGGTGGTTTTTTTTGGCCCACCCTGTATATATGTACTCAAAGAGCATCATTCTCATATGATGTGGGACAGACAAACTGGTCCTGTTTTTGAATGTGAAATGAAAAGAATGAACAAAAAAAGTTTCTCATTTTTGACCTGTGTAAACTTAAACTAATAAGATATCCATAAAAGAATTAGTATTTAGATACATTGTGTGGCATTACATGGAATATATTGCTATCAAGAGCCCCACAGGCTTGCACCCTGACTACAAAGGTGCGTGTTAACTGTCTATGTATTCAGGGTGCATATTTGTGGATGTTCATATACACCAGTCAGCACCACACTATAGTTGAATCTACCTATAATCAGGAACAGTGTGACAGTGGTACTGTATCATGTACATCTATAGTGTATCTCATATTTTGGTGGCTTTGGGGTTGATAACAGCCAGGAATATACAGGGTGTTTCAGATGTATGCACCCCGTCAATGACGGGCCATCATAAACTCATACATGTAGCATAGCCACCCTATCATGTTACAGTAAAACCTGCGTATAGTGAACAATTTTTTGCCAAGAAAAAATGTTCACTGTTGGTAGGTGTTCACTACAGCAATGATTTGATTTCGCGGCATTTTGCCGTATTATATAAAGAGACCAGCTATTAAAAGAGAGGAGGGAATATTTATTTATTTATCTATTATTTATTTATTTATTTAGATATACACTTTTTTAACAGTGGCACTCTTACATTAAGGTGCATGTAATCTAAAAATATCCACAATTCCATGTTGGTTAAAAACAGCACATTTTATCAAACTAAAATGAGTCTTAAAAAGAATTAAAACATATTCATATTTGAATAATCAATTTAAATTGAATTTTCTACCCATATTAACCCATGACACTCAAGCGTTAAGTATTTAATTTGTTGTAATGCTATATAGAAACTGACTTATTTTAGACTGACTGTCATCTGAATGGTTCATCCTTTTATTGTCAAATTTTTATCTCTATATACGGTAATTCTTTTTATCTCATCAAGATGGTCCTTTAAATAGTGGAATTTTTGAGACATTTGAGTCAGTTAAAGGACTTTATTGAATTAGTTAAAGGACATGATAGATGCAGTTGATAGTGAAATGATCATGAATTATAATTTTGATCCAATTGTTTTTTTTAAATTGACGGGATGAGAAAAAAGATTAAGTTGGGACTTAGCAGATAGAGGTAATAATAGTTAGCTAGATTATCTCCAAGCAATCAATCCCAGACGCATATCCTTTGTAACAAAAACGAAGCTTATTAAGAATTATAATTAGTCACACCTGTTTCAATAGAAGAGATCAAGATCTCAAATTGACCTTTTAATTATTTTTGGCAGGTAATATAAACATAAACTGCTTAACTCTGATAAGGCAGTTGCAGAAAATCCGTGAGAAATCTTATATCTGATTCAATGTTCACTAGAGACAGGATAATTCAATTAATTTTGCCAGGGTTTAGTGTTCACTGTTCATAGTTGGTAGGCACTTTAACATGGGAGTCAATGGGAGAAAAAGGTTTTGCCGAATAAAAACGTTCACTGTTAATAGGTGTTCACTAGAGAGATGTGTTCACTAACTCAGGTTTTACTGTATATCTAATTTTGTTCTTCATGGAAAGTTACATAGGAGTGCAGAATTTCAGAATCCAGGGGTGTCCCTGAAAAAAGATACAAGGTATCAAAGTTTGCAGGTAGGGGGTCAATTAGAGGGTAACTTCTGGTCATTCTTGGACTCAGTCCGGTGATCTGTTCACTTTGTCTCATACCCATTATAGTGATAGATGTCGCACCAGGGTTCCTGGCCTACTTATAAGCCACTGCATGAATCCTTTCTATATATCTTTGTGCATAACTATCACACTCCAAATCTTTTGAAAAAATTCTGAAAGGACGTCAGGAGTGTAATTGAGTCTTAACATGGCAAAGACTGATTGAAATGACAGTAATCCTAATGATAAAGCTGGAAATGATGAGATAGCATCCAACTTGATTCAAGAATTGCATCAACGTCAAGAAATTCTTATCAAATACTGAAAATGAGACTGCAAACTGAATGTCCTTGGAAATAGAGATACATGTATATCCCTCTGGATAAACCTATATCCAAAGCCTTCTAGTGCATAACCCTTATGTTTGTACTTGTTGTATAATTTCAGTTGTGACAGTGGGGGAGACTGTGAGTGTCTATGTACAGCTATTGCCAATTTTGGAGAACACTGTAATAGACTAGGAACACCCGTGAGGTGGAGGTCTCAAGACTTGTGTCGTAAGTTTATGACTAAACTTGACAATAACTTTGCACTTGTTTCATCCTCTGAATGCAGGGTTCCAGACATCATCCACTATGTTCCTTTCTTCTTCTTATAAGAAGGAGGTACGAGTTCTGGAGGCCTGTGTTCTGAGGATGCATTTGTTAATGCTTTCTGGTCATATTACTCATATAAAATAACTTAAATAAATAACTTAAAGGGGTACTTCTTGTATTCTAAGTATCTTCCAAATACTGAGATAAAGTGTATTTGAGCACATATTTGGCTTTCATTGAAATACTTAAAATATATTCCATGTTTACTTGTAGCCATGCAGTGTGACTTTGGACTGGAGTACAAGGCATGTTCGTCACCCTGTGAAGTGACATGTAAAGATATATCCGAAGCGGCAGAGAGTGAAACCTGTGATAAGACTCTCTGTTTAGAGGGATGTTTCTGTCCAGATGGATTTGCAATGAATGGTAATCCTCACATTGTAGAATTTAAGGCTAGCAGAGGGTAATCTGTGATTGGCTCACTGAGTGCCAGTCTGGTAATCCTCACATTGTATAATTTAAGGCTAGCAGAGGGTAATCTATGATTGGCTCACTGAGTGCCAGTCTGGTAATCCTCACATTGTATAATTTAAGGCTAGCAGAGGGTAATCTATGATTGGCTCACTGAGTGCCAGTCTGGTAATCCTCACATTGTATAATTTAAGGCTAGCAGAGGGTTATCTATGATTGGCTCACTGAGTGCCAGTCTGGTAATCCTCACATTGTATAATTTAAGGCTAATAGAGGGTAATCTATGATTGGCTCACTGAGTGCCAGTCTGGTAATCCTCACATTGTATAATTTAAGGCTAGCAGAGGGTAATCTATGATAGGCTCACTGAGTGCCAGTCTGGTAATCCTCACATTGTATAATTTAAGGCTAGCAGAGGGTAATCTATGATTGGCTCACTGAGTGCCAGTCTGGTAATCCTCACATTGTATAATTTAAGGCTAGCAGAGGGTAATCTATGATTGGCTCACTGAGTGCCAGTCTGGTAATCCTCACATTGTATAATTTAAGGCTAGCAGAGGGTAATCTGTGATTGGCTCACTGAGTGCCAGTCTGGTAATCCTCACATTGTATAATTTAAGGCTAATAGAGGGTAATCTATGATTGGCTCACTGAGTGCCAGTCTGGTAATCCTCACATTGTATAATTTAAGGCTAGCAGAGGGTAATCTATGATTGGCTCACTGAGTGCCAGTCTGATTCCTATTCTATTCTATTCATGAAGGGAATTTATTCTATGTATGTATTCTGTTTGTGTACAGTCATCATGTCTCGTGTAAGGGTCAATTCTGTGAGATAGATCCTTCTTTCAACGGGTACACCAAATTATTATTTATGGAAAAATGTAGTCTCAAATATAGATAACATGTGACTATACTCCTCAAAGTGTCATGACAATTTTACTGTTTTACTGTATTAAAATATTATTATTCATTGTATTATGTTGTCTTATTGTTCCAGATGGTGCATGTGTTCCATTGTCTGAGTGTCCCTGTCACTACAAGGGGGTGCCATTTACTAAAGAAACTAACATCACAATTAACTGCATGGACTGGTATGTTGATATTTTCCCTTATTTATATTATAGGATATTTTAATCTTCCCAGCAACAAATATATGAAATTATAATATATATAATATGATATGATATAATATAATTTATGTTTGTCAAACCTGTTAATCACATAAGGTAGCTATGATGATATTACATAGTGTTCAGAAAGTAATATAATGTTGGGGATATTTATGACATCAATAAAAAATCAAACAAAATAAGATACTTTTCAGAATGAACCTATACCCATTCTTTCTCCTGTACCTGGATATACAGCTTATTTATCACATATTTTGGTTATAAGTGAGTGCCTAGATGAGAAGATAATATGCATTGCTACTAAACTGCAGCCAATATACAGCTTATGTATGATATATTTTGCTTAATAGTGAGTGCATAGATGGGAAGATAATATGTAGTGGTGCTAACTGCAGCCAATGTACAGCTTATGTATGATCTATTTTGGTTATAAGTGAGTGCCTAGATGAGAAGATAATATGCAGTGGTGCTAACTGCAGCCAATGTACAGCTTATGTATGATATATTTTGCTTAATAGTGAGTGCCTAGATGGGAAGATAATATGCAGTGGTGCTAACTGCAGCCAATGTACAGCTTATGTATGATATATTTTGCTTAATAGTGAGTACCTAGATGGGAAGATAATATGCAGTGGTGCTTACTGCAGCCAATATACAGCTTATGTATGATATATTTTGCTAAATAGTGAGTACCTAGATGGGAAGATAATATGCAGTGGTGCTAACTGCAGCCAATATACAGCTTATGTATGATATATTTTGCTTAATAGTGAGTGCATAGATGGGAAGATTATATGCATTTGTGCTAACTGCAGCCAATATACATCTTATGTATGATATATTTTGCTTAATAGTGAGTGCCTAGATGGGAAGATAATATGCAGTGGTGCTAACTGCAGCCAATGTACAGCTTATGTATAATATATTTTGCTTAATAGTGAATGCCTAGATGGGAAGATAATATGCAGTGGTGCTAACTGCAGCCAATATACAGCTCATGTATGATATATTTTGCTTAATAGTGAATGCCTAGATGGGAAGATAATATGCAGTGGTGCTAACTGCAGCCGATATACAGCTTATGTATGATATATTTTGCTTAATAGTGAGTGCATAGATGGGAAGATAATATGCAGTGGTGCTAACTGCAGCCAATATACAGCTTATGTATAATATATTTTGCTTAATAGTGAGTGCATAGATGGGAAGATTATATGCATTTGTGCTAACTGCAGCCAATATACATCTTATGTATGATATATTTTGCTTAATAGTGAGTGCCTAGATGGGAAGATAATATGCAGTGGTGCTAACTGCAGCCAATGTACAGCTTATGTATAATATATTTTGCTTAATAGTGAATGGCTAGATGGGAAGATAATATGCAGTGGTGCTAACTGCAGCCAATATACAGCTCATGTATGATATATTTTGCTTAATAGTGAATGCCTAAATGGGAAGATAATATGCAGTGGTGCTAACTGCTGCTAATATACAGCTTATGTATGATATATTTTGCTTAATAGTGAATGCCTAGATGGGAAGATAATATGCAGTGGTGCTAACTGCAGCCGATATACAGCTTATGTATGATATATTTTGCTAATAGTGAGTGCCTAGATGGGAAGATAATATGCAGTGGTGCTAACTGCAGCCGATATACAGCTTATGTATGATATATTTTGCTTAATAGTGAGTGCATAGATGGGAAGATAATATGTAGTGGTGCTAACTGCAGCCAATGTACAGCTTATGTATGATATATTTTGGTTATAAGTGAGTGCCTAGATGAGAAGATAATATGCAGTGGTGCTAACTAGAGGTGTGAATTTTTAATCGATCATCGATTAATTGATCGACACACATTTAATCGAATAAGATTCTTATTACTCAATTAACTGATTCTCAAAAAGTAAATCTTCAATATCCCGCCGCAAGTAAGCTTACGTGACGTCACTGACTGATTGAGCAGTGAATGTCAGGTTGCCACGCCAAGCTCAAACTACCAAACAAACTAATTACCCTAAGACTGACGCTTACCTGTGACCTTTGTTGTTTTTGAGTTTAATACTGATCCAATACATCCCATTGGTTTATTCAGTAGAAGTATGCAATCAAATTCAAGATGAATAGTGGTGTATAATTTGAATGCAACCGTCCCAATTTTATTCAGTTCAGAAGCGGTCGAAAAATGGCGACAACACCAGGAAAAAGAAGTTATGTATGGAAATATTTCAACAAAGAAGACGATGATCGCGTCAAATGTGTGCTCTGCAATAATAAATACAAATAGTCAAATAGTACATCTACTCTAAGCTACCACTTGTCAAATGCACACGGGGAAACTCCGAAAATAAATACTCCGACGTCGCCAATAACTTCATTTCTAGTCAGAAAGTCGGGACCCGGTTTTAAAGTTGCCGCTGAAGATATCACTAATAAATTTGTCAATATGATTGTGGTCGACCTTCGTCCAATATCGCTTGTAGAAGGGCGAGGCTTTAATAGAACTAATGGGACATTTACGCCCAGGGTACGATGTGCCGAAGCGCAAAACAATAACTCGTCGTATGGAATTAGAATTTGAGAAGGGTCAGATATCAGATTGGGGTCGATTAACCGATGATTAATCGATTAATAAGTTTCGTTGATCGATTAAGTAATGTGCCATCGGTGCACACATCTAGTGCTAACTGCAGCCAATGTACAGCTTATGTATGATATATTTTGCTTAATAGTGAGTGCCTAGATGGGAAGATAATATGCAGTGGTGCTAACTGCAGCCAATGTACAGCTTATGTATGATATATTTTGCTTAATAGTGAGTGCCTAGATGGGATGATAATATGCAGTGGTCCTAACTGCAGCCAATATACAGCTTATGTATGATATATTTTGCTAAATAGTGAGTACCTAGATGGGAAGATAATATGCAGTGGTGCTAACTGCAGCCAATATACAGCTTATGTATGATATATTTTGCTTAATAGTGAGTGCATAGATGGGAAGATTATATGCATTTGTGCTAACTGCACCCAATATACATCTTATGTATGATATATTTTGCTTAATAGTGAGTGCCTAGATGGGAAGATAATATGCAGTGGTGCTAACTGCAGCCAATGTACTGCTTATGTATAATATATTTTGCTTAATAGTGAATACCTAGATGGGAAGATAATATGCAGTGGTGCTAACTGCAGCCAATATACAGCTCATGTATGATATATTTTGCTTAATAGTGAATGCCTAGATGGGAAGATAATATGCAGTGGTGCTAACTGCAGCCAATATACAGCTCATGTATGATATATTTTGCTTAATAGTGAATGCCTAGATGGGAAGATAATATGCAGTGGTGCTAACTGCAGCCGATATACAGCTTATGTATGATATATTTTGCTAATAGTGAGTGCCTAGATGGGAAGATAATATGGAGTGGTGCTAACTGCAGCCAATGTTCAGCTTATGTGTGATATATTTTGCTTAATAGTGAGTGCCTAGATGGGAAGATAATATGCAGTTGTGCTAACTGCAGCCAATATACAGCTTATGTATGATATATTTTGCTTAATAGTGAGTGCCTAGATTGGAAGATAATATGCATTGGTGCTAACTGCAGCCAATATACAGCTTATGTATGATCTATTTTGCTTAATAGTGAGTGCCTAGATGGGAAGATAATATGCAGTGGTGCTAACTGCTGCTAATATACAGCTTATGTATGATATATTTTGCTTAATAGTGAATGCCTAGATGGGAAGATAATATGCAGTGGTGCTAACTGCAGCTAATATACAGCTTATGTATGATACATTTTGCTTAATAGTGAGTGCCTAGATGGGAAGATAATATGCAGTGGTGCTAACTGCAGCCAATGTGAAGATGATGAGTTCCAATGTAATGAGACAAAGCAGTGTATACCAAACACATATAGATGTGATGGTGTCAATGACTGTAAAGATCTCTCTGATGAATTCGATTGTGGTAAGTGATGTATCAGTAATTCGAACATGACTGTATTCATGCCTTCTACATGTATAAACTTTGAACAAGTCAATATTTCTCCCGGGGTATATTCATTAACAATACTCTTGGTAATACGAGTAAAGTGCAACGTCATTACATCGAACCGTTGAAATGGCGGACCATAATGAATATTAGAAATATTTTGGTGAGTTTTCATGTTTGAATCGTAATATAGACCTCAGACCAGGTGTTATATTGATGAATAAGCCCCTTAGGGCTAGGCATAAAGCTTTCGAACCCCTTAATTCCTTCAGTCTTCAGGGTTTATTTGTCGATATAACACTTGATGTTTGGTCTATATTTCTTGAATAAATGCAGTTAAACTAAAAGTGGAACGTCTCCATAAGTAGAAAAAACTATTTTGAGGTACCAGAGCATTATGCTTTCATCATTTGGTAGAAGGTGGCCATTTTGAAAAATGGCTGCCATTTTTGCTATATACCTTGTTTGTAAATATGCCAGCCATGGCTGTTCGATGGGATTTGCTACGTTTTTGGCATTGCTGTTGTCTAGTATTATATTGTTTACATTCTACATTTTTACAGCAATGTACGCATGTGATGCCAACAACATGAAATGTGGCAACAATGAATGCATCCACAACATCTATGTGTGTGATGACTTTGTGTACAATATTGTATATTGTTTACATTCTACATTTGTTACAGCAATGTACGCATGTGATGCCAACAACATGAAATGTGGCAACAATGAATGCATCCACAACATCTATGTTTGTGACGACTTTGTGTACAATATTGTATATTGTTTACATTCTACATTTGTTACAGCAATGTACACATGTGATGCCAACAACATGAAATGTGGCAACAATGAATATATTCACAACATCTATGTGTGTGATGACTTTGTTTGTAATATTATATTGTTTACATTCTGCATTTGTTACAGCAATGTACGCATGTGATGCCAACAACATGAAATGTGGCAACAATGAATGCATCCACAACATCTATGTGTGTGATGACTTTGTGTGTAATATTATATTGTTTACATTCTACATTTGTTACAGCAATGTACGCATGTGATGCCAACAACATGAAATGTGGCAACAATGAATGCATCCACAACATCTATGTGTGTGATGACTTTGTATGTAATATTATATTGTTTACATTCTACATTTGTTACAGCAATGTACGCATGTGATGCCAACAACATGAAATGTGGCAACAATGAATGCATCCACAACATCTATGTGTGTGATGACTTTGTGTACAATATTGTATATTGTTTACATTCTACATTTGTTACAGCAATGTATGCATGTGATGCCAACAACATGAAATGTGGCAACAATGAATGCATTCACAACATCTATGTGTGTGATGACTTTGTGTACAATATTGTATATTGTTTACATTCTACATTTGTTACAGCAATGTATGCATGTGATGCCAACAACATGAAATGTGGCAACAATGAATGCATCCACAACATCTATGTGTGTGATGACTTTGTGTGTAATATTATATTGTTTACATTCTGCATTTGTTACAGCAATGTATGCATGTGATGCCAACAACATGAAATGTGGCAACAATGAATATATTCACAACATCTATGTGTATGATGACTTTGTGTGTAATATTATATTGTTTACATTCTACATTTGTTACAGCAATGTACGCATGTGATGCCAACAACATGAAATGTGGCAACAATGAATATATTCACAACATCTATGTGTATGATGACTTTGTGTGTAATATTATATTGTTTACATTCTACATTTGTTACAGCAATGTACGCATGTGATGCCAACAACATGAAATGTGGCAACAATGAATGCATCCACAACATCTATTTGTGTGATGACTTTGTGTGTAATATTATATTGTTTACATTCTACATTTGTTACAGCAATGTACGCATGTGATGCCAACAACATGAAATGTGGCAACAATGAATGCATTCACAACATCTATGTGTGTGATGACTTTGTATGTAATATTATATTGTTTACATTCTACATTTGTTACAGCAATGTATGCATGTGATGCCAACAACATGAAATGTGGCAACAATGAATATATTCACAACATCTATGTGTATGATGACTTTGTGTGTAATATTATATTGTTTACATTCTACATTTGTTACAGCAATGTATGCATGTGATGCCAACAACATGAAATGTGGCAACAATGAATGCATCCACAACATCTATGTGTGTGATGACTTTGTGTGTAATATTATATTATTTACATTCTACATTTGTTACAGCAATGTATGCATGTGATGCCAACAACATGAAATGTGGCAACAATGAATGCATCCACAACATCTATGTGTGTGATGACTTTGTGTGTAATATTATATTGTTTACATTCTACATTTGTTACAGCAATGTACGCATGTGATGCCAACAACATGAAATGTGGCAACAATGAATGCATCCACAACATCTATGTGTGTGATGACTTTGTGTACAATATTGTATATTGTTTACATTCTGCATTTGTTACAGCAATGTACGCATGTGATGCCAACAACATGAAATGTGGCAACAATGAATGCATTCACAACATCTATGTATGTGATGACTTTGTGTGTAATATTATAATGTTTACATTCTACATTTGTTACAGCAATGTATGCATGTGATGCCAACAACATGAAATGTGGCAACAATGAATGCATCCACAACATCTATGTGTGTGATGACTTTGTGTGTAATATTATATTGTTTACATTCTACATTTGTTACAGCAATGTACGCATGTGATGCCAACAACATGAAATGTGGCAACAATGAATGCATCCACAACATCTATGTGTGTGATGACTTTGTGTGTAATATTATATTGTTTACATTCTACATTTGTTACAGCAATGTATGCATGTGATGCCAACAACATGAAATGTGGCAACAATGAATGCATCCACAACATCTATGTGTGTGATGACTTTGTGTACAATATTGTATATTGTTTACATTCTGCATTTGTTACAGCAATGTACGCATGTGATGCCAACAACATGAAATGTGGCAACAATGAATGCATCCACAACATCTATGTGTGTGATGACTTTGTGTGTAATATTATATTGTTTACATTCTACATTTGTTACAGCAATGTATGCATGTGATGCCAACAACATGAAATGTGGCAACAATGAATGCATCCACAACATCTATGTGTGTGATGACTTTGTGTGTAATATTATATTGTTTACATTCTACATTTGTTACAGCAATGTACGCATGTGATGCCAACAACATGAAATGTGGCAACAATGAATGCATCCACAACATCTATGTGTGTGATGACTTTGTGTACAATATTGTATATTGTTTACATTCTGCATTTGTTACAGCAATGTACGCATGTGATGCCAACAACATGAAATGTGGCAACAATGAATGCATTCACAACATCTATGTATGTGATGACTTTGTGTGTAATATTATAATGTTTACATTCTACATTTGTTACAGCAATGTATGCATGTGATGCCAACAACATGAAATGTGGCAACAATGAATGCATCCACAACATCTATGTGTGTGATGACTTTGTGTGTAATATTATATTGTTTACATTCTACATTTGTTACAGCAATGTATGCATGTGATGCCAACAACATGAAATGAGGCAACAATGAATGCATTCACAACATCTATGTGTGTGATGACTTTGTGTGTAATATTACATTGTTTACATTCTGCATTTGTTACAGCAATGTATGCATGTGATGCCAACAACATGAAATGTGGCAACAATGAATGCATTCACAACATCTACGTGTGTGATGACTTTGTGTGTAATATTATATTGTTTACATTCTGCATTTGTTACAGCAATGTACGCATGTGATGCCAACAACATGAAATGTGGCAACAATGAATGCATCCACAACATTTATGTGTGTGATGACTTTGTGTGTAATATTATATTGTTTACATTCTGCATTTGTTACAGCAATGTATGCATGTGATGCCAACAACATGAAATGTGGCAACAATGAATGCATTCACAACATCTATGTGTGTGATGACTTTGTTTGTAATATTACATTATTTACATTCTGCATTTGTTACAGCAATGTACGCATGTGATGCCAACAACATGAAATGTGGCAACAATGAATGCATTCATGTGTGATGACTTTGTGTGCAATATTATATTGTTTACATTCTGCATTTGTTACAGCAATGTACGCATGTGATGCCAACAACATGAAATGTGGCAACAATGAATGCATTCACAACATCTATGAGTGTGATGACTTTGTGTGTAATATCATATTGTTTACATTCTACATTTGTTACAGCAATGTACGCATGTGATGCCAACAACATGAAATGTGGCAACAATGAATGCATCCACAACATCTATGTGTGTGATGACTTTGTGTGTAATATTATATTGTTTACATTCTGTTCTGCATTTGTTACAGCAATGTATGCATGTGATGCCAACAACATGAAATGTGGCAACAATGAATGCATTCACAACATCTATGTGTGTGATGACTTTGTGTGTAATATTACATTGTTTACATTCTGCATTTGTTACAGCAATGTATGCATGTGATGCCAACAACATGAAATGTGGCAACAATGAATGCATTCACAACATCTACGTGTGTGATGACTTTGCTGATTGTACAGATGGAGCAGATGAGGATCCTGTATGGTGTGGTCAGTAGCATTTATATATTCATTTTTCTTTGATATATATTTATTTAATGCAAATAACTAAATAGAATATATCTCTTATCACCAAAAGCATTACTGGAGCGAGACATTTATACATAATAGTTCTCTATCAATAAATGAGCCTGGCCATAGGAAAACCGGTCTTATCACAAAAATTAGAATTGTGCTTCAGAGCCAAAAAGTGCCTAAGATTAAGAGGAAAATGTGCTAAATTCAAATCCGACTTTTTGGTCTATATAATAAATTATATGCAAGGAAAAATTGTTATGACATTAGCCATGGCTCATTTGAAAGGTCTCTTTGTGCTTTCTAAGATAAACAAAAAATCAGAATATTGAAAAAATCTGTGATAAGACCCCTTTTCCTGTGGCCTGGCTCAAATGACACCTTCAAAGTTATGATAATGGAAACATTACAAAGGATTGATCATATATTCATGGCCTACTTGGGTGTAGAAATGCAAGAATATTGTTATAGGATAGCTTAAAAAGATCTCAGCAAAAAAGTTTTCTCAAAAATAGTGTGGCCTACATGACATCATAGCATTCATCTTGCGATGTCATTCTATATAATCGAAAATATAAAATGAAATTATATGGTCCAAGTAATCTAACTTACTTAATGTTTCCATTAATGTTGAAAATAAATTATGTTTAACAATATAAAGAGAGGTAATGGGCCATCTAAAAATCATACCTCCCCCCTATCTTCAAAAGTGATGGGAAATTCAAATATCCGGTTTTTCAATAATGTGTGAAACAACTTCTTAGTCATCATGTGAAATAGTATTTGAATGATAAAAAACTATTTTCGAAAATTGCATGCATTTCATAAACACCTATCAGAAATAAAGGGTTCAAGTTTCTCCACACTTTACATAGGTTTTGTTACTGTAATTGTAAATATACCTTATAGACAACATGTATAACTCTTGTTATATATTCTCAAAGAAACTTGAAATTTACTCTCATATTTGTAAATTCATTTAGGTCAACTGAAACAATGTAGCTCAGGTGAATTTCGTTGTTCCAATGGGGAATGCATTCCTGCCCTGTTTGTTTGTGATGGTGACAGCAAAGACTGTGGCACTGACGATAACTCGGATGAGGCAAATTGCACAGGTATAATTAATATTTTATTTTTTATATTTTCTGATTGTTTTTATGTTCATTACAGTTAAACCTCTCTGAGGGAGCACCTTTCTGTACGGAACATTTCTCTACAAGGATCAGTTTTCAAAAACCAAGTATTTGTCAATTGACTTACATGTCAATGAAAGGAACACTTGTTTATTGGGCCAGTATAGAGAGTGTTTCTTGTACACCCTTTTTTATGTCACCACCAAAAGTGGTGACATATTGTTATGGTCTCCGTTTTTTTGCGACGGCGGTTGGTGGTTGGCGTCCGGCGTCCGGCGTCTGGCGTCCGGCGTCTGTAACAATATCTTACAACTTCCTATAACTTAACAAATACTGTTTAGACTGACTTCAATTTTTTTCTAAATCATCTACATGTTCTCAGAAGTTCAAATCTGACTTTAGATTTGACATTTGACCTTCAATGACCTTCTCAAGGTCAAAAAGGTCTTTTTTCAACTTGCTTCACATTGACTAAATTTTTTTTCAAAATCATCTACATGTTCTCAGAAATTCAAATCTGACTTTAGATTTGACATTTGACCTTCAAATCTGACTTTAGATTTGACATTTGACCTTCAATGACCTTCTCAAGGTCAAAAAAGGTCAAAAAGGTCTGTTTTCAACTTGCTTCAAATTGACTAAATTTTTTTTTCAAAATCATCTACATGTTCTCAGAAATTCAAATCTGACTTAAGATTTGACATTTGACCTTCAATGACCTTCTCAAGGTCAAAAAAGGTCAAAAAGGTCTGTTTTCAACTTGCTTCAAATTGACTAAAAAAAATTTTCAAAATCATCTATGTATTCTCAGAAATTCAAATCTGACTTTAGATTTGACTTAAGATTTGACATTTGACCTTCAATGACCTTCTTAAAGTCAAAAAAGGTCAAAAAGGTCTTTTTTCAACTTGCTTCAAATTGACTAAATTTTTTTTTTAAATCATCTACATGTTCTCAGAAATTCAAATCTGACTTTAGATTTGACATTTGACCTTCAATGACCTTCTAAATGTCAAAAAAGGTCAAAATGGTATTTTTTCATCTTGCTTCAAATTGACTAAATTTTTTATTCAAAATCATCTACATGTTCTCAGAAATTCAAATATGACTTTAGATTTGACTTTAGATTTGACATTTGACCTTCAGTGACCTTCTCAAGGTCAAAAAAGGTCAAAAAGGTATTTTTTCAACTTGCTTCAAATTGACTAATTTTTTTTTTCAAAATCATCTACATGTTCTCAGAAATTCAAATCTGAATTTAGATTTGACATTTGACCTTTAATGACCTTCTCAAGGTCAAAAAAGGTCAAAAAGGTCTGTTTTCAACTTGCTTCAAATTGACCAAATTTTTTTTTCAAATTCATCTACATCTTTTCAGAAGTTCAAATTTGACTTAACAAGTTCTCAGAAGTTCAAATCTGACTTTAAATTTGACTTTTGACCTTCAATGACCTTCTCAAGGTCAAAAAGGTCTTTTTTCAACTTGCTTCAAATTGACTAATTGTTTTTCAAAATCATCTACATGTTCTCAGAAGTTCAAATCTGACTTTAGATTTGACATTTGACCTTCAATGACCTTGAAAAGGTCAAAAAGGTCTTTTTTCAACTTGCTTCAAAGGACGATTCTCGGTTTGGAGAACGAAGTGCATCAATCTAAATGAGCATTATCCCTGCTTCGGACAAATTTGATTTTTTTTACATAATATAGATTTGAGTGTCTTCTTTTGAATAGTCATAATTTAATTTGGGTAATATTTCTAGATTTTTCGCCAAAAAATATTAGCGCAGTACACTGATGAACTTCTTTCCCCAAATCGAGACTTGTATTTTATTGAATCGGTCTAATTGAGCGTTATCCCTGCTTCAGACCAATTTGTTATTTTTACATCTTGTAGATTTAAATGTCCTCTTTTGAATATTCATAGTTTAATTTGGGTAATATTTCTATATTTTTCATGAAAAAATTATTAGCCCAGGAGACTGTTCTCCAAACCGAGAATCGTCCTTTACTTAATTTTTTTTTCAAAATCATCTACATGTTCTCAGAAGTTCAAATCTGACTTTACATTTGACATTTGACCTTCGATGACCTTCTCAATGTCAAAAAAAGTCAAAGAGGTATTTTTTCAACTTGCTTCAAATTGACGCATTTTTTTTTCAAAATCATCTACATGTTCTAAGAAGTTCAAATCAAACCTTCTTAAGGTCAAAAGGTATTTTCCAACTTGTTTTAAATTGACCAAATTGTTTTAGGTGGTGACATTTTGTCATGTTAATGCCTTGTACATATTACATTATAAACAGAATTAGAGGTTTTGTAAAAACCTTTCATTTATTATAATGTCTTTCCATTTTATTTCATTATAGACACATTGAAGAGCAACGGCTATTAAGAATTATTCTCTTTTCAGAGTGTATGATTGGCTCGTTCAAGTGTGACACTGGTTTATGCATTGATATTCGCAAGAAGTGTGATTTCCATGATGACTGTGGAGATGGTTCTGACGAGAGAGGCTGCCGTAAGTTCACTCATTTTCTTTTTATATAAGTGAACTTTTTAAAAACTGATTTCAACCGCTCTTGTCTCAAGAATAGAGGTTTGAAATAAAAAGGGTTATAGTTATTCTATAGATAAATCCTATGTTTGCTAAAGGGTTTGCCAGATCATATCAGTTTTGGAGATTTCTGTGGATACCAAAATTGATTGTACATGGTGGTCCAAAAATTGAAAACCCGTTTTGATACGAAAATGACATAATTTGTATTATGGACGCTGTTTGACAGATATTATAATAAATTTGAACTTATTATATACTAAATTAATGATAATTAAATTCCCCATCCACTGGTATATAACATAACATGTTTTCATCAATAAAATCAATGTTAATTTTTGAAATATGAGTGTCCCATTTTTTGGACCACCCTGTATATTATAAGCAATGTTTGGGTAGAGCAACACCCTTCTCAAAAGTTTATATCGTTTGTCTAGACAGCTTTTTTGAATGACTGTCATTGTATAAGGTAGTCAACTGAATATGCTCGAAACTATCCAGATCCATGGAATGTATATACCAAACAATAGCATGTATCTTGTTTATCAACATTAGTGCAGGAATTAGGTTATCCATTTTAATGAATTAAGTTGAAAGCAATTGTGCAGGGAACTTGATGGACCAGTATGTTGCTCTTGAACCCCTTAGCCTTATCTGTTTATCTCATTTAGAATTTTCATTTTAGCCACTACATCTGCTCGTCCAACACTATCTACTGAAGGTATTTTAAACTTTTCATTTACCTTTAATTAACTTATAAGTCTGCTAAGTTCTACTAGCCACTAAATCATGTGTCACTAAATCATGTGTCACTAAGTGTGTCATCATTTTGTTGGACACACTCTTCACTTTTCTTTTTTCTGATTGCAACCCATGCCATCCTCACCATTATCAGATATACAGAAAAAATCGTTGTAATATATTTAAATATATGTGAAATTATGGATTTTAACTAATATGAGACACCATCTCACAAATCTTTTAGCCAAAAATATTTTTGGATCAATTTCAAATTGCAGAAGTAAGTACACTGAGGCCCTTTAGTACACCAAAGGGTCTTGCCTGTGTTACCAAAGATGCTATTCAAGACCCAGTTGCAGTTCCTGATGACTTTGTACAACTGGATTCAAGCCTATTGCATAGCCCACTTAGCAACCTCCGCAACCAAGGAGTGAAATTCTCAGTCTACACAAGTGATCCATTTAACATATCTATTAAATTCGATGACAATGCAAACTTTATGCCTGTGGAGATGGGAGATATAATTCTGACTGGGGCTGAGGGAATCGACTCAATGACTGTGTATTTGGTACAATTGGGAGACTATGTCATCAAACGGGACCTAACTATACTAGAAGTAAGTCTGCTAAAAATATGTTGACTTTACCATCTTAAAATATCAGCAACCCTATGTTCATTGTTGCATATTCTGACTTTTTGTGTCATCATCGTTGTAATGATAAATGTTTTACCAACTGTTCACTGACCAATTATAAATTTATGTATGGTTTTCAACAGCATATGCCAAATAAAAACTTAATTTTGAAGTACCAAAGGAATACCACTTTCAGAGGATATATGGCACCTTTGTATTTTGCTTCTGAGTTTATTTCTAATAATAAATTGTATTTTGAAGGAGGGATCCACTACTATAATGGATTCATTTGCCTCAGAAGCTATCTCAGTCATCATAGAAATAACACCCAATGACAACGTGGAAGAAGTTGCCATGGCATCACTGCAAATAATTGCCTGTTTGGAGAAAGGTGTGTTTGTTTTTAGATTTTTATAATTGATCTATGTTTATTTTATAAATATGTTGTCACAAGTACTATTTTAACTTTTTGCATATTAGTTTGGTTTAGAGCTACATAGACATATCATATCTTTAGAAATTACTCTGTGTGCCCATGTCTTCCATTCTCAATTTCCTATGTTTACACAGCCAATATAATTCGACGCCGTTTCGGCATCAAAAAAATTCGGCACGGTTCCGGCACCAAAACCTTTCGACACCAAAATTTGCTACCGGACTAGTCAGTCCATTTGGTGCCGAAACGGCACTGAAATTTGGCACCGAAACGGCATCGTAAATCAGATTGCATTTTGGGGGTGTATTCACGATAATCTACACGTACAAACAGAATGAAGTTTAATTGGTTTAAATTTTCAGCCCCTTGTTACCTGTCAAATATAAACCAGCATACGGGGACAACCTTTTCTCCTGATATTGGACCGTACGTTTCATCAAGAAGGGGGATTGGGCTTCCTGGAAACAGCCTCACCATGCATTTCCCATCTAATCTGTATAAAGAAGTTGTCACTACATATTTACTTTATGTGAAAGTGACGAACGCTCATAGTGTCACGGTTATGGCTGCTGATAAATTCGGCAACAGTTTAAGTTCTCGGGTAAGGCATTAACTGTTGATCATGTTATGATGTACATTTTTTTAAGTTCCTTAATAATATACTATTGTATTTATGTAAGCTAAAACAAATCCTTAAATCAATATACAAAGTTAGGCTTTCCCCGCATTGGTATCCATGTCAAAGAACTAAGATTATTGGGATCCAAGCTAGATGATGACAACGGTGCCATGACAACAACTTTTTAGTCAACACACAGCTCCAGAATCGAAAAGATTATATCTGCTTTTGTTTAATTTGTGATATTTTTATACATACTGATATCTACATGTATGATATTTCATTATTTACGATGTGAGATGAATCAAAATGAGTATGAATCTTGTAGGTATTCACAGAACGAGGTCGCCAGCGTGGTATTAAAGCAAGAAAGTGGGGAAGGAAATTACTAGAAGAAGACGAAGGACCAATATTAGTCTATCAACGATTTGATGGAATAAGGAATATGAAGATCATTGATTTAACGATTATACATGACGACTCTACATCAGAGCCATCTATGGTGTCTCGCTTGACCTGTAAAGTATGTTTTGAAGGTAAGGTATTTGAAAATGATTTATTCTATCTTTTATGCCGTTAATTCGGTACCCTTCCCATGGTACACAAAAGCCAGGGATTGGAAATATCATTACAGTGATATTGAATATGTTTATTATATGATTATTTAACAAAAAAATGTTGTTTTTAAGTTTCCAAAGTTTATCTATTATTAATATATTAAAGGTTCCAAAATAGTGAATATAATAGCAGATCTTCCAAAGCAGTGTACACAAATGTATTTTAGGAAGCTGAAAATATCCCAGCCTCCAGCATGCAACAAGTATTACATTGAATATATTGAATATGTGTCCATATTATTTCAGCTATGTCTACCCCCTCGACACATATCTGTAGTGCTGGGAAGTTCAAATGTACCAGTGAACAAAAGAAATGCGCTGTCAAATGTGATGGTATATTGGAGTGTGCTGATGGAGAGGATGAAACGGATGAATGTAAAGGTAATACATTGTTAATGTAAAGGTAATACATTGTTAATGTAAAGGTAATACATTGTTAATGAAAAGGTAATACATTGTTAATGTAAAGGTAATACATTGCCAATGTAAAGGTAATACATTGTTATTGTAAAGGTAATACATTGTCAATGAAAAGGTAATACATTGTCAATTCAAAGGTAATACATTGTTAATGTAGAGGTAATAGTCGTTTCAATCTTTTTTTAATTCATGTCAATGTAAAGGTAATACATTTTAATGTAAATGTAATTACATTGTCAATGTAAAGGTAATACTTGTCAATGTAAAGGTAAAACATTCTAATGTAATGGTAATACATGTCAATGTGAATGTAATACATGTCATTGTAAAGGTAATACATGTCAGTGTGAAGGTAATACATCGTTAATGTAAATTTGATATATTCCAATGTAATGGTAATACTTCAGTAATTTCTAATTCTCTAGTAAGCCATTAAGGCTTTAGATAAGGTACTTCAACATATCAACTCTTGACAGTATACTATTTGTTTGAATTCAATGACTGTTAGACCACATGTAAAATGATTGTCATTCCTAGTCTTATGTGGAGCTCGCAAACTTCTATTGACCATATTCTAGTACGATCCTGTTATATAGTGTATTATTTTATGCAATTTGACCTACTTTCACAACTTGAGCTATTTTTTAAAATGACCATCAAAATACAAATGAAATATGATGAAACTTAGGAATTCCAAAAGAGGCTTTTAAAAAGTATACCTTCAGGCATATAATTGTTGTCAATTTGTGAATGATGAAATGAATTAGCATTCGCATTGTGAGCCCAAGGGATGATGCAATTCTTATGTCACCACCAGAAGTGATGACATATTGTTATGGTCTCCAACTTTTTGGTGGCAGCAATTTGTGTTCAGCTTTTGCGTCTGTAACAAATGGCAGGTGGTGACTTTTTGCATGTAAATTGCTTGTTACTTAACACAATGTGTGTAATACTTCAACAAGTGGGCAACTTCTTCTGATGTAACAATGTGAAAATATATACCTGTCACTCGGTGCTATTAATGAAAATGAACAATTTAATGAGATAAATACCTCTCTTAATCTTTAATTTCAGAAACTGTCACACCAACTAATCAAACAATTCCCGAGCCTTGTGTGACATGTGTGAACAGTAATGGGGAGAATGTGTGTGTACCTGTGGATACAGTCTGTCAGGAAGAGATGCAATGTTTTGACAAGGATGATGAAGACCTCTGTTGTAAGTACTTAATAAAAAATTGCATGATTACAGAGTGTACCAGAAGTATTGTCCACTATACATGCTATAACAGGGTGATCAAAATTTTATTCCCCACCTACCTTTGATATTGTTAAAATAAAGAAAATATGAGGTAAATAGCATTAGCAAGAAAAGCTCATTAAATACGGATTTAATTCAAAATAAAATGATCTGAATATAATTCTGTAGTTTACAGGGAATATATTTTTATCATTGTACTTTTTGTCTTTTAGTTCTTTGCAATGATGGACAAGTTCCAGTTCTAAACTGTGATAAGAGAGGAGAGACTACATGTATAGAATATGGTGCCTTCTGTGATGGGGTACAACATTGTGAGACTGGAGTTGACGAACTACATTGTAGTAAGTTGAAAAAGCCTCTATACAGAACAATTGTCCATAAAATAACATACACGTTATAAAATAGTTCATCAAATCTCCTGCATAACAAAGTTGCAATATTTAATGTCAAAACTGAAGTATGTTATATAATATCAATTACATATTTGAACTGTCAAATGAGAATAGCGTGTATGAGTAATTACATGTATAGATGGTACACTTCATTCAAGGGACAACTTGTATGTAATTCTTTACACTAGAAAAAAAGCTAAACTTGAATTAAACCAGATCAGATAGAAGAATATTTTATATATTCAGATTGCACTGATCCACTGAACCTCCCTGAAAAGGCATTCCAATCTAATGTCGGGGACACGTCTGGGGTCTCGTTTGAAGATCCTGACACTTTCTGGAGTCTCTCAGAATTCCAGAGTGAAGCAAACAGGTAGAGCTTTAACACTGGAATGTTTATAATCTGTTCCAAGCCAGTGTTGGCACACATTGCGCCACCTATACAGATTTATTCTGCTTGTAATGAATTGATATAAGCATGATGTAAGCAGAATCTAATTGTATTACAGGGTAGTCAAAAAACTGGAAACCCTGTCTCCATTTTCCTCATATCTTTGTCATTTTGAGAAATTACTCCCCGATATTTAGCACATTTGTACATCAATTTCCTACCGGCCTACCATATTTCATGACCATCAAATTGATAGTCACAATGTTACAGCACATTAAACAACATGCTCCATTGGCCAATATTGCACTTTCGGCAAACCTGCACCTATCATCCAAAATGTCCCTACCTAACTTCAACCTGTGGTGATACACCAAAAAAGGGTGTACGAGAATAACCCCAGGACAACTGCAGACCTCAAAAAGAAGATCATCCATGTCATTCAGGCCATACCTGCTGAAAAATGTAGTCAGATCATTGACAACCTGTTTAGATTTGCCAATAGCCCGATGGTGGCCACACTGGGGCATCTTGTTCAAAGTGCTGTACCATTGTGACTATCAATCTGATGGTCATGAAATATGGTTAGCTGGTAGGAAATTGAATGTTGTACATATGTGTCAAATTTCAGGGAATAATTACCCAAAATGACAAAGATATGAGGAAAATGCAGGGTTTCCAGTTTTTTTGACCACCCTGTATAATGACAGTTTTAATCCACAACTCTTGCCTCTGAAAATGAAATATGAAACAAATATTGTACACTTGTGGTAATTTTTACTTTCAACTTGCCTGCATCGTTGCTTTTTCCTTTGAAATTAAAACCATTAAAGCATGCGGTATAAACATCGACAATTAATTTGAATTTTTGACCTACCAGCTCTTTGAAAATCAAGGATTTCGAGTCTCATACTGCACCTTCAAACTTGTTCCATTCGAAGCAAAACAAAATTGCCTTTCTGTTAGTACATTGCTTTATTGGAAAGAGTCCCTCATTTTAACAGCGTTTTGGTCCCCAGCTGTTAGAAGCACTTCTCTCAGATGGGGACCAAAATACCCGAGAAGAAGGGACTCCCTCTTTAGAATACCAACAGAATGGCATATTTTTTTATGCTTTGAATTGAACAAGTTTGAAGAAAAACAATGCAGTATGAGACTCTCAATCCTTGATTTTCAAACATCTTGTAGGTCAAAAATTCAAATTAATGGTTGAAGTTAGCACCGCATTTAAGACTATAAGACTATATCCACATTAATATTTGTGCAAAATATTATAAATCACACCTTCCCCACTCTTGAAAAAAGATCTATCGATTTTCTGCATCATTGAATTTTACAATCCATATTTCTTACCTTTAGAACTTTTTGATAATTTTAAAATTGACTACTGTAAGAGAGGAAATGACCCAGCATTCAAAGAAGAATCTTCATATTGAGGTCATCTTTATATGTAATAACTATGAAAACTTGCTTATTTCCTCCTCATGAGCGCTATTGATGATGTCATTCACATTGCTATCAGGTGGATCACCATGGACCTTGGGTCTCTTTATAAGGTATCAGGCTTCAAGATTAGAGTGAACAGAGTGTTAAGTTTTGGAGTAAACTACAAGAAGGATATATATACAGACCAAACATGGATGAAAGTTGACCAAGTAAGTTCACAGATTTTTGCACAATATTTGTTCAAGAAAGAAATTGTGATGATTCTTTAGAAATCGGCCATCATTTAAGAAAATGGATCGGAGTTAATCAAAATATTATTCCATGAAAATTTTATGAAACTTAAAGATATCTGGAACAAAGAGAAACCCTCACTTGTGCCGTCTATTATTGATATTTTAAAAAAACTGTAAATACAAATTTTTGTCACACTTATGTCTTGGCAATAAATATAACAATCAATAAATAAAAGACAAAGTACTAGCTTATTAAACTTCATTGCAGGTCGCATATATAATGAATGGTACAAATACTTACACACTCATGGAACAAATAGAAGCTGAGATTATAAAGGTTATCATACTAACAAGTGGACAATTGGACTTGAATATTGATGCACTGGGATGCGGTAAGTACTTCATTTATCATAACTTTTAATTTGACCTTGTTATTGGAATGTACTAAAAACCTTTGACCTTACGACTTACTAGGTAAGAATTTTGGAATATATTTTATTGAAAAAACCTTCGACCTTTGATTTTTGATTAATTGGAAAATGTTTTGTACGTACTGACTCTTTCAATGGAAAGTGGACACATAGTTGGTACCAGTCCTCTTGAAATAGCCACATAAATATTTTTAATTGATTGAATTTCACAAAAATAAATTTTGATGATAAAATGATAAAATCTTTGAAATTTTAGAAAATGGCGGTCATAAAAAGGAAAATAGATGGTTTTTCAATTCAGTTTTTTCATTTTTTTCTTTTTCATTTGAATGACATCAAATTTTCAAAGATTGTATCATTTAGAGCAATATGGGCAAATTTCTGGAGAATTCAAAAGATTCTGTTCAGTGACCTTTCCTAAGGGCCTACTTTTAGCTATTTTTCAGTCACATTTTCAGAGGGCTGAAAATGGTATTTCATCATGTTTGGGGTCATTCTGACCATACACACTCCTGGTCATGTAAATGACACGTGGAACTAATTAAACTGACTGGAGGTCAATACAGAACTCTGTTATCTTGGTTAAAAAAATGGTTGAAATCAAGCATGATATTTTCACTTCCTGTTTAAGTCATTTTTTCCTGTTAAGTATCACTGCACCTTAAATGTCACTGATCATTGAGAGCTATACTCATACATGGAATATAAGGATATCAAAATGACAAAAACCTGAAGCAATTGATATTTTTCTCAAATGTTTTATTTTCATGTTCGTTGCAATTTTTCCTTTTACATCAGGTGTTCACATTTCATAAACATGTAAGTCAATGGGAGACAACAAATTAAGGATCAAGAAAAGGTGCCCAGATTATGAAGTGTTCGGATTAGAGAGGTGTTCAGATATACATGTTTCACTGTATACATATTATATTACCATATTCTCTCTAATAAACACACAGTGCGACTCCCAAATTCTCCTTGTGGAGATGACTCAAATGACAAAATCTCTCAGGAATTTTGAAAGATAAATATATGGGTGATAATAGTCTTTCTTGAAAAAGTAGGGTCTGCTTTTATAAGAGTGAATACAGAATATTGAATATACTACATTTTATTCTCAGAAGTACTACGACCAGGTGGCATATCCACAGAGGCAACAACAACAACAACAACATCGACTACAACAAGTAAGATTTTACTATTATCTAAATATAAATATTATCCTGTATATTATATATGATATTATTATTAAATTATGCCAAGATATTTATGTTTCTTCCTAGTTCATAAATACAGTACTTAAACAATATTGGTATCAATATTTTGATTTCATCTAATTCAGTATCTTCCTCCTTTATAAGGGGACATCATACAATACATGTATACTACTAATGGAAGCTTTTAGAGTCATATTTAGAGTTATATTTTGTTTTCAAAACGTTACAGTATATGATTTAAAAATTATTTTTAATATGGTTACTGTGTTAGTAGCACATTGATATAGTAAGATAGCACATTGATATTGTAAGGTATATTCATCTTTCTCGAGCAACTGACAAAAGTCATATAATGACATCAGAGAACATATGCACTAATAACATACATGTACAGGGTGTCCCAAAAGTATGCCCCCCCCCCTAGGCAGACATATTCCAGTGTCCTCATAGTATGTGTCATATATCATTTTAAAGCTCATCCAAAGTTACATTGATTTGCCAAGTATCATGGTTGAACTCCCAAATGGGAAAAAGTTACAGTAATTTTAAAAGTTAGTGTTTTGTCAAAACATAGTTCAATTTTACACCACATTACTAGTCAATGTGTCCCCCTTGGCCATGTTAACAGCAGCAATTATTTTCAGATATGACCTCAGAAGCCCTTCAAATAGGGGTGTTGGATTTTATAACCCTCTTAAAACCTGTTAAGGGACTTTAGAAGAGTTTCCATAGAGTTTCTACCCTCACCGTTCTCTTTTTCCAACTCAATATCTATCCGACCCGAAAAGAATTGCTGCTGTTAAGATGGCCCGGGAGGACACATTGACTAGTGTTTTGGTGTAAAATTGAACTTACTTTTGACCGAAACACTAATTTTTGAAATGCCTGTAATTTTTTCACATTTGAGAGTTGAACCATGATACTTGGCGAATCAATGTAACTTTGGATAAGCTTTAAAATGATATATGACACATACTATGAGGACACTGGAATATCTCTGCCTAAGGGGGGCCCATACTTTCGGGACACCCTGTACATATCACAATTCTACATGATTGACAAACCAAATTGCCCAACATTTTTATTGTATTCTAGCTGAGAAAGGTGTTAAGCCAGGGGAGCGGACAACCACAGAAAGTGCCACTCCTTTACCTCCAATAGGTAAATAATCATGTTCTATTCATATTATACATTGAATGTTATAATCTATGAATAATTCTAGCAACCGAAAAGATTGTGGAGCCAGCTGGAGTAAATACAACCACGACTGAAACTCCGACAGGTATCATGAGTGTTCTTATTATACTCACCATGGTGATGCTTTGTGCCTGGGGCTTTTACTGCATTTGTACTTACAATCATTGTCATATCATCCAATCACATGGGAGCTTTACTTATAATATGCCCCAAGCGTTGTTACCTCCTACCATTATTTGTGCATGTACATGTATACCATAAAAGAACACCTCTCTCACAGGGTTTCTACTTTGTTATACATGTATATCAATGACTCGTTGAATTAAGACTGATTTGATCCATCATTTACAAAATTGATGTCTGATTGTGAAACAGTTAAATTACCTAATAATGAATGATCTCCATCCGTAAATGTGTCCAGGTACTCATTTTATAGGCTGGAGCTTTTGAAAATATTATTTTCAATATTTTCATTCAATTTAAAATGGCATCCCCTGAAAAAATACTGTCTTACAAGGATTTTGAATTTCCAAGATGGCCTCCATATTCATTTAAGTTATACTGCCTCATATTTTATATGCCATTTACCCTTTATATGCTTATTGGTAGCTTTGGTAGAATTGGTTCATATCCTTTACGATATAACATAATTTACCATACTCAATTCATGAATATTGGTGGTAGCATACAATCATTACCATGCCCAAATTCATACAAAGTGCTTTATTAAGCTTCATTGAAAGTTATGATTGGCTTAGGTTTTGGCTTAATAAATCATAGAGATACTTTCATGAAAATTATTTAATTTATATTTTCTTCAGCCTGCTGATGTTATTGTCATACATGTGGCTGATAATGCTAGCAAAGCTTTTATAGGTGTTCATGTTTTTAGACTATTTATGAAAAATATATACTATAAATAAAATATATCAATTCCAAACTTTTGTTAATAATAACGTTTTCATTTTCTAATTATTTCATCTTCATGTTTTGATTATGCCATTAAAGGACGATTCTCGGTTTGGAGAACGAAGTTCATCAATCTAAATGACCATTATCCCTGCTTCGGACAAATTTGATTTTTTTTACATAATATAGATTTGAATGTTCTCTTTTGAATAGTTATAATTTAATTTGGGTAATATTTCTAGATTTTTCTCAAAAAAATATTAGCGCAGTACACTGATGAACTTCTTTCCCCAAATCGAGACTTGTATTTTATTAAAATCGGTCTAATTGAGCGTTATCCCTGCTCCAGACCAATTTGATATTTTTACATCTTGTAGATTTAAATGTCCTCTTTTGAATATTCATAGTTTAATTTTGGTAATATTTCTATATTTTTCATGAAAAAAATATTAGCCCAGGAGACTGTTCTCCAAACCGAGAATTGTCCTTTTGTTTATGGATGTCATAGCCTTATCAGCTCATTCCATGATGATTTAGTGTATTTCAACCTTGCAAATCTTATTTTGTGCTTGTAGGTGATGATTGTTTATGGGCTGAATGGTCTGCATATGGAGAATGCAGCAAGGAATGTGGCATGGGCAGAAAAACCAGGACTAGGACCAAGTTACAACTGGCTAAGAATGATGGAGCTCCTTGTGAAGGAAGTGATACAGAAACTTTGGACTGTAACACCCATTTCTGCCCAGGTGAGGTTTTATATATTAAGTTATGATGTTTGCACTTCATTCTTATGGTTCTGTCACATTTGCTTTACAGCGAGCTTAGTTTGCCGAAACCAAGAGATACTTACACTGACCATAGAAAGTCTATGTTTTGGTCATCATCAGCATATCACTCTTTTTACAAGTTGTAGGGTCAATATGGCAATTACAACATATAGATATATATTTAATAATACAATATTACTGCATTAGAACAATTAAGTCAAACTCATAGTGAAGAATGTATCATGATACAGCTATGTGAACTTATCCTGATTATATGTATGTCGTCTCTTGATTTTGTTTTCTATATGATGCTTGACATATGCAATATTAGATGCTGCAGCCGAACCTTAACTAAGAAAAGTCATATCTTATTTTCAGTTTTCAGAACAAATATGATGATAACTTATTGATATCATTTTGTTGTTTGTTTTTGAATCATAAATGAATGTACATGCAATGGTCTTCCATGAATATGTCAACTATGCATAAAAGTGATGTCCAAACATTTAAAGACTAAATATGTACATTAGTCATCTGAGGAAGATCCTTTTCCGCCACAGTTACTTTTACCAGGCTATACCTACACATACTTGTAACTGAATCATAGAAAGAATATGTTTAGTGCATGCTTTTTATTTTATCTTATTCTAAGTCATCATCACTTTCTGATTATAGTTGACTGTGAACTGTCAAAGTGGAGTAAGTTCTCAAAATGTTCAGTGACGTGTGATTTTGGAGTTAGAATCAGAACCAGAACAGTTGTTAAGGAGCCATTACATGGTGGGAAGGAGTGTGACCCTATGCTGAAAGAACAAGAAAGATGCACAGCAAGGAGAGGAAAGAAATGCAAAGGTAAATTTACATGTTGGGATATTTCATTTTTCCACATTTTATATATATATGACAAACTACACAACCTATACTGAATTGTAGTACTACTGAATTTTTGAAATTTTAGTACCAAATTTTCACAAATTCCCTAGAATCGCATAATGCAGTCTAAGAACAAAGTCACTCTGATGCATTATAATTTACAATCAGTCAAAGTCTTCAAAAATATCAATAGTGTACAATGTTTCTGTTCTCAGCTACATTTTTGTATAGGCTATACAATTAATGAATTCAAGTTTATTTTCCAGACAACTTATAATTATACCCAAGCTTATAATGAACAATGTCTTTTTAGTATGTGAACCACCAAGCTTCAACTCATCATGTGCCAGTAGATCAGCAGCTGTGACGACATGTGATTGCTTGGATTCCAACTGTAACATCATCGATGAAGTTGAATGTGAACCTGGATGTACCTGTCCAGATGGTATGGTCATGGAAGATGGAGAATGTAAAAATGTGACTTTATGTGGATGCCTTGTTGGGGATGTGGAATATAATGCTGGGGATAAGTGGAAAGATGAATGCAATGATTGGTGAGATATTTTTGTTAATACCTTTTTTTTTGTTACATTACATGTAGTACATGGCGAAGTGGATTATATTTAAGCTCTTGCCTCATAAGTAAAAGGTTCTGGGTTCAACACCAGTTCCCAGTGCTTTTTGTGGATGCTTTAATAATGATTCCTATTGGGTTTATTAATGCACCCGGTAGAAAGTTTTAGTGCTGCTAACTCAATAAAAGGATTTATTATTTAATAGACACATCGATAGATACAGGATATACGTATATCCAATATACTCGTTTATCCAAGAGGTATTGCTCATCTTAATACGTGGTAAACAAAATAAAATTATGTGCATTTTCTACAGTTGATGAACTACATGTATATTAAAACTTGTTATGTTATATTCATTTAATATCTCTCACGTATAGGTTTATGTTTAGAAGAAAACAAATGTCACCCATACACAATTCATACTTATAGGATATCCTATGATTTTGAGGAATATCATTTTTATCTACGAGGTGATATCGATTTCTGCACGAGAGAGCAGAGAGCACCGAGTAGATTAAAATTATATTCTGAAAAAATCATAGGATATTCTTATTATCCTACACTTACAAGGAGCGTACTAAATGTATAATATCATTGAAAATGAATTTTATGCCAAATAGAGTCAATTTGGCGGGAAATCAACAAGAGGAGTTTATCGTTACAATATCCTCAGCATATTGGGTTTTCCGGAGTATACCGTCACAATATCCTCCGCATATTGGTTTTCAGGAGTATATCGTGGTGATATCCTCTGGTTATTCATTTTGCCAATAGATATCAAATTTATTTTTTAATGTTATTATACATTTAGCACACTGAGTGAAGGCCAGGATAAACTGGTGTATCATTCCCATGCGTGTATTTGAGAAAAAGTAACATTTTTGCATCAAATAAAAGGAATTGCTTTTTTAAATGAAGGAAGTAGTCTTTCATCAACATCTATCTGTGTCTACAAGTGTTTTTCCATCTTCACTGTAATACTTTACATTTTTCTTGCAGTGAATGTGTAAACGGCAAGATTAATTGTACTCCTGGCATATGTAATGGTAATAATGCATTTCATTTATTGCTTTACATAATTTGATTAATAAATGACCTCCAAATAGTAAAATGTTCTGAAATGTGCAAAATATTCTCACTACCTTTCCAAGCTTTTTCTTGTTTTCGTTATTAACATATTCAATATATTTATTTTGATTTATTTTAGTTGATTGCGTATGGAGTGACTGGACAGAGTTTGGAGCATGTAGCAAGGAGTGTGACACGGGAGAGATGGTCAGATATAGGTAGCCCACTACATATTATATTAGACTGTAATATTTATGAGAAAGATGACATAATTTGGTATGACTTCTGCCTTTTGACCGGCACTTGCTATCTGTAACAATTGTTAGCATAAGAAATAAGGTTGATTTTTAACATCAGACTGTGAACGCTGAAAGGAATAGGGCTTAGTAATGTTCAAATTGTCTTGATATTTGTTAACCCCTATAGATCCTCGATAGGTTTGAAGTGATTTTTGTACCATGCCATTCACCATGCTCACGCGGTACTAACTTTGAGCGTTAATTTGAATTTTTGACCTACCAGATGCTTGAAAATCAAGGATTGCGAGTCTCATACTGCACCGTTTTCCTTCAAACTTATACCATTAAAAGCAAAACAAAATTGCCTTTCTGTCGGTGCATTACTTTATTGTAAAGAGTTCCTCGATCTAGCAGCGTTTTGGTCCCCAGCTGTTAGAAGGCCTTCGTACAACTGGAGACCAAAATGCGGCTGGAAGTAGGGACTCTGTTGAAGAGAATGATGTACCATCAGAAAGGGATTTGTTTTATGCTTTGAATGGAACAAGTTTGAAGAAAAACGGTGCAGTATGAGACTCGTAATCCTTGATTTTCAAACATCCGGTAGGTCTAAAATTCAAATTAACGGTCGAAGTTAGGACCGCGTGATGTTGAGAGTGATAATTTGTAGAATTGGTAAGAACAATGCTCAAATGTGATTTGAAATCCATATCTTTGCCACATATATATTTAAATAGAATCCATGCTAGTAATGTGCACTATCCAGAAGGAGTCAGGTAGACTTGCTTTAGGTGATGACATTTTGACATGTTAATGTGTGAATGTTTCCAGGGCTGTTGTATCAGAAGCTTTGGGTTCTGGTGAACCTTGTACAAACATTACCAGTGAACGAGCACTATGTAACACAGAGTGTTGTCCAACATGTGAGTACAAAGGCAAAGAGAACCCAATCGGTGAAGTGTGGAATGATGGCCAGTGCAAACAATGGTAAGATAAACGAGTTCAAATATTAGATTTAATATTTTTACTTTACTTTTTCCAGGTAAAATTTGACAGAAAATATATTTTATCTCAAATCAAAGCTCAACCAGGTTTAACCTGACACAAAGTACCAAGTCTGAGTCTTGAAGTACTTTTATGAAAAGTACAATTACCCAAATGCGAGTAGGCAGTTACCAGTTTCACCACCAGGTGGCTGATTCGGGTCAATTAACATGGCAGGTATATAAGAAAGTTCCCTTAAACTTGAATATTATTAATTTAAGTGGCTCAATTTTCATATAACCCTTATGTGTCTGATACTTATACTAATGAAAATATGTCCAGTAAAGCAAAATATTATCTGTCCACTCAAAGAAAAGATATTTCATTTTTTGTGGTTTTATAGCATGGGGTCTATGGGGAATCTCCCCGAGCTAGAAGTCACATTTTCAAAGAAAATTAATTTTTCAAAGTTGATAAACACTTTTTAAAACCACATTTCTAGATGTAATTTTACATGTAGATTTCAAATATGATATTACTTTATTAATTTTTAATGACGTAAATCAAGATTATTTCTACTCGCATGTGGGTTATTGTATACATCCAAAACCAGTATACAATCTGAATCACCTAAAAGTATTTCACCTTTGGGATACACTTCATGTATGTATGATCACTTTGTTTTCTTTTAGCCTCTGTCTCTGTGATGGTACATCTAGCTGCTACCCAATTGAACCATGTAAGGACAGTCCTTTTCATTAGAAGTTCATGTATGATTGATTCAATTGTTCTGGAATCTCTCGAAAAATCACACATCATTATTAATTTCTATATCCACCACATAAGATATTTAAGTATTATAGCTTTCCTTGTGTGTATTATAATATGCTATTTGTATTTAAGGTTATAATGGGACTACTACCATATCACCAAATGTTACTACAACAAAAGATCCTAGTATGTACAATGTTCATATTTTGAAATTTTGTTCAGAAATATGAGATACACATGACACACATAATAACCACTACTCTCAATCTACATAAAACTATAAAATCAATGATTTACAGAAAGCATTTAAGTCCATACTCCCCAAAAATGACAATGTTTATAATAAATGATTTATTGAACTTAAAGATGCCTGCAAATGGGGTCAGTGGTCTGACTTGGGACCATGTTCGCATAGTTGTGGTATTGGTTCTGCAATGAGATCTCGAAGCATAGACACTCCAGCAATTGGTAATGGAGCTCCTTGTATGGGTGAAACTACTGATATTCAGGACTGCAACACTGAAGCATGTCCAGGTAAAACTGATATATGCAGAAACACTTACTATTATAAAATAGTATAAAATACTATCACCCATTGCATTTCAGCATATTTCCATCATTCATCAGTTAAGTATTGATTCATCTGAAAAGAAAGTATGTCATTTGTACTTTACATTTATCTACAAAAAATGTTTTAGTATTGAAAAAAAAATAGTTTCAATACTTGCATTTTAGTTGACTGTGAATTATCTGAGTGGTCTGATGCCAGTGAGTGTTCAGTGACATGTGGAGTTGGTGTAGTCACCAGGACTAGATCTATAGTAGTTAAGAGTAAATTTGGAGGCAAAGAGTGTGAAGGGCCACTTCTAGAACAGGACATATGCACCAAGGACCAATGTGATGGTAATTACTTATTAACTAATGCTTGTCCAACCATAACACTATAAATTACATCAGCATTGTAGGCAATTATTATACAGAGCACTTAAGTTCTTTTTATAAATCTTTTATTTTTAAGTGTGGGATATCTGATAAAAGGATACCATTAAAACGTTATAGTATACATTATTTGTCGCATAGTTAAGATAAAAATTAATGATACATTGTAGAATGTAAATATAAATATAATTATTTCATAAAATCTTTTGTTTTTCTAGAATGTATACCTCCAAGCTTCAACTCTTCATGTGCCTCACAATCACTCAGTATCAAATCGTGCAGCTGTATTGCCAATCCTGATTGCATTCTTAATAGTGGTAATATCATATGTGAGCCTGGTTGTATTTGCCCTGATGATATGGTCATGGAGCAGGGTGAATGTAAACTCAGGACAGAATGTGGATGCATGGTAGGAACCACATCGTATCAAAATGGTGACAAATGGAATAAAACTGACTCTTGTGACATTTGGTAAGATATGCATCTTAAAAATGCCCCTCATGTGTTATGTGTTGAAAAATAGAATAACAAGAAGTGGAAATGAGGACAGTGTTTGTAGTCCTGATCTAAAAAAAATTGTATTCAGATATACTTTTGTACACATCTTCATTTCTGATTAAAATTATATAAAATAAATAAATAATATAAAACTAAATAATATTAAACATTCATGCGTTTTGCAGGCTCTTATTATTTGAGGTTATTTTTGAGTTGGTATTGAAATCACAGTTTCAGTTTCATGTGTATGAAATACAATACGAACTATAGTTTTTGTTTCCCTTGATTTCAGTGAGTGTATGAATGGCAAAGTTGTATGCACCAATATGGATGAAAACTGTAACAGTGAGTCTGTTATATAATAATTACTATTTATATATTTGTTTTATACATGCACTTACTTTCAAATATACTTGTACATGTTCTTTAATGTAGTGAAGATGAACATGTCATATTCAATTTTTTATTAGTTCCTATAAAAATGATATGAATGAATTATTGGCAAACACCCTAAAATCTAATTAATAAATATTCATAATAATTACCACTGGTATTTACCTAACTTCTAGTTTCTATTATCTATCTAAATTGTAGTTCTATTGGACCATAATCTTGATACTAAAATGGATTCATATCTGGTAATAATATCCGTTTCATAATTTTTACCAAAAAACATGATTTTGACAAAAATATGAATTAGTTACCTTCATTTAATAAAATAAGAACAGTTTTTCAATTATTTGTCCAAACACTTTCAATCACTGAATACTCCTTGTTGGTGAAGATACAAAATTAAGAAATGATCAATTTCATAATTACGGATATGGATTCATTTTTTAAGGACCATTCTCACTGGTTGATCTAGAAGCTATCAATGAGGGGGGGGGCACATTTCAAGTCTGGAAAAAAAGTTGGGCCCCTTAAAGCAACATTTTGGCCCAAATGTTGAAAATTTATGGCCTATTTTTTGAAAATTTGGGCTAAAAAAGATCCATTTTTGAGGCCCTACAAAATGTTTGGGGCCATTAAAATTTTTCTGGGCCCTCCATTACAAAACAATTTATCATTTGATTTTAGTTCCTTGTATATCAGAATGGAGTGGCTATGGCAGTTGTAGTGCAAAATGTAATGGTGGAGAAATGACAAGATATAGGTAGTTTTTTAAGTTTCCATTCTGAAGTAAGACTTGCATAACAAAAAAAGTTGCATATCCCATTTTTTGCAGCTTATTAATGTGCTAAAACACTTTCACTAAATTACTGTTAGTAACTTCCACTTGTACCTGATACAATATCAGTCCATAACAAACACTCAGCCACTTTGGATCATGTTTATCATTTATAGACAGAAATGATTAAATTATCAATACACTTTTAGAACCATTGTGAGTGTTGCTAAAGGCAATGGTACAAAATGCACTGGCCCAGACAGTGAAACTGTTTCATGTAACACTGACTGCTGTACAACATGTACTTACAATGAGATTGAGCATGAAGTAGGGACACCTTGGAAGCAGGGCAAATGTACTGACTGGTGAGTCTGATTAAGCTATTGGACATAATTTTCTCCAAAGATCAAAACTAGCAATATGATCTATAATTTTTGGTACAATTGGGGTTTGCAATAATGTTAAAAGTTTACAATCTTGCCAATTCTGCAAGACCCTCAAGACCCCTCTCAACTCATTAGTGTTAGGCATTCAGGATGAAAAATTTGTATATAGGATCACCTATTGGTGGGGACATTTGTGTTCTTGTGTAGATATTGTTTTCTGGATGTTATTTTTTCATTTACAACCATTGTTTGGGTGCTTTGTGGTATTTTTCTTACAGATAACATGTTTTGTTTTAGTCATTGCCTTTGTGATGGAAGTGCAGTGTGCCTTGATATAAATGGGTGTAAGTATAACTTTATTTCATTACTTTATTGTTAAGTAATCTTGATTAACAAATTGGTCTATGACCACTTACACCCAAATACAGAACCATTCAAACAATATATTGATTAATCTTTATGCAATCAACCTCATCCTATACACCCAGAAACTACAATATTTATGTGACAATATAACTTCAAAATTGTTTTATTTGTATTTCATTCACTAATCATCTTGCCATGAACAATCCACATAATGTTCTTTTGAAAAAAAAACACATTTTCAATTTTAAATATCAACCAATGGGACAGCTATGGTCTGTTTAGATGGTCATATTATATTAGTTTCTTCTTTAGTGGTATTTTGTTAGAAAAGGGTATTTATTAGGCCTCCTTTTTACTTTATTACATATGATAGAGTTGCACAATATGTTTCGAAGTGCTCCTGTTTGGTGGGAATGCTCAACAGAGTAGTACTAATGTTTTAATGTGATACAAACAGCTGTACAATGAGTTAGCTGTAAACTATGCTACCTGGGTGATTTTCTTGGAGTAAATCCAGTTTGTAGTAAATCCAAATTGAATCTCACATACTGATTTTATAGTTGTTCTTGTTATCATTTGGGCTCTCCGGAGACTTTGACATTAAGTTGATAGATTTTGTATTTCTGTTAAATTTGATCAACAGAGACACATTTCCTCTTTTGATTTATATTTCGAAGTGACATTTGATATCATGCCCTCTTTTATTTAAAATTTTATCCATGTTGCTCATTTCCTTTTCCTTAATCAATGTTCCTTCTCCAAAAGACACATTCTTGAAGTTTGGTGGTCCTTTTTTATTTGGGTCACCCTGTGTATGTGCAAACTCCCATTTATAGGTGTGGAAGAGGAAACAACTACTTGGACTCCAATAACTCCAACTCCATCGCGCACTACTCCAGGACCAGGTTTGTAGTTGAAATACACATATATAATTCAATAGAACATATTCACTGGTTTATATATTTCAAACACCCCTACCCCAACATCTATTTGAATCGTTAAATACTTTATTTATAATTTGTGCAGTTGCCTTAGATGTCTACTTTTGTATACATTATCTATTCAGGGTATATTAAACTCATAAATATTCCATGCATAGTAGTATATATTTATATTTGTTCTATGTTGACCTTTCTTCACTTTAGATGATTGCATCTGGGAACAGTGGTCTGAATGGGGTCAGTGTACTAAATCGTGTGGTGTGGGAACTAAGACCAGGAATAGGAATATAGCTAAACCAGCAACAAATGGAGGCAATGCCTGTCTCGGAGAGAGTACTCAAGTGACAGACTGTAACACAGACTTTTGTCCACGTGTGTACCTCATTCCATTCAACCTATGAGATCTTTAGCAAAATAATCTTGGCCACGCTTATTCATAAGTGTTGGTACATTGTTTAAGATTTTTTTTTTTTTTTTATTCACATTTATATGACTAGCTATATACATCATTGAAATAATGCTTATCATGAATCATTCTGTTTTAGCTATCTGTACATACACTGCATGGAGTGATTTTAGTAAATGTTCTGTGTCATGTGATGTTGGTGTAAAAACAAGGACGAGATCATTGGAAGCACCAGCTCAATTTGGTGTGGAATGTCCCCGTTTCATCACTGAACAAGAAGTCTGTGTGAAAAAGAAAACATGCGAAGGTAATTTGTAAATGATCACAATCAGTAGAAGACAGCATATGGTGTGAATTTCAGATTTTTAGGAAAACTAATTTTGCAACACCAAGTCAGTCTGCAAACCTCTTTCGAATTGTTCTCAATTTCTCTTTCCACTCGTATAATATGATCAATATTATATTGAACTATTATTCCAAAAAGACAGAATAAGATTTTGCCAAACATCAGCATACTGAAGTTTGGGAATCCTTTGCTGTCCAAGTCGATCAAAAATAAGTTTAGAAGTGTCACTTAAATCAATCATCATAATAATAATGTACCAGTAGATCAAAGAGCCTATGGTAAAGGTAATCTTTGTCATTTTTCCATTGCATTTAGTACAGAATCAAATGTTTTGCCCAAAGAATCTGCTGTAAGCTATTTACACTTCAATTTTTCAATTTCAATTTAGGAATGTTGCAAAAATGTTCTATTATATATCATTTTGCTGCAAATGAAATTATCCTTAAAATGGTATATCATTGTTGGTGTACCTGTTAAAAAATAAATATTTATCAGGAATACTGGCTAGGGGGGGGGGGCATTTTTGGCCCACCCTGTAAGTGAAAGTTTATTTGTTTCAGGCCATGCTTGTATTGTTTTAAGTTCTCGATTCAGAGTAGTTTGTAGGTCCACTAATGTTTTTCCATTGATCAAGATATTTTTGTCATCTGCAAATAGGACAAATAGAAGATCATGTGAGGTCAAATAAATGTCATTAATATACAAGATGAAAAACAAAGGTCCTAAAACCGAACCCTGGGAGACACCACAATGAATTGTTTATATTACTTACATTACCCTCACCAAATATGTCTCTATCTCTACCAGGAATCACTAGTGAAATCATAGCTAAGAGCTAGATCATCTTTAGTCATACACTAGTGAAATATGTGTCTCTAGCTATATATATATTTTGTTTTAGAGTGCATTCCACCAAGTTTCAACTCATCATGTGCAAGTAAGTCAGCTACAGTAATCACATGTGACTGTTTGGATGCAAGCTGTAACTTGCAAGAGGTTGATGAATGTCTGCCTGGGTGCACCTGTCCAGAAGGCATGGTCATGGAGAAAGGAGGATGCAGGAATGTTACAACTTGTGGTTGTAGAGTAGGGGATATGAAATATGCCAATGGTGATTCCTGGAATGAAACTGATGCCTGTAGAGAGTGGTGAGTGTTTCTTGTTTACTAGTTTTAAGATATAGACCAATTCCAGGCCCGTAGCCAGGATTTGCCAAGGGGGGGTTCAGTTTTCAAAAATTTCCAGGGGGGGTTCACATTTGACAATTTTGGTCCAAATATGGCTAAAATCACTTGAGAAGTGCTCAAAATGGTGAAAAACTGCATGATTTTGAAAGAATTTTTGCCCAGGGGGGGGTTCGTCCGAACCCTGCGAACCCCCCCCCCCCCTGGCTACGGGCCTGAATTCTAGAACATGAGGTATGCTCTAAAATCCTTGATGACTGCACCACATGTTTTTGCAACTACATGTATGGGGTATATATACCAACATTCTGTTCTTAGATCATCTTGTTCCTGCTAATCTAGTATAACATATCTCAATGATGAAAATTAAAAAAAATATATTCCAAAATTAGTGGGTCTTATAGTGGGTCCCCCAATATTTATGCCTTTACATTTCTTCGTGTCAAATTATTCCATATTGTACCATATAATTTTAATGTATTTAATTGTGATATTTTTTAGCAAATGTGTTAATGGAAAGACAGAATGTACACCTTATAGCTGTGATGGTAGGTCATTCAAAATATACTTAATATAAACTTATTTATAATATATATATGTTTAGCACATATTTGCACCAAGAATGTTCAGGGATTCAGGCAGAAATACAAGTTAAGTGAGTCTCAAATGAGTCTTGTGTCATTATTTCAACTCTTTTATTTGAGCATCTCACGTAACATCAAAACTAATATTAAAAACTTAAAAGAAAGTTTTGATTGTACAACTTCATTTTTGAGATTGTGTATTTCACAACATAAGAGTGCCCACTTTGAGCTTTTAAGGAAATGTAAGGAATGGTCTGGTTAGATTATTAACCAATGATTCAATATTATATTTGATTACAGTTCTCACTTATGTTTTTATGCTTGTTTATTCTTTAGTTGATTGCAAGTGGAGTGATTACATTGATGGTGTATGTGATAAATCATGCAATGGAGGAACTTTGACACGCTACAGGTATATACCCATTTATATGGTTGCATCATGGCCCAGTATATACTCTTTCCCTCATAATGTATTATAAGGACTATGACAGCTCATGTGCTGCTACTCTAGTATCACTAGAAGTTTGATCATTAGTAATTTAGTGGTTAGTGTACCAATCAAAATATAGTATAATACAATCTCAGTTTTGTTTTGTTGATTCTATTAGGCAATATGATGTATATGCATTGGCTACAAGTAAAACCTTCATTAGGGCCCATAGACATATCATAATGACTGGATAAATTAGTCTGTATGTGATATCATTCTCATACCTAATTTGCTGTAGCTATATGAGCACACATCTTCTCTGTTCTATGACCCCAAGGGGGAAGGAAAGGGGTATAGACCAATTAAAGTTCAAGCCTAAGCTATAGAATCACCTTAATATAATCCTTATCCAAAAAACAAGAGTTATAGATGTTTTTAATTTTTTTACAGGACCATTGAGATAGAAGCAAAAGGCAATGGTGCTGCCTGTATTGGTGGAAATAGTACAACAACAGAATGCAACACAGGATGTTGTCAAACATGTAATTACAATGGAGAAGAACATGAACTAGGAGTCTTCTGGTTTGATGGACAATGTGTGCAATGGTAAGAAAACATATATCAAAGGTCTCTTTATATTAGTTGCGTATTCAGGCCATACTTTGTACTTTACAATCATATACATTTAGTAATAATGTGCAGTTTTTTTCATTAAAATGTATATTCATGTTCAGAATTTTACTCAAAAATGCTTTTCAGCTTAAACTTTAAAGGATGATTGTTTAGCTTTGTTCATAAGGATTTTACTTAACATAAGATAAATCAGTATTATGTATATTTTTGGCATTTATTTTAATAAGATGAAATATATTTTTAGTATTTGTCAATGTGATGGTTTCCCAAACTGCTACCCTGTTGAAAAATGTAAGTACCATTTATTCAATTTAAATACTGAAGATTTGTGTTCGAGCATTAACATCAGCTGCATCTAGTCAGATTGACTGACAAAACAACCTTTTTTGGGGTTGTTGAGTTGGCCGAGAGGGCTTGAGTACTGGCACGTTCGAGCTAGATTCGTGTACTCCTTGTGTTTATTCATTTATGGTAGATTCAGGAGCATGTTATGAAGTACAATAAGTATGTCAGCCTTATAAAAGTAAAACACTATACATATTTAAACAGAATGTTTTTATAGAGGAGATTTGCAACTTTTGGTTTGTACATTTTAGGTAATGGCACTGGTACAACTCCTGAACCAATAGATCAAACAACTCCTGAAGGTCAGAAAACCGTTTAGGATAACACATTCACGTTTCCTTTATTTTAACTTGTTGAATAATATAAATGCATGTTAGAAAATATTGTCTTACATTTCTTCTTCAATTCATCATGCGTAACTATGTTTTATGTTAGCTTGTCCATGGAACCCATGGTCTGACTGGGGCCCCTGCTCAGCAACATGTGGTATTGGCAGCCGCACAAGAACAAGGACTGATCCAAGTCATGCAGAACTTCTGTGCCGTGATGCTGGTGATACAACTGATATTGGCGACTGCAACACTGAACCATGCCCAGGTAAGACAAAAAATTAAGTTTAAATTTAAAAAGAAAATTATGAAATTATCAATGAGTAAATAAATTTTTCTCAAACTATATTTAGGTGATCCCTAAGCTGTACTTGATAATTATTGATTTCAATCAATTTGTCAATTGTCATTTTCAGTTGACTGTGAATTATCGGAGTGGTCTGATGCCAGTGAGTGTTCAGTGACATGTGGAGTTGGTGTAGTCACCAGGATTAGATCTGTGGCAGTTGAGAGTAAATATGGAGGCAGGGAGTGCAATGGATCCCTGTTAGAGCAAGAAATATGTGTAAAGGAGCAGTGTGATGGTATGTGTCCCCTATTCCAAGCAGTTAAGAAAGATTTCACTTATTGTTTCACCAATATTGCACTAATGACTTTACACTGATTTCACAGGGAGAGCTATTGTTGACATTTATTTACAGAGTGTATTCCTCCAAGCTTCAACTCCTCATGTGCCTCTCAATCACTCAGTATCAAATTGTGCAGCTGTATTGCCAATCCTGATTGCATTCTTAATAGAAATAATGTCGCATGTGAGCCTGGTTGTGTTTGCCCTGATGATATGGTCATGGAGGAGGGTGAATGTAAACTCAGGACAGAATGTGGATGCATGGTAGGATCAACTCAATACAATAATGGGGACACCTGGAATAATACAAATTCTAAATCATGTGAAAAGTGGTAAGAACCTTTGCACCATTGTTCAGGAGATGTTACATGATATAATTATACTTTTATGTTAATAAAACAAGGGTAAGCAACATTTAAATTTTAATTAGAATAAGTGATGCAACACATTCCATTAGTTCTCTCATTTTGTTAATTTCAGCGAATGTAAGAACAGTGAGGTGACATGTACACCCTTTGCCTGTGATGGTAAGTGTCGCTAGATCAATGAACTATGGTTATTGAAAATAATCTATCATAAAATATCTGATTGTATTTTATTGTATGAATGAAAATCAAATATTAAGTTGACATTGTGTTGTTTAGTGGACTGTAAGTGGGGTGCTTGGAGAGAAGGTGTTTGTGATAAAACATGTGGAACAGGAGAAATGACAAGTTACAGGTATTCTCTTGTTTAATTAAGTTTTGTTTAAATATTAATTTATTTACATTCCAAAAAAAATGTGCAATGCAGTTCTCAAAGCTTGCATTATATGTTTCTTATATCACACAAAAAATTATTATGGCTGCTGAAATCAAAATGCACAAAATTCTTCATTTGAAAAATTATCAATTTAATATGAATGAATGAGTAGTAAGCCAAATTGGGCATATCAGGTGTAGGTTTTGGTAAAGGGAGACCACCGCGAGGTAGATATTTCTATCATGAACCGAAACCAAGTCTATCATGAACTGGACCTGAGAGTCATTTGATAAAACATACTTTGTTCAGTTGAATCTGTAACTCAGCCATGAGTTACAGCTCAGTCTGTCTATACATTAAAACATATTTGTTTTAGGAGCCCCGATGTTGAAGCACAAGGCAATGGGAAAAGATGTAGAGGTCCATCAAACAAGACTGAGGCATGTAATACAGATTGTTGCTTGACATGCACTTTTAATGGTATTGATCATGAGTTAGGAAAAGCTTGGAATGCCCCTGGATGTAGAGAATGGTATGTACAATTACTTCTTGAATGGGACAATGCGCAATTGGATTATGCAATTTTAATCTTTCATTTATCACTATTACTATGAGAATAAATTGTTATCATTTAATATTCTTTTTACAGTAATTGCTTATGTGATGGAAGTTTCTTCTGCATTGTAATTGATCCAAATTGTAAGTAACCAATTTAAACACCATGCATATAATGTAAATTAATTGCTACTGCAAAATACACGATTAACCATATACATGTATAGTAGAAACCAATACATTTTGTTTATGATCTTGGCTCATGCAAGTAAACAAAACAATATAAAACTCAACATATTAGTGAAATAGAGTGTAGTGAAATAAATATACTTACCCATTGACAGGGTGAGCCAAAAAGGTAACCTAAGTTAGTAACTCAGTCATCCAGCATAGGTTTTTATGTCATATTTTGCAGAATTTAACCCTGTTTAATTTTCCTCCACTCTACTAAGTTTAATTAGTCTATTCCCAATGGTCCACTTTCATGCCCATTTTATAAAGCATGCTCCAAGTGCTGAAGCATGCCAAACCCACCCGATATGAACCCCCAGACTTTGATCTTTGGGACTTTGAAAGACAATGTCTACACCAACAACCCTAGATGCATCAGAGAGTTAAAACAAGAGAATGAAGATTAGAGTCATTACACAAGATATCTGTGAGCTGTAGTCAGAATAACTCAACCTGAGATGAAACCATTTATTTAGCATGTTTTGTAACATGGCTATTTAATCGTGACCATTAAGAAAATGCAACTGAAACCTGGTAGAATTGTTCAAGTTCAAATACCCCATATATGACTTAAAACCCATGCTGAATGACTGAGTTATTCAAGTTTGTTTGGATTACCTTTTTTGGCTCACCCTGTATCTACATGTTTGTCCAATGTTGTATTCCAATATTCGTTACACAATCTTGTAATATTGTATTTAAGGTACTGAGGCAGGACCAACGACACCCTTCATTACAACACCTGTCACAGGTACTTGCAACTATCCTGTTATACAAATGAAGGAGCACTTAGTTTTAAAATTAACAAGAAGCTTATAATTGTGTGAACATGTCTCTTGCATAATAATTTGAAATTCATTTGATCAACTGCTTGATATCAGTAGAACATAAAACTAATTTCTCAATCAGCCTTTTTGCTCACCAAAATTAAATATCTTCCAAATTAGACAGTCAACACCATTTTACTTTTGAATAGGTTTTAGATCTCTTTGTTGTATAATGTATCCATACAATAGAAATGTGAAAAATAGAATAGGTCCTTACATTTTGAAAAAGTATCAAGGTGGAGTCCTAATCCTGGGCATATATATAAAACTTGCAAATTATGATGTGAAATGTGATTCCGTTAGTTGAATATTTTATTTGGAAAAACCGCCTTAAAAATGTACATGCTAATGTGAATAGTGACCAGATAATTGTCATTTATATTTTGCATTTTAGATAAGAATGAAACAACTCCCCGCGATCCAGGTAAATACTAATAATATTAATGAAAAATTATGATGAAAACATTTTGAGAAGATCCTTCTTGATAGGAATATTCTAAAGGAATGAAGGTGTACATTGAAATTTTATACAAACTTGACAATAGCCTTAAGTCTAGATAATTGCACTTCTGAGAAAATATAATAATCCTAATATAGTTGAAGACATTTATATTCTGTACCATTGACATTTTATGGAACCTATACTACACCCCTAATCCGCACTCTAAAGTCCCGGTACTGTACAGTACATTGAGAGTATGGTTCAGCCAATCTGCAAAAGTTATGTGTATGTGTATACTTTTAAAGGCCCCATGTAAAGTTAAAACCACTTTGGCTTATATTGTAGTCTTACCCAATGTTATCAAAGTGTGATATGTGAAACTTTTTTTTTTAATTTCAAAAAGTGGTTTTTGATAGACTTTTTGTTCCAAAATTTGTGAATTTATTTAAAACCAACTTTTAGAGGTCACTCATATCTTCTAATTAGCCACAATTCATACCAATGCACAGCATTCATCCTCCCATGTTTTTTGCCGAAAAAATTAAGAAAATCGGTTGATAAACAAGCGAGAAATGAACTTATCAGTGCATGAAAATGGTTCTGAGAAAAATGCATTTCAAAATTTTAGTTAAAATTTTAATTCATAGAAACCAATGGTACAATGATATCTAAAACATAATTTATTCTTCCTTTTAACCCGGTTAGACAATCAACATTGGTTTTTTATGAAAGTCTAGCATATTTAGAAAAGATTGACATCGAAAAAAAAAATTCAATTTTTTTCAAAAAGTTTTTGGTACCTTAGTGACATCACTAATGTTTCAAAATATTTTTGATAAGCTAAAACATTGAAGTGGCCCATTAAATATGACATTTTATTATTGAAATAGTGTGTCTTTTGTTCAATCTTTGCATTGGTGTTAAAAAGATAATCTTTTTTGAAATGCATTAAGAAATATTTGATGATTAAGAAATTTCAACTTTTTTTGAAAAATGGCGGGAAATTTGAATATTTGAGAAATGAAATGCTCACAACTTTTTTTTCAAAAATTTTTTTTTGTTCAAAAATCTCTAAAATCACTTTTTAAGTCCTGACAAATAGTAAATGAATGATAAAACAATATTTTCAAACCTTAGACGGGGACTTTAAGCACTTTTGCTATCACCCATTGCCACGTACCTGTTTATAGTGTGTACACTGTCAATAATAATGGTTTATTGTGGTAGTGGTAAATCTTGCAAAATTTGTCTTGCAAAATGGCCCACACTTTTATTGCCGAAAAGAAATTTGAAATAAAATTCCTGTAGACTTTCAAAATAGCTATTGCTTATATTGTCCAGATGATTGTAAATGGGGTGAATGGTCAGATTGGGACAGTTGCACAAGGATTTGTGGTGTTGGAAATACAACAAGGACAAGAAGTATAACAAGACCTGCTATAAATGGTGGAGCTGCATGTACAGGTGGTGCAAATGAAACTAAAGATTGTAATACAAACAAATGTCCAGGTAAACATATCTAATAGTTTAAAGGCTCTAAAGCATGCTTTTGAAGTATCAGCATTATCAAAACATTGAATTGATGCTTATCTTAACTCTCAAATGAATTTCCATATTATTTGGAATTGTAAAAGTAGATTTTGAAATAAAACTTGGATTTCAAGGATCCAACTTATATTATTTGATAGCAGTTTCTTTATAACCGGGGGGGGGGTCCACTATAACCATGGGGCATCAACTATAGAAACCGGCCAATCTGAGAGGAAAAACACATGGAAAAATCACTGGAACAGGTATATTGGGCTTTATAAATACTGTCCATCTCAGGCACTGACATGTCTTTGTAAAATTGTATGTATGTTTCAGTTGACTGTGAGTTGTCTGAGTGGACTGATTATAGTGAGTGTTCAGTGACATGTGGAGTGGGTGTAATAACCAGAAGTAGGAAGGTGGTTACAGAGCCAAAATACGATGGAGATGAATGTGAAGGACTCTTTGAACAGGAACAATGTTTCAAAGAACAATGTGATGGTTTGTTACTTAACATTTGTTTGATAATTGGAAGAGAAATGATTTCATTCCTTGACTCAAGATGGTATGGACTATATTTAACTATGACTATATTTACATGTATATAATGGTACCATATTATATATACTTTAGAAAGAAACAAGGATTTAGGGGTCTGACATATATGTCTTGAGAAACTTAATACATCCATTAGACTGTATTTGTTATAAAATAGACCTTTATCTCACAAAACACTTATGTCTTTGTTCTTGTTGATGTATTAGCATGATGTTATGCATCAAATAATGGAGAATTATCTTAACAATGATGCAGCATATACTATGTAATATTTAAAAATGAATAATTCTTTGTTTCAATTTCAATTTTGGTATCCTGAAAACTGTTATATTTCCATTCTAGAGTGTATTGAACCAAGTTTTAACTCATCATGTGCCAGTCGAGACCTAAGTATTCAGGCATGTGTCTGCATTGGTAATGAGGATTGCATACAGTCATTGACAGATGTTGAATGTGTTCCTGGTTGTGTCTGCCCAGGGGGTATGGTCATGGAAGAAGGGGAGTGTAAAACAATTGCCTCGTGTGGTTGCCTTGTTGGATCTCAGAGATACGCAAATGGGGAATCTTGGACAGATGGTTGCAATAATTGGTGAGGCCATTGAACAAAATCACTATTATTTGAAAAATCATTAGTTACATAATCTACATATCGTAAACTATACACTTATATGTGTGTAATAGTGTATTCAGAAATGTACTTGCGGTTTTAAATTTCTTCATTTTTATTTTAGTGAATGTGTAGATGGTGAATATGTGTGTACTCCATTTGAATGCAATGGTAAATTATTTTAGATACTTCTTTTCATTGACCACTCACTGTACAACTTGTACCAATCCACAACTAGATAGACTTTTATACTCAATGTACAATGAATCTCAGTGACCTCTATTTTATCACACTTTTTCAAAATGTGTTATTGTCATCTTGTGCTGAAATAAAATTACTTTGAAATTGAATTGAATTGAACTGTGGGCATGCCATGCAAATCTTGTCATCAAGAGGCAAGAAAAACTCCTTCCTCTTCAACTTGAATTAAATGCAGATTCAAAAACAGACTAGTACCAAGATCTGACCAAATCTTTTTAATAAAACATTACAATATTTATCAGTGTGTGGCTTGTTTATGTTACAGTTGATTGTAAGTGGAGTGATTGGAGTGCCTATGGTGCTTGTAGTAAAGCCTGTAATGGAGGGGATATGTCCAGATACAGGTAAATGTAAATTGATACCATAAGCAATATTGCATGTATAATATTTTGCTAACAGACCATGGGTTTCAGGTCTTTCTTTGGAGCATTCAATTGCATGCATTTCCCAAATTGCTGAAATCATCTTCTGACACATTTTAATGAGAACAGTTCACTGATACTCAGCATGTAAATGCAAATACCGAGTGACAATGTAATGTATTTGACATAAAATGACTTTTGTGACATTGTGTCCATTTTCCTGTCCCTGGAAGTTTGAAATATTGCATCTCCAATGAAAATATTCTAAAGATAAGACATGGCTTAATCAAAGTAATAACAAAATAAAAAAAACATGTTGTCATTTCCGGCTCACCATGTTTATACAAGGGTCGATCCAGATATTCTGATAGATGTATATTTATACATACAGGTCTATAGACGTCGAGGCTCAGGGTAATGGGACGTGCAGTGGATCAGAAACTGAAACAACGCCATGCAATACAGACTGTTGTCCAGTGTGTAATTATGTTGGAGTTGACCATGTTAACGGGGAAAAATGGCTAGAAGGAACTTGCAATGAATGGTAAGCTGTATTATTGTGATATAGATATAAATTCTCATATATATTTTTGGAACATAGCAAGTGACTAATTCTGTAATAATAACATTTATAAATTCTACATTAATGTCCTGGATCCCTCTCCCAATAAAATAACAAAACAAGGCATGTGCGGTTGGTTAGATGGCATAAGCTTGTCTGTTAGACTGGTCATCGCTGGGAGGGGTTTGAGTGTAGACACCGCGATCCCCAGGGTTACAATGGTCAGTCTAAGATGCTGCGTTTTAATAAAACCCATTGACGCAACTCGACAGCCCCCAAAACATATTTTGAAAAGTATCAATATCTCAACAAATTGATGCTCAAAGACGTCACAGGTCATCTACAACTGAAATGTTGTGACGTAATGCAATGATTCAAGGAACCTATGAATGATGATCTTTAAGGTTCAGCTGTTCATTTTCTTGTAAATTGCAAAAATAGATTAGTATTTAAAGGTATACTGTAACATACAGCTGACAAAATGGTTAAAAAACATTTTTTCAGGTTTTATAGTCGAATCCATGGTTTAAAACCTTCTCTGGTGATTCTATTTATAATCCATGATTAAAAAAATATATATATTTCTATGAATTTATCTGATATCTGGTGAAATATTGTATGTATACTTGTGTTGATTGTTAAAATACAAAATAGGTAGGGTAAAGAATATTTAAAAGTTGTTTGATCTTTGTCCCAGAAGCAATATTTTGTTTTTTTTATCGACTAGAATTCCTTTAAATCGAATGTCAATTTTAAGTAAAAGCAAATCATACATGTCTGTATGTATGGCTGAACTTAGTATGAGGCACCAGGAGAGGTAACTGTTAGTCTCCAAGGTTTTTTTGGATGGTGTTCAGCGGTCATAGTTTGTTGTCTGTAATAATTTGCGTTCCACGTCTGTAACAATTTGCAATAACTTGGTGGTAACAATAACAAGATGGAGACATTTTGTCATGTCAATGCTTTGTTCTCATTTTTGGTAATTCTTAAGCCCCCAAACAAAGCATAAACCACTTTGGGTTATATTGTAGTCTTTCCCAATGTTATCAAAGTGTACATGTATCTTTACATGGAAGTCGTGACCAATACAATACAAAAAATACAAATATTTGTAATAATCAATGTATCCATTTAAACTAATTGCAATTTACTTTATTTTTAGTTATTGCCTTTGTGATGGGTCTGTTACCTGCTTCCCTGTTTATAATTGTATGTATATAAATCCTAAAAATTAAATATTATTGTCATTTAACTCGCAAATTGCATTTTTTAATGATCATAACTATCTTAGCAATTAGGGAGTTTTTTTCATTGTATTACAGTAATGTGTGAATTACTTATTTTTGGTATATAGGTACAGATTGCAAATGGGAGGATTGGTCAGATTGGGGAGAATGCACTAAAACATGTGATGTAGGTGTCTCAACAAGAACAAGAGGGATTGCAGAGATGGCAAAGAATGGTGGAGCTGATTGTCTGGGGGATAACATTGATACTATGGACTGTAATACAGATTTCTGTCCAGGTATATACACAATGGCTAAGATCACTATAAATCCTATTATATTGAATAATTATGCTTGCAAAGTGAGTGTCAGTCACAAATAGGATAATAGAAACAAACATCCAAGTGACAATCTCGCCTTGTATTCCATACAAACATAATTAGGGAATTCTAATTCTGGGATGTTGAGGATATGTGATTTTAGCTTAGTCAATGATTTATTGAAATATTATCTTCATAATAGCTGTCTTTGTGCATGCAATACATGTAGTCACTGGCTTGTCCAATCAACTGTCTTGTACTAATAGTTCCTAATGTTTCATCTCAAAATTTAGTTTTTGTATAAAGGCTTTTTGAAAAATGTGATTTTCCGCTTTTTGAAAAATGTGATTTTCTGCTTTTTTCATTTCTTCTCTTTATCATGATTTACCATGTTATGTCTTCAGTTGACTGTGTGGTATCTAGTTGGAGTTTATATGGCCCATGTTCAGTGACATGTGATGTTGGTGTGATGCAACGTAGCAGAACAATAGATGTACCTGCACAATATGGAGGAAAGGAGTGTCCTACTGTACTGATACAACAGGAAATGTGTGTCCAGAGCACAAAATGTCAAGGTGAAGTGTTACTTTACGACTATTTCTACCTTAATTAGTTTCATTTACAGTTTGGAAATATTCATACATACCCAATGAGCAGAATCAATTTTATAATGTCACCACCAAAAAGTGGAGACACATATTGTTATGGTCTCCGTTTTTTTATGGCGGTTGGCGACCCGCAGTTGGCGATCAGCGATCGACGCCTGTAACAAATTATTACAACTTCCAATAACTTAATTGTTTAGACTGACTTTTTTCAAAATCATCTCCATGTTTCCAGAAGTTCAAATCTGACTCTAAATCAAAAAAATCAAAAAGGACTTTTTTCAACTTGCTTCAAATTGAGCTATTTTTTTCAAATCATCTACAAGTTCTCAACAGTTCAAATCTGACTATAGATTTGACCTTCAATGACATTCTTAAGTTCATAAATGTATTTTTTATCTTGCTTCAAATTGACCAATTCTTTTTCAAAATTATCTACAAGTTCTCAGAACTTCAAATCTGACTTTAGATTTGAGATTCCACCTTCAATGACCTTCTCAGGGTCACAAAAGGTCTTTTTTAAACTGACCAATTTATTTTTTCAAAATAATCTACAAATTCAAAAAAATTCAAATCTGACTAAGATTGAACTCATAATATTGTGAGCAACAAGGTTGTGACATTTTGTCATTTTAATGCCTTGTTGTGTTTATCTTCTACAGAATGTATACCTCCCAGTTTCAACTCATCATGCGCAAGTAAATCAGCAGCTGTGACAACATGCGACTGTCTGGATACCAATTGTGATTTGAACAAAACCACCATATGTATACCCGGATGTACCTGTCCAGATGGTATGGTAATGGATGGTGGAGAGTGTAAAAATGTGGCATTGTGTGGATGTCGTGTTGGCTCTGTGGAATATAAAACTGGAGATATTTGGGAAGACACTACATCATGCCAAACTTGGTGAGGACAGTTGTGTTTCATTACTGTGTATTGTCTGTTGATCAACTTTATAAGTAAGGTGATAAATGATGCATGTCATGTCTCACATGGTCTGCGGGAAGATCAAGAAAGTTGAAGGCTTTGCCAAAAGAAGACATATTCTCAGTAGATTTATTTGACATTCTACTGTGTTAACTATTTGAATTGGTGTATTATGTTGTTTGATTCCCATTTTGACCAAACTGAATTTAAACATTTAGATATAAATACTTTAATTATGAAATATTAATCTGATATAAGTTTAGCATGTCATATATTACATTTTTAAGAATAAGAGTGAATGATGCTGTATTTAGACACTCCAGCCATAATATTGTAGAACCACAAATACTATGATGATTTAAAGTAGCTTTATGTCTGTACATTGTATTTGCTGTCAAATTATGTCAAAACGTTGCTTTTTAGTGAATGCAAAGATGGGCAGATAAATTGTACAGAAAATACAAATGATTGCGATGGTAAGTAGATCAAGAATAAATCAAGGTCGACAAAGTATAATACAACCAAGATCTTTCAAAACAATTATATCTGATTTATATCGAAATATGCAAGCACAGTTACCAAAGGAAAACTATTCAAAACTGTTTCATGGAAAATATAGTAAGAGACCACCATAGATACTATGTATCTGGTCCTAACCACAAGCCTGGTGAATAGTTCAGTAGTAAAGAGGACAATTGATCGTTAATATTTATGAGAAAGCAAATATTAGAATCATTTCCAGTAAACGTCAATCGTTTTGAATCTCAGTTTACCTGCAAGGTGTCGGCAATGATGAGAATACAATGTATATGGTCAAAAGTAATATAGTCCATTTGCGGTGTTCAAAAGTATTTGTAGCAACACAATAACCCCACGAAATAGGATGTTGGATGCTTTAATTTGTTAACAAACTTCTAATTATTTGCTCCTCTTGAATCCTTATCAGCATGCAATTATCCCAACTGCAAGTGGAGTGATTGGAAACATGGGGTATGTTCTGCAAAATGTGCTGGTGGGGAAATGACAAGTTACAGGTAATATAATTTGATATTACATACTATTATTTGATATTACGTACAGTACTATGATTTGATATTATGTACTATAATTAGATATGACATCCTATGATTTGATATTACATACTATTATTTGATATTATGTACTATAATTTGATATTACGTACTATGATTTGATATTACGTACTATGATTTGATATTATGTACTATAATTTGATATTACGTACTATGATTTGATATTACGTACTTTGATTTGATATTACATACTATTATTTGATATTACGTACTATGATTTGATATTATGTACTATAATTTGATATTACGAACTATGATGTGATATTATGTACTATAATTTGATATTATGTTGCATAAAATTGATATTATGAAATAGTATTGATTAATGTAAAAATGCAATTATCAAATCATTGGGTTTTACCTAATCTGTTGAGTCATGCATTTATTTCAAATCAACCCTTTTGGCCGAAAATGCCATTGCCATTTGACCAGATTTATTTCCTTTATTTTCTTAGAACTGTTGACATTGATTGTGAATCGTCTCAGTGTGCAGGCCAATCCACTAAAACAACACCATGTAACACTGAATGTTGCGACACATGTATGTTCAATGGCATGGAGTATCAAAGTGGAATTTTCTGGCTGAATGAGGAGAATGGAGAGTGCAAAAAATGGTATCTACATGTACATGTATACACTCTGTCCCAAGAAGTCAACATCAGAAGTTATGGCATATTGTTATAGTCTCCAACTTTTTCTTATTGTGGATAATATTTGGTGGTTGGTGTTCGATGGTTGGTGTTTGGCATTCAATTTCCGTAACAATGCATTGGCAGTTGGTGACATTTTCCATGTTAATGCCGTGTTACTTTATATAAGCAAGCTAAACTCTGTTATTTTATATCCACTGGTTCAATGATTTCTGATATGTACATGTACAGTCTAGAACTTCATCTTCAGTCTAGACATCTCATCTCAAAGTAGTTACAGAAGCATGCTTGCGCTCACATATTAGAACTGTTAAGCAAAACTGTGTTGAATATTTTTGACCCACCTTGTACCATTTTCCTGGCATGTTGCCATTTTGGCTTCCTTTTCCATGATAGCATCAGATTGCACCTCAGGCCATTTCATATGGATCAAGATTTGTACCGTGAATATAAATCATGTACCTTCAAGAGTCACTTTTAGAGAATATTATTGAGAAAATAGGTTCAATATACCAAGACATACTCACCAATTTAGTAATTTTTCAATTTTTATAAGTGAATAAAAATGACCTCTCATGCATACTGAATGTTTTGTTGTTGTACATTGCAGCATATGTGAGTGTAATGGATTGCCTACTTGCTACAGCAGTGATGAATGTAAGTGTTCACATTTTTCTTCTCATCACGCTCATCCATTTATTAAAAATATTATAGTCATTTATACTTGCTGTCATGAAAATTTAGATTTTGGAAAAATGCATGTAACGTACATTTAGTTTATTAGCTACACTGTAACTGTTTTCCTTCAGCATCAATATTCAACAGTTTAAACCATTTGAATAATTTTATTTATTTAGACACTGTATACAATATTTCATTCATTTTCCTGGAAGAGAGATTTCAAGAGTCTAGCTAGAATCAGTATTTTGTGTTTTTCAATTTAATACGCTCATACAAACTAACATTTTCTTTCATTTACTGTTTCTACACCAAGACAGCCTTAAGCTTAATTGTATCATTAATTGTCATATTTTCTAAAAGTTCATTTCAGAAAAATTAGATTCTTACATTCATGTGTTCTTTGAATTTACACATCACATTATGATCTGTCATGAATTCGTTTGGTGTCCATGGTATAAGTTGCTTACAATTTTGTCAACCAGTGATATGATTTAGAGAGAATGCAAATATTTACAATTATGCTGTATTAAATTTCAGGTGGAAAATCAACTACAACTCCAGGTCCAGGTAGGCATTTTTATTTCATTTATTTATTTGGATGTTCCTATTTATAACGGTGGCGTGGATCCCACACTAAAAGATTGGTATACAGTTCTACCACCATCCTGTATGATTTAGCTTGAGCATAATTCTTATGAATAAAAATATGAAAGATCATGTATAAACAGGACTGTGGCAATATTTTTAATCTCTCAGTACAATCAATAAGCATGAACCAGAAAGGAATTGTTCTTGTTTAAGATGTATATCGTCTCTTTTATATGTATCACAATTTTTGTAAAATTCTCATTTTAGTTAATGACACAATAACAAGCATTGATCACATATAATTATTCAGTAAAATGATTTTGATTTACAACTCATCATCATATATTTATTTTTATTATGACATTTTAAGAAAAAGAATTGAACTGCATTATTACAGGGTATTCCAATGAACTGTAAATCAAAATCATTTCACTGTTTTTAACACTTATTAACATTATACACTATTATTCAATACATATATGACAATCTTATGCAAATATTTTGTTTTTACATTATATTATTTTATTAAAGGGACAACACCTTCTACAACACCTGGTCCAGGTAGGCATTCACTTTCTTCAGTATAAGTATTCACTTTGGATTTTGTTATCTCATTATATGATGAGAGTTGGCAATTGGCATCCATCCTATGTAGCCCCATTTAGTTCTAATAATGTATTTTGGTACAATGCAGGCCCGTAGCCAGGGGGGGTTCGCAGGTTCCCCTGGCCAAAAATTCTTTCAAAATCATGCAGTTTTTCACCATTTTGAGCACTTCTCAAGTGATTTTAGCCATATTTGGGCCAAAATTGTCAAATGTGAACCCCCCCTGGAAATTTTTGAAAACTGAACCCCCCCTTGGCAAATCCTGGCTACGTGCCTGCAATGACTCATCTGACTTTTGAGCTTTTACCAATTAGTATATACATGTAGTTTGAAAATGTATAAAGTTTAAATTGAAGATGCAAAGACAACTGTATAAATCATAATAAATGTACAAACAGAAGTATGAATCAAGACAATGTAAATTTGTTTTTCTACTCATTTTGCATTGTATTATTTTGTTATTTATATTATAATTTATTATAGATGACTGCCAGTGGGGCGACTGGTCAAACGAGGACACATGTTCTCATTCATGTGGAATTGGAAGTAGGATAAGATCACGTAGTATAGAGAAGGAGGCTATAAATGATGGAAAGCCTTGTACTGGAAGCACCACTCAGGTTGAAGATTGCAATACATCACCCTGTCCAGGTATAAGAGTAATGGAAAACAGATATAGGCGCCTTATCAAACACACTTATAAAACAGAATATTATATACAATTTGTAGTTTCTTTATTAATTTTGTAATACAGTAGAAACTGCTAAGTGGAACACTTTCCACTGTTAGTGCAACACCTCGCAAGTGGAACATTTTATGTTGTCCCAAAGGTACAACATATACTTGGTGTATATTGATAAAAAAAATTCAATCATTATGATAAATTTATTTAAAGATTTATTTGCATATTTGTATTATACTTTAGTTGACTGCAAACTATCAGAATGGTCAGTCCCAAGTGAATGTTCAGTAACCTGTGGAGTTGGATCTGTAACCGTTACAAGGGAGGTTGTTATACCTAGTAAATATGGAGGAAAAGAATGTGATGGTGACTTCTTTAAACAGGAGTTGTGTGTCAGAGAGCAATGTGATGGTGAGTAACTTCAAATTCACATTACAAACACATTTGGTAATTTTTCACAGTATAATGCAAGATTATTACATGTTTGTTTCATCCTATAATATATTTATGACACAATTTGTCTGCACGTATAAAATTCGAGAGATGAACACAATCACATGTTGTATTCCATTACCTTATTGTGTCACCACCGAAAAGTGGTGACATATTGCTATGGTCTCCGTTTTGTGGCGGCAGTTGGCAATATGGTTGGTGGTTGGCATTGAATCATATTCAAGTTATCAAAAGTTCAAATCTGACTTAAGATTTGAGATTTGACCTTCAATGGCATTCTCAAGGTATAAAAGGTCAAGAAGGTATTTTTCAACTTGCTTTTTTTAAGTTTTCAGAAATTCAAAACTGTTTTAAGATTGAACTAATAATATTGTGAGCAACTAGGTGGTGACATTTTGTCATGTTAATGCCTTGTATTTAAGTGCATTTGTATGGTATTTTCTAACCTTTTCAGAGTGTCTCCCACCAAGTGTGAACTCTTCGTGCGCAAGTCAGTCATTGAGTGTGAGAACATGTGAATGCTACAGTAATGATGACTGCTCTATAGAGAAGAGTGAGACATGTGAACCTGGTTGTGTATGCCCTGATGGTATGATCATGGAAGATGGGGAATGCAAGAGCATTTTAGAATGTGGCTGTAGAGTAGGATCTGTTAAATATGAAAATGGTGAATCTTGGACCAATACTGACACATGTGAACAATGGTGAGCTATTATAAAGCATTTTGATATCATTTAGATAAATTATATTGCATATAGAGTTATATATAAGTGCATTACACTACATAAGAATCCATAGATATGGTTAAGTGGATTTCTTCTTCTTATCTTTTTAGCACATGTCTGGAGAGCAAGATTGAGTGCACCACATTTGAGTGTGATGGTAAAGTATATGTTTTATTTTTTATAACGATTATTATGTTAAAAAACTGTTTGATGGATTGATTTCAAAATTTAAAGGAGATGATCATGGTGATGATGTGATCTGAAGGTCAAGGGGTTTACACTGCACTTGAGGTTAGCCATGGGGTGGAAATATTAAATGTTGATACTATTATTGAAAGTAAAGTAGGGAGGGGGAAAAATCACATAAGTTTGCTTCAATGAATTCAGAGATTAAGATTTGGAGATATGAATTTATATCAAGTGAAAAAATTTCAGAACCATGTTTTATTAAGTAAAGGAGATGATTCTGAGTTAAATGTTTATCTGAAAAACCAGTTATATTAATTATATATAAATAAGGGGACATTTAAAGAAAATGTGTTTTTCTGTCTGGGGAGCTCCACATCTGCAATTTGGATTCTCAACATGGTGAATTTATCTGAATATCCAAACTGAAATGCAATGGGGCATGATCTGATCTGATCTGATCTCTTTTATCATAACTTTAAAACCACTCATAAAAGGAAGTTAACTTGGTTGTGAGATAACATAACCAACGACTAACCACGATATGGGTTATTAATGTCATTTTGTAAATAAAGATAAAATATAAATTTCCCCATATTTTTTTCATGATGAAGTCGAGCATTTAATATCTGCATTCCTGAATGGATAAGAATGAGTTACATTCTTATCCATAGACACCCTTTTTGGTAAATGTACATTGATTTCAGCCTCTTGCACATCTTCTGTTACAGGTAATTGCCCATTGGAACCAAATATATTCATATGACAATCTGTTGGTTCTGCTGTGTGAGCATTGAAATCTCCACAGATCACTGTCTTACCAAGATTCTGATAATGAGCAACATAATTTTCAAGAGTTTCTAAATTACTTGTTCCTAAAAAATTATCAAATACCAAATACTGAACCTTTGAATGGTAAATAAACAAAACAAATAAAGATGTCTTGTGTCACTTTTTGACCTCAATTATGACATTTACAACGTTGTTGTTTTATAGTGAATTGTACATTGAGTAATTGGAGTGAGTATGGTTCTTGTGATCAGATATGCAACGGTGGAACCATGACAAGATACAGGTAATTATTAGTATATTAAATAAATGAATGAAAATAACACAATAAGTACTATATCTAGTAATGACAAATTAGTTTGACCCCCCTCCCCAGAACATAAATGATGTCAATTAATTTGAAGTGTAAAAATTACTTCGGTTCAAAAGCTCTTTACATGTATAGTCATGCATTTTGATATTAGAAATAAAGAGGAACTTAAACTTGGGACTTGGAAAAATTATTTAAAACTGTGTGCCATTGTTTGTTTAGATTTGTTGAGAAACAAGCCAAGGGAAATGGTGCTCCATGTACCGGTGAAGAAAGTGAAAGTGCTGAATGTAACACAGACTGTTGTGATATATGCTTCTACAATGGGGAGGAATATCAACGTAGCATATCTTGGAATGAAAATAAATGCAGTGAATGGTATGTTCAATTATTTAGTTTAAAGATGCTTTGTCTCAGATGTTTCTTCCCGGACAATCAGTGATGTCCAATTATAATTGCTCATATAATACCTTACATATGTAAGATATATCTTGAGACCAACTTATGGGGACAGTTTTGCTCATATATTGATAAAATCAGAACTTTCAGAATTTAACGCAATTTGTGTAGCTGTGCTATCAAAGGGAATTTCTGTTGCATGGTACAAGTAATTTCATATGGCTTGAACTCAGGCAGCCAACCAGATTCATTGTGGGCTTTATATTCCGACCACCTAGTAATGTACAATCATAAAATTGATACAGTAAACATAGTAATTGGTACCTGACAGTTGGCAAGCAGATAGATGAACTGTTTTACATCTCCTTATCAAAAAATGTCAAAGGGTACTCTAATTGTGCTTCTAGAGCTTCTAGGAGACAGGGAAGAAATTATGTAGATTACAAATTGTCAAAAAGTGCCAAAACCTCCCAGTACATTACAGTATATATGGCTTACACATACAGTATATGGCTTTACAAATGTTTGACAATGAATTGTTTAATCAGTCTGACTCATATTTTTACTTATAGCCATTGCTTGTGTGATGGAAGTGTAGAATGCATATCAATTGAAGGATGTGAGTATAATTTGATATTTCTATCATTTAATATTAATTCCATCCCCACTATCCAATATGATAATTTCTATATGCATATTTCAAGGCATTGATTTATTTTTTGATTGCAGGCGTTGATCCCGACTGTGAATGGAAACCTTGGTCTGACTGGAATGAGTGCTCAAAGAGTTGTGATGTAGGTACAACTACAAGAAATAGAAGCATAGCTAAGCCTGCTGATCTACAAGCTGGTGGTCAACCATGTCTTGGCAGTAATACAGACACAATGGACTGCAACACGTTTCCATGCCCAGGTAATCCATTCTGCGACGCAATATCCTTAATAGTTCATCACATTTAGAAAGGGTTTCTTTGTCAATTGTAAATTTACAATCTGTGAACTAGTATACGAATTATAAGCTTACTGCGAAATGGGGTATTTGGTTTTTCAATTGACGGATAGATAAACGTTTATAAATAATACTGAAAAGGAATGTTTGATACTGTTTTAAGAAATTTTGTCTCTAAATGTTTACAAAGTTTAAAATATCCCAGATTTCAAGAACAGAGCTTTAGACAAGTTGTATTGCACTGGCAAAAAATGAATCAATGCTAAGAACATGTATATTATACAATTTTAGTTGATTGTAAACTAAGTGAATGGAGTAAATACAGTAAATGCTCAGTATCATGTGATGTTGGTGTAAAGACAAGAACAAGAACTATAGAAACTGAGGGACAGTTCAACGGAAAAGATTGCAACGATGTAATTCTTACTGAGCAAGAAATATGTGTGAAGCGAAAGAAATGTGAAGGTATGTCAAAAAGCAATTTTATTGCTGTTATCATAACCAGGTTCCAAAGTATGCAAAAAGAAAAATGTTCCACTAACAACATAATGGTATCTGTTTTTAGAATGCATTGCACCAAGCTTCAATTCATCATGTGCCAGTAAATCAGCAGCTGTGACAACATGTGATTGCTTGGATACCAACTGTAACCTCAATGAGGCAGTTGAATGTATCCCAGGATGTACCTGCCCAGATGGCATGGTCATGGAAAGGGGAGAGTGTAAACAAATAACCTCCTGTGGATGTACTGTTGGGCCACTTACATATAAACCTGGACAATCTTGGCAAACTACTAATCCCTGTGAAGACTGGTGTGTGTGAAACTCCTGATTAATTTTACAATTTCTTATCAATGCATGGACATAGTCAGGGGTCACACCGCCACCATTAAAAAAAATGTAAAGCACCATACCCCCCCCCCCCTTTGGGCTCGCTTTACTTGCAGAGATGCAATCCCAAAAAATCGCACCCCCCTTGACATTTGCTGTATGTACAAAGCTGACACAGAATCATTTTATCTCATATTATTTATCTTGAATGAGCCACAAAGGTCAGTTAGTCAAGACATTGAGACAGTCATTTATTTATGTAACACAATTTGTGTGACGGGAGTTTAAAATGACTATACATTGAAAATATTCACAGATTGAAGAAATGCATGCACAGTGTACATATAATCTAAGTCAATACTTTACATTTTAGTACTTGTGAAAATGGCACAATAAATTGCATACCACGTGTATGTGATGGTAAGTTAAAGTTTTCTTAGCTTTAGATGTCATATAAGAAACCAGGTCAAAATATCTCTGCATATTTCTTATAAGATAATTCACTTTCTCTGCATGAACAATATTTTATTAATTAACGAAACTAAGATTATTTTCAAGGCTTGATAATGCAATCTAATTACACTTTAGTTAACAAATTTCTATTTACACCAGAATTTGATACATAATTGGTAATTTTATTGTTCATATTCGGATGCAGTTGATTGTGTATGGGGTGAATGGACAGACTTTGGAGTATGTGATGAACCTTGTAATGGGGGAGAAATGACCAGATACAGGTTTGACATATGACAGCTTTTGATCATAATTAAAAGCCTCAATACCTCTATTTTTTAGATAAAGAAAATGTATATACATTATGTTCATATTCAGATATGAATGATGATGTATTACACCAATATATGTCCTTCTAGGTCAGTTTTGTCACATATTCATAACGCATGATATATGCCGTTCTAGGTCAATCTTGTTTGAGGCCCAGGGACAGGGTAAACAATGTAATGGGACAACAAGTGATGTAGCACCTTGTAATACAGATTGTTGTCAGACATGTACTTACAATGGACAAGCATTTAATCTTGGAAACAAATTGGTTGATACTGATGGATGCAGGCAATGGTATGTTTCAAAGATTTTGATAATTTAAAGTTGATTTATGGTACAATTGGGGATGTAATGTATTCAATTGCTTGTTAAATATAAATGTGTCCATTTCGGAATATCAATGGAATACTCAATGTTTATTTCACATTTAACAATGGGCATTAGGTCCTTTCCACTCCAACGGTTGAATTATTGCATTAACATGTCATCATAATAACACATTTGTCCAACAAACACAAGAATTTAGATATACTTGATGAACATTTATGAATTGTGTCTAAAAAAATAAATAATACAAAATAAAATGATATATTACGCCAAGTCAGAACATTCCTTGAATAAATGATAAAAAGAACTCTACTTAGAGTATCATCATTTCGAAATTTGCAATTTCAATGCAAAATGATTAGAAATGCCACAAACTATCCTTTACTATATACTATCCTATTTCATATTACAGCTTTTGTCAATGTGATGGTATCCCAGAGTGCTATGACTATGATAAATGTGAATGTAAGTTTCTGGTACAGTATGGAAAAATAAGACGAAGGACATTTGAAAAAATTAAATACAGGGCATATAAAAAAAACGCAACAAGCAGTTATCTCGCAAAATCACAAAACTAGTAATGACTGCATCAATTTCATTTAATTATCCCATCAAACGAAGTTCGGAGGGATATAGGGAATGCCTCCATCCGTCTGTCCATCCAGGCAATAACTTATAAATAATAAATGGCGGCCTTTACTCGCTATTTTATGATTTTTGCTGTAACTCTGTAATTTGGTATGTGAATACTATAAGCATGGCGCACTGTCTCATAACACTTTTGGTAGAAGGTGGTCATTTTTCAAAATGGCCACCATTTTAACGTATTTCACTATAACTCAAAAAGTAGCAATAAGCATGGCACACTGTCTCATGACACTTTTGGTAGAAGGTGGTCATTTTTCAAAATGGCCACCATTTTAACGTATTTCACTATAACTCGAAAAGTAGTGGAGCGATTTTGTTCATAGTATGTGAATACTATAAGCATGGCACACTCTATCTCATGACACTTTTGGTAGAAGGCGGCCATTTTTCAAAATGGCCACCATTTTAACGTATTTCACTATAACTCGAAAAGTGGCGGAGCGATTCTGTTCATATTCGGTATGTGAATACTATAAGCATGGCACACTGTCTAATGACACTTGTGGTAGTATGTGGTCATTTTGAAAAATGGCTGCCATTTTTGCTATATACTTTGTTTGTAATATTGCCAGCCATGGCTGTTCGATGGGATTTGCTACACTTTGGCATTGCTGTTGTCTAGCTTACCATGTGGTCATGCTTGGGCTAGAAATCCTTCCATTTGTACAGTGTGTCAAAATCGTCTCTGGACCAAGTTTCAGATATTGCAATAATCAGTGCAAGGGGTAAGTGGCAATGGAAGTGCTCCTGGCTTGAATTGTTGTGACTTTTTCTTTTGGAGCATCTGTGCTAACCATTCCTCCATCAGATATTGCAAAATTTGGAAAGAAAGCTTTTCTCAATGTTTATAAAGTGGCCCCAAACTAATTTTGGCCCACTTTGCAAAAGGAATGATTACTCACCCAACAATGACCCAATATCAAAGAATGATATACCATTGGAAAGCTGTTATTGGTTTTGTGCTTTTCCGAGATAACAATCTGTTGTGTTATTTTTTATACGCACTGTATCACAGGCTGGTATCGAAAGATTTGTCCGCTGTGACGGAGCATGCTATTTTTCATAAAAACACTAAGAATGCTTCACGATTTATTTTTTAACTCATATGTTTCGTTATATCAAAGATAATTACTTACTCCATGCAATGGATATATCATTTACGTGTAACCTTCACTTCTGTTTGAAGTCCAATAACGCTAGGAGTAAAATCTATTGAAAACGGCGCCAGAGTATCAAACTCTAAAATGTACCATTTCTTTTCTAACTTTTTAATGGCATGATATAGTGACACGATAATATTAACATATGTTTTAAGCATAACTCTGAATGTATTAATGAGATATTAATGCATTGGGTCTTTTTAATTTTTTTAATAAAAAATTATATTAATATATTTTGTCCGCTGTGACGGAGCATTTTCACAGTTCACATTTGCAACTGCTCCATCACAGCAGACAAAAAAATTAAACATTATTTTTTATAAAAGAATTAAAAAGACCAAATACATCAACATCTCATTTATAACTTTATAGTTATGCTGAAACCATGTGTAAATATTATCGTGTCACTATATCGTGCCATTAGAAAGTTAAACAAGAAATGGTACATTTTGAAGTATGATACTCCGGCGCCATTTTCAATAGCTTTTCTTCCCAGCGTAATTGGACTTCAAACAGAAGTGAAGTTACCCGCAAATGACACATCCATTGCATGGAGTAAGTAATTTTGTATGGTATAACGAAACATATGAGTTAAAAAATAAATCGTGAAGTATTCTTAGTTTTTTTTTATGAAAAATAGCATGCTCCGTCACAGCGGACAGATATTTCGATACCAGCCTGTGTGTATAGCTCAGCATTTTAAAATGACTGTTGATGCATATGATTGACAAAATATTCGGATTTCATAATAAAACTGTGAATGCATATATTTTTTTCAACAGACATTTCAAAATGCTGAGCTATGTTTAGTTTTTAAATGTCACTCATCTTATTTTTCCATAATAAAACTGCAAAATCTTTTTACATTTAGACAGTCAAGTACTTAATTGTATATAATCGCTCATTAATTAGTCCTCTGTGACATACTTGCCACATCTGTAAACCATATCGTTGTATATCCAGGCAGTGGTGTTAATGTAACAGAAGAGGAAGATTGTGAGGAACCAGGACCAGGACCAGGTATGTTTTAATACAACAAGAAGATACAACTTTACTTTTCATATAACTCAATGGGCAGATATGAATGTAAGAACTCCATTATGATAGGACTGAATATCAATAAATGCAAATGTATTTGCTGCCACTGCATTAAATATTATTCGAACATGACTGTATTCACGCTTTCTATAAACTGTGAACAAAGTCAACATTAATCCGGGACATATTCGCGAGCAATACTCCTGTTAATACAAGTAATGTGTCACATCATAACGGAGGGGCATAGAAATGGCAGACCATGATGAATATTCGAAACATTTTGGTGAGTTTTCATGTTCGAATCGTAACATAGACCTCAGAGGGTAATATCGTCAAATACACCCCTTAGAGCTAGGTACAAAAGCTTTTGAACTGAAGACGATTGTGCCCAAACGTGTGGGTTGTATTAGATGATATTTCCCCTGCTCTCCAGTCTATATTTCTCAAATAATATTTAGATGACTGTGTGTGGTCCATGTGGAATGATTGGGGGATTTGTTCTGCATCCTGTGGTATTGGAAGTAGAAATAGAACAAGAAGCATAATTAGGGAAGCCATTAATAAGGGACTTCCTTGCACTGAGAGAACAACTGAAACTGAAGATTGTAACACATCACCTTGTTCAGGTAAATGCAACTGTAATGCATGCATTGCCATAAATCTAAAAACTTAATATAAACTTAATTATTATGTCACCACCAAAAAGTGGTGACATATTCTTGTGGTCTCCGTTTTTTTGTGGCAGCGGTTGGCGATAGGAGGTTGGGGTGTGTAACAAATTCTTACAACTTCCAATAACTTAACAAATACTGTTCAGTTTGACTTAGGTTTTTTTCAAAATCATCTACAAGATATCAGAAGTTCAAATCTGACTAGATTTGAGATTTCACCTCCAATGACCTTCTCATGGTCAAAAAAGGTCAAAAAGGTATTTTTTCAACATGCTTCAAATTGACCAATGTTTTTTTAAATGAGCTTTAAGTTCTTAAAAGTTCAAATCTGACTAAAGATTTGAGATTTGACCTTCAACGACCTGCTCAAGGTCAAAAAGGATTTGACCTTCAGTTTCCTTCTCAATGTCAAAAAAGGTCTCTTTTCAACTTGCTTTAAATTGACCAATTTTTTTCAAAATCATCTGTGTGTTCACATCTGACTTTAGATTTGAGATGTCACCTTCAATGACCTCCTCAAGGTCAAAAAGTGTCTTTTTTCAACTTTCTTCAAATTGACCAATTTTTCAAAATCTTCTACAAGTTCTCAGAAATTCAAATCTGACTTAAGATTGAACTCATAATATTGTGAGCAACTAGGTGGTGACATTATGTCATGATAATGCCTTCTATACAATATGTTGCCCAGGTCAATGTTTGCTTATGCTATGTTTTCTTACAATACAGTTGACTGCATATTCACTAAATGGGGAGAATTCAGTGACTGCTCTGTGACTTGTGGAGTAGGTGTGAAAACCAGAAAAAGGGAAATTGAAGTTCCCAGTCAATATGGTGGGAAGGAATGTGACGTGTTCTTTGATCAAGAGATTTGCACGAAGGAACAGTGTGATGGTATGTTTTCTAAATCATAAGTCGTTACTTTACAGAGTGGGCCAATAAAAACATCCATATTTTTATTTTTGTAATATTTTCGCTGGTATGTTGGAAATATCCATAAATTATATATCATTTGAAAGATAATAAAGTGCTGGCATTTTCTTGAATATGCACCTATTATCTTCAAAATATTACATAATGGACTTTTATGTATTGCAACTAAAACTGCAAAGTTTCGACAAAAATTATGAAACAAGGGTAGAGTTATGGTTGTTATAGTAACATGTCACAATAACTGGGGAAACATTCCACACAGAAAGTTACAGAGACTTTTAGCATTTTGTACATCCCATATCAAAGTTAGAATCCAACAACTGGTGGGAATTACATTTGCTAAATACATCATTTGATATTCCTATGTATCCTCTACTTTGAAAAGTAAAGTCCTCTTTGGTCAGTCCAAGAGTAGCACTCAGTATCCATGACCCAAACACATGAGTGAACCCATTTAAGGACATGTCACGCAGGGTCGATTGGACAACTTGGAGAATGTCATTCTCATCTTTCATGGTCTTACTGTGCTGATTAGCATTCCATTCTCCAAATAAAAGTAAAAATAAGATATTGCATGATCAGAAGAGTATGGTGAATGGTCTTAGACTTCAAAACCTAGCTCCGCTATAGCTGCAGTGGTCTTTAACGCCGACTTGCGGGCTTAATACATAATATTGCATTGCTTAATCAACGCTTTTAGGCTTTTACATATGAAGAAAAGGTATTGGAGTTGAGTTTTATTGTTTGTAAATCATTGTATCGCTCTAAAATAACCATGGAACCTATTTTAATGCATTGCAGTTTGTTTTAAAGTAAGATTGTTAGATAAGTTGATATTTGCTTCAAACATGTTTTGCAAAGAAATTCAGTTGAAATTTTTCCATAACCCATGATATGGAATACATTTCCATAATTTCCTCTTCTGGTGTCTATTATTGCATTGTCTGCCATTCAGAATGTCAGTTAAGTTATATAAGTACAACATCATTGTCTTGAAATGAGTGAAAATTAACTATTTGATGCAGATTTTTCTGCGTTATTTAGGTTATAATATTACCAATACCTATCAAAATGGTAAAAAAACTCAATAATATTATATTTGTAAATTAATTTGCTTTCATTTTATACATAAATCAACAATTTTGACCTTCTATAATTAGACTTATATCCCCAAAGCTGGCATAGGGGTTACATGTATATCTGTCTGGTCAGTTTTTAGCATTCCGTATTCAGCAATTAGTCTAAATGGGTAAATCATGATTTTGACCCCTGTGGTAATTGAAACGTTACTTTAAAACAAATACTTAACTCTGTGAATAAATTATATATCATTTTGTTTGAAATTGAATTTACTTTCCAATGATATATGATTTAAACAGTTGTATGTAATATTGAAAATGTTGTAGCAAAACAAAAACATGGACGTTTTTTTTTTGGCCCACTCTGTATATGTCTCTATAGCTTTAGTCAATTTTACTGCTGAGTTATCTGTATGAATGAACTGTGTTGCTCAGATTTGTTTTCCCTAATTTTATCATTGTAGAGTCTCAATTATTTTGAATTGTAGCTAAGAATTTGTGATAATTTAGTAACTGTATATTTTTCTTCTCAGAATGTATACCACCAAGTTATAACTCATCCTGTGCCAGCCAATCAGCAAGCATATTGTCATGCAACTGCATTGACACAGATGCATGTAATGTGGATACAAGTGACACCTGTGAACCTGGATGTGTGTGTCCAGATGACATGGTAATGGAGGAAGGTGAATGTAAACCCAGAACATCATGTGGTTGCTTAGTTGGAACCACCAAGTATGAAAATGGTGCGGTATGGAACAAATCAGATACGTGTGAACAATGGTAAGTAAAGCGAGTTTAGATGAGTAGGAAATTAGTGTCAACATTGAAATGTTAACTTTGTAATATTAGGCATCACCTTATAAGCTCTCAATTTGATTATTTTCAGCCGTTGCCAAGACAGCCAGGTGATATGTGATCCTTATGAGTGTGATGGTAAGACTTAATAATGATATTTGTACATTGCTAAAATCCATGAATAGATAAGCTACATGGGATTTACAAGACGCCACTTGCCAAGAATAATGTATTAGCCCAGAGAAAAGATAGATAATTATGTAAGCATTGTGGCTAAAGACAAAAGTATCTTAAAGAAACAAAGTAAGGAGAAGAATTATTAGTTTTAAGGATTCAAACCCAAATATCCCAAAAATGATGAAAACATACAAATACGTGTGTCAAATGAGTCATTCCCCACCATTTAATTAACCATTTATAATTTTATTTGTCCAATTTAGTTGACTGTGAGTGGACAGAATGGAGTGACTATGGAATTTGTGATAAACCCTGTAATGGTGGTTATCAATCAAAATATAGGTATATATTATTTCATACTCATTTTGATTTTATGCATCAAAAACATCATCTATATAATATTATTCAATAGTCAGTATGATTCATATCTTTTATGATTGCTATGTTCATTGTTAACAGGACAGTTGGTGTTGAACCTAAGGGCAATGGTGCTGAATGTACTGGTAACTCAACAATGACTATACCATGTAATACAGAGTGTTGCGCAACATGTACATACAACAATGAGGAATATGCACTTGGAAAATCATGGAAAGGGGACACATGCAGAGATTGGTATGTCAACTGAATGACTGAAGCCATTCATTTTTGTACATTTGAAAGTTTGATAAATACTGGTATGACATTACTATCATGTTGCTAAAATATCAAAGATATTATAAAGTGGGTCATCAATGGTTCACCCTCTGAGTGTCTCGATGAAGAAAACTGGTGAAGAAGCTATTCCTGATTTGAGCTACATTTAAACCATCAAGAGCATTCTGTAACATATAACAGCTAAGACCAGTTAAGACACGTTCACAATTGAGCAAAGTGCTTTGCTAGAATACATGAAAATGCATCATTGCCTTTGCTTTACAGCTATTGTAACTGTGATGGTACTGCAGAATGTGTGGATATTGATGACTGTAAGTCTATTGTTGTTTCTTTACCATTTCCAATATTGTAAACTATTCTATTTTAAGCATAAACCAAAATAAATTACAGATTTGAGCATATAAGCTAAATATCAAACTGTGATTATTAATTTCTAGGTGAGGATCCAGACTGCAAATGGGGAGATTGGTCTAGTTGGGAAGAATGTTCAGAAACATGTAATATGGGTATCACAAAAAGGACTAGAATTATAGTTAAGCTTGCAGAAGAAGGAGGTGAAAAATGCCTTGGATCTGACACTGATACAATGGATTGTAATACACAGTTCTGTAAAGGTGAGACATTACAAATTATTTAATATTTTAAGTGGCAAGATTTTGATATATCAGAATTAACTGATATTTAGTGTAAGGTTGAAAAATATAGGACCTGTATATAAACCTGGATTTGTCTCTGAAATGGATAAGTTGATATATATTCTAGATGTTTTTAATATATTGAGTGAGCTTAAATGAATAGATTTTGTCATTGTGAATTCAGTTTGTGTGAGCGAAATAGCTGATAGATCAGTACTTTACCATTCTTTTACTCCTTCCAACTCATGAATGTAACAGTCTTTTTCTCTCTGAAATCTAAAACAGCTTTGTATCATCTAATGTCCCCACAAGCTAAAATAAAAGTACAAAATGTCCGAGTATATTGTAGGTTGAATATTTTCTGAGATATGAAAAGAATGATGACTAACCTATTTTCTTCAGTTGACTGCACACTATCAGAATGGAGTGAATTTTCCTCATGTTCTGTAACTTGTGACGTTGGTGTGAAAACTAGAACAAGAACTATTCTAGAAGAAGAGAAATATGGTGGAACATGTGCTGATACTCTCATTGAACAAGAAAATTGTATTAGTGACAAGAAATGCGAAGGTAAGTATTCTTTAGTCAATCAATATAGTTGGATATTGCAACATAATCATTTTGTTTTCTGTTTCTTGTTCTTTATTTGTATTTGTGTTTTATGTTTACACATTCACTTGTCTTTTTAGAATGTATCCCACCGAGCTTCAACTCATCATGTGCCAGTAAATCAACATCTGTGAAAACATGCGATTGCTTGGATTCCAACTGTGATTTCAATGAGGCAGAAGAATGTGTCCCAGGATGTACCTGTCCAGATGGTATGGTAATGGAAGGTGGAGGGTGTAAAGATGTAACAACATGCCCATGTACTGTTGGTTCAGTGAAATACCAATCAGGCGAAAAATGGAATGATACTGATGCATGTGAAGAATGGTAAGATATCCTGGACATATGAGTTCAGTCATTTGTCTATTGTGAGGCATAAAATAATTTGCAATAAATGTCAATATTCACATTGATCTGAATGTGACATATCTGACACATCTTTGTTATGGTGCCTGACAATGCATACTTTTACTTTTCAGCACATGTGAAAATGGAAAGATATCTTGTGTTGAATATGACTGTTATATAGGTAATGAAACATTGTTTTTATCTCACCCTTCGGCTTGCACTGGTCCACTTCTGTCCACTTAAAACCAACACATACATGTATGCTCCTGAGATCGCCATGTTGTATTGAATGTCATATAATAAAAATATCTATAATTTGCTCTTATGGAACAACTTTTAATATGGATGTCAATTTTTATGTGGGACAAATACACTTAGTGCTCGGCTTTATGGTTGACACTGCATGTATGTATTAGAAATAGTGCAGTACAACTTGTATGTCTTTATTCATATTATTTTGGATTTTAGATGGTCCATGTGTGTGGTCTGAATGGACCGATTATGGAACTTGTGACCAGCCATGCAATGGAGGTGTAAAGACAAGATATCGGTAAATAAATATCTTACATATATAAATTACTGTGACATATTAGTTTATGAAATACATCTATACGAATACAAGCTATTATACTTTTTCCAATAGAATATTAATGTCATTTCAATTTCATAATGAAACAATTTAGTATTAAAATAGAAAATACTTTATACAGAACTCCTGAGATTGAGAGAGATTCTTGCAAATTGGATGTCCGAACAGAGGATTCCCCATGTAACACAGAATGTTGTCAACGATGCAGTCTCAATGGAGTTGAGCATATTATGGGTGAATCATGGGTTGAAGGATGCCAGGACTGGTGCGTTAACTTGAATATATTAGATATTTGTCTTAAAGTCCCCGTCTAAAGTTTGAAAATATTTTTTTATCATTCATTTACTATTTGTCAGGACTTAAAAAGTGATTTTAGAGATATTTGAACAAAAATTTTTTTTTGAAAAAAAAGTTGTGAGCATTTCATTTCTCAAATATTCAAATTTCCCGCCATTTTTCAAAAAAAGTTGAAATTTCTTAATTATCAAATATTTCTTAATGCATTTCAAAAAAGATTATATTTTTAACACCAATACAAAGATTGAACAAAAGACACACTATTTCAATAATAAAATGTCATATTTAATGGGCCACTTCAATGTTTTAGCTTATCAAAAATATTTTGAAACATTAGTGATGTCACTAAGGTAACAAAAACTTCTTGAAAAAAATTGAATTTTTTTTTTCGATGTCAATCTTTTCTAAATATGCTAGACTTTCATAAAAAAAAACAATGTTGATTGTCTAACCAGGTTAAAAGGAAGAATAAATTATGTTTTAGATATCATTGTACCATTGGTTTCTATGAGAACTAAAATTTTGAAATGCATTTTTCTCAGAACCATTTTCATGCACTGATAAGTTCATTTCTCGCTTGTTTATCAACCGATTTTCTTAATTTTTTCGGCAAAAAACATGGGAGGATGTATGCTATGCATTGGTATGAATTGTGGCTAATTAGAAGATATGAGTGACCTCTAAAAGTTGGTTTTAAATAAATTCACAAATTTTGGAACAAAAAGTCTTTCAAAAACCACTTTTTGAAATTAAAAAAAAAGTTTCACATATCACACTTTGATAACATTGGGTAAGACTACAATATAAGCCAAAGTGGTTTAAACTTTTCATGGGGGCTTTAACTGTTTTATAATGGTCAATAAGTGTCTATAATTTGATTATATACCATTTAAGGGAGAATCAGATATATAGTATTGAATGAAAATATTATAGACTTCTATTATTCCTTCTCATATTTATTTTTTCTTGAAATCCCAAAAATTCATATTTCATTCTAGGATGAATAACAATTTTTACATAAATAAATTCATTTTTATGTAAATGTGAAAAGATACATGTACTATTTTAACTCAGATACTTGGCAAAATGAATTTGCCATTTTTATAGAATATCACAGACCTTGAAATAATTAAGATGATGAGAAATTGATTGGTCAGTCAACTGTACATATAACATGCAAATACCTCTGATTCTTCCTCTTAAATATCATCATAGGATCATATAAATACACAATTACACGGTTTGAGATAGTTTACTCATCTTGAAAATGCAGGTGAAACATAACAAAACTAAGTGCAATTCTTTTTATAGCATGTGCAAGTGTGATGGAATACCTGAATGTTATGAGCTTGAAAACTGTGAGTATTATTTTACAAATAACCAATCATGCTTTAGATTTAGGTATGAGTAGGGAGTTACCAGTTTCTCCACCAGATAGCTCATTCAGGTCAGATAATATGCCAGGTATACAGGGTGTCAAATGGCGTTGTGCCCCCCTTCCACAGCATTAACTAGGAGAAGTACACATACATTATATATATCATTAGAAAGAGCATTTAATTCTGGATAAAATGAACCCTAGATGACCAGGGTCAGATATTGCTACCAAGTTTCATTTAGCATTTGAAATGCACCAGTATAGTGCTATTTTTATTGATTTTTAAAAATTCCTGCATAGACCTTTTTGGTATTGGTGAATACCCGAGCAACAACTATGACTTAAATGCTTCAGTTCAAATTGAGCCCATATTAATGGATAAAACAGAGCTACTTATGGAAGTTGAAGCTGTAGAGAACAGATATTCCATAGATATCCTCCAGGAGAAACTCAAAAGGTATTGAGATCTCTGCTCAAGACACTGCTCTTTTCAATGCCCTTTTAACTTGATATTCAGCCTGACTGGCAGCCGTTTAAAGCTGCGGGGGATGGTCAAACTCTCTTTTAAAAGTTGGTTCAAATTATGTATTATTTTCTATCATCCATCTCCATCTTTTCAGACTCTAAGAAAAATTAAATGCTCTTTCCAATGGTATATAGTATGCATGTGTACCTCTTCTAGTTTATGCTGGGGATAGGGGGCACAACGCCATTTGACACCCTGTAGAGAGTCCCCTTAAACTTGAATATTCATCAGTTCTAGTGAATCAATTTCCATATGACTCATGATGTGTCTGATACTTATACAATTGAAACTTGGCCAGTAAAACAAAATATTATCTATCCTAAAAAAAGAAAAGGTATTTTACTGTTTGATTTTTAACATGGAGTCTATGGGTAATCTCCACGACCTATAAGTAACATTTTCAAAAGAAGATTAATTTTTCAATATTTAACGATGAAAATTTAGATTATTTCTACTCTCATCTGGTCTATTTAACTTTATAGGTAGATTAGTTATAAAAATCGTCCTGGTCTTGTACTGTCTTGTGCTAAAAATTGGAAAAACAATATTTGAAGATGCAATATTATCTAAATGCATTAAATGATAATTGTTGATTTTGCTTGAAAACAGATTGTTTATACATTGAGAGCAACGCCAAATGTATATAATATATTGTTGATTTATAATAGAAATAATATTCAGCTATATGTTTAAATAGGTGAAACTCCATCGCCAAATGTGACTACAACACCATCACCAGGTATATATTTTATATACATTTTAAACATATCAAACCTTATAGTTTCTTAACATAATCTAAAAATGTAAATGGCAAAATGTTAATATACATGTAGCCAAGATCTAAATACAGACATGATAAAAACCCATTTATTACATACCCGATCTCATGGTTTTAGAAAACAATTATTTCATAGTCATATTAGGCCCACATTGAACATTTACCAATATTGAATGGTATCATTGCATTTTCTTTTAGTAACTGGTTTATTTATTTGTTGTAGATAGTTGCCAGTGGAGTCAATGGTCTGATTGGGACTTCTGTTCTGTGACATGTGGTGTTGGGACTTATACTAGGTCAAGGTCGATAGAGAGAGAGGCAATAAATGATGGAGAAGGCTGTGAAGGACCAACATCTATGAAAGGAGACTGCAATACATCTCAATGCCCAGGTATTTTTTGTTTTGTAACAGTTGATTTTACATTTTGTTCTCTTTGTTTATAATACTTCATTCTTTTTTTCCTTTTAACACTTCGAGTTTATTTCACATTTTCTTCATTGTTGACTTCTGTCTAGTTTTACTTGAACTGCTATAGTTGATTTCACATTTTGTTCTTAGTTGACTGTGAATTGTCACAATGGACAGATTTTGGAGATTGCTCAGTCACATGTGGAGTTGGTGTCAAAACAAGAAAAAGGCAAATTGATGTTCCCAGTCAATTCAATGGGAGAGAATGTGAGGGTGACCTTTTTGAGCAAATTCTTTGCACCAAAATACAATGTGATGGTAAGCTTATATTATCTATGTATTAAGTACCAACACACTTGCTTACTAAGAGCCTTTGACAAAACAGAAGATTTTGACCCTTGGGTCAACATACCAGGGGGACTTATAATGTCAGAGTGTATAACCGATTCTCTATTACACAGTAATAAGGATTTACTTAATATTACATTTTCATCTTGGTTTAATGTAAAGTTTAGTATTGGTGTTCAATTTTATGTAGAGTGCCATCCACCTAGTGTCAATTCATCATGTGCTAGCCAGTCTCTTAGTGTCATGACTTGTGACTGTATTGGGAATGCTGACTGTACACTAGAAGAATCAGATACGTGTGAGCCTGGCTGTGTATGCCCAGATAACATGGTGATGGAACAAGGTGAATGCAAACTGATCCCAGAATGTGGTTGCCTGGTGGGCTCAGTGAGATATGAGAATGAAGAGATCTGGAACACAACTGGCACCGGCACTTGTGAACAATGGTAAATATATAAGTGCAAATGCCAAATGGAAAGGACAAAAAAATGTAAAGAAACCCAGCAAGAAAAGAAAACCTGCCGTAAGATAGAAATAGTTGACGTAAACAAGTGTAGGATAAAACAAATGTCCATCACATGGTTGATTGTTGATTAGACATACATGTACATACAGTTCATTTGTTTCCTTGTTGGTATGGAACAGGATTAACAATTTAACATATACTCCTGAAAAAAGTTAAGGACCAGTCTTTTTCCTCATAGGTTTTACATGTAAAACCCCATGTCTGTTTGAACTCGTATTTTCAAAGCCTGAAACGAAAGAAAAACTGATAATGTAAATGAATATGTACCTTGACTATATTCTCTATTTCAGAAAAAAAATTCTTTCGTTTCGGGCTTAGAAAATAAAGTTGAAAGATACATAAGGTTAAACATGTAAACTGGTCCTTAACTGTTCTGAGGAGTATATTATATATTTATGCATTCTTCTTTCAGCCAATGTTCTGAAAGTCAAGTTATATGTCAGTCTTACGATTGTGATAGTAAGTTTTAAGATTACAAATTTATTTTGCCAAATTAGATAATTTATTTAGTGTATATTTTATTAGACACCAATTGATCAATGGTTGTTTCTTATGTTGATTTGGAAAATGTTGATTTGGCTATAAATATCTGTAGAGCCTTTCTCACACCTTTGGCATATTAAAGATTTATATGGCTTTCTAATTTGCATATTTATAGTTGATTGCAAGTGGACTGAATGGAGTGATTACGGAACTTGTTCACAAGAATGCAATGGTGGAGAAATGATGAGATACAGGTACATGTAAAATCATTTTTTAAGATAGACCTTGGACACACATGTGCTCATTTGCACCGTTCTTATCTCCCCACCAGTACAATGAGAGGGTACAATGTTAGCCTTTTGTATACATAAAAAGATGAATGGTAACAATAGTAGTAATAATATAACAATAAGTTCGGTGAGATTATTACTACGTTGGTTTGCTATTTTCTAGTTTTTTTTATTACAATCAGATTTCACAAAAAGCAACACTTTAAAATACAAGATTAACTATTATGTTCTTTGTTTCCAGAACTGTCTTGTTTGAGGCAAAGGGTAATGGAAAGGAATGTGAGGGCTCAGATGTTGAAAGCATGGCTTGTAACACAGATTGTTGCAAGGTTTGCAATTATAATGAAGTAGAACATGAGAATGGTATTCCTTGGATGGAAGAGAAGTGTCTGGAATGGTATGGGACATTGTGTTAAACAATAGCTTTTATTTCTATTTAGGTCACTTTAAATATTTCATTAACTGTTATTGCCAAGACAGTAGTATTTGAATTAACACTGTCATTGTCAGGATTCAAAAATATTTTTAGATATTTCTTGAACTTTTTAGTTAACATTGTCATGAATTAGATTAAAATTGGTCACATTTTTAATAACCTGATAAAGGCCGCATTTTTTAACTATCCGCGATGCTAGTGAATTCCGTAATATTTGATAAGATTTCCCCTAGGTATCACGAAAAAGAAGAATAAGCCCCTGATGTTCAAATTACATGGTCATCCATATTTAACAAAAACAGTTCATCCAAGCGCACTTACACCGCTAATTATCCCAACGAACGAAGTTCAATAGGGATAAAGTGAAGCCCTCCGTCTGTCAGTCTATCAGCCAGTCAGTCAGTCAGTCAGTCCGTCTATCTGTCCAGAAGATAATTCAAATTCTAGTCAACAGATTTTCTTCATATTTGGTTGAAAGATATTGGTGAATAGTTTTATGCAAAAAAATTCCAAGATGGCCACCAGTTTAAAAATGTCATAAAAATCACATGTTTTTCTAGTGTCAGCTAACTGCATGTGTCAACCGCACCGGCTTGTCACTGATGCACCACAGGAGTTTGATTTCGATAATATATGTGATGTATTTCAAAAGAATTGTGTCAGTGCAAGTGCGTTCGGGTGTCACTTTGATGTTAAAAACAATCAACCATGTAATTTGCGCTACAGGACTTTTTGTTCTTTTTCTTGATACCTGGGGGGAAATCTCGTTACCTATTATGCACAAACTACCACCGCAGGTAATTCAAAAACGCAGCTTAGATGTAACCTGCTAATACTGGAGAATTGGTCCATAGGATAGATGAATATATATTCTCTTTTCTTATTTCAATGTCTTACAAACTGTTACGACTCTCCAGGCTGCTTAATTGTTAAGTTAGCTAGGAATTAGCTAACTGGATATTGATATACATACATGTTGTGTTTTATGTAGGTTACAGTATATATATTCAATTGCTTATTTTATTTTAGCCAATGTATGTGTGATGGAAAGTCCATATGCTTACCTGTAGTGGATTGTGAGTATAATTTCAAAGAACGTAAATAGGAGAAACATAACTTATATGGAAATCAGTTGCCATTGAAAAATACATGATCATGAAAATTGAGCCAACAAAATGAAGTTCTTTGAGAAATTCCAATTGTACTTTATTGTATTTTATATTGTCTTTTTATTTCCTTGACAGGTGAGGATAATGATTGTAAATGGACAGACTGGTCTGATTGGGATACTTGCAGTGCATCATGTGGTGTGGGCAGCAAGACGAGAACAAGAAGCATTGCTAGTATGGCAAAGCCTGGTGGGGAAGCATGCATTGGGGACAGTGAAGATACCATGGACTGCAATACCCAGATTTGTCCAAGTACTATCTTTAGTGAATTCCTACGATGCAATAAATGATGCGATAGCATTCATTAAAATATCTTCCATATTATAACCTATGGTATTACAGAGTCTAACATGGGAAATCAATGTACAAACAGGTAAATATCATTTCACTGAAATATCCTGGAACTAATGGATTACGTTGGATTTTTTTAGTTGACTGTAAGCTGTCTGAATGGAGTGAATTTAGTGAATGTTCAGTAACCTGTGATGTTGGGAGTAAACAACGTACACGATCAGTTGATGTCCCTGCACAATTTGGAGGAGAGGAATGTGACCCTATACTGATTGAACAAGAGATATGTATTCAAGTTGAAAAGTGTGAAGGTACTTCATTCATATTTTTTAATTTCTTTCCTATTGCCTTTCGTTTAATTAGTGTTGCTTCTCAGTAGAAATAAATGATTCCAAAAAACCTAGTTTTGTTGGTATTGTTGACTTCAGATAATATTATTGGTAATATTATTTTCCATATTTTAGAGTGTATCCCGCCAAGCTTCAACTCATCATGTGCCAGTAAATCAGCAGCTGTGACAACATGTGATTGCTTGGACTCAAACTGTGATCTCAATGAGGCAGTTGAATGTGTCCCAGGATGTACCTGTCCAGATGGCATGGTCATGGATGGTGGCGAGTGTAAAAACATAGCTTCATGTGGATGCCTTGTTGGCTCAGTAGAATACAAACCTGGTGAAAAGTGGAATGACACAACTGCGTGCAAAACATGGTAACTTATTTTTGACTACTAAACATGCATTAATTCAGTATGGTGTATGATTTTCAATGTACTGTATAAAACCTTATTCTTCATTTAAAACTATACACGGGTAATATGAAATCATAATTAAAGAGAGAATCAGATATATCAAGCAGGCTAAACAAAACATTGTTCAATTTTAGAATATTTTTGGCTCTTGTCATTCCTTGTCATGTCTATTTTCTAAAAAATTGCATACTTTATTCCAGGCAAACTAGAGATTTTTACAATAATGTATTATTTTTCTCTAAGAATGGTTACCATTCGTATTATTTGGGAGAATTTAAACATTTTCCACCCATTTTTGCACTTTGAATCAATAATAACTTCACCAATTTATAACATATTGTGAATCTTTTGGGAAATATTGTACTTGATATTGTGAGGAATAAATTGGGAGGTCAATTATACATGTTGCTTTTAATTGTGTCACCAATATAGGTCTGATTGTGCCTTTAAGTTATTTTTCCATTTATCGAACATATGTTTTTTCTGAATGTTTCCAGTGCATGCATAAATGGCCAAACATCATGCATGGAATATGAATGTGATGGTAAGTTTTGAGTATGACATAATAATAAAGCATACAATGTATTACAATATAATATTTCTGAAATAAGTGAATGATTCAAACTTGAGAGCCATTCAAGATTAAATAGAAAAATGTTTAATAGTTTCAATGTGTATATCAATTGCTGTTGTAGTTGACTGTCAATGGAGCGATTGGTATGATGGCGAATGTAGTGAGAAATGTTCGACTGGCAAGATGACTAGTTACAGGTAAAATATGATATATACATATAGGCTAGAGGGAACTGGGAGTAAAAATATTTTTTATTGTACGCTCATTGCAACACAACATGAATTTTACAGAGGATGGAAATTTCCTTGCAAATTCAAATATTTTTCTTGGTGATTGGTTATAGGACTGTGAAAACCGCAGCAAAAGGAAATGGTGTAGAATGTAAAGGACCTACAAAGAAAACAACAAATTGCAACACCGACTGCTGTAAAGTATGCAGTTACAATGATAAAGAACATCCTTTAGGAGAATTTTGGTATGAAGAATGGCTTGGCGAATGTAAAGAATGGTATGTATATTTCTTCGATGTTTATAGCACTTATTATCCCATCGAACAAAGTTCGGATGGACATGGGGAATGCCTCCGTCTGTCCGGGCAATAACTCAAATACCGTCGGCCCGATTTCGTTCATATTTTGTACACATATACCCTATGGAAGTAGAAGTTCTGGTCTAAAATAATTTTCAAAAAGTCCACTCATTTAAAAATGGCGGCTATTTTAATGCCGATTTTACAGTAATTTAGGTGCAGTATGTAAAACTGTCATAGCAATATGTTTTAAATGTAAAAAAATTATATAGGACATTAATAAAGCTAGAAATGTAGATATTAGAGAAGCACATGGCAGCATTGAAGAACGGCGGCCTTTACTCATTATTTTACAATTTCTGCTGTAACTCAAAAAGTAGTAGAGCGATTTTGTTCATATTTGGTATGTGAATACCATAAGCATTGCACACTGTCTATTGACACTTTTGGAAGAAGGCGGCCATTTTAACATATTTTACTATAACTCGAAAAGTAGTGGAGCGATTTTGTTCATATTTGGTATGTGAATACTATAAGCATGGCACACTGTCTAATGACACTTTTGGTAGAAGGTGGCCATTTCGAAAAATGGCTGCCATTTTAACATATTTTACTATAACTCGAAAAGTAGTGGAGCGATTTTGTTCATATTTGGTATGTGAATACTATAAGCATGGCACATTGTTTAATGACACTTTTGGTAGAAGGCGCCCATTTTGAAAAATAGCTGCAATTTTTGGTATATACATGTACTTTAATGTTTGTAAAAATGGGATTTGCTATGCTTTGGATTTGCTGTCGTCTAGTTATTACAGATCAAATACCTAAATAGAATGACTATACAAAAGTCACAAGGACCCAATATAAGCCTAAACCACATTTGCAATGGCACGAATGCTATATACTAGTATGTGTATACTAACAGAGTTCATTTCAAAAACATGTGTAATTGTGACATTGAACTGTGGAGAGTAAGTTTTGAATATTTTTGGTTTAATTTTCAAGGCTTGTGCTTTATTCTTTAAAATGTAATACTTGTAGTATTTGCCAATGTAATGGACTCCCAGTATGCTACGATAGCGACCTTTGTGGGGTTATTACTAATGGAACTACCCCAAAACCAACACCTGGTATAGGTGAGTATAAACAAACCAAGTCTCAAAACATCTAAACCAATTACTTTCTGGATTTCTAATAACTTACCATGCACGCTAATAAAGTTTTAATTGCAAAATAACAACAAAAATGCTGAATCATCTTAAAAGTTTGATATGCATTTCAATTGTCATTGATTTTATAAAGCAAATCAAATAAAATGAAGCGCTTTTATAGATGATTGCCAATGGGACGATTGGTCAGACTGGGACACTTGTTCTGAAATATGTGGTATTGGGAAGAGGACAAGATCAAGGACTATAAGAAGGGAAGCGATAAATGATGGAGCTCCCTGTGTTGGAAGTACTACTGAGGTTGGAGACTGCAACACACAGCCATGCCCAGGTATTTTTCTGTTGGAATTATGAATTATGATAGTACATGTAATGAATAAACACAAGGAGCACACGCATCTAGAACTCGCAACCTCGTGGTTACGGCGCCCAATCGCCTAGCCTGAACATGCCGACGCTCAAGCCCTCTCGGCCAACTCGACAACCCCAAAAAGGTTGTTTTGTTAGTCGATTTAATTGACTAGAGGCAGCTGATGTTAACGCTCAGACACACCAGAGGAAGCACCCTACCCTTTTTTCCACTTTGGCACTAGTACTTATATATTCCTACATATATATTCCTAAAACATTCTTCATGGATAAGAATTAGTTATTTGATTTGATCAGCTGTATGTAATTGTACTGTGTTTCAAAAAGTGTCAATGAAAATAGTTCTGCATCTACATATACATGTACACGTACCATATCAATAAGCTTGTAAACTGACTTCTGTCATAATTGATGAATATGCATGCTCAAGTACCAAAGGGAAAGGATCAAAAATTGTAACAACAAAAAAGATATAGGCTGTGAATTTGTGAAACCATAACCGTATCACTATTATTTTGTGCAAATCCATTGCCCTTTTATCAAAAATATATTTTCAAGTGATTACCTAAACATGGTAACTCACTGACTTGAAAAACCAAGTCCCATTACAAATATAAATAAAGAATATGGTCAGCATTTTGTCAACATGTCCTCACAAATCATTTTATCTTATTTGCCAAATATGGTACCAGTCATTACTTTAACTGTGTATTTCAGTCGACTGTGAATTCTCTGAGTGGTCTGAGTACAGTGAATGTTCAGTAACATGTGGAGTAGGAACTGAGACAAGGACTAGAGAGATTGAAATACCTCCAAAATATGGCGGAAAAGAATGTACTAATGAGTTCCTTCAACAGGAACTATGTTACAGAGAACAATGTGATGGTATGCTATTGCATTTGGCAAACTCTAACAATTTCAATTTCGTTTAAGTATCAGTAATGTTATTGTGTTGAATTATAAAATGCTATTCTCTGTTTCATTTTAAATACTTGTTTCAGAGTGTATTCCTCCAAGCTTTAACTCTACATGCGCCAGTCAGGATATAAGTGTACAAGGATGTAGCTGCATTGGTAATGATGACTGTGCTACAGAAAGTACAGACGTATGTCAGCCTGGCTGTGTATGCCCATATGGAATGGTAATGGAAGAACATGAATGCGTGGATATAACAACATGTGGTTGCTTAGTTGGGTCCAAGAAATATGAAAATGGAGATGTTTGGAATAGCACTGATGTGTGTAAACAATGGTAAGACATCATGAAAAACCAACCTTAGAGGGAAATTTAACAACTGAAAGAAGCCATGAGACATGATCTGTATCATCATTGCTACAAGACAGTGTACAGGTCAACAAATCTGCATAAAAACACTTAAACATAATGTAAAGTTTGATCATACAAAAAGAAAGTCAAGTTTTAGTTTACATGTAATACCAATATTGCCACTATCACACCGGAATAGCCTGACAATGGTAAAGTCAGTCACAAATTGTCACAAAACCATCGTTTCAATTAAATTTTCATGAACTGTGTGTTTAATAGTGCATCTAGACTTAAAATCCCTTTGGAACAACAATCAATCAAAGTGTTTTGATACTCATTGTACAGTTAATAATGTTCAACCATTGAAATAAACTCTTTAATTTAGCTGATCAAAATGAGATAGGGGACAACGGACACTGCATGTAACCACATGCTGTTGTCTTGGCTTTGTATAAAAAACCTTTACACATTAAAATGCACCCATATGCCTTTATTCATGGATCTGTCATCTGTCAAGTCATAAAATAAAGCTGGAATTGTAGAAATGTTAAAGTTTGAGTTATTTTTAGATTTAATAATCTTTAAAATTGAATCCTTCTGTATCAATGTTCCACATAGGTGGGTAGGTGGGTATGAGGTTCTTTATACAAAGCCCGTTGTCTTTGGAAATTATTTCAAATTCAGATTCCGTTTTCTTTGACAATATTGAAGACACTATATTGTAGCGATTCATGACCCAATTTGATTGAAATGGGGATTTCATATGACACATCATCATAAGAGCTTAATACATGCACAGAATTAGCAACGATAAAGTCCCATAAAATAAGGACCAAGTGAATGAAGGGTTGAAACGACAGTTATGCCCGCCATTTGTGACAACAGTATCTGTCTTTACCGTTGTCAGGCTATTTGGGTGTGACTGGTCAATATTGTATTGTGAAGGATGATATTATGAGGTTATATAATGGTTGATTCCGTATATCGTGTTTATACTCAAGTGAGTATATGATATATTCACGAGTGACCGAAGGGAACAAGTGAATATATCATATACTCACGAGAGTATAACGATATACAGAATCAACCATTATATGATCTTATTATCCCACCCTAATCTTCAATCAATAAAAAAAAATCAGCAGTTGTATATCAAGTCGAAGAGTTGTATACGCTGCCCAGGAGTTGTATACGCTATCCAGGAGTTGTATATTGTTCTCAAGAGTTGTATACGATGAGTGTTGGTTTTATATTGCAGTTATACAATGCTATTATACAATCATATAAAGCACTTAGGGTGGGATAATATATAATATGACTACATGTATGGTCAATTAGGTTTTCATTTGGATGAATACACTTTATTTCAAACTGACCTACACACCCCAGTAGTGGCTAATACTTAATACTTTTTTCTATTATTTTTTTCAGCGAATGTCAGGAGAGTGAAATTATCTGCGCACCTTATATTTGCAATGGTAAGATATTGTAATTTTCACATAATGTAAAGCTTGTATTGACAGCACATTATTTGTATTTGAATTGAATAATATGCATTTCTTACATTTCCCAATCTCAATGCTTTAGTTGATTGCAAATGGAGTGAATGGAGTTCCTTTGGTGCTTGTAATCAGGATTGTAATGGTGGAGAAATGATGAGATATAGGTAAGTAATTGTTCAATATGAAATGTAAATACAATGTATAACTAAATCAAGTACGTACCCTGGTCAATTACTTATTACTGGGGGTAGGAAATTAGAGTTGTTTTGTAAATTCTTATCAAGTGTATATTATTATGTTAAAACATTCTATGATATTATATATTACTTTATATTTTAGGATGGTTGAATCTGCAGCTCAGGGTAACGGGTCTGAGTGTTTGGGTCCTCACAAAGAGTCAATGGATTGTAACACTGGTTGTTGTCAAGTCTGCACTCACAATGAGGTTGACTATGAAATTGGTAAACCTTGGAAGGACGACACATGTATTGAATGGTATATAAAACATTTGATGTATATGTTTAAGAAATTATCTCTATAATTATATATTTAGTGCATTTGTAACCAAGTGAGAACTGACTTGTTCAGGAGAGTGTTGACCTACATGTAAATGCTAAGATTTCAAACATGACTATAGATGTCAGAAGTGTGTCAAAGTGCTAATCAATGAGATAATGATAAATCACAGGGGACTATTTTTCAAGAGATGAGCATGTTTATGTTAAGCACTTCAAATTTAAAATAGAAATTTTAGCCAACTTATGACCATTGTTGTGTTTTATGGATTATGATGACGGCTTTGCTTTCAATTGCCTATGGACTTTGAGACTGGATTTTATCTATCCCACATCATTTGAGACTGAATACTTTTATGAGTACTTGTATAGTAGCCACAACTATTTTTTATGTTTGCTATCAATTTTTCAATTTTTCTTCAACATGTATTGTAATGACTTCAGTATGAATGAAATGTCCCTTGGTGTTCTGGTCCTGGATTGTGATATTGGTTCTCGATTGGAGGGGGGAGGGGGATGTTAGACATTGTTTCTTTTCACGTTAGATCATGGTTTTGGGATATATAAGGTCTACTTTTCTTTTGACAGATTTACACTTACAGCTTGGTTTTCTTGTTGGGTTTCTTTAAAGTTTTTAGTCACCCTTCCCTTTTGGCATTTGTGCTTATATATTAAGAAGTAGTGGTGTTACAGCATTTTTGAATACATACTCAAGCTAATGAAATTAATTAATAGTTACTAGAATATAGTATATTGTTGATTTTTGCAAGTGATTGTGCTTATAGGTCTTCATTATCAATTAATCATGGCACACAATTAAGCATGGGTTGTTCACATTCCATCTATTCTTGTTTTTAGTCATTGTTTATGTGATGGAAGCACAGAATGCAAACAGATTGAGAATTGTGAGTAGATACAAATAATCTAGGAATGTAAAATAGAAAATAGAAGACTTCAAGCTCCAAATCAGTTGATACTCCTTATGATAACCCTTTTATCTGGTGGTATAAAACCAAATGAAAAAGTGACAAAACAGTACAGTGTAAGTATTGATATTGACTTGTGGACTAAATTCTAATTTAGGTGTTGATCCTGATTGTAAATGGGGACCCTGGTCTGTATGGGGAACATGTTCAGAGACATGTGGTGTAGCTGTCACTACAAGGAATAGGACCATTGCTAAAAGAGCAGATGATGGTGGTGAAGCTTGTCAGGGCAGTGCCATTGACACTAAAGATTGCAATACATCTCCCTGTCCAGGTATTAAGTTAGTTACATCAACACACTAACGGGTTATCATCGAAGATAGTCATATACAATGGCAAAATATGTTTCCATCCTGTAGCATTAAAGATAATGTATACGCTAATAGCCTCTTAATGTCACATTCATACACCTCAATATGTGGAATCAATATATTTGCTACCTTAAAGTAATAAAGAAAGTTAGTGGCATTCCTTTTTACTTTTACTTTTTTTTACTTTTTACTTTTTTTTATAGTGAAACAAAATTATGGAATCAACATAGACAACAAAACAACATAGACTTTATCCTTAATTAGATTTAAGGCCGATGGATGTATAACACATCCTGTTGACTAAATGTGGAGTTATGCAATAAATATCTTCATATTGTTTTAGTTGATTGTAAATGGTCTAAGTGGAGTAAATTTAGCAAATGTTCTGTATCGTGTGATGTTGGAGTGAAGACTAGAACAAGATCAGTGTCCATTGAGGCAGCATATGGAGGAGTTGAATGTGATGGCAAACCTATTGAACAGGTGATATGTACCAGGAGGAAGAAATGTGAAGGTAAATAGGACAGACTTGAATTTGTGATTCAAGAACAATTGATGTTTTGCCACTTCACTGTTTTGTTTTAATGTATCATTCTTGAAGCAAATGCGCATTTTATGATTGTTTAGAATGTATCCCACCAAGTTTCAACTCATCTTGTGCAAGTAAATCAGCAGCTGTGACAACATGTGATTGCTTGGATTCCAACTGTGATCTCGATGGAGCAGAAGAATGTATCCCGGGATGTACCTGCCCAGATGGCATGGTCATGGAAGATGGAGAATGTAAGAAGATTGAAGAATGTGGATGCCTTGTTGGATCTGTAGAATATAGAGCTGGAGACCAATGGAATGATACTGATGCTTGCCAAACATGGTAAGACAGTATTTTGCTACTCGGAATCATGATCTTATCAGAATACTTGTTTATCATTATTTTGAGTATTTGCAGAAATCATTTCTTGATAAATTGTATTTTACTGTTGCAGCACTTGCACAGAAGGAAGAACATCATGCGTGCCATATGACTGTGATGGTAAGACATAACAATATTAGAACAATAACGGTGCATATACATCATTATACAACTTTTGATGAAGCATGAAGGAAAGCATATTTAATGGGAAATATAATATTTTTAATACAAAAGAATATTTTACAATTTCACACACATATGTTCCCTTACTACAGCAGATTCTAAAATAATCTATGTTGCATCATTTAGTAAACTTCCTAAATCTTCCTTGAAAGTTCTGTACAAACCATATTACAATAAAAATGAGTGGAAGAGATAAACTAATATCAGAACCCTGTGACATGCATGACTATTTTGCTTTGTATTTTGTGACAATACTATTTGCTCTGCTAACCCTATTTCAAGTTACCATGACAACTGCTAGACATATAAACATCTAAGCCATATTTTTCATAATTGTTTGTGAACTGTATCATGCTACTTCTGTTCTATGGGCATAAAAGTTTAATGGCAACATAAACCTGTTGAAAGACCTGTATGATGTCATTTAAATTATGCACGCCAATTTTTATTCATGACAACCATGGCATCATTTTAGATGATTGTGAATGGGGTGACTGGAGTGACTATGGAACTTGTGATGCACCATGTTTTTCATAATTGTTTGTGAACTGCATCATGCTACTCCTGTTCTATGGGCAGTTTAATGGCAACATAAACCTGTTGAAAGACCCGTATGATGTCATTTAAATTATGCACGCCAATTTTTATTCATGACAACCATGGCATCATTTTTTTAGATGATTGTGAATGGGGTGACTGGAGTGACTATGGAACTTGTGATGCACCATGTAATGGTGGAGAAATGACAAGATATAGGTAAAACAATCATGCCTCAATTCAAATATAAATCAAAATATGTTCTGGCAATTCTGATTTGTGATATAATAGTAATTTTGATATTTTTAAATCTTACCAATCATAATATAAAATGTTAAGTAGGATTATTTTTTAACATACACTTGTCATTTACATTGACAATAAATAATTTCTATATAGCTGCAGTTGTGGATACAATATTCTCTCTAAATGTTCTAGATTAATTTATTTGTGTAATACTAGTGATCTACCAAATTCACATATACTATTTGTATTTACATGATGATAAGCCTTGCCCAAGTCGGTATTTTTTTATTTTACTTATCTGGGTAAGGCTACATGACGATATACATGGTATCTCTGTTATATTTTTAGATCTATCAAACAGGCCGCTAAAGGAAATGGTAAAAACTGCACTGGTGATGCAACTCAGACATCTCCATGTAACACAGATTGCTGTCAAACATGTAATTACGATGGAATCAGCTATCCTAAAGGTGTTCTTTTCAATGTAGATGATGAAGAGTGTAAACAATGGTATGTCAACACATGACAATGATAAATATTTTTCTTATTCTTATATACAGGGTGGTCAAAAAACTGGAAATGCTAAAACCATTTTCCTAATATCTTTGTCATTTTAAGAAATAACTTTGCACATTTGTACATCACTCAATTTCCTATTTGCCTACCTTATTTCATGACCATCAGATTGATAGTCACAGTGTTACAGCACTTTAAAGAACATTCCCGGTGGCCACAATTGCGCTGTAGACCAACCTGCACATGTCATCCAAAATTCCCTACCTATGGGAATATGGCAGAGATAGAGTGTATAAGAATGACCTCGGGACAATTGCAGACCTCAAAAGTGAGATCATCTGTATTATTCAGGCCATACCTGCTGAGGAATGCATTTGGATCATTGACATCTGTGCAGGTTTGTGACTATCAGTCTGATGGTCATGAAAAATGGTATAGTAGTAGGAAATTGAATGATTTACAAATGTGTGAAATATCAGGGAGTAATCTTTTAAAATGATAAAGATATGAGGAAAATGCAGGGTTTCCATTTTTTCACCACCCTGTACTAACACATATGATGTTTAACATATGACATAAGATGCAACGCTAAAGCAATTTCGTTCCACTTTTGTTGATTGTGTTACTCATATACAGTTTATTTTTCTAGTTTATGTCAGTGTGATGGATTGGTCAACTGCTATACTAAATGTAAGTGAAAAACATGGAATATACAGGCAGTTGTTTTACTAGATTATTCGACTGAAAAATAGTATTAACAAGAAATTTGAGCATTACTTACATCTTAGTAATCTCGACAAATCGTTTATGACCAAATGACTCCAGCCTTTAAATGATAAAAAAGGGAATTTGATGAAGTTAGATATAATTGTTTTGAACAATCTGTTGAAACATGAAAAGCTTTTTCTAGCTTTCATATATAACACACAAAATTTGAAGGTGTCAACAGAAATAACATGTATTACTGAGCTCTGAACATGTCCACCCTATGCCAGATACGTTAAGTATACTTTGTTTTATTTTAGGTGACAATGGTACATCCAACAAAACATCAGGTAGGTTTTAAATGAATATTTTATACAACTTTAATTCTTACTGATGAAATACACATTAGCTTCCCATTGATATATGTAAGAACTTTACGATAACATATCACTTATGTTTAGATGATTGTCTCTGGGGTGATTGGTCAGACTGGAATGCTTGTTCCCGTTCATGTGGTGTCGGAAGTAGAACCAGGTCAAGAGCTATTGAACGTGAAGCAATTAATGATGGAGCTGGCTGCGTGGGTGATACAGTAGATATAGGGGATTGTAATACTTCACCTTGCCCAAGTAAGTAGTTGTTCAATATTTGGAACATTTGAATCATCTTTAAATGATTGCCAAAATATTTACTCAGCAGGGATTAAAGGCCACAAATGCGAAATGAAGAATAATGTGTAATTAAATATTGCTGTATCATTTTCATAATTTAATCAATTATTATATTTTAAAATTAGTTGATTGTGAGCTGTCCGAATGGTCAACATTCAGCGAATGCTCAGTGACTTGTGGGGTTGGCGTATTAACAAGAAAGAGGGATATTGTAATAGATAGTCAACATGGTGGAAAGTGCGATGAAAATATCTTTGATCAAAAGATGTGTATCAAAGAACAGTGTGATGGTAGGTATAATTATGTGGCCAACTTCGGGACATGATGAAGTTTGAACTCTCATATAATTCTGAAATTTTGGGTCTAGTGAAGTAAGTTTCAACTTACTGTGCCTAACAATGCCACTTTCATGAAATTGAGTATATGTGCTATGCGCTACTTTGGTTATTTTACATTTTAGAGTGCATTCCACCAAGTTATAACTCATCCTGTGCCAGCCAATCAGCAAGCATATTGTCATGCAACTGCATTGACACAGATGCATGCAATGTGGATACAAGTGACACCTGTGAACCTGGATGTGTGTGTCCAGATGACATGGTAATGGAAGAAGGTGAATGTAGACCCAGAACATCTTGTGGTTGCTTAGTAGGGTCTGTTAGATATAAAAATGGAGATATTTGGAATAACACTGATCAATGCAAGCAATGGTGAGTCACACTATATCACATTTATGAGTAGTCAAATTGTCATCTGCCCAGACTTCAGTGACACTCTGAGCAGGTCATTCCATTATGTCTACAGTACTGTATGGGTACATTTTGACTAATTAGGAATTATCTATGAGCATAGTAATCCCATTATTGACTCTAAACCTGACATTTATGAGTAGTCAAATTGTCATCTGCCCAGACTTCAGTGACACTCTGAGCAGGTCATTCCATTATGTCTACAGTACTGTATGGGCACATTTGGACTATCTATGGGCAATAAGGAATCATCTATGGGCATAGTAATCCCATTATTGACTCTAACCTGACATTTATGAGTAGTCAAATTGTCATCTGCTCACACTTCAATGACACTCTGAGCAGGTCATTCCATTATGTTTACAGTATGGGCACATTTGGACTATCTATGGGCAATTAGGAATCATCTATGGGCATAGTAATCCCATTATTGACTCTAAACCTGACATTTATGAGTAGTCAAATTGTCATCTGCTCACACTTCAATGACACTCTGAGCAGGTCATTCCATTATGTCTACAGTACTGTATGGGTACATTTTGACTAATTAGGAATTATCTATGAGCATAGTAATCCCATTATTGACTCTAAACCTGACATTTATGAGTAGTCAAATTGTCATCTGCCCAGACTTCAGTGACACTCTGAGCAGGTCATTCCATTATGTTTACAGTATGGGCACATTTGGACTATCTATGGGCAATTAGGAATCATCTATGGGCATAGTAATCCCATTATTGACTCTAAACCTGACATTTATGAGTAGTCAAATTGTCATCTGCCCAGACTTCAGTGACACTCTGAGCAGGTCATTCCATTATGTCTACAGTACTGTATGGGTACATTTTGACTAATTAGGAATTATTTATGAGCATAGTAATCCCATTATTGACTCTAAACCTGACATTTATGAGTAGTCAAATTGTCATCTGCTCACACTTCAATGACACTCTGAGCAGGTCATTCTATTATGTTTACAGTATGGGCACATTTGCCCATCCTTGTCAATTTTCATTTAAATGTATTAATAACATGGCAGTGATGGGTAGTTCATTACATATTACCTTACTTTTTTACTATGCTTGTTTATCTGTATGTGCAAAATGAGGCTCATTAGATGTTAAGTCATATCTATTCAAACAATGTAGCAATACCAAAAAAACACATGACATCAATGTTTGATATTTTTGTTTATTATACTCAGTTGCTCAATTGCTTCACTAATCCTGTTTGTGACACTCATCCATTAATGCTATTTTAATAACTTGACAAATCAAGTTTTTTTTAATCTTCAAGGTTTAAAACAATTAATAATAATTAGAATGTTTGACGATTAAGTTTTTTCTCTAGTTATTTGGAAAAATGCATTAGACTCAAACTAAACCTATAAGAATACTATTAAAGTTTTAAACATATACTAAAATCAAGTAATTAATGATAAATAAACATGTTCTTAAATAAAAATTCAAGTTTAGTTTCCATTCTAGACATGTTGACAAATCCCTTAGAAAAAATACAATAATAAGCAGATCAAAAGTTTAAAGGAATTATGAATTGCAATCAAGAACTATGAAAATCAAGTTTCAAATTTTACTACCAAGTAACACCAAGTTTTCAGTGTGACTTGGTGTGGATTTTGATTTGTAGAGATCAAAGGGATTAAAATTTATTCTAACACCATCTCACACCAGCCAAACAGCATGACTCAGTGTTGAACAGCAGGGGTTTAATCTCTTAATCCTTTCATACCAAGTCACACCAGTTTTATGGTGTGACTTGGTGTTAGATGGTAGTAAAATTATTTTTCATACCAATTAACACCAGAAATGTCCCATTCACACCAAACCCTGATTACTAGTGCTAGTGGATTATCTAAATAACATAAAAAGTTTAAGGCCACGTTTTCGAACTGCCCAATGGGCAAGTCAGTTGTGTAATATTTAATAAGATTTCTCCTTGGGTATCACAATAAAGAACAATAAGTCCAATGGTGCAAATTACATGGTCCCATCTACACTCACATAATTCTTTTAAAAGACGCCTTGGTTTACTGCTATGGAACTCCAGTGGTGCATTAGCGACAAGCCAAAGTGAGTGTGATTCACAAGATTGTCACAGCAGAACTAAGCGGTGTTAGTGTGCTTAGATGCACTGTTTTTGTTGAAAATATGTGACCATGTTATTTGCTCCGTATCGCCTATTGATCTTTTTTTGTGATACCCAGGGAGATAACTCATATAAATATTCATATTTAACTTGTACTGCAGCCATTCAAAAACCAACATTGTTTAGTAAACTCTTTTTACAAAGATAAATTCTGTTTTTTTATCTTTGCATAATCTTTTCGTGAATCAAAACGTTAACCATTTCTTTGGTATACTTTCATACATAATCTCATAACTATCAACCAGGCAATGATAATATATGATTGATATCTAAAATATGTGATGAAAATTATGATAAATATAAATTATGATTCTAATCCCAGGTTTAAAAAGACAACATTCAAGGTTATAGATTAATATATTTTCTGATATTCATATATTAAAATACTATGTACATCCTTTATTTTAGTCAATGTATAGACAGTGATGTACAATGTACAGAATATGACTGTGACGGTAAGTTTAACTTTCATAGAAAATGTCATAGAGATTTATACAGACTTGGGTGATATAATAGACAACCACAAGAAGAAACATTAAACAGGAAAGCAAAACCATCTATGTGGCAAATTATAATCTAATGCTCAATGAAATTGGAACAAACTCAAAGGAAATACCCTTGATTATAGGCTAGCCTACAAAGAACCTTTACTCCAGAACTCTTGCAAGATAAAGGAGGTATTTAACTCTCAGATATCTATATTCTTTTGTTTTAGTCTGCAAGTGGACAGAGTGGAGTGATTTTGGTTCTTGTGATGCAAATTGTAATGGTGGTAAAATGATTAAATACAGGTAAAATATTAATCCTTCATGTTTATCATTAAGACTTGTTGGTTTGAGGACCAGCATTTATAACATGCTCATCTATGTATTGACTTTGTCTCCAGACAATTACTAACTGAGCCTCGTGGTAATGATATCCAGTGTCCTGGAGAGTCCTCAATGGTTGCACCTTGTAACACTGATTGTTGTGATGTCTGTACATACAATGGTGTTGAGCATGATATTGGTGTCCCATGGAATGAGAAAAAATGTGTTGAATGGTAGGTTGTTTTTCTTCAATTAAAACAATGGACAGCAGCTTGGAAAGTGGAAAATAATCCAAGAAAAAGAAACATTGAGTTTGAATATATACTGTACATTGTATAATTTTGAATTGTAAAATACTAAATATTTGTATATGTGACATTGTTTTATCAGTCAATCACATTTGTAAATATTTTCATTCCAGCAACTGTTTGTGCGATGGAACTTCTGCCTGTTTTCCCATTGAAGGATGTAAGTTGACACCTTTCCTGTTATCAATCTACCAAGCATTATCATATCATACCATAATAATTACCTTTTAAATACCAAACTCTAGGAATGGTCCATGAGTATTGGTTGCTTTATACACAGAGACTTGCGATTATTTTTCATTGGAAGATGAACATATATTCACTTCAATATCATGGAACATTTGATTATACTTGTATGTACAAAGAAGATGAACATATATTCACTTCAATATCATGGAACATTTGATTATACTTGTATGTACATGTACATGTAGGTGTTGATAATGACTGCAAATGGGGACCATGGTCTGATTGGGATGAGTGCACAGAAACATGTGGTATTGGAACTACTCAAAGGACAAGGAACATTGCTCGATTTGCTGTTGATGATGGTTTGGGATGTCAAGGGAGTGATACTGAAACTACAGACTGCAATACACAACCCTGTCCAAGTGAGTAGACATACATGGATAATTTTTAACACCTTGCCATATTCATTATCCCATCGAACGACTCTTTTTCAATCCATGCATTTTAACCATTTTTTCATGTATTTTGTTATACTTCCCAGTTGACTGTGAGCTGTCTGAGTGGAGTAAATTTAGCAAATGTTCTGTCTCATGTGATGTTGGTGTAAAGACTAGAACAAGAGTAATTGAGCAACCAGCTCAACATGGAGGTGCAGAATGTGACCCAATTGTGATTGAACAAAATCAGTGTGTCAGGCGAAAAACCTGTGAAGGTATAGAATTCCAATTTCTGTAAAAATCTTTGTGGTTTTGCCAACAATTGTGTTTGTAGCTTTGATGTTGTACTATTGCATATTTTTCAAAATGCTTACTATCCTATGAACAAATTTCATTTATCCATCTATCCATTGTTTGATTGTTTCTGCCTTGGTGATAACTCATATACCAGTCGATAATCGCGGTACTCATATTTTTGACTGATTCCATATGGGATGCTCGAAAAGGAATTGCCAGTATGGCTTCCTTATTTACTATAGCTGCCATTTTTCATTAAAAAATGTAATTGTTTTTCACTCAATACTAGTTGTCACATTTGGTCCTATAAGATTATACATTGGGGCATATAATACCTCTAAAGAGAAGTAATTTTTAAGAAAAACATATTTCAAAGTAGCCACAATTTAAAAAAATGTTTAATCTCTAACTTCAATATCTTCAAAGGTTGCTTGGTTTTATTGACATTGTAACATCATCTTGAATACTGCCTGTCATTTATTTTATGAAATGTTCAAAATAATTTGATATTTGATTATATATTATATATGATTTAGTACTCTGGAGTGTTGCTGTTTTTCTAGTTGATCTAAAAAATATTTTTCAGAATGTATCCCACCAAGTTTCAATTCTTCATGTGCAAATAAATTAGCGGCTGTGACGACATGTGATTGTCTGGATGAAAACTGCCAACTGAATAGTGTAGAGAAGTGTGTCCCAGGATGTACCTGTCCAGATGGTATGGTAATGGATGGTGGAGAGTGTAAAAATGTGACATTGTGTGGATGTCTTGTTGGCTCTGTGGAATATAAACCTGGAGATAAGTGGGAAGACGCAAATGCATGTCAGCAATGGTAGGTTGACATTGCAATCATATTTATGATATGGGGGTTGATTGTCGGTTTTATATGTTGAGTATGGCAAACTGATCTATATGTAATGTACACTACTTGTGTTATTTGAATGTTGCCACTGTTTCAAGATAATAGATATCTCAGATAATGAAGTATGAAAGCATTTGAAAACATCACATCCTCCAGCTTGTGCTTGTTTGGATACTTCATGCTAAAATAAGTGGAAACTATATTTTAACTTACTTTTGCAGCTCCTGTGTAAGTGGAGAGGTACAATGCAATCCACTTGATGACTGCAATGGTAAATGATTATTTTTATTCAGCATTAAATCTACCAATAGATTAATAGTTTGTCGTCAATCTGCCAGCCACTCACTCCGTCTGGGAATAAGTGCACCAGATATTTAGATTTGTGTGCAAATGAGAATGAAATTTTAACAAAACATTGTTTGATCATTGGGAGAAATTTGCCCCTCCATCTAGTTGTTGATAAGTTTATGATGAATAATTTAAAATTGCAAGTAAGACTCATTCTTTTATGTTAACAGTTGATTGTAAATGGAGCGATTGGAGTGACTTTGGTAGCTGTAGTGCTATTTGCAATGGTGGAGATATGATCAGATACAGGTACCTTTTAACTACAAACAAGTTGACGAGGTGAATGATATAAACAAATTTACCATAACATAATATGTGTTTCTTGAAAAAATGTGTCCCACTGATTACTTAAAGAAGCATCTTTGAAGTTGCGTGAGTATTATAACTTATTATTTTCTCATGGATTAGGACTATCGAATCTGTTGCTAAGGGGAATGGAGCTAATTGTACAGGAGAATCCAGTGAGAGCAAACCATGTAACACTGGCTGTTGTGACACATGTGATTATAACGCAATTGAACATAACAATGGTGAAATCTGGATGGATGGAGAATGTAGACAGTGGTATGTTTAGAATTCTTTTAGAAAAGGCCATCTCACCCATATATCCTCAAATAGAGTAGCATATTAACTACCTTCATCTGTATATATAATAGTGGCTGTTTTATCAGGGAACTTGCATTGCTTATGGTTTATTTGCCATACCTTGACTGATTAACAATTAAATTTGAAATTATTATTATTTGATAGTATATCTTGCTTCATCATCTTAAATTCCACAAATTAAATGTATTTTTATAGCATCTGTCAGTGTGATGGAAGACCGAACTGTTATGATGTTACACCTTGTGAGTATTATTATTAGATACTTTTGTTGCATCATTAATATTACACATCCTAAAGGGGACACAATTGACAATGAGCTGAATATAATCAAATATTCATCATCCCACTCCTTTTTATTAATTTTAACTCACTTTAATTCATGCTGATCACTTTATTATGATGATTTTAAAAGTTGGTACTGATTTCTAAAAGGTCATTTCTTCAACCTGATTACAGAAAACTACCTTTGACTTTATTTAAAACATTGTTAATTAATTTTTGTTTCATAATTTTACTGGAAAGTTTATTATTAGCCTTTAATTAACAGTTGCTTTTGCCTTCTTTTGATGAAAATCATCACAACAGCTTTGTTTTCAGCATTTTTCTATTTCATTTCAAAATCATCACATGCTTACATAATGATTAATGGTACACACAATTTGGAACTTTAATGTACAAAAAAACACAACTTTCATTGTTGCTTTGCATATTAAAGACACAATACAGTTGTTTGTTATTGATTTTTATTAGCTCAGCAAATATATATTGCACAAACTCCTACTTTATTCAGAGAAATGTGTTTATCCCATACTTGGACGTGTTACAGGTACATTGAACAGGTTTGTAAAAACTTATATTTTCATCAGTGGGCAGATATAGCTTTACGTCCCACTCAGAGCGGGCAGATATAGTGGCCAATATAATATATTATCCCGCATATTTGCCTCGGGATAATCCCAATATCCTGAACCTCATATAGGATAATCTCTATTTATTTCTAGGTGTTTCTACAATAGTTACACCCACTGGACCAACTCCAGAACCAACTCCATCTCCAGGTAAGTGGGATGTAATCAGGCAGCACTTGAATTCATATTTCTTGATATGATTGAATTGTCATAATGAGGTGGATACTAGAATCCTTTTTTGGTTTTTAGGTATTCAGATATATTTGCAGGTATATATTTTGTATTCAGATATGGTGTGTAGATTTACAATCCCTATTTCTAGATACTATTATTGATCTATACCTGGCATACTTCTGATCCAAATTTCAAATATAAAATCATGTGTTCTCAGCATTGTCTCTTTTTCTTCTCATCCAATAAAAACACTTTCTTTATTAGACTTCAAAAGAAATGTCATTGTAAATGGTTTTGTGCACCAATTTAGTTATCAACTGTGGCAGAATAAATATCCCTAGGATGTAACCTCTGAATGCTCTAACGTGTCAGAAAACTCTGGTTATGTTTGCTAAAAATCAAGCACAACGTGATAGGTAATTACGGTTGAAAATTTGGTGCATTAACTTAGACCTAATACTTTATCAGATGACTGTCAGTGGGGAGATTGGAGTGATTGGGGAGAATGTTCCTTGACATGTGGCATTGGAAGTAGGGAAAGCACTAGAACCATAAAGAGGCCAGCAGTTAATAAAGGATCTGGTTGCTCTGGAAACACAACAAAATATGAAGACTGCAACACATCACCTTGTCCAGGTATTTTTTATATATTGGGTCAAAATAAGTATTAAAATTGACACTGGTATAATCAAAATCAACTAAGTATTGCTAAAGTACTGAAGTTGAATACAATTGTTTTTTCTAAATTTTAGTAAACTGTGTATTATCTGAATGGAGTGCATTGAGTGAGTGCTCTGTAACTTGTGGAGTCGGTGTCCAAACCAAATTGAGAGAAGTAGTGATTCCTAGCAAATATGGTGGAAAGGAATGCTCTGGTCCATTTGTTGATGAGAAACTTTGCTACAAAGAGCAGTGTGATGGTAGATTGCTTTTGTATATTAAATTCTTTTGTATAGGTTTATCTCATGGTTCTTAGTATCAAGAAAAGCATATTTTTAGGGAGGGGGCATATCAAAGGCTCAGTGATGGATAACATACCTTTGATGTTTTTTCTTGCTGCTGAGGAGTGTTTAGAATAAACATTTTGTATTTTTTCAGACCCAATAGCAGATGCTTAATGTTGAGAAAGTCAAATTACATAATTTTCCTATGTCATTTGGCAACAATGATGTTGTTTTACAGAATGCATTGAGCCAAGCTTCAACTCTTCATGTGCCAGTGAATCAGAAAGTATTCTGTCCTGTAGTTGCCTGATTGGCAATGAGGGATGTAGTCTAAGTAAGGATGCCTCTTGCACACCTGGCTGTGTTTGCCCTGATAACATGGTACTTGAAGGTGGAGAGTGTAAACCCAGAGACTCGTGTGGTTGTTTTGTTGGCTCTAATAGATATGAAGATGGAAAGATTTGGGAAAGAACATCCCCTGCTTGTGAAAGATGGTGAGATTCAACATGTTACATGTGTACTTGTGATAATAAAGGAAAGCTCATTTTAGCTTTCAAGTATGAAATGTGTTAGGCCACACCCAAATTCATATTTATGTGTTATAATTTCAGCGAATGTAAAAACAATGAAGTCATTTGTGAACCCTTTGAATGCAATGGTAAGTTATTGTAAGTCTCTAATAAGTAATAGTAAACAGACAAATTTCAAGTCTGTGTTTTAGTTAGTGTCCAGTTCTTAACTCTGATTGGAAATCCCAGGGAAAAGTATTATTATATTGTCTTTATGCCTATCTCTTCAAATTCATTATAGTTGATTGTCAGTGGTCTGACTGGAGTGATGGACGCTGTGATAAAACATGTGGTGGTGGCATAATGGACAAATACAGGTAATAATTCATAGTATGACAATTTCAGGGCCTCCAGTAAAACAGAATGATACTGTATATATACAGGGTTTTTCATTTGATTTGTTCCAAAGATCAGGCCATATTCAACTGTTCATTACTCAAAAATTGATGCTCTTTAAACCATAGCAATATTTATATTCTTATTGTCAAACTGTTCTTTATAGGACAATTGACACTGTAGCTAAAGGAAATGGTACATGTCCTGGTGACTCAACCACCAGTACTGAATGCAACACAGATTGTTGTGACACATGTATATACAACACTAAGGAACATACAACTGGAATTCCATGGGAGGAGGACTGCCAAGAATGGTATGGATCATTTTTAAACTCTTGTATTGTGGAGATGTTCACTACCAATTTATGTTTTTCAAGTTGCTTTATTTATTGTTTACTCTTCCTATTGTTTGATTGCAGCCATTGTCTATGTGATGGAAGTACAGTTTGTCTGGATCTTGAAGACTGTAAGTAGTGCTTATGTATAGGTAATATTTTCTCTTTGTCCTTTTGATTGATATACAAGAAGGGTGCTTGCCTGTAACCAGCTTTTACCAAGAGGGGGAGCACTTTAGAGACAGTATTGGCTAAAACACCATGCAAAAAGTCCTCAGAATGGTGAAAACTGCATGAATTTGAAATAATTCCTGGCCAGGGGGAACAGCCTGGATACAGGCCTGGGGTTGTAGCTCTACAAATGCGGAGTTTTTAAGAACATTTTGTATTGATTACAGGTATTGATTGCCAATGGAAACCATGGTCTGATTGGGATGAATGCACAGTGACATGCGGTGTAGGTCAAACCACAAGGACTAGAAGCATAGCTCGATTTGCTCAAGAAAATGGTAAACCTTGTGTTGGAAGCGATACTGATACAATGGATTGCAATACACACTTCTGCCCAGGTTTGTCTTTAACAATCCAAATTGAATTTTATAACCAACTTTGGAAAGAATATGTTTAGTTGTCAAAATGGCCATCAGGGAGAATATTATGAAAAGAAATGTATTAAAGATATATTAGGTACATTGAAGAATTCAACAGCAAATCCCGTAATAAGGGTCCAAAACACTTATTAATCTTCATATAATCTAAGAAAAGTGTATTTTATAACTATTTCTTTGATATTTCCAGTTGATTGCAAGTTATCTGAATGGAGTGCATTTAGTGCATGTTCAGTGTCATGTGATGTTGGTGTAAAGACAAGAACAAGGGCTGTAGAAATAGAAGCAGCTTTCGGTGGATCACCATGTAATGATGTCCTAATTGAACAAGATACATGTGTTAGCAACGAAAAATGTGAAGGTAGGTTAAGAATCATATTTATTCAAATACCACTCATGTATACAAGGTGTCCACAAAGTAGCAAGACTTATGATGTCATCTTTGATAAACTACAGTAGAACCTGCTAAGTGGAACACCTCCCAAGTGGAACACTTTTCAAATTCCCGTTTTAAAAACCCATTGACTTAATGTTAATTGAACCTCTGTAAGTGGAACACCTCCAAACTTGAACAGTGAACACCCCATATTGAAAAATTTATAAACTATATTGTAATAAGTATATAAGCCTAGTAAATATTCCATTAAATTCACACATTTAAGGTCACCCTATGTACATCTTTCAATTCTGGGGAAATTCTTGTAGAAGCAGCTTTGTGATAGTATAGGATTCATTTGACATTAAATATGTGCAGTTAATGCAATCAAAATCCATTACAGAATGCATTCCACCCAGCTTCAATTCATCATGTGCAAGTAAGTTGGCAGCTGTAACAACATGTGATTGCTTGGATACCAACTGCAATCTCAATGAGGCAGAAGAGTGTGTCCCAGGATGTACGTGTCCAGATGGCATGGTCATGGAGGGGGGAGAGTGTAAAGATGTTGCATCATGTGGATGCCTTGTGGGCTCTGTTGAATATAAATCTGGAGAAACCTGGACTGACACTGATGATTGCCAAATATGGTAAGACTCGTACTTAAGATTAATTTATTCATCACAATTTGTTTTTTTATTTTTTAATGCTGTTAGATTTGTTATTTGTTGTGTATCTGTGAGGAAAGAAAATAAGTTATGTAATTTTTGTTTTAGTGAATGCACTGGTGGAAAGACAAAGTGCAACTATTATGATTGTGATGGTAAGATACTTACTTTTGAACATTTGGTTAATAACTTTGGTGATTCATAAAATTTGAATGATATATTTTATTTTGACAAAGTTCAACCCAAATTCTGTGTCATTAGCTTTGTTTATCACTCCTGAGTGTAAATGATAAGACTGACAAAGATCATTGTCACAGTTAGTTTTAAGGCACAGATTTAAGAGTTATTGATTTTGATATGATGATTGTTCTTTACATTGCAAAATATTTAAGTATCTGACATTCAAGTCTATATACTTTTTAGTTGATTGTAAATTGAGTGAGTGGAGTGACTTTGGATCGTGCGATGAACCATGCAATGGGGGCAAAATGACCAGATATAGGTAATAGGTCATATCATGTGTACTGTAAAATATGTTTGTAGTACTATTACACTGTAGTTTCCGCTCTGAATCCGAACTCATAATTAAGATATCACAATTAAGATATCAGCAATGTTTATCATATTTGCATAAACAACCAGATTAATTTTCTGCCTAGCTCCTGCATCCTGCATATCATTGATATTGTTTAAACTCGGCAAAATAAAGTCATTTGGAGATTAAATTCACCATATTTGCCTTTCTTATTTGAACGCCAATTTGTCCAAACCTGAATAATAAGAATATACAATTATATTCAGGACTGTCCTAACTGAAGCAAAGGGAAATGGTAGTGAATGCCCTGCATGGCCCACCAGTGAGGAGGAAGACTGTAACACTGATTGTTGTACATCTTGCAACTATAATGGCATTGATATAAATGTCGGTGAACCATGGCAAGATAAAGAGTGCACACAATGGTATATTATTATCATCAAATTACATTTTTAAAACCATCAAAATTCAGAACATCCTGGATATTCACTCATGAAATTCAGTCTGTTAGTTTTTGGTGTTCAAGTACAATTACTTCAGATCATAATAAATTGTCCCCCTTTATAGATTAGAAATACTCCTTATCATTCACATTTTTTATTTTTGGTATTGCAGACATATACATTTCACTCGAATAACGCTCATTTGATGTATTGTTTTCAGTATATGCCAGTGCAATGGTCTTCCAGACTGTTACGACTTGGATTCGTGTAAGTATTTTTGTTTAGAGACATTAAAAAGTGGTATTAAAAGTTTGTTAATTACTATATATGTCATGTATTCAGATGGACTTACTTTCTGAACTGTATAGTACTGTATAGACATAAAATATTGTTTTTTAAACAGGTGAAATTACACCTACTGGACCAACTCCAACTCCTACAGAACCACCACCTTCACCAGGTATGTAAACCAAGAATATCATAGTAATCAAAAGTAATAGTATTTGAATTTGTTGTCTACAACTTTTCACTTTGGAGGATACACAGAAAAATGCTTACTGATAATTCACGATTGCTTAATATTTGTAGATGATTGCAAGTGGAGTATTTGGTCTGACTGGAGTAATTGTACACTTGAATGTGGCCTTGGGAGTAGGACACGCACAAGAACAATAGTCAGGAAAGCAATAAATAATGGAAGGCCATGTGAGGGGGATATGGATGAAACTGAGGACTGCAATACATCACCCTGTCCAGGTACATTTTAGATAACTACAAACAACTGTACACAGTGTCAAAGATATAAATGTAAAGAACAGAATCTACAACAAATCAATCCCTAGGTAATTATTATATAATATTGTTATATAATTGAGTCCTTCCAATATATTTTTTCAGTTGACTGTATGTTATCAGCATGGACAACCTTCAGCGAATGTTCAGTCACCTGTGGCGTAGGTGTTATTACTAGAGCACGAGATATAGAAAGAGCCAGTGCATTTGGTGGAAAAGAATGTGATGGTGTGCTGTTTGAACAGGCACGGTGTGTGAAGGAGCAATGTGATGGTATTTAGGATTTTATACTGACAATTTTGAAACATCTATAATTGTAATGCTCGGCCAGGGTTGTCATGTTATGATTTACTGAAAATACTTGATTTTACTTGATGTACATTTAATTCAAAATCCAATTAAAACAAAAAAACAAGTAACATTGTACACTGTATTTATAATGTTTGAGTTTATATAAACCAGCTAGAAAATAATTTATTTCTAGAATGTATTGCACCAAGCTTCAACTCCTCATGTGCAACTCAGTCACAAAGCATACTCTCATGCAACTGCATTAATAATGAGGACTGCAGTCTTGAGATGAGTGCTACATGTGAGCCTGGATGTGTGTGTCCAGATGATATGGTGATGGAAGAAGGTGAATGTAAATTAATCACAGCATGTGGTTGTATGGTAGGAACAACCCGATATGAAGACAAAGAGACATGGAATAATACAGACTCTTGTGAGATTTGGTGAGAAACCATTTAGTATATGCTATACTATGCTCAATTACATTCGCAATTAAGTTTTTCAATACTCTTACATTTTTCCTCCATTTTCCTTAATCAGTTGTGTAATTATGTAACTCTTCTTGTATGTACTGTCCCTTTATAATCATATGCATGTCCAATGTGTTTTAGCCAGTGCACGAAAAACAAAGTGAATTGTGAACCGTTTGACTGTGATGGTAAGTTCATAGAATATTTTGATAAATAATGCAAATTTCTAAAATAATGAGTACACCATACCATCATACCATTCCTGTCTATTATTCAGTGAAATGGAACAATATTATGAAACCTCAATCCTTTTTAGGTTTAAGCAATCTTGAGGATTTGGATTTAGGACCACAATATAGCTTGAATGAAAATAAAAGATTGAGAGTCCTTTCCAAAATTTAAAATTAATCCACTCTGACAGCTTAAAATTTGTGTAAATCGAGTATTTTTATTTGAGTTTTTTTAATTTTTATTGCCTCAGTTAACTGTACATGGAGTGATTGGAGTAACTTTGGAACATGTAGTGAACCTTGTAATGGTGGTGAGATGAAAAGATACAGGTACGTATATCAACAGGGGCAATCAACCATAAAGAAATATTTATTCAGACTTTTCAGGTTTCTTATTTTAAGTCTGGTTATTTCCTTGTCAGTATTACACCATATGAAGGTTACATTGCATTTAGCAAACACCATGTCGAGAACTTAAAATAAAACTTTGAAAACTGGCATCTACTGTATGTTATTCTGGAAACATTTTTATTTACAGATCAGTTGTAATGGAGCCCAAGGGCAATGGAGTTTGTGAAGGCTCAAATGAAGAGAGTGTTCCGTGTAATACAGATTGTTGTACTGTTTGTATATACAATGGACAAGAAAAGGAATTGAGCATATCCTGGCAAGATGGCAAATGCACAGACTGGTTTGTTTACATTCATACCTAGTATTTGTGAGGTTTATGCCAATAGTTTTGTATAAATTGAATAATATCAGAGTAATTCTCTTGTTCAAATAGAATCATCTCGCATATCAGCTCTTTCTTTGCATCAAGTTTAAGAGTTGTGTTTGATTTGTAGCCATTGTATGTGTGATGGCACTTCTCTATGTCTACCTATAGAGGGATGTAAGTATGCACAATTATAAGCCTATGTAAGCCTAGTTATTAAATTTTGGTGAATTTCATATCAATTCATGATGCAACAATATTTGTGACGTGCATAGTACAAAATCTTTTATCCCACCCTAAGTGCTTTATATGATTGTATAATAGCATTGTATAACTGCAATATAAAACCAACACTCATCGTATACAACTCTTGAGAACGGTATACAACTCCTGGATAGCGTATACAACTCCTGGGCAGCATACATATGTATACAACTCTTCGACTTGATATACAACTGCTGAATTTAGAACCTTTTATTGATTAAAGATAAGGATGGGATAATAAGATCATATAATGTTTGATTCTGTATATCGTTATACTCCCGTGAGTATATGATATATTCACTCGTTCCCTTCAGTCACTCGTGAATATATCATATACTCACTTGAGTATAAACACGATATACAGAATCAACCATTATATAACCTCATAATACAAAATAAAGTATACGGCTGGTCGGATCTGACTAGACAATTTGAAACATGATTTTCACATCTTACATATAAGTATGCCAAATTAAGTTTACAGAGCAGTTTTCCAAACAATTTTGTTTTTGAACCTTATTGTTCCCTTCTTTTAGCAATCTTTTCATGTGAACAGATATAACTGACGAGATGGTTTTAGTATACCTTATGTACTGTATTATGATTGATCTTAATACATTGTTGTGCATAGGTAATGACACTGATTGTGAATGGGAAAATTGGTCAGACTGGGGAGAGTGCACAGAGACATGTGGAGCAGGTACATCAACAAGGACCCGACAGATTGCTAGGATGGCTGGTGAAGGTGGACAAGCTTGCATCGGTGATAGTGTTGACACCATGGATTGTAATACGCTACCATGTCCAGGTACATAACAACATACACCATGTGCTACCATATAGGAGTACTAGTTCGTACTGAATATTTAAATCAGAACAGAGTCCTAAGAATGTCAGAGAAGAATATGCATAGTCATATCATGGGGAAAGGGTTATTAAAAAACATTTGATTAACACAAATTATGTTCATCTGTACTTCTGTCCTTTCATTCATGTGTGGATTTAGTAGTAACTGGAATTCCAAACAAGGATCTTGTTCTTATTTTATATCATAACAGAGGGAAAGCTCTGATTATTTTCGTAATGAGTGGTATGTCATTATCTAGAATATCATTGATAGTTCACTTAATGGGGTATATTATATATAAACATGAATGAATAATTTCTTATTTTCAAGTTGACTGTAAGGTATCAGAATGGAGTGCCTTCAGCAAGTGCTCTGTATCATGTGATGTTGGTGTTAAGACTAGAACAAGGACTATGGAGGCTGCTGCTGAGTATGGTGGAGAATGTAAACTTATTGAGCAAGAGGTTTGCACAAGAAAAAGGAAATGTGAAGGTAAATGATGCAAAATAAACATAAGCAAAACACTCATATACTATACACTCGAATACTAGTTGACAGATTTTCTTCATATTTGGTGGAAAGATGTATATAGGTCAATAGGTTTATGCATTGGCTCTAATTGAAAAAATTAGCAAATTTGCAAAAATTAGCAAAAATCTTATGTTTTTCATTTTAAACCAAAATAATAAACATTATTATTTGAAACTTTGATAGTAAACAACATCTATCTATTTCAGTATAAATGAAATGTCCCTTGGTGTTCTGGTCCTGGATTGTGATATTGGTTCTCGATTGGAGGGGGGAGGGGGATGTTAGACATTGTTTCTTTTCACGTTAGATTATGGTTTTGGGATAAAGGGTCTACTTTTCTTATGGCAGATTTACACTTACAGTTTGCTTTTCTTGTTGGGTTTCTTTAAAGTTTTTAGTCACCCTTCCCTTTGGCATTTGTGCTTATATATTCACATATATCCTGGGTTTTCACCCTGACCCCAGGGGCCGTAAATCGGGGGTTGGGAAAACAGGAATTTGCATTAATTTTGAGATGTTTTTGAAGTATAGCTTTATTATACTCAAATGAAAGGCAATTTAGAGTAGATTGCAAATATTTTAGCGGGATTTCGCAATTATTTTCTGATCTCTTAAAAGTATGGCTATATTATACTCATATTAAAGGAATTTCAGAGAAGATCACAATTATGGCATTGTTTTTCTGATTTTTGCCTCTGAAAATTCAAAATGGCTGACTAGAGCAGAAATTCACCATTACTTACAGTTATCTTGAAAGTATGGTTACATTATCCTACAATGATCTAAAATATTTATTGAAGGAAAGAGTAGATGGTAAATATTACATTGTGACTGTACAGATTGATAAAGTGTTAGTTGGGATTTGCTACTCCGTGGAGTTGCCATTTTCTAGTATTAATAAATATATTGACAACCCTTCTTGTCTTTTCAGAATGTATCCCGCCAAGTTTCAACTCATCATGTGCCAGTAAATCAGCAGCTGTGACGACATGTGATTGCTTGGATACCAACTGTAATCTCAATGAGGCAGTTAAATGTGTACCTGGATGTACCTGTCCAGATGGCATGGTCATGGATGGTGGCGAGTGTAAAAACATAGCTTCATGTGGATGCCTTGTTGGATCTGTAGAATATAAAGCTGGAGACCAATGGAATGATACTAAAGCATGTCAGCTATGGTTAGAACTTTTGTATTAATATCCATCGCAAGTATATGAATTTGCATGTACTTGTTTATATTTAGGTTATGATATATCTGTTTGTGATATACTGTATAGAGTATAAATCATACGCATGAAGTGGATGTACTCTTTTGGATGTACTCTTTGTTTACTCTTAATTGACTGCATAAAGGATCACTATTATTTAGTAATGTTATTATAAGTAATTTGCAGATCCCATAGCGTGTGAAAAGACGAAATAAATTATTCTGTATATTTGTAGTGAATGTAAAGATGGTAAAATTAGCTGTATGCCACACACAGATGGATGTGATGGTAAGAGGAGATTTTATATCCTATTTCCAAAACATCTATGGAATATTTAGGACTTAGGTTTATGACTAAATAGTGTGAAGATGTTTCTTTTCTAACATGTTGACCCCTATCAGACTCAAACACAGATGGTCTTTCTTTTTGATTTTACATGCAAGTTATATGAATAATGAAGTATTATAGTTGTTAATTTATTATTTTAAGTAAATTGTGAATGGGGAGACTGGATTGATGGATCGTGTGATATGGACTGTGGTGGGGGACAGATGACAAGCTACAGGTATAGTCATAGAAACATCATATTGATCTGCAGGCCCGTATCCAGGATTTGCAGAGGGGGTTCACTTTTTAAAAAACCCAAGGGGGTTCACTTTGGACAACTTTGGCCCAAAAATGGTCAAAATCACTAGAAAATCACTGAAAAACTGCATGATTTTGAAAGAATATTTGGCCAGAAGGAACCCCCCTGATTACTGGCCTTATCTGGCTACAATATTTTAATATGTGTCATCATGCTACATAAAAGAAAAACATTGCTACTAAATCAAGTTCTTTTGGTTTTTACTTTATTGTATTGTGCAAAAATTGAACAGTTATTTTTTCACTTCAAACAATTCTTGAAACCATTACTCATTATTTTTTATCAATATGATAAAAATTGTGCCACTGATTTTAAAAATAATTCAGATTTAGTCATTCCAGTATAAATATGGAAAGTTTGAACACAACATTTGAATAAAGTTGAATATTTGATGGTTAGTTAATGTTGCCGTTAAACTCACGACATGAAATAAAGTTACATAAGATCTCTTGAAGACATAATTCAGTTAAAAATCACTCGGGGCTGTCCCTCCTATCCTCATCTAAAAGAACAGTTCTGGAAAACCATGCATCTATTGACAGTGTTAGAAATATAATGATCACATTATCTATCTCTATTGATAGAGTTATAAAGACACCAGCCAGGGGCAATGGGGAGAATTGCACAGGGCCAACCAGTATAGTGACTGATTGTAATACCGACTGTTGCTTAACATGTGGCTACAATACTATTGAATATGAGAGAGGAGTGTTGTGGGAAAATGAAAAGTGCACAGAACAGTGGTATGTTTGACATCTTTTTTCATTCAATGTATAAGTAATTATCTAGATATCTTATCTTCAATATTATCAAGTGGCTGATAATGCATTCAGCAAAGCCACTACAAGTGTATAATGTTTATGTACTTTATGTATTTGTAAAATAAATTCTATGAATAAAAAAAAAATAAAAAAAATATTATCCATACTAATGAATAAATGTTGTATAATTAAATTGTAGCATATGTAACTGTAATGGACTACCAGAGTGCTACCCTATTGAAGTTGGCGAATGTGAGTAGTCTTATTATTTGCTGAAGAATGATGCATATGTCTAGAATAGCAGATGATTTTCAAACATCCACATTAGATAAATAGATTACTGGTATTCTTAAAGCAAGAGTATGATTATAATTTTAACATTAGAATTATAAATTATGATATAATTGTTGTTGATTTTAGGTGAAAGAAACAAAACTACTCCTGGGAATGTAACAACACCAACTCCAACACCAGCTCCATGTAATATATCATTAATACTTGTATATGTAGGGGATATCATTAATACTTGTATATGTAGGGGATATCATTAATACTTGTATATGTAGGGGATATCATTAATACTTGTATATGTAGGGGATATTATTAATACTTGTATATGTAGGGGATATCATTAATGCTTGTATATGTAGGGGATATCATTAATACTTGTATATGTAGGGGATATCATTAATACTTGTATATGTAGGGGATATCATTAATACTTGTATATGTAGGGGATATCATTAATACTTGTATATGTAGGGGATATTATTAATACTTGTATATGTAGGGGATATCATTAATGCTTGTATATGTAGGGGATATCATTAATACTTGTATATGTAGGGGATATCATTAATACTTGTATATGTAGGGGATATCATTAATACTTGTATATGTAGGGGATATCATTAATGCTTGTATATGTAGGGGACGGAGTAAAAAACGAAACTTCTTTTTATAATTTGATTGTGCTTATAATTTTTGTAGTGTCCTTCATTTTTATTGAAGGTCAGAAATAAACGCTTCTAATCTGATTGTTGCATGGTAAAATGAGATAATTTAGCTTAGAGAGCTTAACTATGAGCGTTTTATTTATCACCAATCCATGAAGAGTGGAATCTACATATTGTTGGATATATTTCTTCATTTCTTTGTTATATCTAATGTTTCACAATAACAGTCATGACATCTTTCTTATATGTACTTGGCAATATATATATTTTTGCTACATAACTGTTGGTGTGTTTAGGTGATTGTGTATGGAGTGATTGGTCAGATTTTGATGAATGTTCTCAGACATGTGGTATTGGTAGTGAGACTAGGACTCGATATATTGCCAAAGCTGCCACAGATGGTTGTGTTGGTTGCATGGGCAGTACTTCTGAAAGCAGGGACTGTAACCCTGACCCATGTCCAAGTATGATCATTTTCTAAAAACGTTTTTACGGTGTCTTAATATATGTAGGAGGTGGTACTTGTAACCATGATAGATCTTACCAGGGATGCTTATGATGTAAATGGGAGGGATTAACATATTCTTGGTGTAATCATACCATTCTTATACTATCTTTCTGTACTCCATCAAAGCAATAAATATTTGCCATGAAATATAAAGATGCAGGCCAAAAGGATTTCTAAAAATGGGCCACAGTAAACATGTTTAAGATACATCATATTTGCTATAAAGTAAGTTGACAAACACATTTAACAACTATTCGAGTTCCAAGAATATTATTGATAAAAGTAGGAATATCCTTAACCAGTTGATGCAATACTTTAATCTCGAAGATGTATGGAATGAAACGAATGGTCAAAAAACTGGTTTTACATTTTATGATAAAAGGAATGACTCAAAAAGTCGTTTGGATTATTTTTGCATATCAAAGAATCCAAATTTTCATATCAAAAAGTGTTTTTTAATGCAAGCATTGAAAGCTGATCACAAATGTGTACTCATGGATATTAAATTAACTAAAAATGAAAGAGGTAGAGGTTACTGGAAATTAAACAGCAGTCTCATTAATGATGCAACCTATTGTGAATTAATTGTTAACTGTATAAAATGGGTCGAAATTCAATATTCATATATCCAGTCAAAAAGAGTGTTCTGGGAAATACTAAAAAACAAGGTTAAAAAAACGACAATAGCATATTCTGTGAAAAAGGCCAAAAATAAACGAAATGAACGAGATATCTTACAAAATGAAATAGATGCACTTCAAGTATGTATTGATAATAGCAGAAAACAAGAAATGGTAGAAAGGCTTAAAAGGAAAAAAGTACTTGCAGAAACTAAGTTAAGTGAAATATATAATACAGATGTAAAAGGTTATTTTATCAGATCTAGAGCAACTTATATGGAAGAAGGGGAGAAGAGTACGAGATATTTTTTAAGTCTGGAAAAGGCGAGACAGTCAAATAATGTAATTAGAAAGTTGAAAACTAAAAGTGGTAACATTTATAAAGATGAAGAAATACTAGAAGAATCTGCAGTTTTTTATGAAAATTTATATAAAAATGACATGATAGAAAGGGAAAATGTAAGACAATTTATGAATGATATTGATGCTGAGTATATTCTAAACCAAAATGAAAAGGAATTGTGTGAAAATGGGATAACAAAAATTGAACTTTCAAAGGCAGTAAAATAACTTCAAAATAATAAAAGTCCGGGTAAAGATGGTCTGACACCTGAATTTTTTAAAAGATTTTGGGATGAGATTGAAAATTCCTTCTTTGAGATGTTAGAAGAAACTTTTGAATTTGGAGAACTAACTGAATCAATGAAATTAGCAATTTTGACTTTACTTTTCAAAAAGGGTGATAGAGAACTTTTGGGAAACTATAGACCCATAAGTTTGAGTAATTACGATTATAAAATTATTGCTTTTGTAATTGCAAATCGGTTGCAAGGGGTGATTTCAAAACTAGTTGGGAATAATCAAACATCTTATATTGAGGGAAGATTTATAGGAAATAATGCAAGATTTTTAGTTGATTTGATTGAATATACTGAAAACAAGAATAAAGAAGGTGTTCTAATATGTATTGACTTCAAAAAGGCTTTTGATAGTTTAAATTGGGACTTTATGTTTGAAACATTGCAGAAACTGAACTTTGGACCAAAATTCATAAATATGATAAAAACTTTATATGTCGATCCAAAATTAGTTATAAAAAATAATGGTCATTTATCTAGAGAAGTTGAAATACACAAGGGAGTCCGACAAGGATGCCCAGCATCAGCTTTAATTTTTACGTTATGTGTAGAGTTTTTAAGCAAAGCTATAAATCAAAATGAAAATATAAAAGGAATTAAAATAAATGAAAGAGAAATCAAGATAATACAACATGCTGATGATACAACATTAACTTTAGGTAATAAAGATTCAATATCCCATGCAGTTAAAACAATTGAAGCATTTTCAAAAGTATCAGGACTTCAACTTAACCTGGATAAAACATCTGGTATTTGGCTGGGAACATATAAAAACAATGAAGTTAAATTTAAAGACATTAATTTTACTAATGAGCCAATAAAATGTCTAGGAATCTACATAGGACACAATAAAAATGAATGTGAGAAATTAAATTGGGATCCAAAGATTTTCGACTTTGAAAAATTGTTTGAGTCATGGAAAAAAAGAAAACTGACCTTATTCGGAAAAGCCATAATCATTAATAGTTTAGGTATATCAAAATTTGTATATAATTTTACAGTCTTAAATGTACCAGCTAAAATAGTTAAGAAAATAAATTCAATTCTATATGGTTTTCTGTGGAAAAAGGAAGGTGTTAAAAGGAAAACAGTAATTGGGGACATATTAAATGGAGGGCTTAACATTGTAGATGTTCAATCCAAAATCGATGCATTAAAGGCATCTTGGATTCCAAGGCTATTACTCTCAAAAACCGCATGGAAAAATATCCCTGAAGAGTATATCAGAGATATGGGTTTTGAAATAAAAGATATCATAAAAACAAACTCAGTTGAACATTTTGATTTTTTAAAAAACTCTCAATTTTATAAGGAAATATTTTCATGTTTCAATAAATGCAAAGATAAGATTGAATTATCAAAACACTCATTTGGTGACATTGTTTGGTTAAACAACAATTTTAAATGGAAAAAACATATCCTTTTCTATAAAAACTGGATTAAGTCAGGATTTATATATCTGAAAGATTTTTTTGATGATAAAGGGATTTTTATTAGTGAAAAGTATGTTTTTGACAAGTTGAATGACAAAAGAAATTGGATTAAAGAATATATGATAATTAGAAGTACTATCAAAATGGCAATGAAAAATATACAGACAAATAGAGCTCAATTCACTAATATATTTTATAAATGTGATTTTATAGTAAATGGAAAATATGAAAAATTAGAAGGAAAAAAGTCAAAGTTTTTCTACAATATATTAAGAAATAACCAGTTCGAGAGATCAAATTTAGAAAATGTTTGGAGTACAATGTTCAATTTTGAAAATACAAATAATTATTTCAAAATCATATACAGGCAAAAAATAAAAGAAATGCCATGTAAAAAAATTTCTGATTTTAATTTTAAAATTCTTCATAATTGTTTATACTGTGGATACATGATTAGTAAATGGAACAGAAATATAAGTTCAACCTGCATTTTTTGTAATGAAAATCACACTGCGAAACATCTTATTTTTGATTGCCAGAAGGTTAGAAATATTTGGGAAGATGTTGGAGATATTTTGAATTTTAATGTTCAATGGAAACACATTGTTGTTGGTTTTAACATAATAGACAGAAAAACTAGAAACAGAAATATTATTTTAAGTATTATTGCAAATTCAATATATAAAAAATGGACAAACCTTAATGAAAAGCCAGATGTCTTGAGACAAATTAATTTTAGACAGCAAGTTTTATCAGACCTTTTATCCTACAACAGTGTATTTCTACTAAATAAATTCAATATAGATTTTGATATGTTAAAAAGAATTTGTAATATTTTATAAGAAGTAAGTTTTGTAATACTTTATAAGAAGTTAAGTGTTTTTCTGTACTTGTATTGTATATATATTTTTAATGTATTATTGTATTATATGTTCATATGTTATATTTTTTGGAATAAAAATTTTAATAAAAAAAAAAAAAAAAAAAACTATTTGTTGTTGTATTAACTGTTATCTACTCCCAATTTCTTCATCAATTGGGCATTTTTCATCAGAAATTTGTTGTATTTCAGTTGACTGTAAATTATCGGAGTGGTCTGATGCCAACGAGTGTTCAGTGACATGTGGAGTTGGTGTAGTCACCAGGACTAGATCTGTGGCAGTTGAGAGTAAATATGGAGGCAAGGAATGTGATGGTAAACTACTCCAACAAGATACGTGTGTCAAGGAACAGTGTGATGGTACAGACATTTTGAATAATTTATTATATTATATAAAAACATCTTCACCTTAAGATTATCATTAAAATGCTTGTAATTATTCCTTAGGGAATTATTGTAAGTCAATGATGAACTTATTGATTTCTATTTCTATAAGAATATAAGAAGGTTTGGTTGGAACCTTAATAACATGTTACATTAAAAATGAGTTGAATTGATATTGCACCTTGAAGGGTGAAATCAATGACCTCAATGTTTTAGATACTTTTAATAACCTGTTGTTCTTAAAATTCATAAAGTCTTAGAGTGTATTCCCCAAGCAGGCTACAACCATTCACGTGCCTTTCTATCACTCAGCATCGATTTGTGCAGTTTTATTGCCAATGCTGACTGTAAAATTACTGTTTTGTTCTTCTAGAGTGCATCCCTCCAAGCTTCAACTCTTCATGTGCCTCTCAATCACTCAGTATCAAATCGTGCAGCTGTATTGGCAATCCTGATTGCATTCTTAATAGCAATAATGTCGCATGTGAGCCTGGTTGTGTTTGCCCTGATGATATGGTCATGGAGAAGGGTGAATGTAAACTCAGGACAGAATGTGGATGCATGGTAGGAACCACACAGTATCAAAATGGTGACAAATGGAATTTAACTGACTCTTGTTACACTTGGTAAGATATTCATAATAGTCCTATTGTCTCTGATCCTGAGGTAAATTTCATTGGTTGTATTGAGCTTAAAAAGTTTGGATTGTATGAAACATATATGAACTTGATCAATTTTTTATTCCAGCGAATGCAGTGAAAGTGATATTGAATGTCTGCCATATGATTGCAATGGTAAGTGATGTATTTTAGTACTACTTAATGATAAATCTACATTTGTGTAGTTTAGGTTGCATAAGTATGCTCACTTAGGTATATGCATGCATGTGTTCACAGTAAATGATAACAATATATAACTACACATACTTCCTGATGGTAAAATAGAAAGAGATTGGAGACATTAAGTTGGCATATAAAATTGAAACGGCAACCTGTATGTATGAAATTCCCCTATACAAATGAATGTAGTTTCACATGAATAAATGTTTGGTTACAGTGTTTACTTAGTTCATTACTTGGACCACACCCCAGCGTGTAATATGCCATTGATAGTTACATAGCTGGTTTTCTATGATACATATTTTAAACAAGCTCGTTTGAGAAGATATTTGGAGCTACATGTAAAGCATGTATGACTTACATCATTTTCTTCAGAAAGCATTGTACTATGCATTGAAATCAACTTTGCCGGCAAAGTATTCAATAGACATCAGTATAATGATTCGCATTGACACCAGCATGAAATGCAAATTTCCCATTCTAAATACTAAGCTGGAGCTGAGCGGGTATTTGAATAGACTAAGTAGCGCTTGTTTTGCCCTATGCGTTCAAAGTTTTGTTGCGAAAAACATCGCCAGCTTAAAGTCTCCAATGAGTTGATCATTGGTGAAATTAATCAAGGTGTTTATTGACTGTTCATAGTTGATTGCCAATGGAGTGCTTGGAATGATGGAGTCTGCGACAAGCCATGTAACGGTGGTGAACTGACTAAATACAGGTGAGATATAAAAGTATATGTCAGAACATAGAATTCAGTGTTTGCTAGTACATAAATGACTTGGATATTGTTACTATTACATTATTCCTAATTTTGCACTTAGTTCTTCTTCCCCCTTCTCCACAGAGTCACTGATGATTTCACCTCTATAATTCTAAAATATGATCATAAACTCATTACTATTCAGATGTTGATGTGTATTTCTTGATGTAACTTATGTGATTATCCTGGATTGCAAGCTGCTATACAAGCTACTACAGCTCAGCTAGTTGAGCTAGCCCTTAAACATATAGCTCAATGGTGGAGTATTAGACTTTGAGTGGGATGTCCTGGGTTCAATTGTCTGTTTCTGGCTGGTTACACTGTAGCTCCTAGGCATCCTCGGGTCATTACACTTAGGACGCATTCTCCCTACAGAATTCTAGAAGGTCATTTCCTTTATATGACAGACACATGTACACTATTATTCTAGAACAATTGAAGTGCAGCCTAAAGGTAATGGGAGACTGTGCAGAGGTCCATCAAGCATAGTGACACCTTGCAATACTGGATGCTGTGACGTCTGTACATACAATGGCATAGAACAAAAAGTTGGAGTACCATGGATCGAAGGAGGCTGTCTTCAATGGTGAGAAATATTACCTTTGGAATAATATGTTTAATAAAAAGATGGATTGTTATATTAAGATATCTTTGTTACTTTTGATGTTTCATCAAAACTGTCAATATCAGAAACTTTATCAAATAAGAAATGATAAAAATCTGTCATTGTGATTTATTCCAGCCAGTGCCTCTGCGTCGGACAATCAGTATGTTTCCGTATCAGTGATAATTGTAAGTATATCTCACATTAAAATCTGTTTTGATATTGATTTCATATTTTGTCTCGAGTATGCATTTATATGTGTGTTAAGTGCAACATCAGAAAGTGTAATATGCGTCTACCTAAGCACATGTATAATTTCAACCGCACACTCGTACATGTAAGTGGCAGCCATTTTTCAAAATGGCTGCCTACTCACCAAAACAATCCCTAGGTTTCAAAAATTATAGTTGATTCATTGAAAAGCTGTCCAGTGCATTAGATGATTGATTAGTTAGTGAAAACAACCTCCTTGTTCCACCACCACCACTGGCAGACCTTTTTCTGTTTTTAAATTTCCCAAAAATATGTATTTGATTTTGCTGTATGGAAAATGAATATTTTTGTATTTTGTTTTTTATTTCCTCAACCATCAAATGATATATGATGTATTATCTTAAGGTACAAGTACCAAAAGCACAACATACATCCCACCTGTTACAACTACTGAGAAGGGAAAAGGTGAAGAAACAAAGGAATGCACCAAAGAACCATGCCCATGTGTCATTGGATTTAATTCATTTTCAAATCAGGTAAGATACATGTACATGTATGATGTGATCAATTTTCCAAGGGAAGCAGGTAGCTACAACTCTCAATTTTTGTGAAACAAATTTGAACTGATATGTTTTTAAAAATGAGGCTTAATTGTTGGACAAATAATCTTCATTAAAAAAATGTGCATCTTATCATGTTACGTTTTCTTATGTTCAGGGTTTCCCCTTCAATATATCAGATGGACGAGCTGTGGCTTATAAAGATAAGGATGGGGATGAAACTATCATACCCGATGAGTATATCAACGTAGGAGACACTGTTGAATCGGGAATGATATTCAATGTGGACTGCAGTACTTGGTATGTGAAATTATGATGGGCAATAGAGGTCTTGATGTTATATGCAAAATATGTACACAAAATATATCACACATCAGGTTACATGATGAATTTTTTACACAGAGTGGGCCAAAATGAAGTTTCCAATTTTTCATTTTAATCTTATTTTCTTATTTTTGATGCAATCCCTTAAAAATAGGTAATGAATTGTTACAATTTATTCTATGAATTTTTATATATGAAACTGTGAAGCAGACATAAAGAATTCTTGCTCTGATGTACATGTGCCGTATGTTAGTTATGTGATAACAGCCTTCATGTAGTATAATCCAGCAGTGGTGGATCAAAAAACTAACAAGGGGGTTGGCCCATATTTTGAGTCTGGAAAAAAATGTCTGGGCATTTGAATCTAAAATTGGATCTGTCAGTGTCCATCGCCTTACCAAAGTGTAACATTCCTCCATGTGAATATCCACTGTTTGAATATCATTTTAAAGAATGTCCCAACTATTCGGCTATACACTTTCATGTATTTTCAGTCAATGTATGCCCAATGGCCAAGTAAATTGTACTTATGAGGCTTGTACTGGTAAGACAACCTTTCCACTAACTAATTTTAAACAAAAAGTGAGACACACTTATAAATTCTCCAAAATGCTTGCTAAGTTACCGTTGCTACCAATTGATTGAAGAAAATAAGACATGAACACAAAAACATGGTAAACATTTGGATCCTTCCCTAAAGTTTCTTTTCATTTTTAAAATATTTAATTGTTTTAACAATAATTACAATTGTAGGTGATTGTGTGCTCAGTGATTGGAATGATTGGGGTCCTTGCTCTGAGAGCTGTGGCTTAGGGGTGAGAACCAGGACAAGGAGCATCATTACATCTGGTTCTAATGGAAGGACTGCCTGTGCAGCTGAAACATCTGAGTCACAGGACTGCAACACTTTACCATGCATAGGTACCTTCTTAATTACAAGACTTTGGTTAAAAACTATGGAGAATAAAATTTAAAAAAACATCTTGAGCAATTTTCATTTTATCTATGAAAATTAAGAAAAAACTAATTTTGGAGACAAAGATCTGTTAAAACTATTTAAAACCTTTGATTATTTCCTTGATCAAACCAGACTTTTAAAACAATGAATTTGTTAATTCATGAAAGTTTGGGAATTTACATACATTCAGTCATTGTTTTCACATTTAATATTTGTACTCCTATGATATAATGATCGTTTCTTTTATTAGAGGAGTGTGAGTGGTCAGAGTGGAGTGAGTTTGGTGATTGTTCAGTCACATGTGATGTTGGTGTAAGGACTAGAAAGAGAACTATTGTAAGAGATGCTTCACTAGGAGCTAGGCCATGTGATGATGTAGCCATGCAACAGGAAACATGTACAAAGAACCCATGTGAAGGTATATTTAGAGTTAACGCTTAATTATTATATCTTCCTGTGCTGTTAGTTCAATACATATACCATGTAAGTGTAGATTTTGGCAAAAGGGGAAAATATTACTTTTCACGACTGCCTGGTTATTTTCTTCATGTTATAGTGTTCAAAATGATAAGTAAATTAGATCTTGTTTGGTGGGTTTCCTACTTGGGGGAGTTGCTGTTTTTCTAATATTTATTTGGTAGAGCATTAATAGCCTAGTCTCTTCATTTTTTGTTCTAAACGATGAAGAAATAAAGCCATTATGTTTTCATGAATATATTGATATTGGATAAAAGAATCCACCCGAACAAGTTTGTTGGTCACTTTTTGTCCCTGAAAATTATGTTTTGCCCCCACCCCCAGGGGGTAGCAGAGGCTCAAAATGAAAAGGCATTAATGTGCTAAAACAAAAGTTATGAGGGAATATTCTTGAAAACAGATATACTCAAAATTGATTTGGGGGTAGTAAAATGCTTAAAATCACAAATAAATCCAAAATACCCAGCAAAGTGCCTAATAAATGGTGAACTAAATATTAATTGACCACCTTAGGCAGGATAAAATAGAACTAACACAAGAAAAAGAAAAGGAATATTCAACTGGTTACATATGCAAAATGTAGATATTGCTTTTTTGCAAGAAACTCATTATAGTGAAAAAATAAACAACATATGGAGAATGCAATGGGGTGGAGAGATTTATGGAACTCCAGGAACTGCTTCTAGTAAAGGGCAGTTGATATTAATAAATAAAAAATCAGACATTAACATAGTTGGAGGTATTATTAACTACCAAAACGATAGAATACAAGCATTAAAAGTGAAACATGAAAACATACTTATCACGTTAATAAACTGTTACGGGCCGAATATAGATAGAGAGAAAATTGATTTCTTTCAAAAATTATCTGATATTATTGTTGATGTAGGGACAGATGGAAGTGAAATAATTGTTGCAGGAGACATGAACACTGTGATAAATAATGATTTAGACATAATTAATGGTAAAAAACACAATGAAAGAGCTGTTCAAAAATTCAAATTAGCTATTGAAACAAATGATATAACAGACATTTGGAGAGCAAATAAGGGTGATAAAAAAACAATATACATGGTGTCAAAATAATCCATTTATTGCTCGAAGATTAGACTATGTATTTTTGTCAGAGGGATTAGCCAAAAAAACAAAAGAAGCTGAAATTATTCCATGCAGTTGTTCAGATCACTGTGCTGTAATGGTTGAATGGAATGATACTGAGATAAAACGTGGTAAAGGTCATTGGAAATTCAACAATAGTCATTTAAAAGATATTAATTTTGTAAATAAGATAAACAGTGTAATTCAAGAAACTATAGCAGAATATGTTAATATTGTCAACCCACAGGTATTATGGGATACATGCAAATGCATTATAAAACAGACATGTATTGAATTTGGAAAAAAAGAAGCACATGAAAAACAAAAATCTTTAAAAGCATTAGAGGTAATGTTAAAGAAGCTCAAGAGATTTTATCTGAAAATGTAAATGAAGAAAATCAAAAGAATGTGTTGAATTTGAAATTAAAACATGAAATCTTAACACAAAATAGAACCAAAGGTGCACAAATTAGGTCGAGAGAAAAGTGGATAGAAGAGGGGGAGAGAAATACAAAATATTTTTTAGGATTAGAAAAACACAGGGCAAAAATGAAATCTATTGAAATTTTACAAGATGATAATGGGGTTAATACAAACAATATGGATGAGGTAATGAACACGCTATATGTATATTATCAAAATCTATACAAAGAAAACCATGACATCAAATATACTTTAGAAAACTTCCTAGATGATGTTCAAACACCCAAATTATCAGAGAATGAAAATAGACACATAGAAGGATTAATAACTGAGTCAGAATGTTATATAGCAATTAAAAAAATGAAGTGTAATACGAGTCCTGGAATAGATGGGTTAACACCTGAGTTTTATAAGGTATTTTGGTCTAAAGTGAAAGTATTAATGGTTAATTCATTCAACTATGCATTTCAGTCAGGTAGATTATCTAATAGTCAGAGGAAAGGAATAATATCATTATTATTAAAGGGTAAAGAACTCCCTAGATATAAACTTAAGACTTATAGGCCTTTATCATTAACATGTGTTGATTATAGGATAGGAGCATCTGTTTTAGCAGCAAGAATCCAAAAAGTTATTAAAAATCTGGTTAATTCTGATCAAAACTCATATATGAAAGAAAGAGGAATACACTTAAATCTTAGAGTAATTGATGATATTTTGAATTTTGTGAATGATAATAACAGTCAAGGAATTATGATAACATTAGATTATTCCCGTGCGTTTGATTCAATTTCTAAAAAATTTGTGTTTGACATGATGAAACATTTTAATTTTGGAGAAGATATGATAACTTGGATCAAAGTATTCAATGCTGATAATTTATCTTGTGTCACAAACAATGGGTTGTACACAAAATGGTTCCCTTTAAATCAAGGATTACGGCAGGGTTGCCCCCTCAGTAGTTTGTGCTTCATTCTAGCTACTGAAATATTTGCGTGTAAAGTTAGGCAAAATAAAGATATAAAAGGTATAAAAATATCAAATGAATGTGAAGTGAAATTATCAAGTTATGCTGATGATGTATCATGTTTTGTTAGAGATATAAATTCAGCTCAACTTTTATTTCGAGAATCAGACCACTTTTATCTTACAACAGGTTTAAAATTAAATAAAGAAAAAACAAATGCAATGTGGATTGGCTCAAATAAAAACAACATTGAAACGCCATTAAACATAACATGGCAAATAGGGGAAAATGCAAAAGTGAAAATTCTAGAAGTTTGGTTTTCAAATCAATGTTCAGCTGCACAGATTGAGGAGAACTGGTTACCAAAAATAATTAAAATGGAAACATTGATAAAAAATTGGAGTAAACGTAATCTCACATTGAAGGGTAAAATTACTCTTGCAAAAAGTTTAATAGCCTCACAAGTGACATCACTTTTAATGTCATTCAAAGCTCCAGATAAATATTTGGAAAGAATAAATAGTATCTTACATAAATTTATTGGGGGGAGTGAAAAAGGAAAAGATAGAATAAAAAGAAATGTTTTAAGACAAAGTTATGAGAAGGGAGGTTTCAAAATGATAGATATTTTTGTAAGTCAGGATGCACTCTTAATGACATGGGTTAAGAGAATTGTTGCAATTGAAAATTCAAATTCAAAATGGAAAGAAATAGCGCTACATTACTTAAACAAATTGGGGCATGGCGAAGATATTTTTAAATATAATACAAATGAGCGAAACCTTAAATCAAAAATAAAGTTAAAAGAAATTCCAGTTTTCTATGAATATTTAGTTAGTATTTGGCTTAAATATCAACATGTTAACAAGGAGAGACCTGTTAAAAATTCTGAAATTCTATGGAATAATGAGAAAATACAATACAGGAAAAATAACATATATTTTTGTGAATGGAAAAGAAAAGGAATTAAAATGGTAAAAGATGTATTAAATGAAAATAACACAATAAAAAACTATGAAGAAATTGTAGCGTTAACTGGTGCAAGTCCAAGTAGACTTTTAGAATACAACATTGTAAGAACAGCTTTATCTAATATTATCATCATAAATGGATGTGATAATGACTCTAAATTTTTATACAAAAACATAAATGTTCAAAATTCAAAATCAAAAGATTTTTATCAATATATATTAAGTCTTAATCAATCAATTCCAAATTGTGAAGAAAAGTGGAAAGGTTATTATCCAACAATAAATTGGAAAGAGATTTGGAGTCGAATAAAAACCTTAAAAGAACCAAGATTAAAAACGCTACAATATAAACTTCTACATAGAATTTATCCTACGAATATACTTTTAGAAAAAATGAAAATATCAAATTCACCAAACTGTAAATATTGTAATCACATGCTAGACACATATGAACATTTCTTTATACAATGTCCAAAGATTAGAGAAATATGGAATGAAGTAGAGAATCTAGTTTTGAAGAAATATTTTTATTACCCTAGATTGAATGTGACTGATAAATTATTTGGAATCAAATTAAAATCCAGATCGGAGGAAGTATATATAAATAGCCTAATTGTCATAGCTAAGGTTTGTGTGAGTAAATATAAATATGGAAATTATCCAAATATTTTATGTTTGCTCAGAAGTGAAATAGCAATTAGGAAATTGTAAAGAAAATATTACTGTATATTGTTGTTGTAGTAAAATATAATGTACTGTACTGTAATCTGTAATATGTTTATGTAGAAGCAATAAAAAAAAAAAAAAAAAAAAAAAGGATAAAATAGAACAAATAATGTACTCACAATTTTTTTTCATATTGATCCCCTCCCCACTGTTGAAGAAGGGGTGGGTTTGTAGGGATTCTTTCTCTCAACATTAAATGAGCACATCACTGTCATACTTTCTGGCTCTTTCAAATGGTACTTGAGCAAAGTTATGGATTTTTTTGATTGGCATTAATGTGCTAAAACAAAAGTTATGAGGGAATATTCTTGAAAATAGATATCCTCAAAATTGAATTGGGGTAGTAAAATGCTTAAAATCAAAAATAAATCTAAAATATCCCGCAAAATGCCTAACAAATAGATAACTTATATTAACTGACCATTTTGGGTATAGTTATGAGGATCTCAGGTTATATATAGTGGCCACAAAAAATATTTCATTTTGGCCTCCAAAATAATTTGGGGGAGGGGGTCTACCCTACTTTTCTCTTGTAATACCCACCCTTCAACTTGCTGGGGCGGATAAAATTTATTGCAATATAGAGTTAAAATATTGAGTCATTAAACCTAAAGCAAAAAATTGTAATAAAGTCTGTGACAATGAACACTAATAAATGGATTTAATATTACCAGACTATGAACTTATTTAATGTAATAAATACAAAGTATTTGTCATAATTTTTAATATTGCATCATTATAGAATGTATCCCACCTAGCTTCAATTCATCATGTGCCAGTAAATCAGCAGCTGTGACAACATGTGATTGCTTGGATACCAATTGTAACCTCAATGAGGCAGTTGAATGTATCCCAGGATGTACCTGCCCAGTTGGCATGGTCATGGAATATGGGGAATGTAAGAAGATTGAAAAATGCGGATGCCTTGTTGGTGATATAAAATATGATGCTGGATATCAGTGGAATAGCACTGCGACATGTGAATATTGGTAAGATCATAGGTTACATACAGCTATAGTGACCTATTGTCTCATTGTCTGTCACATGTAGTGTGAAGTATGAGTCAGAACAGACCTCATGTAAAAAGTTTGTCAGATTATGCATCAAATATTGTGAAATTCTTTGAAAGGAATAAGAAGATTTGAAATAAGAAAGTATGATTTTTATGAATAGAGAAACTAACTCAAAAAGCTTTTGCAGATCAAGTTATATAGCAGCCCTATAAAGCGTCCATTTATTAAAGGCTGTATTAGAATGAAAGTCAATTGTAGGTCTTAAAAATAATCTGATGTTCATCTTATATGAGAATTTTGAAAATTATTGGATTATATCAGATAAGGCTATTGAATTATTTTAAATATTTCATCTGTATTTCTTTAGCTTTAATATGTTCTATAAATGTTAGTGTAAAATTATGTGCTTTTATGACCTGAACCAATTGTTAACCCCTGTGATTGTCAATTTCAGTGTTTGCCAGGATGGCAAAGTTAATTGTACTTCATATCCATGTGATGGTGAGTACTTTACCTTATATGTTAATTGAAATAGGTCAGAAATCATTGTTTCTCTCCCCATTTTTTGGCTGAGTGTTAAGTATATAAAGATTATCCTATATGTGATGGTGAGTACTTTACCTTATATGTTAATTAAAATAGGTCAGAGATCATTGTTTCTCTCCCCATTTTTTGCTTGAGTGTAAATTATATAAATATACGATTCTTTTTTCAGTTGACTGCCAGTGGACTGAGTGGAAAGATGGAATATGTAACAAACCATGTTCAGGTGGCCAAATCACTAGCTACAGGTAGGATACAAGATGGTTATATTGATATATATCTAAAAGGCAAAACTCACTCTAGCATTTAAGCCTACAGAACCAAAAACAGAAAACCCACAAACTGCAATAATTGTAAATAATCTTATTTTTTGAATCACTCTGTATTAAATTTGAAATTGACAAAAGTGGGAGCAACCATCCACCTTATTCCTGTTCAAGACAAAAATGTATTTGGTTGCAAATAACAATGTTAATAATTGTTTTGATTAATGATACATGTTCATGTTACCAATAACTGCAGGTCTGTAGCTATGGAAGCTAAAGGCAATGGTGCTCCATGTAGTGGATCTGACAAAAAGACAGTTCCTTGTAATGATGAATGCTGTGGTACTTGTTATTTCAATAATATTCAACATTCACTGGGTGAAACATGGATGGATGGAAAATGTTCTCAATGGTTAGTAGTTAAGAATGGCATTTTAATATATAAGTGGCCATATTGAAAGATGATAACTTTCTCAATAGCCTACCTTACATTTTTATCAACTCATCATGTCTCCCAATTAAATAGAGCCAGTGCCATAAAATATGAAAAGTGAAATAGATTTTCCTGATTAGGTAGTGATTTCTAGTATGGCGGCCATTTTAAGAGATAATAGCTCCATGTCAGTGTCTTTTACGCTTTAAGCACAGATTTGCTTTTCTTTGGGATTGTTGTCATTAATTTCATGTCCCCATGGGTGGCAAATTAAGATAACCATTGATTAATGTTGTTTTCCTGTACTGTAGTTATAACATGCCCATGTGTCTATTCCAGTATGTGTCTGTGTAATGGATCCGCACAATGTTTACCCATACCAGGATGTGAGTTCAAAATTTAACAACATAGATTAACATTACCTTACATCACACATTACATCATACATAACATTTCACTTTATAATATTATCATTGTCACATTTTATCGGAATTTTTATTGTCTTCTTTCACTTTTGGTATCCAAGAAACCTCAATTCTCAAATCTAAGGAAAATAAACGGATCTCTGTCTGTATCAGTCTCCGAGACATACAGACTTATATAATAGGTATTGTAGGTGAAACTGAAAGTTCAATTAGAAATTTATAATTCCAATAAATGGCAACAATATAATTATATTGTTAATTATATTGTGAAAACCAAAATTAACCACATTTTGGAATTTGATATTGAATTTATCAATATGAAATAAAGTCTTTAAGGTAACAGAAATTAGTTTTAAACAAAGCAAGCAAAACTTATGTAAAAGCAACAATATTACCATGAAGGCTAATCTAACATATTTTGTTTTGTTTAAACCTAACCCTATAATTCATAGCAGAATATTTTTAAACAGGTGGAGCAGTTCAGGCATGTTCCAAAGCAACAAAACAGGAGTTAGTAACATTTGACAAATGTACATCCACAAGCAATGTGACGATGAACTACTGTGAGGGTGGCTGTCCAAGCAGCCAAGGAGCCATGTTCCTGGATGGCTCTGATAACCCTATTGCTGGTTATGGGGAACGAGATTGTAGTTGTTGTACTGCTGTATTAGAGAAGGATCCCATTGAAGTGGAGTTCATATGTAGAAGAGACAAGCGTGTTACAAGGAAGATGTATGATGTACAATCATGTGCTTGTAACCCATGTGAAGGAGGTCAGTGAAATAATTCAGCAAATAATCCAATTTCTTATTTAGAAATAATTTCATTGTCTGAAGCAAACGTATCCATTCCACACATACATACACTGCCAATCTCACTGTGAAACACTACTGTACATCTATGTTTTCAAAAACACTACTGTACATCGCTGTAAAAACAGAACTGTGTTATGCTGTTCCAAACAGTTGTTAGAATAGCACTGTACAGTGCAATTGATAAAGGAATACAATTCCCATAGCTCTGAATTATAAAATGACTTTCTTTGTTTTTCAGGAATGAAAAAGTAAAACTGAACTGTAGCAGTGGACAATTTATAGATGATTGACTGACTTCATCAATCATGACCTCATCATGATAACGGACTTTGAGCTTGAACATTTAGTCTGTAGTAATATCTTTATCAGCAATATAATCACAGTTGATCTCTAATCACATTTGATTGGTATTAAAAAATTGACTTTTTGAAGTGTTTCAAATATGATTTATAATCACAATTGATTTATAATCACATTTGATTTATAATCACAATTGATCTATAGTCAGGATTAATACATATTTTAAATTTGGTTCATAATTGATCTATATTTTGATCAAATACAATGTATCACAATTAATTTCTCATACTCGTTGAAGTATTTCTTGTTTGATCATATTCTTGAGATTACCAAATAAGCACTGACCATGTACTTTATCTCGCCTTTTAGTAAGTAGAATAAATCTTTTGCAAACCATTTCTGAATGCTGTTAAAATATTACCCTGCCTTCCTTAAACCAAGTTATTCAGTCATGCAAAGGAAAGAACAAAGAAAGAGGAGTACAGCATTATTTGGAGAAAATGATCAAGTGTCCCTTTTTGTCACATTTTTGCCAAATCTTCAGTCAGTCCATCTGCCAGGGTAACATTATCAACACAAATGATGTCAAACAGGATGATACAGATGATGTGGATGTAGAAGACATCACTGATGTTGATTGTGGGGATAGTCCCAATGACAATTTATAAGTGAAAACAAGTACTCTTGAGTTTGTAAAGTGGAAAACCTTGCAATACATCATTACAGCATGTGAGTTAAAATCAGCTGAATAAACAAGGCATAAACATACAAAATGCCAAGCATCAACTGCCGAAAACCATCCACAAAAAAGTTGGGAGACTAAAATTGTGGTGACTTAATAAGGATAACGGTTTTTGTCCATATCTATTTAAAATATATATTATGTGATGATTTTTGATATGTTGTGTACAGCTGTAGCTAAGAAAATAAAAATAATATCAGTAAAGTAGGAGAAAAGTTTCATCAAACCAAAATGATGGCCAGCATTATGAAGATATTGCCTTCAGTCTTCGAAAAAAGTTCAGTGAGTGATGATTTCTCAATTCTATAGTTTTATTTCATATCATTTTATTAGTCTAAGAAATGTATTTATAAATATATATTATTTCATTTGATTTTTTATTTCATCAATTAAAGAGCTGGATAATCCAATGCCATAAGACATTGATTGGCAAGTCCTTCCTTCTCTAATCATAGAGAACATCATGGCTGCTCACAGAGTCTGAATACTGTCCAGAGAGCCAAACATCAAGCAAGGATGTTAAATGAGCCTATTATCCCGTGTACTCAAATACTGCAGCTGCTCCCATACCTGTTCCAATACACATAGACACAACACCATAGCCCCTGCAAGTAAATCACAAACCTCATAAAAAGGGTGTCCATATTTCTTATTGAAAATCAAATCATAATACAAATTCATTAACACTTGTGCATCCATTGTTTATTGATTATCCCTCGGATGACACACTTTGTCTATTTATATCCAGAATTAAAATCAATGTGTCAGGGGTCATTTTACATTTACCAAAACATTTTTTTTTTCTTAAGAGTGTTATTTAGAGAATTATTATTATTTTATTAAGAGTGTTACAAACAATAGACACCTTTTTCCACGTCTCTTCAATTCATGAAGTAATGTAGCAATCATTCTTGCCCCAGAGCAGCCCAAAGGATGCCCAATAGCTATAGCGCCTCCTTTAGGGTTGAGTTTCTCATTTGGAATACCTAGCTTATCCCTACAATAACTGGCTTGACTGGCAAATGCTTCATTTATCTCAAATATGTCAATGTCATTCAAAGTGACACCTGAAAATAAAGGAAAAAAGATTACAAAGGATGAGTCTGGATATATGCCCTTTTAGACCCTTGGTTAAATGTATGTGAAATATGATTTCTATAACTGTCCTAGCTATATTTGATAAGTATATTTCATTTTTCATGATTTTTGATGCATAATTAACCCCCTGCTGGGAGTCAAATAAGTATCCTAACAGAAAACAAATAATCGTTATTATTAAAAAAACACTAATGGCAACATGTATGAATGACTCATAAATTAGAAATAACTAAAGACCCATGAAGAAATCATATTTTTTAAATATATTTTAGGATTTTAATTTATTACAAATTTTTGAATTTCCCACCAGTTTAAATTGAAGGGGGAAAAACAAGATGGCTTCCATTTGTTGTAAGAAATATTTGAAAAAAAGTAACTTTCACAATGAGGACAGTTTTTCGGTTTAGGTATTTTGCTCAGCTTGAATAATTTCACCAACACAATTGAAGTGTCAAGACTGGATGGTCAGTAACTTTGAGTGACTATAATCCCTTGATTACCCAGATAAACACCAATTCACTTAGTAAGAAATACCATTCAATTGCTATACAAAAAAAGTAAGCAATGTTTTGGAGGATATGTTTCAATTTTTTTGATAAATTATTCATTTAGTATTTGCACTTGAATTTTTTTCAATTGTGGCATAGTGATATGCAACTCTTTGATGCCAATATTCTTCATTAATTGTGATACAAATTGATATGTACTCTCAGAAGAAGGATAAGATATTGTGGTTTAAGGATATGTGTGATTGATTTGATTTTTCAGACATCACAATTTTCAATATTATCTAAGTCGATATCAAGACTTATTCCTGGACTCCTTTTCCAATGTCCAAATGAATATGATCAAGTGTGTCTTTATACTATGGGTAGGGGTAAGATTTGGTTTTTCTATTTAAGAAAAATTTAATGGTGTTCAATCTGATTAACAGAAAAATGTGAGTATGAAGCTACAGAATAACTGAATACCCTTTGTCCGCTATACTTAAGTAATATGCTATAATTGAACACCTGGTATACACTACAGCCATAGCAGTTTTTATTGTACATTATACCAAAGTTACAAGCTCCATAGCATTTCAGTTACCTGCATTTTTAAGAGCAACTGGAATAGCTTCAGCTGGTCCAATCCCCATAACTTCAGGATCAACTCCAACGACTGCAAACCCTCGCAACACTCCTAATATGGGCAACTTATGCTTGGCTGCGGCTGATCGTTTAGCAACAAGCACAGCAGCTGCACCGTCACTTGTCTGACTAGAATTACCTGTAATAGAAAATATAATGAATCAACACATTTAGTGACCATTGTTGAAAAACCTTTCATGTGACAATGAAGTGTGAAAATAACATGCTTAATCTGACTCGTTCAATGATTTCTACAGATTAATGAGCTAGGCCTATATGATTGAATATTCTCATTTTCATTCAACTTTGCCCTACCCCTTTGAAATTTTTTATACTGGACGTTATACAAACTTATTCATCAGTATCGTTGATTTTGTATCAATGTAACCCTACAACCCTGTAATCTACCAGCCACCAACCAAATTAACTGACTACTTTGTAAGTGGGAATTTTACCTAATCATTTAATTTGCCTATTACCTAATTCTTGCCAGGTTTGGAAAATTAAATGTCGGAAATATTCATCATGTTATCCAATGGGAAATATCTTGTCATGATGGAAATCAATATTACGAAAATGATAAGATTTAACCATTCCGCAAATTAAGCACTCAGATTAAATGACTTATATGAAATACAAATATTCATGTGTTTTGGAGTTGGCGCAGATCACTAGATATCCATACAGTTAAATCTATCTCATTAGTGATGTATAGATGGCACAAGTGCATAGGTGAGTTAATATACATAGATCATGTGATAAGGAATAAGGATGAAATGTCACGTGACTACAACTGGCGGGAATCAGTTTGTGAACTCATAGCCTGGAAAGCCCACCAGCCTCCCCAGCACCAACCAAAGTAATGAACAGGTTAATGTACTGCAACTAAAGTATTAAGTATATCGTATATTGTAATATATTTCTTAGCGATAGGGACCCCTTTGGTATAAGAATATAGTATATTGAGATAGATTAAACAATGTTTCTGTAAGAATTATGTTGAAATCATGTAAACCCAGTAATTGATTTAACATATTGGGTTAAAGTAGTGATCAAGCGACTCTAAACCGCACACAACTCAAATAATATAAATACCACTTATACAGTATTACGTGAAAAAGAGCAAAACATATGAAAGGTTGCCTTTTATTTGGACATAACATATGGGGTGTATTTCAAAAACAAACAAAGAAGCAAGCAAACAAACCGGCTGTTGTGGATCCATCAGGTTTGAAGACAGCTCTAAGTTTTCCAAGTACTTCTAATGTTGTTCCTTCTCTTATACCATCATCTTTGTCAACCTTCAAGACAAATATAGAACTTGGTCAACTTTCCTATTTTCCAACTATGCTCTATGTATAGTTATATAATACGATATTATAAATACATGTACTGATGCCCTAATGTAAATTCAACATACAATTTTCAATAACAGTAAAAATAACAATAAAGTAAAGAAAATAGGATTACATTCTTCAAATGACATATAAAATGTTACTTTGATATAAGAATCCTGTCTCTCACAATCATTAGATAATTTACCATGTCAGCAGATTCTTTTAATATGATCCCTCACTCGTCAATAGAAAAATTGTCTTTTGATGTTCATTCATGTTTTTAAAATTACTACACAGGTTTTCAAGTTTTTCAATATGAGATATTAGATATCCTGTACTGTAATTGTTAACATTTGAATTATATATATTAATTATATCTCTGGATGTGTCAATCTATTGGGCTGAGGACTTCACTTTATCCAGTGATCTCCCCAGCATTAAAGCAAGTGAGTGCAGAACCCAACTGAGATTTTGAAAATAAGCTTGCACCCACCTGAAAATCAAGTTGCACCCACTTGAAAATGAGAAAAATCATGAAAATTGGCATATTTTCACGAAGTTTGGTCCGAATCAAGAAAATGGTAATTATGCACCCACCTATCCAAACCAATTTTTGTTAATTGGGACAATAAACCTCATGAAAATATTTGAACCATATAAGCAACAACATGGCCAGGCCAGGCATGAGGCAAAAGAGGCAACCGCTTAAGCATAATTTTACAGAAATATACATGTACAGGGTGGGCCAAAAACTTTTTTAAAAGGCTAAAAAGGTATCAAAACATAAGGATATTGCCATAAAAAATTATTTACAGAAACTTAAGGATAGGCATATTTTACCAGTTAAATGCTAAAGCTAAAACTGGCTTCAAATTTTTTTGTCAGATCTTTGAATATCAATAGTCAATTGTTCATGTGTCCGAGATTTACCATTTTTCCTAGAAAATGTGACTTTCTATGATTTTATGTGATCAACAATAACACATTCATAATGTTCACTAAATCTGCTACAATCTTGGATAACTGTTTAAACAATGTCTACCTCAATGTCTAGTTTATATCAGTATCTAGTCACTATGGTATTATGTTATATTGTATTTATTAATGATCTATTAAACAAATGTTCTATGCATCCCCTTTCACCTTCCGTATCGTTCCCAGCCATCGGGCAAAAGTCACTTTGGAATATCTGGAGGAGAATAAGCCTTGATTCATTAGTCCTGATGAATGGCTGCCAAATACCCCAGATGCAAACTCCTGTGACTATCACCATTCGGGGCACCTGGAGCAGCTTATTGCAGTTAATGGTAATCCCCCACAAACTATTGTTAAACTAAAAGAAGTTGGAGGAGAAGGAGAAGCAGGAGAAGTGGAGAGAACTACTACAAGAATCGCTGGATCGCGCCATTCACCAGTTCTGCCCATGTCTCCTTGTAGAGAAGGTGAAAGGTTGATGCATAAAATTTGTTTAATAAATAATCAATAGATACATAATATCATAGTGACTAGATACTGATATAAACTGTACTAGACATTGGTTGAACAGTTATCCAAGATTGTAACAGATTTAGTGAACATAATGAATTTGTTATTGTTGATCACATAAATGAAACATTTTCTAGGAAAAACAGTAATTCTTGGACACATGAACAATAGACCATTGATATTCAAAGATCTGATAAAAAAGATTGAAGTCCAGTTTAGCTTTAGTATTTAAATGGTAATATATGCCTATCCTTAAGTTTTACCTCTTATAGCTTAAATTTGCCTCGCCTATTTACCTCGCTAAAATTTTGATCCTAGCTACACCGCTGAACAAGGTATTCCTATTCTAAATGTATGATATATTTGTAATGATATGACATACAAATGTATATTGGAGAATTAAACTGTCCATTTCATATAACAACACTTACTGTAATTGTCTTTTCATTTCCTTCTTTATCTTTGATAGAGGTGGTAACAGGAATGATTTCATCTTTATAATAGCCAAGTTTGTAAGCCTTGGCTGCCTTAGCATGGGACTCCATTGCCATTTGATCTTGTACTGCACGTGTAACGCCATATCTTTCTGCAACATTTTCGGATGTGATACCCATAGGTGTAAGGCATGCCCTTGCTAAATCAAACTCACCAACCTTTGGATTCAACTCACTCATTGCACCCATACCTGTACCTGTAGAAGTCATATGTTCAGCTCTGGAAATATACAGAAAATTGAGGCTCAATTATGAATATGATGTAATTAGGATAACCTAGCAATAAGGGGAACATATATCAAATACAACTACAAATGAAATAAACGAAGCAATTATCAATTCAGGAAAATTCAATACATTTTCAGTTAGCTTTTTAGGGAGGAATTGTTCTTAAAAGATAACAAAGAAATGTCGACCTTGGATCTTTATATCTTGGTGAGATTGAGAATTGCATATCTATATCAGCAAAATGATAGACAGTATTTAAAGTTTTTATCTCATTGAATGTTTAAGAGAATAAAGAGTATACATTCATCCATCCATCCATACCTCTGTCTATCTGGGCCATAGTTTGTGTAACCATTTTCATATTTTATATGCATTTGCCTTACATAGATGGAAATTCTGCTTAAATGCCTTTTTTCAATATATTTCTTGATATTCACTTTAAAGCAAATTACAGTCTGACACCATATTGATAAAATTGTTGAAAAAATAAAGTGACTTGCTTCTTAGTAATTCCCTATACAGTATAAATTAAATCGCTTCATTCCTTTTCAAATTATGGCAAAAGATAAAGCATTAACATGGAACATATCATCACCTGCCATTTGTTACAGGCACAGAATACTCAAAAGCATCCACAAAGATGGAGACTATAACAACAATATGTCTTTACTTCTGGTGATGACATAAAATTTGCAGAATGGATGGACTAATAGAAGTATGAAGGCGTTCTCAAAACTTCATTTCATTTGATATAATCATCATCGTATAATATGATACACATTAAACCTGCATAAGAACACACTACTTACCCTCCAGCAAGGCCTATTTCACACTGACCATTCCTTATAGCCCCAGCAATGTTCATAAATGCCTGCAGTCCAGATGAGCATTGCCTTGAAATATAATAGCTAAACATGTGAAATTGTTCAATTTCATACTTTAAATTTTAGGCTATTAATTCTACCTTGAACTGACCTAGATTTTAACCTTGACTTTTGTTTTAGGAAAACTGAACTGATTTAGTTGAGGACAACAACTTTACTGAACTATTGAGCCTTAACTAAACTGCCCTTTTTGGGATACGCAAGCTTTTTTGGTGCTATTAATTTGCAAAAGATTAACTGTGAGTATAATCATTGATCTCCCTGGGATCTTTTCTCAAGTTGGTGCAAAATTCTTATTTCCACAATTCACACTGAAATTGGTCAAAATATGCAAATGGATTTTCAGATGGGTGCAAGCCTGTTTTCAAAATCTCATGTGAGTGCTGTGCCCACTAGCTTTAATGCTGGGGAGATCACTGATAATGGTATTGCCTATTGACAAGATTATAATTCACTTTTGACAGTAGTATAATTATCAATATTATCTTATAGTAGTATAATTTATTTGACTCGTGACAGTGGTTAAATTCTTATCTTTTTACACTAAATGTAGCATTTTCTTACCTATCGAAAGTAGTATAATATCCTGCTGATAGTAGCACTATGTCTTTACCTGTCCTTACCTATCCACAATAGTATAATGTCCTTACCTATTGGCAGTAGTTAAATGTCCTTACCTATACAAGTAATACAATTATATACAAGTAATGTCCTTACCTATTCACAATAATATACAAGTAATGTCCTTACCTATTCACAATAATATACAAGTAATGTCCTTACCTATTCACAATTATATACAAGTAATGTCCTTACCTATTCATAATAATATACAATTAATGTCCTTACCTATTCACAATTATCTACAAGTAATGTCCTTACCTATTCACAATTATATACAAGTAATATCCTTACCTATTCACAATTATATACAAGTAATGTACTTACCGATTCATAATTATATACAAGTAATGTCCTTACCTATTCACAATTATATACAAGTAATGTACTTACCGATTCATAATTATATACAAGTAATGTCCTTACCTATTCGCAATAATATAGAAGTAATGTCCTTACCTATTCACAATTATATACAAGTAATATCCTTACCTATTCACAATTATATACAAGTAATGTACTTACCTATTCACAATAATATACAAGTAATGTCCTTACCTATTCACAATAATATACAAGAAATGTCCTTACCTACTGTATTCACAATAATATACAAGTAATGTCTTTACCTATTCACAATTATATACAATAATATACAAGTAATGTCCTTACCTATTCACAATTATATACAAGTAATGTCCTTACCTATTCACAATTATATACAAGTAATGTCCTTACCTATTCACAATAATATACAAGTAATGTCCTTACCTACTGTATTCACAATTATATACAAGTAATGTCCTTACCTATTCACAATTATATACAAGTAATGTCCTTACCTATTCACAATAATATACAAGTAATGTCCTTACCTACTGTATTCACAATAATATACAAGTAATGTCCTTACCTATTAACAGTACTAAGAGGAACAGTCTCTGGAATTCCTACATAGAATTGTGCCATACGTGCCATCAAGGCACCTACCCCTGGCTGGCTTACATTTCCTAAAAGCAGTGGTTTCAGTAACTTTGTGTACAAGAGGCAGATGAAAAATACAAGAGGCGGCATTCAAAATAACCAATTTTACGCTCCTGACAATGCAAATTCTTGTTATTTTATCAAGGTTTGTCAAAGTCATTTCCATGTGTGATGTGGCAAGACATGGGCTCCACAAAATAACACCTGGAACTGTGGAATGACTAGGGCAACTTATATAGAATGTCATTTACCTTTTATAAGATAACTTACCCTTACACAGGTTGCATTTCACAAATCCAAATGCACCTGTTGAATTGAACACTTTTGATATAAATCAAAATCTAGAATTATCATTATCAAAATGAGAGTGATGTATTAATAGATGATTCACTTGTGATTATGTGTATATCAGATTCATTTTAGTTTTTTAACACCTCCAGAGGGTCCAGGGTGTTCCAAAAGTAACAGGACTGGTGCTGATATTTTGTTAAATATACACCAATTGTCTTCAAAATTTTACATAATGCACCTTCATGTTTTGTAACTAAAATTGCCGAATTACATAATTTTTGTGGAAACTGATTTAGAAATCGGCCGATGACTACTCATCGGCCAGCGCCCGGTGCATATGTGGCCTAGGCACTACACCGAGGTGGGAGATATCCCCCTCCCCTCTACACCAATCTTGTTCTCACTACGCTTTCGAAAATTGCCTGAAAGGCCTCCTCACACATTATTAAGGAAAACATATCTACACATTTTGCGCATTTAACCATTTGATAGCATATTGTGGATCTTATCTTAATTTGTTAATGTGAATTCGCACCTTCATTTGCATGGAAGACTTTGATAAAATCCTTTTTTGATGATCTTTGTTAGAATGCTGATGTTTGGCTAAGCTTCGAAATTCCAAATTGAACAGTTTACTAAGAATACCATGGTGTAAATATTGTTTTCTTTATAATATATTGAGCTACATGTAGGACTGCTCAAACAAATTCGCTTTTTGTAGCTACAAGTATTTAATTTCAATAGATGATAAACTTCTCAATATAAGAAATTACCCTCATAAGACATTGTTGCAAGGTGTGTTGCAATGAATGTGGCATCCCGCATTCCCAGGCCAGCATTATGTATTCTCGAAGAAAGCCATCATGATAAACCATGACATCTCATTTCTTCTAAGCCCTGTGTTTCAGGTGAAGCAGAAAGATGCTATGAGTATCAGAATGGAAGAAAGCATATACAGGGTGACCGGAAAAAAGGAGACCATTGAAATAGGCAATATCTCCTAAAATAGACTAGTGACATCAATGAAATTTTGCATACATCAGGACAGTTCTATGGAAATTTGTTCCTGAAAGTGTCAATACAAGCAGTCAACTGGTTCAGGAGCTATGATCATTTACATAACATGCTCCAAATAGGCGCAATTGAGACCAACGCAGAGCTGGATACATTTGGCAAATACCCTTACATATTCCGACCTTGTTATGGCATTACATTTAGCATTTATTGCCACCTTTAGGTCAGCAATTGTCTCAGGATTGTTTTGGTACACATTGTCTTTCAAATTGCCCCACAAAAAGAAATCAGGTGGATTCAAATTTGAGGTGTATGGAGACGAAGCTTATCTGACCTATGGCTTCTGACTCAGTGGTCCCACTCAGTTACAGTATCATCCTAAGGAGGTTTTGGGCAGCCCTTGGTTTCCATATGGGATTTAATTGTGCCATATAGTGGTTTTAGTAACATGGCACTATGCCCAATACCTAAAGTGACTCTTAAGATTTGGTAAATCAGCACTTTGGCAACAGGATGATGAACCACATGTCAGATAACCCTTCATTGCCATTACAGCCTAGACTTGAATCCTGCTGATTTCTTTTTGTATGGATATTTGAAAGACAATCTATACCAAAACAATCCTCAGACTATTGTTGACCTAAAGAAGGCAATCACTGCTATATGTAATGCCATAATAATGCCATAGAGGGCAGAACATGTAAGGGTAGTTTGCCATATGAATCCAACTCTGCGTTGGTCTCAATTGTGCCTATTTGGAGCATGTTATGTAAATGATCATAGCTCCTGAACCAGTTGAATGCTTGTATTGAAACCTTCAGTAACAAATTTCCATATAACTGTTCCAGTGTATGCAAAATTTCATTGATGGCACTTGTCTAGTTTAGGAGAAATTGATTACTTCAATGGTCTCCTTTTTTTCCGGTCACCCTGTATTTGCATTGATGGTGTATAGATAGTTATTTTATATAGTGTTTTTAGTTGTACGTGGAAACCTATTCTAACCAGGAAGGATATTGCAACTTTTTTCAAGATCCTAAAGTTGCAATTTTCATTATTGTGCTCCATTGTAAAGACGCACTTGTGAAAGTGTGTCGCTGGTATAAAGGCGTAGTTCTAAATAAATTTAAGATACACGTTTTTTAAACTTGTTCGTGAACGTTTAGAATTATGGACCTGATGGATTATTTCTCCCTTTAGTACTGTTAATACTTGGCCGGTTGAGTATATACAGGTATACATGTCCCAGTTTTTGGTAAGTGGGGGGTCAAACCTCCCCCCATCCACACATACACTTTTTATCATGCTTAAGTAACTTCACATTGTAATTACAAGGGTGATATAAACGAGACACCAGGATGATAAGGTAGGGAGAGCCATGTTAGATTTTGAAACTTATGGCTCTCAAACAGGGAAGTGAACAGCTGATTAATAGTGACCTTAGAAATCGAATTAAGTCGATCCGCGGCTTACTTTTGGTCTCTAACTGTGTCTTACATCAGTATCATCAATCCGTGTAAGTATTGGAGCGCTGAAGTACTTCCTTTCGATCAAGACTTGTAATTGTTAGTCGAGTGAATGTTTTTACTGCCAAATTCCAATATGGCGTTTTCTGCTCGGACATTTTCGTAAATCTCCGGAGGTTGTCCGAACCTAACTAATTCTCAAAATTCATTTCGTTCATTGCGTATCTTGCTCCTAGCAAACCGCCATATTGGAAATAGGTCTAAAAAACATTCACTCGATGAACAATTTACAAGTCTTGATCGAAAAAGAAGTATTTCAACACTCTAATACTTACACGGATTGATGATACTGATGTAAGACACAGTTAGAGACCAAAAGTAAGCCGCGGATCGACTTAATTCGATTTCAAAGGTCACAATCATTAAGCTGTCCAAATGCTCCGTGGGAAAGCTATTTTATCAAAATCCAAATAGCTTTCGCAGGAAGTAAGCTTAAACTTTATATGGGGCCTTTAACTGATTAACACAATTTTACACCCATTGGAAAGACTGTACTGTGACTGGTTGGACAGAGTTGAATCAATCATATATGTAACTGCATATCCAGTGGAAAATAACCAACTCTGATTATACCAAAGGTTGGAATTTGAATTATCATGCACATGATAGTGGTCAGATAGTGATCTAAAATGCATAGCCCAAACGGGTAAAAAATTGGACAGTGTTTACTACTATAATGAGATCAAGTGATCTTTACGATTATAGTGAGTTCCAGTGCAGTTCGAAACTGAGGTACAAATCATAGACAAGGAAGTGCAAAACAAGATCGCTGAATAAAATAAAGGATAGTCTATAGAAGACTTTTAATTTTCCCTCAAAACTTAGACAATATTTGACTTCTAACAAACGGCGGATTATCGAAAACAAACAGCGGTTTTGGACACTCACCCCCTGCAATTGAAAGCCCAGAAAAGAAACAAACAAATTCAGTGTTAACAGTATATCCTGTGACCTCACCAACATTAAAGCAAGTGGGCGCAGCATCCATCACGTGATTTTGAAAATGGGTTTTCACCCGGGTTTACGAAAAAGACCGACCCCACCGACCGGTCGGTGTTTTCCACTGGTAGCCTCAAAACAGGGTTTGAAGAAAATGTGTAAAAGACCGACCATATCATGTAAAAGACCGAACATATTTGTAGCCTTAAAATATTAATAATTTGATTTTGTCAATCGTTGGACTAGGCAATGTTTTTTACTGATTTTGTACCTTGCAACGAATGGCAAGCAAACAAATTGGGCATGACCGTCTCCTCTCGATTAATTGTCCTGCCTTAGGTCCTAACCTATCATTAACCAACCTATCGTTTCTACGGGAATCTATCCTAATTTTTTACTGAAAATTAACAATTTCGAAACAAAAATGATTTGTTATCTTCTAGCCTACTGAATACTGAACACTATATAATGTTACATGCGTTCTCTTATCGGGATTAAAAGTGACTTACCATTTCAGTACACCATTAGAAAGCTTTTTTTGTCATATCAAATGTAGTTTTTACCAGTTGACGTTTAACAACTGAGAAATTAAACATAATGTTACGACGTCAACATCGACGATGTTGTGTGTATTTGTGATTGCGTTTCATATGAATGAACTTAATGCAATGTTACGTGCGTTTTTTTTCCAAAGTGACTAACCAGGATGAAATTGGTCTTCTAACAACTGAAACATCACTTAAAAATATGACATTACACACCACGACGATATGATGTAACATTTTCATCGTGATTTGAAATGATTAATTATACGTTTTTAAATCACGACCTAGTAAAGGTACCATAGTCATTGGATTCCCAGTTTTAGTTTTATTTATTATTTATAAATATGTTACAAAAATAAATATACAAAAAATACTACATGTTATAGGTAAGTTATAGGTATTGACGTCACAGATTTTTAAGCAGCTCATTATAATATTCATGAGCTGACTTTGTGGAAAGGTGAATATCGTGACACTGATGTGAAATCTTCTTACCTACACAGATGTCTCCTATCATTTTGGGATCAATGTTGACATCTTTCAGCACACCGTCAAATGCAGCAGCAAGTAGGTCATCTATGAATGTGTCCTACAAGGTGTAAAAATAATATACAGTATAGTAGTTATATCACCCAACTGAAGATACTGCTGGTGCGACAAATACAGTACTAGTTAAAAATGGGTCACCACTTGAATGGAATACTCAGTACATGTATATGATGTAATTATTAGAGGTGGCACGGAACAAAAAAAATCAGACATGTTCGGTTCAGAACATCTGTCTTCGGAATGGAGCAATATCATAACAGTTTGGAACAAACTGATCGAAAGCCCCGGGTCGAAAACTGTGAGAAGGGTGATTTTCCGAATTTCCATGAATCGGAATGAAATCAGGTATCGATCTGTTGAAAGCCCTGTAATTATGAGATAAGTTATATGATGGCCATGAAGAAACACAACTCACAATGCTTTTGATTGGACAACAACCTGTCCTTCTTATTCTCACCTTGAATGAACCTCTCTTTGCTTTACAAATGGGTGTTCTTTTTGCTGAGACAACAACAATATCATCTGCAGAAATCTGATGGGAAGCTGTCTTCAATTCAAGTCCTGTTTCTTCCTTATGTTCACTATTCAAATGTCCGAATAGAATTCTTGCACGGTCCATGGCTCCTGGTAGACACTTATACTGACTCTCAAACTGTCTAAGTTAGATCAAGTTGAAAAATTGGAACTTAAACTAGGACATGTTTACTTGCACTTTCACCCTGTGTCTCTTGCACTTTGGATTGTCGATGTTACGCCAATTAAACGAACAGATTATATTCTAATCCGAGAACATTTTGTTGTCTCTGAAAGAACAAAGAAAATGCTGTCCTTATACAATGTTTTATTAATTTTGAATTCTGATTAATTATTATTATACTTAGATTTGAACTTGTAAAAAAAGGGAAATATCATGTTTGGAATTTATTCTCAAAATTCATTTCGTTCGTTGATTTGACTATTCAATTACGCATGCGCGTTTGACCGGCAAGTGAGTTCCGGTTTCGCCATTTTTTAAGCGTGCCATTAAATAAAGATGAGGTAAACATTGTTTATTTTCCACAAACTCACATGCCAAAACAAAAATACTTCCATTACATGTTAAGTTTGATATTTAGGGTAAACATTCTTGCAAAATATTAATCGTATCTTACCTAGATTACTATGGAAGATGGCGAGTAGGTGGGCGATATTTCAAAATAATGGATTTTTTCTTTTCTCATTTTTGTTTTCATTGTTTTCGAACTTGTACTATATCTACTACATGTAAATTCACTATTAGTCCATCATATATATTTAATTGCTCTAACGTTTTTTTAGTTTGTTTATAATTTTGTTATCACATTTGTGGCATTTGTTTTTTCCTAGTATGTATTTACTTAGTTTACACAAAGCTATCTCCTGAGAGATAGATAGCTTTGCAAAACTCGGTATTCCCAGCCCATGTTAAAGGTCTTTTTCAGAAATGTTAGAAATCGTGGGAACACTTACACTACATCAATCGATGTATAACATCATAAAGTATCGTTGTAATAATCGTAGAACGCTAACTGGAGTCGTAGACTATATCCTATTTAGTCTGAATTATATTCAGACTATAAGGCACCTATGTTAAAGTTTGGTAATTTTTAATATTTGTTTACATAGGAAGTACTATTCAAAATGGCCGATTGGGTAAAATTAATTTGCACATTGTTACTTCATCTAGCTTTATTTCCACTTGACAATAAGCTGTGTTACTTTTTATTGCATTTAATTGTACCTTACTATATAAGGCCATAAGAAGTAGATTCTTTGTTTTGCGTCCTGGCAAAATCAAAATCATACAAGGCTACAAGGAAAACAAACACAAACTCAAGAAAAAACACAAACTTGTTTGCTGAGAATTGTATACATTTTATGGGCATAAAAAGGGATGACATACCAATTTGTAGTGATAACAAACACATATCTATACATTTATATAATATATTTAAACATAGCTATTATTCAAGGGTAAAAAATAAGAAAATACACTATGTATGCCAAACTTATTAATACCACTGTCAATTTTGATGCACATCAAATTATCTGCCATTTCGTCTGATTCTGATTGACGTCTGATTCAGATCCTTGTGATTGCTATTTGAATGTGTTTGTTTTTTCTGATTTACTCAAAATCGTGCAAGCAAGGGGACGCAAAACAAAGAATCTACTTCTTATGGCCTAATTGAAATTTTGTAATGTTTACTTTATTGAAAAAATGGTTCCTCTAATTGATAATTTTGTGCAAAAGATTTCACTGCAATTTCCACAGGAAAGTAGTACATCATAACAGACTGCTATTTTTCAGTCACATTTTCAGAGGGCAAAAAAGGTTATTTCATCATGTGTTCCTGGTCATGTAAATGATATGTGGAACTAGATAAACTTCCTGATTAATCCTTATACGGATATACAGTGATTTTTTTTATTCTGAGAATCAGTTCATATGGTTGAAATAAGGAAAGAATGTGATGTAATCACGTGTCTACTTACCGGCTTGTTCTATGTCATCCATCAGACTAGGTTACATCGTGGAACGCAGCCAAACACGACAATGAAGCCAGTTTTCTGAGGTTATAAAATCTAAATAATTTCCCATTTGCAGCCCCTTGGAGATTTCCGGAATTGAACAAAGTAGCGAACATTGCGATCTTTCAACTTTAGTTCGTTCTTTTTCACCACCTTAGGTGTAGTTTTCATTTAGGAGGTGGTCTTATTTGAATGCATCATTTCAGGTCTTTATGAATCAATAGATCAATAAGCAGACTAAAAATACAATTTAGCAGTTTCTTTCATTGCGTTCTGCGCCTGTTAGGCACGAAATTCAATTTAGCAGTTCCGTTCGTTATTGGGCCTTCTATAATCAGTAGCAAATGCTCGGAAAACATTTTCCAAAATATTTACTTCCATTTTCCTTGAAGACATGGTTGGGTGACACGTCATTGACACGTCATTAAGTCACATGATCAATACAGTAACTAGTCACGTGATCAGACACGTGTCACGTGTCAGTCACGTGAGCTTGCAAAATGGACGATCTAAATTTCCAAAAATTCGGCTAAGATAGATATGCTATTGCCTTCAGTGTCGTGTTTGGCTGCGTTCCACTATGTAACCTAGTCCGATGGATGACATAGAACAAGCCGGTAAGTAGACACGTGGTTACATCACATTCTTTCCTTATTTCAACCATATGAACTGATTCCCAGAATAAAAAAATGACTGTAGTCCTGAGTAAGGACATTAGCGGTTACCGTTAGTGATTTGGTTTTCTGAATAAAAAGTCATTTTCTCCTTCCCTACCCCATAGGAGCGCCATCTGGTGTTTGGGAAGTGAATCGGGACTTAATATTTTTAAGGTAGGTCCTAATTTATCTGAAAACATGTCAGAGTTCAGTGGGATATCTCATTTTAAGCTGGCGGCGGAGTGATTTTGACCTTGGTGATTTTACCAGAATTCTCTGAGAAATCTGACGATAGAGGGGGTTACTGTCTTCAAATTTATTTATTTCAAAAATTCGGTGGACAACCCATGGTAAGATTGTTATAGCAGGCTTGGCGAGTCTCTCCCGAACACCGTTGTATGTTGCACTAGGCTTGGATACTAATCTAAGATACAGGGTAAAATGTTATAATGGCCACCTATGGGAAACTCTACTGTAGTCTCCAACCTACAAGTTTTGTGACTACACCAAGTGGCATGGATTATCACTTGTATATTTTATCTGTTACAGTGTAATTATTATTATCATGATAGAGGCTTTATGAATGATAAACAATGAATGCATGCATTGCATGACGATTACTCTGGACTAAAAAATAGTCCCAGCAAATAAAATGGTGGACATGAAATATTTAAAATTCAAAATGGTTTGAGCTTCATTACAAGGAACATCGAAGGAGCATGAAAATGTGTACTTCTTGCATTGTTAGAGTATACAGAGTGATCAATAAATAAGGTAAAAGTATCTGGCATTTCTTCAGATTTTACCCAGTCCTCATAAAATTTGCACAGAATATGCATCAAAGTAATATGATTGGTTGAAGTTATGGTTGCCATAGCAACAGAGAGCACGGAGACCCGGGGCAACTATCAATAAACTAAATTTTCAGTCATATTCTTATTTTATATTTCATATCTACTCTACATAATGTCCTTATGTTTTCAATAACATATTCTTATTTTATCTTTCATATTTACTCTACATAATGTCCTTTGTTTTCAACAGTATAGTTCATGTCTTCTAATCCAGTCTTTGAACACCTTTTTGAACCCATTTGTCCCCATAGCCTGTAACTTTTCCAAGACAGCTGATTTCAAGTCTTCACATGAGAATTGAAACACCTCTCAACTCCCTCAGTATAATCATGATTTGTATACTCTAACAATGCAAGAAGTACACATTTTAATGCTCCTTCGATGTTCCTTGGTAAGTTAAGATAATTTGTGGAAATTTTGGAGTAATACAAATGTGACACCAAAGCACCCATACTCCTGGAAGTTTTCAAAAATAATATCACTTCACAGTGTTCATGTTAGCTTTAGGGACCCATACACCTACAATTCATATTTATTTAAAATATGTTTATGTGTGATGTTAACTTTGACAAGTTTCTTTAGTCAAGATATAAAATATATATATAAGGTAGACAGATTTTTAAACCATGTGTCTTTATAAAAAAAATGTGGCAGCCATTTTTTGTACTTTTGATTTAATTTAGCTTCGCCTTAATCATATTTTGAACAAGATAACAGAGTTCTGTTTTGACCACTTGTCAGTTTAACTAGTTCCACATAATATTTACATGACCAGAATCACAATTTACTTGCTGCAATCTTTTCGTATATTTTCACCATTGTATTATTCTTAGTTTTTTCCCAAGCTCCAAAAGAAGAAATTCGTTTGAGAAAACATGATTTTTTGTTGGTTTTGAGATCTCTCCTAAGCATACATGTAACAACACAACTCTCTCTCTGTGGATATTTTTAATACCTTGTTATGCATGATTTGGAGCCAAAGATAATTTAATGTTTGAAAAATGATACAAATGTAAATATTAATTTTTTAGATTTTCTACTATTCAGACTTACTTTTTCTAAGTGTTCAAAATGTTTACTCTTCAGGCCATTCAGAGGACGCGGGGGCATGCGGGGAGGTATGAGGCCGTCACCCTACAAAGGTGGACCAGGATTCCGTCCATTCGTGCCCCATATCCCATTTGATATGGCTATGTGTGAACAGGCATTCCCCAGAGCACGACCAGCTGTTGATGATAAATTCTTTACAGATGTAAGTTGAACTTTATCATATCAAAAAGTTACTTAAGGGCACTGGCATTATATTTGTGTATGTGTTTTAACTACTGAAAACTTATAAATTTACATTTTCAAATGGTATGTACATCATTCAATATTCATGAGAAAATTTACCCCAACAATGATATCTTATTTAATGTGATACATACAAAAAATTAGCATGGAAGGAACTATGACTGCATTCATTTGTTATTTAGAAAAAAAATTGGAAACTGGTTGACAGTTTTGTTAAAAATTAAGCCTTTCAGCTATTTTCCATGCAACTGTATACTTACTAGTATACTGAAGGTGTGATTTTTCAAGTGTGATATAATGAAATGTCGGAAGCTTAACACTTGTAGGCTTATTCAATATTCTTCCGATGCTATGGAGCAATCTTTTTCAGTGTTTAGTGACAAGAGTGTTTCTTCACAAGTGGCTTATGGCATTGACTAGGATTACTGAATTATTTTGCAGGCTTTATTGAAACGTAACACAGATCTCAGTCCCACTGCAGCAGAGCAGGCAGCTGTACTCAGTCTAGTGACAAAGATTAATAGTACAATTGATAATCTTATCCTCACACCAGGCAGCTTTGATGCAGCAGTAAGTATACCTGAGCACAGCTGTAATCCTAAAACCACTCAATACAAACACTAATTTTTCCCTTGTTAAAGACACCTTGAAATGTGAGTACATGCTCTTCAGAACACTTCTGACCAAATCCAGTAGTGTGCCTATTAAATAGGTTTCACTGCTGTACTGTAAATTATTAGAGCCAGCTGAACATTAGGAATCTTTGTGAATAAACATGAACACACCAAATAAAAAATATATGGAAATCCTTTGATAATACTAATATCATGAACACATAAACTTCAAACCTTTTCTGACTCAATATGACTGGGAAACACATGCTACATAAGTATACCCATATATGGCAACATAAGTATAGCTTGCCAGTCATGAACTAAGAATACACAAATATGGTCATACATGAACCTACTTGTAGTGTACATATGTTGTAGGTGATCGAGGAAGTACGCCAGGTAGGTTCTTTCAAGAAGGGCACAATGACAATAGGCCAGAATATTGCTGATGTGGTTGTCATCTTAAAGACCTTACCAACTACAGAGGCTGTTGCTGCCCTCGGGAATAAAGTCATAGAAGATCTTAGGACCTCTGACCCAGCTGAGAGTAAGTGAATTGATATACAGGGTGATAAAATTAAAAGGTACCATATGTGCTATAACATCTGGCATGTTATATGGAAAGAATATATGTGTATTTCATACTATCCATCCTGCTCCCAGGAATTTTTTCAAAAGTAAAAAAAAGTTTAAAAATTTAAATTTAAGAAGTTTAAAATTTTTCAAAAAGTTTAAATGTTGCAATTCTATTGTATTGAACTGAAGGAATATTACGAAAGTTAAATATAAATTGTGCTTTTACAGTATAGGCCTATCTTGTCATTTGAAAAAGGTGGTAAAGGTTATATCTACTCCAAACCCACTCAAGTATGAGATACACCAGTTATGTACGGTCGGTTTTGGATACAGTGTTTATCCTGCGGGAAATATGCGGTCCCTCGTGAGATGCACATATTTCCCTTGGGATAAACCCTGTATCCAAAACCTCCCAGTACATAACCCTTATATATGTGCTGAGATGAATAGAATAAATTTATTTTCTAACTGTCATTTTTCTCATTCTGTGATTGGTTGAACATGAATCACATGACATAAAATATATAGTGTCATTTCTCTGTAATATCTGTTCATTGGTAGATAAGTGAGCTAAGTTTTGAAGAGCAAATATTTTCTCAACTTTGTTTTTTAATTTCTTCCTTGTTACAGAATAATAAACATAACCTATAATGAAACAACTGTTTCATCTCTTCAGGGAATAACTTTGTCACATTAAAAGTTAAAAGCACAAATTCCCCTCAATAGAACAATAATTTTGTAATATTTGAATTTCTATATTGGGCCCCTATTCAAATGGAACCCTACTTGTTAACATGTAGTTTATTAATGTATCTTATGTATTCTTCCAGTTTTGTCTATGTTGACCAACGATTCAGGGTTTGAAGTGAGCTCATCAGAAGCAACAGTGAAGGTTCTAATCACAACTATACCACCCAATCTGAAAAAACTTGACCCTGAGCTACATTGTAAGTATAAACTTGACATTGACCTTGATTCTTGTGATCAGGATCGAACTGGACTTTCCTGCTGGTTATAGGTCCGTACAAGTAATCCTTCCTTTGTCATTACATTGTTGAGTGTACATTCTCAATCACTGGCATTGTATTGTAAAAATATCTAACAATATTTAAAGAAATATGGGTCATTTTGTTCTGAATGATCCCTTCATTCGAAATCAAGTAGGAAAACTAACAGTCCACCCGTATAGCTCAGCAGTAGCGCGTGTTCCATTTACGCAATAGGTCCCGGATTCAATCCCCGGTTCAGGCAAGACTTAATTTGCTTGTTTGCGTGAAGTACTTCAGGGTGTTTGACTGAGTTGTCCACAACTCGTACAAAAGGCTGTGGTGTGTACTTGTAGGTCTATGTATAAGTGCACATTAAAGAACACAGGGCTCCTTCAAGGAGGGGTTTCTGGGTCTATCTTCAATGTTAATTACATAAATTACGACCGTATCTATATGGGATATACCCAAAAGGTATTGCTCACCTTAATTGGTGTTAAACAAAATACAACAACAATAAAATAATAACTAGTGGAAAATGTAACAAAACAAGGTTCTGGACAATCCAAGATACTAACTAAGTGCCAAATTTCATACTTCTTCCACTCGCTATGTATTGTGCAAGTAATTTGTGTGACATGTGTCTTGTGTATTATAGTGGAACAGAAGGTAATGCACGGACATCTGGCTGCAATTAGACACGCTCGCTGGTTTGAAGAGAATGCATTCCATTCAAGGTATGTGCCTCATTGGATAAAACACCTCAAGATTTTTAATCAAATGAGAATAGGGAATGGAAGAATGAACTCTGTATTGATGGTGTCACACTAGAGAGATAATTAGTAATATGAATGGTCTTAATAATGCATCACAACTGAATACAATTTACATTTGAATACTTTTTTTTGGTCTGTACCTAATTCCACTGTTTATGCTTCATGTTGAATAATTTCCCAATGCCCTAATATAGAAATCTATGTGTCCAATGTGAACTTATTGTTAATAACATATCCTATTGTAGTATAAAGGTGCTAATTCGCCTGCTGAGAGATTTGAGGAACAGATTTGAAGGCCTGGAGCCTTTAACAGCATGGATCCTAGATCTCCTGGTAAGTGCCAAATTAAATAACATGTTCTAAAGTAGCATTTGTGGATTCAAATGCCGGCTCACGGGAATAACCTACTATTTCATGGCAAACTTATTTAAATATGCAAACCTGCCACTATTGCTTTCATATTTGGCCATAAAAGGAAGGTTAAACCATCAGCTGGCAGCTGAATTCGTGAATATTACTTAAAGCCCCCGATAAATCGGGCTACGTATACCACCGTGTTTACATTAGGGGATTAGAAGAGTTTACTTTTACATAGGTATGCAAGCAATATCAATATTAGGCCTTCAAGCATGTACTGTGTGTACAATTAGCATGCCCTTCAATATTATATATGCCAGGCTATTCAAGTACAACATAATGTACACTATTTATGTGTGTGACATGGGAATACAATTCCCTGGGAAACAAAACACAAATACTTTTAATATGTTTAAAATGAGCCATTTGATCGATGCATACACTTAATATCTTCATATATAAACATCTACAAAGTATATCTAATAATCATTTTCAATTCCAATGTTGAAACTTGCCTGGTTACGATTATACGGGAAATCAAAACGGGACGATAGTTGTACACCTTCCTGGCTTACCTCTGAAGCCTGTACCCTGTAATCGCTTTATATAGGTTAGCAAGAGCGCTGCGCCTGCGCAGTTTTAAATTTTGGCGCACACTTTAAGATATGTTTAGAAATTTAGAGTGGAAGATATAAGAATTACCAAGGCCTGTTGTATGGTATATAATTTCTGGTCTGTCTATTGACTAATCAAAAGATAGTTCTCCATTCCTTAAAACCAAGTGGTCAATTTTAAAGTATTCATTTCAACAAACATACATTGAAACAGCAAGACATTATTACATACAAAGTATTTTTTTGTATTTCATGTACATGTATAAATATTGAAATAATTAATACAGCATGGAAAGTACAAAAATTGATGCACGAATATTTAATCAATTAAATACATGCAGTAAAGTATAGGTATGGATATGGTGAACTGAATTCAACAATGTTTTTTAAACCAATTATTGAAAACATTCTGTAAAAAACATGGTCCTTTATGTAATGTTGACTGATTGGCAACAATTTAATGCAAAAATTATTTATACATATTTTATATAACTGTTTTTGTTAACATTTATGTTTTTTTGTTCCTTTCTACCAATTCTTGAGAATGAAATAAAATGTCTTTCCAAACCTCGTTGGAACAAAATAGCATATACAGCATTTTCTTATAGACCTCTCTATTATAGTTATACAAAGGAAATTTTGGTTGATTAAACAAAAAGTATGCAAAAACTTACAAAACCCCCCAAAATATATAAAAATTAAGATAAACCTTTTATTTCATTAACAAGATACTTTTTTTAAATCAACCAAACTTTCCTTTGTACAATTACAATATTGAGAGACCTAAACATGGTGTGTTTATGTCGTTTTGTTCGGATAGATGTTTCATTTCATTCCGAACATATGATACCAAGAACAAAAGAAGTGTCTTATGTGTTTTCTAAAACAATATAGAGAAAATATATAAAAATATTTCTAAGTGTTACCATCCAAAAGATGACCATTAAATTAATGATGTGTAAAATTTTCAGAACGTTCAAAAAGTTCACCATATTGATAGCACTCCTTTACTTAAACATTTGTTATTTCAGGCCCATTATTGTATTATGAACACACCCAACAGACAGCCTCTCCCAATCAATGCTGCATATAGAAGGGCTATCCAGCTGCTGGCATCTGGCTTCTTCCTGCCTGGCTCCATAGGAATCACTGATCCATGTGAGGGTGGCAATGTCAGGGTTCACACAGTCATGACCTTAGAACAACAGGTTAGTTGCATGTGGCCTTACCAAGGAGGATTGGAGATCAGGATTCCTTGCCGATTTTCATATATCAGGTCTACTGTGCATACTTTTTAGAGCTAGCTCAAGAGTGGAAAAACTTGCTCTAAAACATTCACTTGCTCATTATCTTAGAATACTTCATTTTTTACTGAAATGCACTGGTATGTTCCATATTTATGTCAAAAACCAATAGAGCATAGAATTGATAGATAAAAATTGTTCTACAGTTATATTGACATTCTAGAATAACATGAATAATATTGTTGTCAACATTTATGTAATACCGATTTTCTTAAATGATTTGAAAAAGATATTTTGTTCAGTGGTTTCTAGTTGTTATAAGAAACATATATTTGTAGGACCTTGTTTGCTACACAGCTCAGACCTTACTGAGAGTATTAGCGCATGGTGGCTTCAAACAGATCCTAGGCATCGAAGGCAATGCAAGTATAGCAACAGAGATGTCAGTGTGGGAAGGTGTTGTAGTTACACCATCTGATAAGGCATATGAGAAGATTGAACGTAAAGAGGAGGAGGAAGATGATGAAGAAGGAGAGGGGGATGAATCTATGGATACTGCAGATGCTTGAATGCAGTCCTACTCAGGTCAGCTTCTTGAAATATTATGCAGTGATTTCCCAAGCATTAAAGCAAGTGGGCCCAGCACCCACCAGAAAATCCATTTGCACCAACTTGAAAATGAGAAAAATTGGCATATTTTGACCAATTTTGGTTTGAATTGTTAGAATTAGAATTTTGCACCCACTTGAGAAAAAATCCTGTGGAGATCACTGTTATGTTGAAAAATCAATTTGGAATTGCTTTCTGTCGAATGTTTTGCCCCTATTAATAATATCATGAGTTCAGGGGAAGAGAGCAAAATGCTGAAACGTTCACTTTAGATAAGAAGGTTTCAAAACTTAAACACTACAATCATGGAGGCCAGTGGTGAAAAGATTAAAGCCCGGTTTTAAATTTGCTAGTAACTCCCATTAAAATATCAAGTTACATCCACACTTTTACATGGCACGGATAGTCAGGATTAGTAAGTTTAATTAACAGCATTGCTTAATACTTGATTTTGATTGGCTAAACTTGAGGACTTTTAAATTTGAAAAAAGTTATGACTGTTTTTAAATGTCCTGAGATCACAACCAAACAAAATGATGAAGTTAAAATCTAACTGCAGAATATGAGCATCAAAACATTGAAAGATGTACATAGCAAAATTGGAGGCAATACATTTTCTCAATCAATATGAAATGTGAGAAAATTGACTAGCCCTGTGAAAAAGTCAAAAATTCTGTTATTTTGTCTGTTCCATTAATCTGCCTTTTATTTATACCCAATGTCCCTCTTTAAGAGCCTGTTAATTTCATTAATCCAGTCAGGGAAACTCATGTTATAAGCTAAAATGTTAGTTAGTATACTATAACATGTTTTGCTTGTCATTTCAGATTGACCATGTGGTAAAGATATTGTAATGTGTTCCTACAATAACAATCAATGTACAGTAAGGATTAACACCAGTGAAATGACAAAAAATGAGTGAAATAACAAACAACTACCCTTCATATTTAGACTTCATCACTGAGAAAATGCCAAGGATTTTTAGATAAAAGGAATATTTGGGACCAAGAAGGAAATGACTGTAACAAAATACTTAAATATTAACAAGATTATGTCGTATAGACATTGAAGGGATACAACTCTACAATGTTATCGAATCAAAATGCCATGCATTGCAAAAACTAACAAATAGATGTGCACATATTTCATATTGCAAAGATGCAATCTCTATCATTTCTCAAAGGTTTAGTGAACCACTTTTATGAATGTCTACTGTGTATGAATGATCTTAGGTTCATCCTAGGGGTGAGTCGTTGTAATCACCTTTTTGTCTGGATATCCATCCATCAGTCTAATACATTTTTTAACCTTTCAACGTATTCAAATGTAGATGGTGGATAATTCAAAGGCATATTTTTGGCCAAAAAGACTTCATACTTTTAGACCTCTGCATTTCTCGCATATCAAAAGTTTTTTGCATTTTGTTGTGTGACATCACAGAGTACCAATATTAATACAATGGAGATGTACAGCAAAACGTAAAGCAAACTTTTGAAGTGAGAGCCATCTATTTTTGTTTAACATTTTTAAAGTCAATTTTTAATATCCCAGTTTCAGCCTGGTGAATTTAGTATAACAATGAAAATTTAATATTTTCTGTCTTTAGCAAGAAGTTCTTGTTTGTGCACAATCAAAAACACTGGTTAGGTGGCAACTCTCCAACCTGTGATTTTGTCATGCATCATCACGTATGATTTTACACTGGAAATATTTTATGTAATGTGTAAATAGAAAATAAATACTCTAAAAAATTAATCAGTTGAATTTCAGTTCTTGACATATGTAATTCAAAATGAAAACCACGAAGATGAGTTAAGAAGTATCTCTGTAGTTAGCATTCCTTGGTTTGAAGTGTCCATATATTTTAATGGTCAATGTATCATTCCTTGGTTTGAAGCAAGTGTCCATATATTTTAATGGCCAATGGTCAATGTATCATTCTATGCTGCAAATTGCATAATTCAACATATTCTAATTGAAGATTTTCAAATTCCAAAGGTTATTTTCTAATTCTAAAGTAGCTGCATCGGAGTCTCCAGTGTTTCAATGTCATTAGTTAATAAATTTTTGAATATAGATAGCAACTTACAATCTGATCTGCAAGCAAATATAATCTACATCTTAATGAACAAGTCTGCAGACATGAAGTTCAGTCTAAATTCATGACTAACACACTGAGCTATAACGAATCCAGTATGTTTTATGCATTTATTCAAAAGTTGCTCTCTAATTTAGAGCAAATATTTCATTAAAAAATAATATTGAGAGAATTTCCATGATGGCCATACACTTAAGGAAAGTCTGCTACATCAAGTCCCTGTGCCCCCCCCCCCCCCCCATTCCATAACAGGGAGGGGAGGGGGTGCCCAGAGACTTGATGTTTTAAGTTATCTTCTGCAAGATCAACTGATTATGGGAATTAATTATTACATTGTATTATACAATCCCTTTAGATTTATAGTGTTCTTCCACAACTTTTGCTGAGTTTTTCATATGTCTTATGAAATGATTCCGAAGGGCAATTTGTGTTTTTGCCCATTTCCACATGACGCCATTAAGCTTCTTGTTATCAATTGTGTTCAAAACATATCTAGTTCTTTCAACCTGCTCTTGCCTGATCTGAAATTGAATTATTCTTATGAAGTGAATGCAATCATGATATGAAGAGGAGGGAAAACCCCATGATTCAATCGATGACATACGATTTCCTCCTTCGCGCACCTCCTTTCCCGGAAGTACTTACCCTCCATCTTGGTTTTCAAAGTTTTCAAATTGACCTAGTTTTAAACCAATCAACGATCGACTCGCTAAACCAATCATCTCAATACAGATTTACATTATAAGCGTATGTCATCTTTGAACCCTGGGGTTAATCCCCCTCTTCATGATATGCAATTATATTAAAGGAGATGTGTATGTTTGGAATTTTTATGCAGTCTTCATTGGAGTCATGCAGTGGCGTAGCGTGGGTATTTTATGAGTGTACGCCACGAGTGAGCGAAGCGAACGACCTTTGAGAGAGGGGGGGGGGTTCTTTCCCCCAAGAAAATTTGAAAAAATTAGATTGCATTTGAAGCGTTCTGTGGCGTTTTAAAATACGAAATTCCGACTACGAAAAAATAATATGGATTAATAAAATGTTAGGCCATTACTTCAGAATATTAAACGTGGGTCATTTCATCAAAAATTCACTTTTCCCTAAACTTTGAGAGTACGCTATGGCGTTTTATGCGTATATGACGCTACGCCACTGTCATGTGTTCTTTTCAGGAATACATATTAACTACTCATTTCATATATGATCTACGTCTTTCTTATTTGCATAAAGAGTGCACTAAGGTACGTAGAAAAGATTGTAGTGAATATTTTTTTAAGATGTTTAAAAATGGGAAAATAAAGTGACCTGTTTATTTTGTACTTTAAAAAACTAGGTCACTGAATTTTCTCATTTTGGCATCATGAAAATATTGAAGCTATGATAGAAAATTGTATTTTGTATGAAATAGTACTCTAATGCAAAATAATGTGTAATCAAAACAGACCTAAGGCATTGAATATAAAATCTTCCAGTGTAGCAAAACTAAGTAATTGTTTCCTACATAGATATAGATATGAGATTTTAATTCAAGCATATGTATAAATTGTGTCAATGAATCAGAAATTCAATGATAATATCACAAACCTGTTTCATGTACTCTGGCCAATGGAGTTTCCACATACATTGGCGTGCAACTTGTCCCCAAAGGTCAGAGTGGCGAGCTTGATCACTCCTTTTCACAAGTTCATCATGGACTTTCTTCATTCTGGCTCGATAATTTCTGAACTCAAGCCAGTGTCCTGGAACCATTCTCAATTCCTGAAAAATAATTTTTTAGGAAAGAAATAAAACCTTATAATTTGAATAGTCCAGAGTTACCGTTTGTAATTTTGTTTTTGTGGAAAATCGCTTCCTGCTTCAACAAATGCCCCATTCTTAAAATTATACTTGGATGTTTATCTGGACTTTAGTGATATAGATGTATATCATATTGTGTTTATATATTTAAATATGCCATTTAAATATGTAGAACAATATTCAAAAATATTTCCTCATCAAAGTACCATATAACACATGTATTTGTTGAAAACAAATCTACAAGGAATGCTATAAAAATTTTGAAAAACTAGTTTCTTGTCTTAATGCTACCTCAAAGATAATATCTGCTTGCTGGTCTAATATGACTAATATGCATTTTGCTTCCAACTGATACAAGGATAAAACTTCAACTTAAATACAGCTAAAAGAAATTTCAAAATGTTTCTATGGAAATTGGACTTACACTAAGATTTTTCTCTGCTCTTTTGTGTATATGGTCATAGTCATCGTGGAAGGATGTGGAGACATCAGTTACCATCTTTGAAGATTTTTTAGCCTCAGCTGTCAGTGATTCTTTTTCATCCATATCAAAACATTCACATCCTGGTTTTGGGGAATTTGTGATAGGAGTGGAGTTCACACTTGTGCTCCTTGTATAATCATTAAGGTCTTCACTACTGCAAGCTGTAGCACTCACTTCCTTCTCTCTGTGCTGTTCATCATCATCTTTTGCTTCACCAAGTTGTTTTTCTGCAGCTTCATCAAGTGGTTCAATCTGTTTTTCTAGTTCCAGGGCATGCTTTGAGATATCTATTATGTCGCTGATGTAATCATCTACTCCTTCCTTCAGTTGTTCTTCTTCTTCTGTTATGTCATCTGGTTTATCATATACAGGTTCATCTAGTGGATCAACATTTTTTTCATTTATTTCTTTAAGAGGTTCATCAAAGTCTGCATCATCAACATCAAATGCAACCTCTTCCAGTCTTAGGCTGATGATTTTTCCAATTTCAGCAAATCCACATACCATATTTCCCTGTTCCACTTTTTGGATAGACAGAGAACATGCCTTATATTTTCCTTTTAGATCAGACGTTTGCTTACTTTTCTCTGTCACTTTTGTAATGCACAGGTTGCCTGTTAGGAGATATGTTCTTGTACATTTCGAATCACTTCCTTTAGACACCTGGAAGTGAAATGTCAGACTTTAGAAGAGAAACAGTCTTGGTCAAGGTCGCAGATTATTTCACACCTTTCATCTTCAACACTACTGAAGTAATTCTTGATGGTGCAATATTCGTTGCATCATTCCATGGTGAACATCTTTCAATTTTCACAATCAAATACAGCCAAGGGGTTAAAAATGTAAAACATAACTTATAATAGGTAACTTATAGCTCACTAATAAGTAATAACATATAACTCGTGGTCTTTTTGAATGATCTATTAGTTGTTGCACTTAATTAATTTCATAGACATTCATTTGATTTTAATCAAAGATAGATTGCAATCCTGAAACCCAACATCTACTGACCACATTCACATTGATTATGATGCCTTACCTCTACAACAAGCTCTCCATTTACTGCATTTGCATACCCTACTTCAAACGCATCCTCGTCACATTTTGACGCATCAACAAAACCATCTCCTGTAGAAAATGTTTCTTGTGCTGGGTCGCTTTCATCAAGATGCATCACTAAAACAGCCTGAAGAAAGTTGACACTTTCATTCTCAGATGTTATGATATGAAAGTGAAACTATGTCAATATTATGACGTCATTTATTTATAGTCTCGTTAAGTTTTATGTGCGCATCAAAAGGAAGATAATATTTATTTCAATGGTATGAAACCTTTTAAATATTGTTATTATTTAATAATTTATCATTCATTTACTTCTTTTATGAATTTTATAAAATTAGAGTATAAATAATTGTTATACATTTTCATCGAATTTAGAGACTATAAAATCCATCATGGCGAGATCTTGGAACCCGGAATTTACACATTCAGATCGCGAAAGGTAGGCTATTAGGCGTTTATTTGCAATATAAACAAGTTTTTCTCATCGGGTTTAATTCGTAGTATATTTGTGATAACATTTATGCCTTCCAAACGCTCTAGTTCTCATGAAATCGACAAACATATTTTTAAAATCTTTAAAAAATTCGATGTTCTGTTGATGTTTTTTTCATTTTTCTAAATTCAATCTTATTTGGTGAAGCGAGCACATATAGAGTGTCAATATAGTTTTTGGATAATTTCTGGTGTTTCATTTCATAGTAATTTACGTGTTCGCTTGGCTAGTATATAATGAGTTTTGTTATAAACTATCCTCTAGAGTCCATTTCACTGCTTCATTTTGTCAGTAGAACGGCAAAAATAAGAATTGGGAGACCATTGTGCAATAATATATGGAAAAGTATATTCATAATGTACATGAATGACATATGTATATTTCAGATTTTTTAGCTTTTTGTGCAATAAGTCTTGTAATTTGAAGAATTTCAGCCATGTTAATCTTATTGAAAATAACATGGCAGAGAAACATCCAAATATAAGAGGCCACACACTTTATAAGCCAAACTAGAAGCAATCCAAGATATACAAATGTCATTCATGTACATTATGAATATACTTTTCCATATATTATTGCACAATGGTCTCCCAATTTCTTATTTTTGCCATTCTACTGACGAAATGAAGCAGTGAAATGGACTCTAAATAGGCAGCTTTACAATTTGGCACCCTTACTGCTGGATGTGGGGGGAGCTAAATAGAGTATGGTGCTGTGCCACAGTCTAAAAGCCTGGCAAGAGCCCTGCCTTCTTCTAAAGGCCACTATATCGTGGCCTTCATCCAAAGATAAATCCCTGCATGTTTTTTACTCTGTCGGATGTGAGTCATGTTGCTGGATACGAGTCTTGTCGTAATCATAAAATTTGAAATCAAATGTTCGCCATTTTTCCACATCACAATTTGAGTTGCGAGTTTTGGTCTTATTACCTCACCAAAAATTCCAAAACACACATGAAGTGATCAGTGTATTTGTTCACATCTACTGGATCGCTAACTTAGAATTTACAGTCAGTTACTAATGTCAGATGTTCATGACATTTCATCCAGTTTTAGAATATCGCCATTTTTATTGGAGCCGTTTGTTTTAATTTTAGAAGAAATACTGAAGAAATCGTCCAATATCTCATTAAGGAGCCCAGCCAGTTCCATTTCAATTCATGAAATATTAACATGATGGTTTTTAGAATATAACTTAAATTTTTTGAACCCCGACTAGAAATTTTACAATAGTTTACAGTGTTCCAGATAGAATAACTTCTATCCAAGAATTGGCTAGAGACTCGAGTAAGTCCTGTACATAATTTTGAAACATTATCCTAATTTTTTCACAAACCTTTTGTTGATTCTGCAAAAGTTTCCATATTATAAACAGCATTTAGCCTTTTTAATTGTGAAATTTCCAAAAAAGTCGGGTGACATTTGGCATTGGTAGCCAGCTTAGACAAAGCTAAGGCAAAAATTACTTGGGAGAGGGTAATGGGCCATACAATATATATGAAGCCCTGTATATGTTTGCTTGATGAAGATTGTGAAGAAATTACAGTTCATCTATTAATTGTATATCATTTTGTTTCACATTCAGATGGATATGTGTTTACCCAGCATACATCAACAGTAAGAAGTCTATAAGTGAGGGCAGGAGAATACCAAAAGAACTGGTAAGTTGATTTGATGTATGTTAGGGCTATGGACTGGTCAGTTTTGGATACAGGGTTTATCCAAAACCGACTGTACAGAACAGATGTATTCCATACCTTCTGAGATTTTAGGTACATTATACCTCATAAAGTTCCAAATTTCAAAAACATAAGGTAGGGTAGCAGTAAGACAAGGTGTGTAATGTTGCTTTTTAGCGTTAAGCCAAATGTCTGGATTGATTGTTTTTTTGTATATATAGTTGATCCATCTACTGCCTATGTATACATAGATGGAACCAAATAACTTCTTGGAAATTAGGCAGGTTAAGAGGAGGCATCAAAAGTTCAATGTCGGATCGAAAACTAAATAGGTCTAGTTTGGGGGTAGGAGGTTCAAAACCATCAGTTTGCTATTCGACATATTTCAACATTTCAAATTTTTTTTGCAATTTTGACTCGAAATGCCTTGGAATGTTTTGAAAATGAAGATTATAATGATGGCATTGATCCAACATGAACACATTTTATCGTAGGTTTATGATAATTCTTCACATATTAGAATGCATATTGGGATACACAATGAGAGTCTATGTGTAAAAACTATTATAAAGTCACAGGTATATTACGACTTTTACGTTTTTTGTTAGTATTAAATAGTGTAATGTAGTAAACTAATGCTGAAATAAATAAAATTTCAAATGTCAGCGATCAACTATCATGGTATTCAGTTTTGGGGGTTTAAAGTTAAAACTAGATTTAATTACTTTCTGATCTGACATCGAACTTTTGAAGCCTCTTCTAAGCTATTTTAGCACCAGGTCTGCATGTTTGTGGCAATGTGAGTGTAGTGTACACATGGTGGACTTGTTTCTGGATGTTAAATTCATTATTTCACCATGTTACTTAGCATTACATCCATGGTGTTTTTTGTTCTTGAATATTTGCTATACTGTAGATGCACTTCATTTGGCTACCATTTTAATTTTACAGATTGGAGGATTGAAAAGTCTGCCAATTTTCTGATCTATTTTGAAAAATCCCTAGAGAATTTGTTATTTGCAATTATTTCACTTGACGTGTAAGTGGTCCTGTTTGGATGTCAGTGCTATACCAAGACTTATGAATCTGAAATGTTTATTTCCAGATCTATGACAAAACTTGGGCTCAGTCCTGAGTCCGCCAAATTAAATAGCCGCCAATATTTGAAATTGAGCAAATCCGCCAAATTAAGTAGAGTCAACTTAAGTGTATCTCCAGTACATACAAATTTTCAATTTGCTAAAAGAATATGAAAATCGATGATTTTAAAACCACTACTCTTAGGATGTTTTGTCCACCATCTTTAATGACTTCACATGTTAAGTAGGGCCCCATAGAAATGCTATGCATATTATTAATATTTGTGACCTTATTTCTCTAAAAATCAAGAAATTTAATATGTGTTTGTAAGAAATATTTGATGTTCAAATAATGCTTGGCTCATCAATGACATAGTCTTTATGCTATTGTATAAGCAACATGTTTGTCTGTATTTCAGGCTGTAGAGAACCCCACCTATACTGAGATACGTGACATCTGTGCATCATCGGGACTAACACTAGGGGTAGAGGTACGTACATCCTACACTTGCACCCATGCATAATTTTCAGATTTAAGTAATTACATATAACTGTATAAAGCAATAGTCATTGTATTAAGTTTGATGAATAATATTGTGAATGATTGCAAGTTCAGTTGATACTGAACAGCTTTCTGTGAATTGGAAATGAGTCATTCTTCCTTTGCTTCAATTTTTGCTTTCATTCTTCAATTTTATTACACATGATGATGACGATAGATTAGTTCATCTAATTTATATGAAATTGAGACAAAAATATTATAGACTTTTAATTCTAACTGGTTCTGCTAGTGTAATTCCTTTTAGGTATTAAGTATTGCATTGACATTGCAGAATAAAGTCTACCCACGGGAAGTTGACTCCAGAGACACACGGTTTAGGGGCAGAATTAGAGTGCAATTGAAAAATAACGATGGAGAGCCACTGCATAAGGCATTCCCTACAAGTAAGTAATAATCCAAATGCCAAATGCCCCTCACCCAATGCAGCGCAAGTAATTACCCAGACCCTTCTGTACCAACATGAGTACAAATAATAATAATAATCATTGAAATGTTCAAAATGAGGAGTGATTTGATGAAATGCTAGTTTTTCTGCTTAATTTGGCGGATCCGCCAAATTGTTAAAGTCCGCCAAATTTTATATTTCAATCGTAAAGTATGGTACATGTATATACATTTCAATATTGCAAGTCCGCCAAATTAAGTTGTGACCAAATGTTCAAAATAGCTAATCTGCCAAAATAAGTGGCACCAAATTAAGTAAAAGTACAGAACATCTTGTTTTGATTTGGAGGGATTTCTTTTAACTATGATTTATTTTTTGTAATTTTACATTTGACCCACCTTTGCAACTTAACTTTTTTCAAATGACCACCAAAATAAGCCAAAAAGTCAATAAAAGTTTCACAAAGCTTAGGGAATCAACTTGTGGGCTCATTGAATGACGCCATGGCCTGCTTTAATTATTCCTTACAATTCTCTGTTGATATAAAGCAATTGTTTGAAACAAAATGAATTTCAGAAATTTGGAGTTTCTAATGATTCATACTTCTTTTTCAGGGCAATCTGTTTTACTTCACATTGCTGAAATGATTCCTAAATTAAAATCTCGTAAGGAGAATCAGACTCCGAGCTCATCTCAACAACAGAATACAACTAGCAAGAAAGGAAAAAAAGACAAGAAAGGAAAACGATAGCATTAGAAACTATTATTATAACGTATGTGAAGAGACAAAATGAGAAATATTATAACATGTATAAAAAGTAAAAAAGGAAATAAAGAAAAAATATCAAATTAAGCAATTTGTATTCCATCTTTATGTCCCCATAACAAAATGTGGGGACATATTTTAATGGGTTTCTCCAAAAACCAGTTATAAATATCACTGGTGATCCACTCAATTACGCTGGTACCGTTTTGGTAACAAAATGTTGGAACATCGAAGGTAGAAGGTACAATTTTTCTTTTTCTAAAACATATGATACTGATACACGCGTCATGGGGATTTTGCCTACAACACGTGAAATAAGGAAAAAATAAAAATCGCACCATCTACATTCCGACATTTTGTTACCGAAACGGTTCCATTTCTGTGACCAGCGTAATCAAGCGGATCACCAGTGAATATACAACTTCAACGTTTCAATTATACTTTTTTGGTACATCTACATTGTATTGCTAGAAGATCTTGAACATATTAATTTTAAAGGTAGCAATTTAGGATTTTCTGTCCATCTGTAGTCTTATAAAAGCCAAACCATTGTACAGTCCACTTTGAGATTTTTTAGGATATGTTGTACACCATTTTGTTCATGTAAAAAATAATTTTTTCAAAAAAGGGACTTAAAGGGTAACATATATCGTTTCGCAAATCGAATGCTCGTCTCTAATGTTGCTCACCATTTAGTATACAAGAACACAAATGTGTACAATATGTCCCCACCAATGGGTGATCCCGTCTAATGGTTATCCTGAAAATGAGTAGACAAGACTTTACTGTTACAATTTTGGAACTGAAAATGCAAAATGGCCACCTTTAAATTTACCAAGAATGCTCAAAAAATTAGTCAGCTGTAGATTTTCATACTAAGAACCATCCCTGAAAATTTGAAATTGATCCGTCAAACAGTAAACCAGAAAACGCGTAAACAAGACTTTACAGACAAGATTTTAGGACGGAAAATCCAAAATGGCTACCTTGACATTTGCTCAGAATGCCTAAAAATTACAGTTCTAGATTTTCATACTAAGAATCATCCCTGAAAATTTGAAATTGATCTACCAAACAGTTCACCTGAAAACATGTAGACAAGACTTTACAGGCAAGATTTTAGGATGGAAAATCCAAAATGGCTGCCTTGACATTTACCCAGAATGCCAAAAACTAATCAGATCTAGATGTTCATACTAAGAATCATCCCTAAAAATTTGAAATTGATCTACCAAACGGTTCACCTGAAAACGCAAAGACAAGACTTTACAGACAAGATTTTAGGACGGAAAATCCAAAATGGCTGCCTTGACATTTACCCAGAATGCCAAAAAACTAATCAGATCTACATTTTCATACTAAGAATCATCCCTGAAAATTTGAAAATGATCTACCAAACGGTTCGCCTGAAAACGCATAGACAAGACTTTACAGACAAGATTTTAGGATGGAAAAATCCAAAATGGCCGACAATAAAAAAAGTGATTATAAGTTTTTGCTGATTTCTTTTTACAAAATTAGCACATATAACTACTGTTAACAATAACATAGGCTTTTACAATAAAGTACACCTGAAATTTTTTATAAAACAACTAAATAGTCTAAGTATGAAAACTCAAAAACACCATTCAATATGATACAAAGTATTATCGCACGCTAACTTTTCTTAAGACATTCAAAATGGCTGCCATGACTGGGCTAACAGGTCCAAAACCTAATCAGATCTAGAATCAAGTGGGCTGAACAGGATGTTAAAGTTTTAAAAGCAACAGTGAAGCCATTTTCTTAAAGTTTGCAGACAAGGATTTTAGCATTTGAAAAGCAACAGTGAAGCCATTTTTCTTAAAGTTTGCAGACAAGGATTTTTGCATTTGACTTCAAAATGGCCGACAGGAAGTAGGTATCGAGTTGAAACTTTTTCGTCCACATCTGTATGCACTCATAAGTTATCCCTGAAAATTTGAAAGTGATATTGGTAGCAGTTTTGGAGAAAACTGCCGGACGGACAGACAGACAGACAGACAGACGCACGGACGGACGCGCCTAGGCCGACAATATGGCCCCACACTATGTGGTGGGGACATAACCACACTATGTGGTGGGGACATAAAAAGGCCCGTTTCTGGAATACTTCTCCAGGGTTCACAGGCTCGAGGTCGTTGTGTCAACACCTCTAACTGTTATGTAGAATTAGTATATTATAGATCGTCACACATTTATAAAAGAGATATTTTTATTTTGACAAATCAATATCACATTTATGGGTGGAGTTTCATGATCTTCTATTTGTGCATACTAAGGAAAAATTGACATCTAAATTTCCCCATAACATATTAGTACACGCAGCTTGGCTTATGATTATGAAATATCCCTGAAATGACACAAATCAGTTCTAAAAGAAAGATTTATTTTGGCTGTTGTACATCCATCTTTCTCAGTAATGTTTACAGAATCATTTGTAAACTTTATCTCAAAGACAATTTCAATAAACTGGAATTTAGAAAGCTCCCCTTATTTCTTAAAAATGGACTGATCCAGATGACTCGCCTGAAGCCACTATATTGCTTTTTTACGGGAAGCTTATCGTTACCCTTTAAAAGGATGGTACCCAGGTTTAAAGAGAGAATCAGATCTAGTGAGCAGCCTCACAAAAAATTATTTCAATTTTAGAATATTTCTGGCTTATGTCTCCTTTTCATGTCTATTTTCTAAAAATCCTAAAAGTGCACTCTTTATTTCAGGAAAACTAAAGATTTTTACAATACTGTATTATTTTTCTATAAGAATGGTTACCATTCTTATTATTTGGGAGAATTTAAACATTTTTCACCCATTTTTGCACTTTGAATCCATTATAACTTCACCAATTTATGACATATGAATCTTTTGGGAGACATTGTATTTGAGATTGTAAGGAATAGATTGGAAGGTCAATTGTACATGTTACTTGTAATTTTATCACCCCCATAGATCTGATTTTGCCTTTAACCTTGAACATGTTGAATGAATCAAGATGGGCCCAAAAAAAACTTTTAGTAAATGCAACTACCGAAGCCATTTTGGCAAATAGATTAATCAAAACAAAATCCAAAGTGTCATTGTTTACTCATTCAAATGACATTGTTTTTTTCATTCATTCGATACATAAATGAAGTAAAACTTCATAATGAATTAGATCCACTTTAGGTTTAATTGCATAATTATATAAATAATTCATTACTGAAAGGCCCATAGCTGTATCATATCGTTTTAAAAAAAACAAATATAATATTTATTCATGATACAAAACTTACAGATAATAGAGAAACTCGGAAATAAACTTTACTGAAAAATTAGTCTTTTAAAAATATAAATGAATTGGCAGAATATTCAATTTGTAACTTGTACCTTGCTACTTGGTATCTACTTTTTTCAAGTTTTGATATTTTCAGGAAATAATATTAAATAGTCAAGCCTACTGATTATGTATATTAGATATATTTTTTATATTTACAGACCATCTACAATGGAGGTGACTGTTACATTTGATAACAGGAGTATTTTGAATGTACAATGTAGTTTGAAGTCTATAGTTACTGCATTTTTAAAATGCTATTTAATGGTGAGATGCACCCTTCGTGTCCTGCCATTGGTTTCCATTGTGAAATATCAAGCTTCTTACACATCTGTCCGCTGAAGATGTACTTAGCACACGTGCACAAAGTGTGTTTACTTCATTTCTGATTTCACAACATGACCATTTTGACATAATCCCGAATTATCTAGAAGTGAGGAACTCCCTGATGCCCTTGTTGTCTCTGTCCAGCCATTGTTTATTCAGAGTGATATTCTCCAGTGCCTGTTGTAGTGATCGCTCAGCAGCTGGGGCAGGGTTGGCCTTAAAGAATGCCTCCACTTCTGCAGCTTTCTCCTCAGTGATGAAGTTACAAGTTGATGCCTGCGCAAAGTAAAATTTCAATGATATTATTAACAATTCTTTGGCAGAGCACAAACCATCCTCCGATCACAGGGCTTCAAAATCCAGAATACTTCTTTCTTTTTACCCCCTGCGATAAGCAGTTAGCATTTCCCCGATTAAGAACTTGCAATTTGATTTGCTGTCGCAACATTGCAACATCATGTATACGTCAACGGCGCATAATTGGACCACCTGATTCAGTTTTATTGGGCGATTCCAAATCGGTTATAGCAGGGGGAAAGAAGGAGGTACGGATTCTGGAACCTGCTTAGGAGGATGAACACAAACTTGATCAATTATATTGTAGTAATTAATTGCATTAAGGCAGAAAGTTTTTTTGGTAGAGTTTTTTTTAAAATATGAAACATGAAAGTTCAATTAAATGGGTATTTCAAAGATGGTGCCATTTGCGGGACAAATCATTTGCCAACATGTGCCAAACTGGCACAGTTGTCCTAGAAAAAGAAAATGCAGACAGAAAATATGGCATTATTTGCGGGTCTAAAGACAGAACAGCTTTTTACAATTTCCTAATTTCTGAATTTGGGAACTACATGTAGAGATACACATCTGTACTGTCCAATTGGCTTCCTGAAATAAACAGTGAAATGTAAAGTCTTACCTTGACGAGCCTTGAGAGCAGGAAGCCTCCCTGGTAGCGCTTATATAGGATATCCCATTTGTCTTGTACAAACTGCCAGACCATCTCTCTACCTTGTTTACCACCAGCACAACCAAGTATGACAAACACTGTATCCTGAGATCTCACTTCATCCTGGAATGGGATATGGGGCAAATGGGATAATGTTATTACACATGTAAAATGAGATACATAAAATTAAAAAAAAGTACAAATCAAAAAGTGGAAAAATCAAGAAACATCTCATTTTTTTTAAAGATGCATTTCCCTTGGAAACTTGAATATAGATCTTGATATTCAACTCGTATCTTAATTTTCAAAGCATTTTCTGGATGATTTTGAAATTAATGAGAACATCATTTGTGTCTATTTTCAGAAAATGTTTAAAAAAATTTATAAAAAATTGCTACCTTGCTAGTCTTTTTTCTTATGCATAGAAAAGCAGAGACTAGATTTCAAGACTCCGAAATGTGAAATACATTCCACATTTTTTTAAGAGCCAAAGACAGTTTTCAATGTAGCTAAAGGATGGTTATATTTCCAGTGGACGTGCATTTGATCACTTAATCAGAAAAAAACCCCTGAAATGAACTTACAGTAAGAGAGAAGTCCAATACTCTGGTGATAAGACTCTCTGAGGTGACGCATCCCATAGTTCTGAGAATGCGAACCTTCTCCTCTTGTAAGTCTGTCTTGCGGAACAGCTCTAGCACTTGGTTGAACAGGTCCTCATCAGCATCTTGTAGCACAGTACTAAAGACCTGCAGCCAATGTATAAACAATTTGATTGGCATTAACTAATCAATTATAGACAATTTGATTGGCACCATTAAGTCAATATAGAGATAATCTGATATGCACTATGGAGTCATTATTTAAACAATTTGATTGGCATTTACTAATCAATTAGTGACAATTTGATTGGCACCATTAAGTCAATATAGAGACAAATGAAAAGTCAATGTGATCGGCACCATTAAGTCAATATAGAGACAATGTGATTGGTGCTAACTAGTCAATATTATATAATTTGATTGCAATGAACTAATCAATTACAGACATTTTGATTGGTACAAGTCAATATATAAACAATTTGATTGGCTCTCGTAAGTCACTATATAGACAATTTGACTGGCACTCACTAGTCAACATAGTATAATGTATAACTAGTTCATCTTGTGATATGATGGTCTTACCGGAGCCCGTAGATCAGCAGGAAGTATACTAGAGCCATCTATATGAGCTGATAATCTCTTCTTAGCCTCCTTCTTTGTCTCCTCACAGCCGCAACTGCCCAGCTGACCAATCACTACACTCCTAAGTAGGCCATCCAGATGTCCTGCAATATATAAATCAAAAGGGTTTTCTGTATCAGAGAAGCTAACTCTATTTAATGTACAAAATGGCAATTGACATGTAGTAGTGCAATTGATATGTAATCATGAAACATTAACATAGATGTTCAATGTCTAATACGCAGTCAGTTCGGGCATCTCTAACACCAAGAACTGAATAAAACATCAATCTTTGTTTATTTGAAAAATTTCTTCTGATTGTTCCAAAGCTGCATGTCGATATTGAAGTTCTACCGTCTCTTTATCTCTGGTCCAACTTAAATCATTGGGATATAAATAGAATTGAAATGTCTGACATCACGAAGGAAACAATTAAAAAATTGTTATTCTCAATGTTGTAATTCATTAATATGTGGGGAGCATGTGTGCCAAGGATCCAGAGGATTGAGTCAGTAGTATTTAAATGGCACAATCTTTGACCATAATTCTGGGTCACTATTTATGATCTCACCTTCTCCCTCTTTCTTATCCCAGCCTAAAATCTGCATCACTTTGGAGAATAGGTTCCTAGCAAAGCGTTTATATTCATCATAGTAATCTGTGTACTGTAGTATCACCTTCAATGATGCTAGGTTGGAGCTCAGATCAGACCATACTGTGTAGTTTGTTTCATTCTGGAATGCTTCAACCACCTTTAAGACATCCACTGTTGATGCTACACCAGCCCTGGCCTACATAGTAATAATCATAGTATAGGAGAGGAAGTTAATCTGTATAATCAAATCATTGATTGAGTGAGTGAAGGATGGATTATGGAATTAAGCATGTCGAGAATGGAGGCAGGGGTCAGGCCCGTAGCCAGGGGGGGGGGGGGTTCAAGCCCCCCTGGCCTCAAAATCATGCAGTTTTTCACCATTCTGAACACTTTTTAAGTGATTTTGGCCATTTTTGGACCAAAATTGTCACAAGTGAACCCCCCTGGAATTTTTCAAAAAGTGAACCCCCCTTGGCAAATCCTAGCTATGGGCCTGGGGGTTGATGGGGAGGGAGGGAGTAATTGAGCGAGAGGTGACTAAAAAAAACCTGTCAAAGGAGATAATCAAGTGAATTCCATATCATCCTTCAATAAACTTTTACTCAGGATTCACATGGATTTACCTACTGAAATATACATTTTAGGTAATTTGAAGTAAATTCCAATTCCTTGGCAGAAGTAATTCATTTTTAAGAGTGATATTATAAGTTAACCTACCAGTGCAAAAAGATCACTTTGCAGGCCAAGTCTGTCTCTGGGGGGAATTGACTGCTCCTTGATAGCAGGCAAGAGAGCATCTAACATCTCTGATGAATACTGTACACGGTAGAAGCCAACATTGCCAGCATTTAACTAAAAACAGCAAAATAATAAAATTGAAACACAAACAAACCTGAAATGAATTTAATGTGGATTTAAGTTAGCTGGTTAATCCAATTGGAAGTATTTTATAAATCAAAAAATTTAAACGCCAGTTGTCTCCATTTCATCAATGGTATTTTGGCCCTTCCAAAACCACTCCTGCCATCTATTTACCATCTAGATAGCAAATCTATTGGGCTACTTATTTCATGAGTATCTTTGGCAAAACTGCCCTAATTCATGTAACCATACTAGTCAATGGGCAAAAGGGCAAATGCCTGACTTTTTATCTCGAGTTATGGATTTATGTGACCTCACTGGCCTATCTGAGGTTCTAAAGCTATATCTAAGCTACATTTTGACACTAAACTCAATAGGGGCCAAACATCTACTTTTTGAAATAATTGGTCAATTGTGACAGTACCCCCTCTCTCTGCCGACAGAAACTGAAATTCACAAAAATGAAGGCAAAATTAATACGCCACTTGATTCGAAATTTTCCTTCAGATAACCCAAATAAACGCATTTTCAGAAGAAATGGCATGTTGTCATTGCAAAAAGATGACAACCGTGCCTACATACTAGCTTACTGACTCGTCATGATCACAATTGTGTTGGGAGTACATTCATTTTTGATAGCTACTTTTTTCTATTCAGCGGAAGTGACGTATTAGGGCAGTTTGGCCTCTTGTAAAACTTAAGTTTAGTTACCTTGACCCATTCCCCTTCTTTGACATTCTCCAGGGTGAGTGTGATGGTTGTTTGGTCCATGAGGGCTCTGTGAGCAACAATGTCAGGATTACTTGAGGTGGATACACTGATAGGTACCATCCACGTAGAGCTTGAGGCATCCCCTGAACCACCATCAGCACAAAACTTTTCCTGAGTGATGGTCAGTACTCTGTTGGACCCTTGCTGAACCTGGCTCACCTAGACATATTCATTTACATAATCAGCGTTTTCACAAGGCTTTTTGTGCATGATTTAAATTTTAATGGCCCTTGGGATTTAGAAGTTGAAAGGAAGATGTCAATGAATTGTAACTATTTATAAACTCTTTTCATCAAATGCCCTCAATCAAAATTGCAACTCTCTCTGGTGTCGTTCAAAATTGCAACTCTCTCTGGTGTTGTATATTCTTAGAAAATGTATAGCTTTGTTGATTTGTGAGTCTTGGCTTTAAACATTGATATGCACGTAGCTTGAATCTTCTATCACAGATAGTACATACAGAAAAAATGTCTCTGCCAATCATAATATATACCTGTACTATAATATATACTACATATTCATCCTTATTTTGAGTCTTTAACATAAAATCCAGCTCTGACCTTGAGAACAGGGAACCCCATCTGATTGGTGAATCCAGACATGATTTTGTTGATAGGCTTGCCACTCGACTGTTCTAGAGCGGCCCAAAGATCTTCAGTGAAGGCATTTTGGTGTTTGAACTTGTTCAAGTACAGGTTCATCCCTTTACGGAAATCCTACAACATAAGAATTGATTGTCCAATTATGAAGTTGGAAAGAATTTTTTTTATTTTTTCTGAGCTATCAGGTCAATATTTGGCTTAAAATATTCTTTGACATACCTATTTTCTTAAAATGTATGTACAGGGTGATCATTAAGTTCTGGGAATTGGTCTGCCATTTCAAGATTTCTCAACCATTTGAGTTGAAATTTTCAGCAGGTGTTCATTGTATAATTCTGAATTGACAAGCAATATTTCATAAACATATCACATCTACAATTTATTTTATTGTAATTACAAAAAAAGTGAAAGTGGTTTGCGGGTCAGCAAATTTTGACTGATGTTAATTTGAAAATTTCCTGCCAAAACATATTCATCTTGCTTAGATGGTTGCTTCAAACAACCTGTACTAGAGGCAGAACAGTACTCCTGAAGTCATTTATTCAGAAATATTCTTCATTGCTGAGAGGATCATTTCATTTATGATTGTTTTCATTAGCCTTGGACGCATATGTGTTGTTGACAAACTTAGTCCATAAAGATGTGTTCCAGTCCTCCCTTTGGTATCCCTTGAAGATTTGCTCAAGCCGTTGAAATCAGTCCCTTATTGGAATCAAACTTATGACCTCTCATATAATGCTTTAGCACCCAAAATGTAGTGAAGCCTAATGGTGCTTCATCTAGTGAATATTGTCTGGTGAATATGGGGCAGTAATAACTTGTGTGAACCCTAATTCTTCAAGAGTAGTATGGGTAGCTTGAGTAATGGAAAGGAGCATAGTCATAATGGAAGATAACTCCCCGCTATTTTTAGTCATGATTGTTACTTTGAGATGCTGATGAATGATACAAAAATAGAGCAAAGTACACTCTTATATAACAATAAAGATGTTACTTTAGAAATTTAAGTTAGAAGTATTTGAAAATATAAAAAATCACAGAAATATGTCCACCAAATCGATATTTATTAACCATACTTTTGGATCAAGCAAAATTTGAATTCATTTTTATTTTACTTGACCCGCTATGCCATTTATCATGTTGCTATAGTAACAATAATTATCCATTGTGACATCAGATGACAATGAGACTGTTTTATCCAATCCAAAATTACATTCCCCATTTACCTTGAAAATTTCAAGTAAATTGGTTAAAAAATAATGAAATGACAGATAAATTCCCAGAACTTAGTGATCACCCTGTATAAACTATCAATTTCAGCATTAAGAAGTGTAAATTCAGTTCAAAGCATCTATAAAGGGAGTCCCTGTTATAAATTTTTAAGATCCACCACATTTCAAGAGGAATATCAGCTGAAATAATGTTCATTGAGGGGGTTTCTTTGTAGATGATGAAAATATGTGTTAGTCTTGATGAAATATCCAAACTTATTACCAAATTTATTTTGACACCGGTTGATAATCATTGAATGACCCCTCTGAAATAATTGTTGCACCTTTAATCTGATAAAAATATCAATTTGAAATTGAACTCAGGTGAAAATAAATTACCTTGTCTCCTACATAATCATGTAACATACGGATAACAGATGCTCCCTTGCTGTAGGATATTGCATCAAATATCTCGTCAACTTCTGCTGGATGACCAACTGGTACCTGAAATGTCACACAATAGAGAGCTTTATAGCGTCAAAAAGCAACATGGCATCAATATGCAAAATGTTACATGCCGAATGCCGACAAAAAAAAAAGTTAGAGTCCATAACAATATGTCCTCGAGTTGAGGTAAAAACTATATATCACGCCTGGTAATCGGACAAAATGGAGGAGGGGGGTGGAGGGCAATTTCTGCAAGAAAATTCAACAAATCTGGAATATTTATTTTTTCAAGAGAGAAAGTGACAGTGAAAGGACTTACCTCAATAGGGTGACTACTCTTCATTGCATCTAGCTCCAGTGCTTTATTGAGATCTTGTGAGTTGAACTGTGTCCATATATCATACTCAGGGAAACAAAAGTCTACACAGAGGTATTCTATCCACGAAGCAAAGCCTTCATTCAGCCACAAGTGAGTCCACCATTCCTGGAAACATTATATGAGAAAATGAAAAAAAATATCTGATTTTATTATTAGTAAAGTACAAATTATCATATGTGCTGTTAATTATTCAAAAACATTCTAGATTTGCATTATCTCCGAGATACATGTTACTATCAATTGTAGTAGTAATGGTTCCAGGCCTGATCACGATGGGTAGTGTATCACCAGAGCCACCTATAGCTCACTTACCATGGTGACAAGGTTTCCAAACCATTAATGGGCCAGCTCATATCCTACAACCAGAGCCACCTCTAGTTTACTTACCATGGTCACAAGGTTTCCAAACCATTGATGGGCCAGCTCATATCCTACCACCAGAGCCACATCTAGCTCACTTACCATGGTGACAAGGTTTCCAAACCATTGATGGGCCAGCTCATATCCTACCACCAGAGCCACCTCTAGCTCACTTACCATGGTGACAAGGTTTCCAAACCATTGATGGACCAGTTCATATCCTACCACCAGAGCCACCTCTAGTTTACTTACCATGGTCACAAGGTTTCCAAACCATTGATGGGCCAGCTCATATCCTACCACAAGAGCCACCTCTAGTTTACTTACCATGGTCACAAGATTTCCAAACCATTGATGGGCCAGCTCATGTCCTACTACCAAGGCAACCCATTGTTTACTGGCAGAAGAAGAGTTGACAGGATCCACTAATAGAGCAGTCTCTCTGTATGTTACCAAGCCCCAGTTCTCCATGGCACCTGAAATAGGGCAGAACTTCTGTAAATAATGTCTTCATCATTTCATGTGTTACCATTCCTATTAAATGCATATACAGTGTACATGTATGTAAAGTCTTTATTAAATCATCTCAATGAATGATTTATTGATTACTTCACACTGGCGGATCCAGAAGCTAACAAGGGGCCCACATTTTGAACATATGAGACCCATTTTTTGATCATTTGGCCATAAAAAGGCCAATATATGCCAATAAAGGCTCACTTTTTGAGGTCCAACCAAATTTTTGGGGCCCTAAAAAAGTTTTCTGGGCCCGCAAAAGGGACGGGGGCTCCCCCTCCCCCTCTGGATCCACCAGTGCTTCATAGGTTCATATTTGTCTAGTAATTGATCTCTTTTCTAATTCTTTCCCTTAAAATCATTTCATTTCCATTTTAAAACATGAGAATTAATACTGTACCCTGGGCCAGATTAAAGGTACATTTTTGTGATATCTACGCAGTATCATATTTACATAGACATCCATACTTGTTTAAATGCTGACATAAATTTCGAAGTTCTAAATATTTCTAACTGTATGGTCCAGGGCAGTTACTATATACTGTAGTTACTAGTTAGTATTTGAAACAAAATTTTGTTGATGGGTAAATGTGGGCCATGTCTCAATTTGATCCATTTTCTGCGTGAATTTAATGTGACAGTCTCCCACCTGCTGCAAAATCTGCTATGGCAATAAGGTCCATCTTGGGCAGTGGGTATGCTATTTGGAAGTACTCCTTGTAAAAGGGCAGAGTTTTAACGGCAACCTGCAAAAAAATAGGATGTGTCTTAAAGCACATGCCAAATGACATTATAAATGTAAACTAAGAGGGAACCAGGCAACTTTATTTCTTAGAATCATGATGATAATTGTATATAGCTATCCCAGGAGCTATCCTCATGTACTGTACAATTCTTGACTATATATTTTGTAACTTATCCTGGCACTATTCAACAGAAGGCTGGACATATTCAAATCCACTCAAGCAGTAGTACTGTAAATATCATCAAAGGGCACGTTAGAGAGTAAAATATCACAAAAAAGGATCATCATCAAAAAAAGCATCAATAGATGAGCTCACATTGTGCTATATGCCAATTTCATTCACAATTGATCTGTCCATTGATGCACAACAGCCTATAGAACCTACCTCTAGTGCAAACTGTCCCTGTTCCTGTTTGCCTACAGGTGTATAGACCCTCACAAGGACACCATCAGCATCTTTAGCCTCCACATAGTCATATTCTCCCACACAGTAAGCCAGCAGATAAGTTGACATGACAGGAGTACGCTCATAGCTCAAAGTCTTCAGCTCTCCTTCAACACTTTCACTCTTCACTGGCTGCAGTTATACAAAGCAACATGAGAATTGAAACACGAATATGGCTATATCATCAGTGAACTCCCCAGGATTTTTCCTCAGGTGGGTTCAAAATTCTCACTTTTCACAATTCAGACCAAAATTTGGCAAAATATGCCAATGTTTTATGATTTTTCTCATTTTCAAGTGGGTGCAAATGGATTTTCAGGTGGGTGCAAGTCTATTTTCAAAATCTCAGGTGGGTGCTGCGCCCACTTGCTTTAATGCTGGGGAGATCACTGATCTCTAAATCATCATTTTGCATTTAAAACCTGTTTAATTCAACTATGAATTTACATGTACATGTACAATCAAAGTTTTGCCACTAATTAACACAGACTGAAATCAATAAAAAGTTTTGGGAGTTACCATGTTTGAGAGGGCAACTCTATTACTTGGAACAGTCAGTGTCACATCAAAGGTTGCCTTCACTGCAGGTTCATCCCAGCAAGGAAATGATCTCCTTGCATCAGTGGCCTGCAACATAGAAAGTAAATATTGTGTATATGGAGTGCTGAAGGCAAACTATTTTCCCTTTCGTGGTTTGCTCTTTAATCAAGAAGGTACGAAAATATGTACTTAAAAAGCTCTCAAAAAGGACAAAGATAACCTTGACCTAGATAATAGCGACGCATATTCTTTGGTCAACTGCTGTTGTTTGATGGTTTTCAATGTATCTCTATAATGCAATTTGGAACCTTATAAGTAAAATCTTTCGCCTCTCCTCTTTTGAAGAAGAAACCACGAATACGAGAATTGTGATGTCCTATATACTGACACATTGCCATGTCATTTGAACAAGGGATTGCGTTATCCTTGTTTTCTGGATACAAAACATCAAAATATTGATTCAAAGGTAAAGCACCCATGCATCAAGTTTCTGGTCCCGAAATACATAACATTAACCTCCCAACTAGAAGCAGTGTACATTAATGGAAAGACGGAGTCAAGGACCCAATGCAGGACAACTCAATACAATATGACTTGGGTGCAAATATAAGGAAAGAATTACCTCAAACTGTGTGACTGCTCCATACCTCTCATCTCCCGATGGACCAAAGTACTTGCTGCGATAAAATCCCTTCATCTTATCATTCAATTCGCCAGTGAACTTAATCTTCAGGGTGCCACTTCCAACCTACAAGTCAAAATAGCAAAATAAGCTAACTACAGTATAACACATATTACTTTGATATTCTCTCTGCACTTTAATATTGGGTTTTATTTCTATTCTGATATTATGTGTAATATAAACAATTTCATATGAGTGACAGTCCCACAAGTTTTACAGAAATATTTCTCAAGTGTTTTTGTAAAGTGTGTCTTAAATGAAAAATCATTATAATAAGATCAAGTATGATATTCAAATTCAAAGAAGAACAAAGTCAACTCTTAGTCACGCGATTTTTGTGGGTCCACCTAGTAGTGTTGTTGCGATGTGCCATAATCGTACATCGATGCATCGGCAATTTTCAGTAGTAAACATCTATGCACATCGCAATGTACATCGAGAAAAAGTTCGAGAAAAGTGCACTAAAATACCGAACAGAACAAATTAATAAGAGTACGCTGGTACATCCGGGAACTTCTAGTAACTGTGAAATGAAAGTAAAGTACATTTTTTAGATTAATGGTTCATTTCGACAAGCTAAAACAGTTTTAAAGCGAAAGAATATCAGAAAACATTTGAAAATGAAATAAGACATGAAAAAATATAAGCAAATTGCGTCAAAATAAGATAAGAAAGGGCGATTTTTAGCAAATTAAATTTTTTTAAAAACATCGATGTTTCGTTTCAGACATCGATGCATTGCCAGAACCAGCTTTGGCGATGTATATTGCGATGTATCGATTAATTGCGACAACACTACCACCTAGTGGACTTATTGATTCTCCTTTAAAAAGTTAGTTCAACCATGGGCTTTCAACTAGATTTTAGTTCTGTTGTATCTACCTTCAGTTCTTGTGGAAAGTTCAGAGTTATTGTTTCATCTTCCTCTTGGTATGTTACATCAACTCCTTCTGTAATATCTGAAGGTAAACCAACCATAACTTTATTATATAGCTTAAACCAAAATTGGGATAACATAGGCTCGAACAGACTAATGAACATGGTTAAATAAAATCCTCCATTACTCAGAGGGTCATTTTCAGAGGAACAGACCTATCTGTATCCGCGAAATATGTATTTGTTTTTTTCCTTTCACATATCTGTTTCAGATAATATCACACCAGCAAAACATACAAAATGCATGGAAGAGATCATATGTGGCAATCCTCTTTTTTCATTAAAATTCAAGAAATCTTCAAGATATATTTTTTCTCATAGTAAAGTTTGCAATTCAAAAGGCAATGAATACAGGGTGTTCAAAAAAAACGCAACCCAAAGAAATCGCTATATCTTCGAAAATACTAATGCAATTATGTTCATTTTTTCAGGAAAGAAAGAGGAGACTGTGTATGTATAGCCCCTGTAGTTGGTTAGTTATAAAACATGATGCCTTAGACACCTGCTCAAAAGACATTTGTATTAGAGATATACGAAAAACGCAGTCAGGGGTGACTGCCACAGCAATAAAACCGAATAACTTTCTAATCATAGTGGTTTAGCTCTTCAAATTTGCCACAAATCATCTTCATTCAAAGTATGGTTAATCTGTAAAGTGAAATCAAAATCACCCCAGGGACTTTACAGTTATGGTCAAAATGCGTTCAAAATGCAGTCATAACGCCCTGGTTCAGGCAGACCTAAGAAGGTGTTTTGACCATGACTGTAAACTCCCTGGAGTGATTTTGATGAAACACCACAAATTCACCACACATTAAATGAGGATAATTGGTGCCAAATCTGAAGTGCCAAAACACTATGGTTTGAAAGTTATTCAGTTTTATTGCTGTGGCAGTCACCTTTGACTGCTTTTTTCGTATCTCTCTAATACTAACGTCTTTTTAGCAGGTGTCCAAGATTTCATGTTTTACAACTAAATAACTACAGGAGCTCTACATACACAATCTCTTCTTTCTTTCCTGAAAAAATGAGTGCAATTGGATAAGTATTTTCCAAGATATAGCGATGTCTTTGGGTTGCGTTTTTTTTGAACACCCTGTATTTACATGTATTACTGGTCATGTAGACCCTGAATGCTTGATTCATAGCGAACAGTTTGACTTGTTTCAATATATTTCAAAGTGCTTAAAAAATGAAAGAGACGGATGGCCATGTGGATAGAAGATCAACATTAGATATGTGGTGGAAGTATAGCATAAGATGAGGTGTTCTTACCTTGGCCCTCTCCAGTGTATTGGACAGATTGAACTGCAATCTCCACACTGTTCATCAAAACCTTTGATGTTGCATTCTTCACCTGTTAAAATGTATAAAGGGTAAAAGCTCTCAACCAACGAAGTAAATGCTGGGTTCACATACTTAGGAATTATTTACTATATTTGCACATAGCCATCTTTAGATTGATCAATCTGGAAATGGCTATGTGCAAATATACATGTAGTAGGGAATTATCATCATTCCATCAATATCATTATTCCCACGGACAGGATTGGAATGATTGACCCAATTTCACCAGAACGTTCAAGTTCGCCACAACGTTCAATCTGTGATTATTTTGACTTAAAAATTGCAACCCCTTTATTGGTGTAATATTATTGTCTTTACATGGATCCTTGACATGTATCACAGGAACTTGTATCAACACCTGACATCGATTGGTGGCCCAACCTGGAAGAGTAATACCCAGACTACACTGTATAGACTATATAGACCTAGAATAGAAGCTCATTCTATTTCAGGTTTGGTAACAGATCTAGATGTCAGGTGTTGACTGTTGATACAGGTTCCTGTGACATGTATTGGAGTGACTTACATGTACACTGCCATAAATCTGAAGCAAAAAATCAATGCAAATCACGGTGCAAATCAATGAAAAATCAAACCCATATTTACATGGGGGTACTGTCACATATCCAAATCTCTTTCGAACTAAACTTTTCTTGTGGAAGAAGGTGAGTTATGTATCATGTTTGACAAACATGCTGCTAAATGCCGCTAGGTAAGTGGATTGTCAAAAATATCTAACTTTTTTTTTAGCTCAGAATCAGATCACCGGCTGTTGGATAAAATAATTCTAAACTCAAACCTGCACTGAAATATCTTCTTCTCCCTCAAATGTAAACTTTTCAATGTTTGGTATCAGTCTAAGGTCGTAATTGACAGGTGACACATCATTTGGAAGACGCTGAAATGGCTTCTTTTCTGGCATTTTGGAACTTTATCTTTGTAAACTACCGGTTCAATGGCGGAACACATGAAACACAAACTGCAGACAAACACAATGGTCAGTGCAAACACCTTCATTTAGAGGAGATTGTTTATTGGATTGAGTATTCAACATATCCTATTTTATCAAAGTTTCCGATATTTTAAATGATGAAAATAATAATTACATGTAGTTGTACAAAATAGAGTATTAACTGCTACTAAATTGGTATTTTCGAATTACTCGGTATAGCGAATAAAGTGTTCTCGATCAGAAAAGAATGTGGGAAAGTTTGTTTTCTACATTCTGGTAAGTTTGTTTGTTTATACCGTTCTTTAGGTAGTTTAAAACCACCAACTGCATTCTCTGGCTTGTGTCATATCCACATATTCCGGCCAGATAGTTTTGTAGTAGCATCAGTTGCTCAATGACGTTTCTTCAAAATAACCAACATAACAATTTTTGAATCATAAAATAATGAGTGGAGAACATAAATAAACCTCCACCATCAAAAGTTGTCACAATGAGCTAAATTCTAAGTTTCGTGTCTCAAACTCTCCCAAGCGGGAGAAGAATAATTCCCATTGACTTTAAGTAGCACAATAAATGAATCCAAAGCTTCCTACCTGCAAATGATGGATAAATCCCTACCAAAACGAACAAATGTTTTCATGAATAGCCATGTTTATGATCCAGGGAGGATTGACTCCCAGAATGCAACATCAGGTAACCTTATTTACTCGTGACAGATTTCAAAATGGCGGAACGGCATTTTGAAAGCTGACACATGTCATGTTGCATTCTGGGAGCCAATCCACATTGCCGCGTAATCTGGCTCAAAAATCACCTCAACATTTGAAAAGTCGGCGTTACCATGTGAATTCCACTTCATATTTTGAAGTTCTTATTTGTCATTATGGACACGAATTCCACTATATCTGGACTTACTAGGACGGAGAAAATAGAGCACTGAATACACTGAGGTAAGAATTTATTACATGTGCGACAGCATGTAATTTCCATAGCTTTTGTAATTCGTTATGGTGAGCACTGTACCTGCAAATGATGGATAATTTCCTACCAAATCGAACGAATGTTTTCATGAATCGCCATGTTTGTGATCCAAGGAGGATTGATCCCAGAATGCAACATCAGTTAACCTTATTTACTCATGACAGGTTTCAAAATGGCGGAACGGTATTTTGAAAGCTGGCATGTGTCATGTTGCATTCGGGGAGCCAATCCTCCTTATGGCGTAATCGGGCTCCAAAATCACCTCAACATTTGAAGAGTCGGCATTAACATGTGAATATCCACTTCAACTTTTTAAGTTCCTATTTGTCATTATGGACACAAATTCCACTATATTTGGACTAACTAGGACGGAGAAAATAGAGCACTGAATACACTGAGGTAAGAATTTATTACATGTGCGACAGCATGTATTTTTCATAGCTTTTGTAATTCTTTATGTTCCCCACTGTAACAACAACAATTAATTAATTAATTAATATATTTATTGGGTTGTCAGGCATGGGTAGCCAATTCAGGCTATTTTATTATGAATATGAGGCATTAATGGCAGAATAATATCTACATGTATGGGGATGACAAAATTACAAGCAACATGTTCAAACATGGGCTTTCAGCATGGTACAATTGACCATGGGCTTTCAAGAGAAAGCCCATGAATTGACCTACCAATCTATTCCTTGGAACACTACCTAAGGTTTACATATATTTACAACCCTAGTACCTTTCACTCTACCTTTATTCCTATTGTAATCTTCACCCAGATCGCCTTAGAATGGAGGGGAAAGTTGGGACCATCAGAAGGCTTGATGAGACAGTTGTCAACAGGATAGCCGCAGGGGAAGTAGTGCAAAGGCCAGCAAATGCTTTGAAAGAGATGCTAGAAAATAGGTGAGTCACTGGGAATTCAAAGAGGTGACTATTACTTATAAAAGTGCATAAGAAGGTTATATAGGCCTTGTGCAAACAGTAAAACCTATATATTTGAGCACATCTCTAGGTTCTAACCCAAATAAAACACCTGTCAATGTTCATGCTTTTTTCTGCCGTTTTTAGTGTGCCATCAATTATCATATGTTTAAGAACCTCAATATCTGAATCAGACAGGTTTTTACTGAACCTTGACATGTACTGTAATTGCTTTTTAATTATCTATTATTTAGTCTTGATGCAGGCTCTACCAACATCCAAGTTGTTGTGAAACAAGGAGGACTGAAGTTCTTACAGATACAAGACAATGGCTCAGGCATCAAGGTAATCTACTACTGTATACTACTGTATGTGGTCAGACAGTATTCCTAATGTTTTGTTTATACAGTGTATGTGTAGCCTAGATTCATCTTTTTCACAAAAATAGTAGACCAGGTGTTCAGGCAGTATTACAGACATTTTGTTACCAATATTTAAGCCTGTGGTAATAAACAAAATAGAAACATTGTATCCAACTGAAAATAATTAAATTGGATTGTGGATTGATCAATTATATTATAGTAAAGAAAAACGATATTATCATTACATCAATATCACAGTGAGCATAACTACCCAATGTAAATCGTTCTGGACTTGTTTTTCACAACCATTTGGACTCATTTTGTGGGGGAATGAGATGAGACATTCATTTTTATCGGCATTAAATAGCAAAAATGCCAGAAATATGCTCTAAACCTGCATACGTGTCATTTAACTAGGTTTAAACAAAAAATATAATTTTATAACGTGGAACAATATTCACTATAATATTTTAAGTATCTGTACCTTCAATTTGCCATAAATGACCGAAATGTACAAAGTGGAGTTAACGACGGTGAATGGTCATTGGAGAGGTTTCGGTATCCATTTTCAGGCGAACTTATACTGCAACTTCAACTTTTAAATGACGAAAACCCCACTGGGGAGGAACATTTCTCAAAGATTTCTCTACATGCCTTCTGCCCCTTGAAAGTATCAAGTAAAGTACATGTATCTGTATTGATTCCATAATTCAACCTTGACATGTATCTCTTAATGCATTTAATTAATGATGATAATCATTTAGTTAGTATCACTCAGACAACTTCTTCCACTGTCCTCATCCACTGTGATGATTTGTTGGAAATATATAATGTTTATGGAGCTGTTCCAAACTTCCAAATGGTTCAACCTCAATGTGTTCTACGAGGGGTGATCAATAAGTAATGGACGCTTTTTTACACAGATACTTTTTCTAAACCAATCCCTTTGATTTTCCTTCCAGTGATACATCATTCAATTATCTATCAATTCTGAAGTTTGTAGACAAAATATATAATTTATGTCGATATGTCCTTAATTCTGTGAAGGAGGTACAGGTACCCCGGGACCGACATTTACGTCACATATTCAGTTTTTAGCCAGTTTGGCTTTCAGTTAGATTTGAACTTTTTATATGCAACAAGTGTTGTGTAGTTTGAAATTTTTTGCTGACTGGTAACACATAAACAGAAAGTATTGTGATGTCAGAGTGTTGTATGGAAGGGGTCTGCAGGTCAATTTGAGAAAGCATTGTTGAAGAAAGGGGTGGTGAATGAAGGGAACACCCTACTCCATATGGACAATGCACCTGCCCACAGATCTAAAAATGTTCAGAAAACAATATCCCTGCACCTCAAAATTGAGCCCTTGGCCAATGCACCATAGTGTCCAGATCTGCTCACATGTGACTTATTTATTTCTAGTCTACTTATTTCTTTAGAGAAAGGATGCAGGTTTTTTGCCCTTGATGAAATAAAACAGCCCATGCAACTGCATCTTGCTACCATGTCAGAGAATGGATTCAGCCTTGTCTCACAATCTTGAGTTAAGAGGATGAGGAATTGTGTACATGTAGTACTTGATGGAACCTATGTAGAGGGCCCTGTGGAATGAATGTGGCATGACCATATAGTGATGATAAAATATTCAAAATCAACTATGGCATTACAAAATGGTGTAATTCATACCATAATGGTATTTGTTTTGTTCAGCCTGCATTCAACTGCATTGCATGTTAAACAAGCTAAAATAGCTTCAGAATGTTTGACGCCATGTCGGTCTCGGGGTACCTACACATCCTTCATGGAAATAAAGATATATCAAAATATATTACATGTTTTATTTTCAAATCTTCAGAGTTGATAGATAATTGAATGATGTATCACTGGTAAGAAAATCGAAGGGATTGGTCTATAAAAAGCATCTGTGTAAAAAAGCGTCCATTACTTATTGATCACCCCTCGTACAAGTCAGAATCGTTCCAATAACAAGTCAACATCATTAACTGGAATATTTTGGTCACGTCCAAATGGTTAAATCTAAAAAAGATTCTTTCTACAACTGCTGCTTATTTGAACTCTTTTAAATCGTGATTGAATGATGAATCGGTGTATTCATTGGATACAAGACAGGCTAGTGATTTTCAGGCAAAATACCTAGGTAAAAACACTGACAGAATCGCTCACTTCCCGAAATAGCAAAACTATAGCAAATGGTTCGTACAAACATGGGCATTCAATCTAGTTGAATGCCCATGGTACAAATAACGTGTTTGCGGGTGCCTGAAGTTAGGATATAAAGTATGGTAAGTGATTTAAATCCAATATATAAAGTCAAATGAATGCAATTTCATAACAGAATATACACCTCCCTCAACACTTTTCTATAAATCGAGTCCAAATGGTTGTGAAAACGAGTCCGGGACGATTTACTTTGGGTAGTATTTGGCACCGTAAACATGTACATAATCTATTTTTTTCAGAAAGAAGATCTAGATATTGTATGTGAGCGATTCACAACAAGTAAGCTTGAAAAGTTTGAGGATCTTAACAGTATTGCCACCTATGGGTTCAGAGGGGAAGCTCTGGCCAGTATAAGTCATGTGGCACATGTCACTATAACCACAAGGACATCACAGTCTAAATGTGCTTATAGGTCAGTATGAAAATACAGGTATAGTATATCCCTCCTCCAAATTCAGAGCTCCAGAGTGACTTTGTTTGTCTGTTTTGTCTGGAGTCCTGTATTTGGAGGAACTTTTTAAAATATAACATCTGATTCTATCTATGTCAAAACAAATAAGCTAAAGACAAATCAAACACTATGTGTTTTCATTGTACTATTATCATTGAGAATTTCATAGAATTAGTGTGTTTACCATGAGATACAATATATTGTTAAAGGGTTAGTTACTGGGATATGTTTTGATTGTTACAATGATAGTTACTGTCATGTATATCAGTGTTCTCCACAGGATTTTTCACAAGTGGGTGCAAAATTCTCATTTTCGCAATTCAAACCAAAATTGGTTGAAATATGCCCATTTTTCATGTTTTTCGTTATTATAAGTGGGTGCAAATGGATTTTCAAGCTCATCTCAGATGGGTGCTGCACCCACTTGCTTTAATGCTGGGGAGATCACTATATATTATCGCTATGTTACAGGGCTAGTTACTGTGATAGTAAGCTGAAGGCCCCAGCCAAGCCATGTGCTGGAAATGTTGGCACACAAATCACAGTGAGTAACATAACCAACCATTAAAATATAGAACTCCACTCTGCCCATATAATTACACACATTTATTATCCTCAATATTCAAATGTGTTGAGTTTTGTTTTGTTTTAAAAATCTTGAAAGCCCAAGTCGGGGTTATTCTGTTACGAGTGTAGAAATGGTTTTTTTATTAGTACTTTAGTGTCCTTTATTCACGGCAGTACCTACATGGCCTATTATTTCCAACTAAATGATTGTGATTTGGTGTTATGGTGCTATTGACACAAGCAAAATTTATAAGCATTGAGAGTTACGTCGGATGAATGAAAGGGGATAAATGTCCAAAGTATTGCACTTTACCAAACATTTAAATCTAGATTGATGAAAAAATATTTGTTTTAGGTGGAAGACTTGTTCTATAACGTAACAACAAGAAGGAAAGCTCTGAAAAGTCCCTCTGAAGAGCATGCTAAGATATATGAAGTGGTCAGTAGGTAAGAGTTTCTATATATCAATCACCTAGAAATAGAAATCATTTATGTTATTTAACAAATGACCACACACTCACGATCATCATATGATTTGTAGTCATCTGTAAATTCGCTTTGTAAGAGTATATGTGTACAGCCCTCAACCATACAGCATTTAGAGAAGGGTTTGAAGTAAGCTCTGAAACTTAACATGCAAACCTGGTCTATGATTAAATGTTGATCAGTAATTTAGTGTCTAATGATGTACAGGGTCTAATGATGTACATATATATACAGGGTGTCCAATAAATAAGGTGAAAGATATTGTAACTTTCTTAACATTACACCAATCTTGATGAAATCTTCAGAGTTTGTAGCCCAAACCTTTTTACCTTTATTCTGTGAATTTAAATTGTCTTTTATTTGATTGGCCAGAGTTGTGGTTGCTATAGCAACCGAAACAACAAAAAGGCGGGTCAAGTTTGTTTACGTCACAACTTTCAAAAACATATTTATTCTTTTTAATAGCTTTATTCATACTCCCAGGTCTATTACTACCACAAATACAATAAAAAAACAGTCGTAAAGTCCCATTGTTATGAAAATAAGCTATTCAACATAATGTCCATCTCTAGCTATACACTTCTTAAGCCTACTCACCCACTCTCTGAACACATTTTCAAACCCATTCTTGCCCATTTTTTGAAGTCTTGCTAAGACATGTGATCTGAGTTCACACGCAGCTATGCTCACTGGTGAAACTATTAAGGCACTGGGGCTACCCCTACTTGCACACCCTCCATATTCCCCAGACCTTGCACCAAATGACTTTTACTTATATGCGTGACTTAAAGGGAATGCGAAGTTTTGTCCCTTAAACTTGATAATAAGTTAGAATAAAGATACATCTTTCAATCCAACTTCGTTTTATTGTTCTATCATTATCCTTTTAATTGTTATTGAGCCCCGGGTTTTGCATATGAACTGGACCACGGAGCTGCCATTTCAACCGTAAAGTGGTTCTTTACGACATTGTTATGACGTCATTGATGCCAGATTGATGCCTTGGCATTCCAAAAGTTTTGTGGCGCCATTTTTGAATCAAAAAATGAATGCCGAGTTCTTGCCATTCCAAAACCAAATAAATCATTTTAAAGGAACTAAAAGAATACGTATATACCACCCATTATAAAGAACGATTTCAATAGAATATTAATGCCGGCATTTTTGGAATTGCTTTTTACCTATCTAGACATGGAATGCAGGTTACATTTATTCTTTATTTACACTTGAAACAATCTGGGATTCGTGACTTTTTAACTTTTATTAGGTATAGCGCTAAATGCACACAGAGAATGCTAATTCTATCAGGCGAATGCAAACAATTTGAATAAAACATAATAAAATTAATTCAACCAACCCATCTTGAATTTCCAACAAGAATGCAATCTCGGTGATGATTTAATTTGCTAGTCTCATTACAAAATATGTGTTCGTACTTTAGTATTCATTGCATTTATGTTTATCTTTAACACAAGTATTCGAAGAAATTTTTAAAATTAAATTTTAAAACCGTATTCAATTACTATCATGGATTCTTAGCCTCACGTCACATTTTTACGGAGACCGTACGGTCTTTCATTTCTGTGGTGGGTTTCTACGGTTGCCTTAGTATTTCTGCAGTCAGATAATTTAGCAGTAACATTTGCTAAGATAGCTGTACGGCGTATATTGATTATGAGGAAAAACTACGATTCCGTACGGCTGATAAATGATGACGCACGATCAGCGTAGGGAGGCCAAACGATGTGCATAGTTTTTCTTGAAGGCATTCACAAGGGGTTCTATGGTTCGGAAAGGTCAATTGTAACCTATAAAATCCAATTGGGCAGCCGCAAGTCGACCGTGAATCCGACGTAAAAACTGGATATGCCGTGTACGTAGACCGCAAGGTGACCTTAAGTCGACTGTAGTTTTCATATGTTTGCCGCAGAAATTTACTGATTTCAGGGAAATACGATCGACGTGTGGTCGCATTGAGCAAATGTGACAGAAGCTTTTAAAGTTCCACTTATTTTCCGATATAGAAAAACAAAAGGTTGTATGCCATAAAATTGAAAATCATTATTTGAAAAATACTGTAGAACTGTACTTACCACGGATGTTATATAATAAATTCGAGCTCGAAATCAGGAATTGTTTTTAACAAAAAATAAATATATAATAAAATAAATATTAAAATATTGGCGTACTATCAATACGGCAATCGCCTTATCGTCGTTGAAATGAAATACCATACTACAATCGACCCTATCGTCTCCCCCGCACCATTGAATGTTATGAGCCTTCTCTTGACAATACCATTGAATTTTGAAAAGCTTTTTTGCCATATTGAATGTCGCTATTACGGTAATATGATGATTGAAATTGGTCGTTAAACAACTGAGAAAACTTAAACATTACGTATTGTTCTTTGAAAATATGACAGTGGTATGTCCTTGTAAAGCTATTGTCAATCTTGATATTTAGGAGAATGACATTTACATACATATCATTTAGACGACGTCGATTTTTCGTTTTTTGTTTGAGTTTTTCATCAGAATTTAAATGGTTAAACACTTTAGGGAGTTACTGTTTCATTGGATTACTACTTTTAGTTTTATTTCTTTCATTCTCCAATATGCACCTATTCATATTTGAATAGAATACTACAGATTGAAGAAATCTACCATTTATGATTAGTTAAGAAAGCGGCAGTATGCCTATTTGCCGACGTATACCTTATCATTATATAAAATAATTCTAGTGGATATTTTTCAAGTGGAATATAATGTGATGACTTTTCAGTCAAAACCAGTTAAATTGCGAATCGCGCAGCCGATATCTCATCAGTTTAGTGATTTTTCTACCTTGCCTATACTATATCACATTGGAGAAATTGAATACAAACATTTGAAAAAATACATTGCAACAATTCAATTTCTATGAAGAATATATTGAAACAACCTTTCCAAATATATAATATGATATGGACATGAACATGCGGCAACAATGTTAAGCGGACAGAAATAGTTATAAAATAATTATATCAGTGAAATGTGTTCTATTTCTGCGATCCGAGTATGACGTGATTATATAGCGACACTTCCCAGGCATCAATTTTAAGGCATCAATGACGTCATTGATACATAACAATGGCGGCATCCGCAGCGATCCAGATATGGTTACTTTGAACTTGAATTATATGTTAGTTCAAACACGATATGTCCCATGAGTGAGCTGAAGTGATAGATGATGGTTACAAGTAGTCAGCGTGTAAATTAGAACATGAAACTTCGCATTCCCTTTAAGAGGAAATAAATTTGGAAGCACTGATGAACTCAGATCACATTTCTTAGCAAGACTTCAGGAAATGGGCAAGAATGGGTTTGAAAGTGTGTTTAGAGAGTGGGTGAATAGGCATAAGAAGTGTATAGCTAGAGATGAACATTATGTTGAATAGCTTATTTTCATAACAATGGGACTTTAGGGCTGTTTTTATGTTGTATTTGTGGTAGTAATAGACCTGTGAGTATGAATAAAGCTATCAGAAAGAATAAAGATGTTTTGGAAAGTTGTGACGAAAACAAACTTGCCCCGCCTTTTTGTTGTTTCAATTGCTATAGCAACCACAACTCTGGCCAATCAAATAAAAGACGCTTTAAATTCACAGAATAAAGGTAAAAAGGTTTGGGCTACAAACTCTGAAAATTTCATCAAGATTGGTGCAATATTAAGAAAGTTACAATATCTTTCACCTTATTTATTGGACACCCTGTACATGTACCCCTGATGAAATATAAAGATTAAAATATAGACCATTCCATTTTAAAACCTTTCAAAAGTCTTTATGGCATGTTGTTGTAGGCCACAGACTTGGAAACATCAAAATGTGTCTCTCTGTAAGATGTATTTGTTTCCAGGTATGCAGTGCACAATAGTGATGTAGGATTCACACTTAAAAAGGTAAATTGTGTAAATAACATTCAGTAATTGTAGTTTTTATTTTCCATTGAAGGGGCAAATGGTAACTGGAAATGTAGTTTTTATGTCACCATCAAAAATTGGTGACACATTGTTCTATGGTCTTCATTTTTTGTGATGGCTGTTGGTGATAGGTGGTTGGGGTCTTAATAAATGGTGTTGACATTTAGCATGTCAATGCCTTGTTAGCTCATTATTTTCCATTGAAGGGGCAAGTGGTAACTGGAAATATGAGTGATTTAACACCAATCTCTTCAATGATCTCTTGAATCTTTATTAAGTTATGCATTCCTTTAATTCTCTATTAATTCTGAAAATTCGAAGACAAAATAAGCAATACATGTACAATCACTGTGAAGTTATTTTGGATTTTAGTGCTTTTTCACATCTGTTGGTTATACTTACTCCAGTATAACCTGGTAATTTCAGACTTGGTATTTCAGTGGAGGAATTTGTTAATTAAATTTACTTTTATTGAACCCAACAACTGCAAAATGATTCGTGCAATAATTTGATTTATTAAATCTAATTGAATTAAACTGTTTGCAGCATGGTGAGTCTGTAGCTGATGTTAGAACACAGCCAAAGTCAACCACAGTCAACAATATACGCACAATTTATGGACCCACTGTTGCAAGGTAACTAGCTCCAAAATTTCTTTTATCATTTCTGACCATTTTTATATTGAACATGTAGGGTTTGTACAATGGTTTTTATGTCACCATCAAAAGTGGTGACATACATTGTATTGTTATTATATGGTCTTCAACTTTTTTGTGACGGCTATTCTTCATTCAGTCTCTGTAACAAATGGCAGGTAGTGACATTTTGCATGTTAATACCTTGTCTTATTTTGAGGTTGTCTATTCTGAACAATGTCACCCACCCTAAAAAATTGAAACTGACAATGTACATTTACAATTATTTTTCGTTTTTTTTATTTATTTTAATTTTTAATGGTTCATGTACATATATCAGAAAACTACATAAATACACATATACTTGTATAGTATATTACCTCTTCTGATCAGCTTTCCTTAACGTGGGTTATAACCCTATTTATTTTTTCGTGAAACCACTCAGTAAAATTATGATTTCTCTGCACCCTGATGTCCATCCCGTGTCAGGAACACATAGATACTCGAATGATCTTGATTGGACATCAGGGTGCAGAGAAATCATATTTTTACTGAGTGGCAGTAAATATATATATGTATCATTATCAGTCATACCCTTTTAACAATACCATAGTGTATGTTGACATGTATTGTATTTTATGTACATTTCTTGCAAGAGCACCCTGTATTGGCCTGCCACAATTTCTTAGGGTGCAATAAACGAATATGTACAGTATTGTTATAAATTACAATAATAATGTAAAATTGATAGCTTTTACATGTAGTAGATTCTACATACAGTATATAGATAAACATTACATGTTTGACATGTCATTTGTGTAAAGAATTTAAAGGTGAACACAGATATTTTTTGACTCTAATATTCAGAGTTGTTTTAATGTTATGAGGCAACTTTATCTCCTATCAATAACTCATTATCATTGGCTTCCATATCATATATAATTTCAGAGTCTAGTATATAAACTCAAATATTATTTAATTCAGAAAAACCTCCAATGGTGTAATAGAGATGTTTCTAATTACTCCATCATAGTTTACTTTTTAATGTCTTGTATTTAAAATGGAGATACATATTATATTTATGTCATTTGACCTTTATTGAGACAATATCTATACATTGAAAGATGATGCCACTTATATTTATGTAAGAACTACACTTTTAACAGTGGTCTTCTTTTCAATTACATTAAAGTGATTTAAAAACACACATGTGCTAATAAAATATATTTAATCATTAAGAGTGTCTTCGTAAATATAACATCTGGATTACCGCTACACCTTTTTTGATTTTTCCAAAGTTTTCTCGCAAACGACAGATAAGAGGGGGTCTATCAAACCAGAATGTTCTAACAGTTATTTATTGACCTCTTGTTTAATTAGTTATCATGGTACACTGATCAATTCACTTATGCAACTCTTTCAGAGTTATATTACATAGAGTATATAAAAGGTGTGAAACTTCCATGACATTATCTGCAACAACAGACAAATCATTTGGAACAAACCAACACTAGACATATTAAAATCTATATCTGTATTTACTCTGGTATATTCAGAATGTCCATTAAGGTTATCTCTATACAAGATATATTGATTTGTGTCTGGACCCACCCTTCGTAGTTGTTTGACTTTGCTTCTTCAAAGAGAGCTTCACGTTGTTTGTATCTAGACTATGCACTCAGGCATCCATTTGTGTCACCCTGCATCTTAGTTCTTTAGTGTTTCTTATGGCAATATATCCATCCAAAATCATTTGACGATTTCTAGAACCCAATCATATTGCAGCTGTGCCTTAACTGCGACTAAAGTTCAGTTGCACTTCAGTTTAACACACTCTAACAACAGTTGCACTAGAGTTTAACACACTGTAACAACAGTTGCACTAGAGTTTAACACACTGTAACAACAGTTGCACTAGAGTTTAACATGCTGTAACAACTATTGCACTGAAGTTTAACATGCTGTAACAACTGATCTGTCATTGTTGCCAAGACTGGTAAGGTGTGTCGCATTCGATGTTGACATGACAAAGTAACTATTTGGATTGTTGTTAGGTTGTTTACAACATGGATGAAACAGTCTAACATACCCTCTCCTCACATCTCGCATTCTCGCTGCATAGATGAAGGGATCTAAGAGTGAGTTTAAAACAAGGAAAATGTAGGAATAATTCTGTATGTTCATCAATGTTTGAAATTCAGTTTTGGTCCATGGGTGTTTTAGAATACCTAAGATCATCATGACGAACTGGAATATGGTCATTGGCATGACGCAGAGCATAAATGTCCCCACGATTAAAAGTGTAGTGATGACAGCTTTCTTACTGTCTGGGGCCACGCCCATTTGTCTTTGCATGAATCGAGTTTGGCGCCGTACAACAAGGAATATATTCGTGTATATTAGAACCATACCAACAATGGATAGAAACGCAATTGCAAAGATGAGATATTTTGCTTTATATTCTGTAAAAGAGGCCAACTCGCAGTAGTTTAAGAAATGTATTGCGCTTGTATTGGTAGACTCATCGAATAAGTTCAGGCCATAATATCCTACAGTGGTGTTCTCTAAATTGCTCGATCCATAGAAAGTTTCCCCTGGGTAGAAATCCGAAAGTCCACAAATGACAGAGATCACCCAAAGTATGATAATCATGATTTTACAGCGATTTTTATCGAGAAGTTGTTCATAATGTATTGCCCATATGATTGCAATATAGTGATCAATAGCCATTCCAAGTAGGTTTAGAAGGGAAATGATATGCGCCGTTGTAATTAAAGCATCGACAAATGCACGTCCACATGAATGATGCAATCTCCTTGTGAGTTCATCCGGAAATTTTGGACCTGGATTAACAACAGAGTTCACCAGGTGCACCATTATACTGATACTAACCAGGATGTCTGACAATGCCAGACTCACCATCAACATCCTGTGCGGTGTCATTTCTCCTTTGATCTTACGTATCGCCAACAGTGATATAAAATTAGCGATAACTGTAATCCCACCCAAAGTCATCACAACTATTTTATCTGGCTTCCCCAGAATTGTCTGTGCTCTGATGTCAAAATCATAATAATCGTCGTAGAGTTGGTCATTACTACTTATCTCTACCTCATTGTTACTAGATGTGTTGTAATCTATGATGTCCATGTTGGCTTCGTGTCTTCTATTTAGTTGTCTCAGCGTATTCTGAAAGTAGAAACAGCCTATGTACTTGAGCCAGGAAAAAAATTGCAAAAGTTTTCATGTGACATGAAGTATTAGTTCAAAATATCAGTATTCATATGACATGAAGTATACATCAAAATATCACTATTCATGTGACATGATGTATAAGTTCAAAATAACAGTATTCATGTGACATCAAGTATACTTCAAAATATCAGTATTCATGTGACATGGAGTATTAGTCCAAAATAACAGTATTCATGTGACATGACATAAGTTCAAAATATCAGTATTCATGTGACATGAAGTATTAGTTCAAAGTAACAGTATTAATGTGACATGAAGTATTAGTCCAAAATAACAGGTTTTATGTGACATGAAGGATTTGTTCAAAATATCAGTATTCATGTGACACGAAGTATTAGTCCAAAATAACAGTATTCATGTGACATGAAGTATTATTCCAAAATAACAGTATTCATGTGACATGAAGTATTAGTCCAAAATAACAGGTTTCATGTGACATGAAGGATTTGTTCAAAATATCAGTATTCATGTGACACGAAGTATTAGTCCAAAATAACAGTATTCATGTGACATGAAGTATTAGTCCAAAATAACAGTATTCATGTGACATGAAGTATTAGTCCAAGATAACAGTATTCATGTTGCATGAAGTATACATCAAAATATCAGTATTCATTTGACATGAAGTATTAGTTCAAAATATCTATCAGTTTTCATGTGACATGAAGTATTAGTCCAAAATAACAGTATTCATGTGACATGAAGTATTAGTTCAGAATATCAGTATTCATGTGACATGAAGTATTAGTCCAAAATAACAGTATTCATGTGACATAAAGTATTAGTTCAAAATAACAGTATTTATGTGACATGAAGTATTCGTTCAAAATATCAGTATTCATGTGGCATAAGTACGCTTCAAAATATCAGTATTCTTAACTAGATTTTACATCTTGGGAACATTGAATTGAGGATGTGGCAGAAAAATGTTCAACCCAAAGTCCCACTTTCAATCTGTCATTTTTAAACATAGTTGTAACAAATCCTTATCTGGTAATAGGTGTATATATTTATATTTTCGTTCATTTATATTTTTGTATAGTGCACATGCTTACGGCTTTGTTAAACACTTGCAAAAGATAACTATGAATACAGTTCATATTATAATGATGAATATGCTTTTATATTCTAAGACTAAAACTGACATATCAATTAAGTAAGTGGATTTAGATATAATTGGATCTGGATGTAACAACCATAAAGTGTAGTTCAAGTTATCTAAAAAATGTCCATGTTATGACAATTGTATATTTCTGTATATACATGAATGTAAGTGTCATAGATTATATTTATTTTTTTATTTACTTTTTATTTCAGAGAAAAAATATGTTAAAGCAATTAGAATACAGTTACATAGAACACCTACATTTAATCTGTTACATTTTACAATGCTGTTTTGATTACACTTTACTTTTTAAGAATTGTGCACCTTTGATGTTTGTCGAAGTTATCTGAGAAAAAGCAAAAAATGATTTACCTGCACATGTACTTTTCCTGTATTTTCCAGTTGTTTAAATGAATTAAGAGTTGAACTCCTGTTATTGTACTGATATTTTCACAAATGGAGCAAATAAACTAATGTGTTTGTATTATATGTAACAGCAACTGATTGGCTTTTGACTCATTTATAAACAGAAGCAAGATCTTAAGTGTGAACATTATTGGTGCTTTGGTTTAGTCAGAATTGATTGGTTCTTGAGAACAGTTACATCATTTTGGGACAGGATAGGTTGCGTTACAGAATCTGCTGGTTGGTTTGTTGGGCTGAGTTGAGTTGTATATGTTAATTATACATTATTAGAATTGGTTTTTCTAAGCATATGCATTAGAATTAGTTAACTTGGTCATGGTATACAAAATCAAGACATTATAATCCTAGGCAAATGATTTTGTGCTTTTTCCTATACTTCTCATACAGGTACTATATGCAAATTAATAGTCTATGACATGACTTCCCATTTCCTGGTATCATTCTTAAAATGGCAGCCGAGTTGACATGAACAATAACTTTTAAATGGCCATGTGTATTTAACCTAAACAAAACCTTTTCATATTTTCACGTACATGTATATTGTAAGTTTACAGCTGGTTAAAGCATCAAGAAAGTAATATAATAGTCTAAGGAAGAAATGTCTCTTTAAACCATTCTTTAAAAAAGGAAGCCTGGTTGGTGGCTGGTCACTTTCCTTATCTGCGCATTACCAGATTGATTTGAAAGGTTCACGTTGGTTATCGCAAACAATTTCAGACAGTTATATCTTGCATTAAGACTATTTTCTGACTGTGAAGACAGTTCTTTTAGATCCATTCACTATCTCAAAGAAAATTAATACGATAATAATCAAGTCAAACGGACTTGGAAATATTTAACTAGCAATCAACCCATCAATATACTTTTTCAGAACACACTTTTTCATTTTTTACAATGTTTAATGCATTACTATTCTTTATTTTGATGTATCAAATAGTTCTTGAGAAAAAACTGAATTGCTCTAAGATTAGTGTTCCCCATGTTATTTCTCCATTGAAAAATCTCATGCTATTCGCTGGTTTCAGTTCATTTTGGTCATCCAAATTCAGTATCTTTAAAGTCCCTGGAGCAATCAACTTTTCCTTTTAGGAATCGAACATGTCTCAAAGAACATTCTAATTATGCATTCAACAATATAACAAAAGGTTGCATTTTTGGTGAAAATTAGGTCAACATTTTTGAAAAAGTATGTTGACTTGTCCATTGCCCCTTTAATGTCACTTAGGTCTGATCAACTTAATCATCATTATATCCTTTTTTCTTGAAGATGACAGATGGATCTTAAAGATACACGCATATTCATGATAAGAAAATATTCATGATTTAAGTTAAAATTGTCTGAAATTGTTTGCGATAACCTACATGCTCCCTTTTAGGAATATTTCTTGGTATGTTACTGATGAGATTTAGGGCATGCTGGGTAATTTTTTAGCTGGCCATTTTTGAATTTTAGCTTGAAATTGTTCTTCCTGTACCTTCTCTTATATAGTACTGTAATGTATACTGCCATATTATTTAACCCACATAAAAACACTACCGCCTTCAAACAGGAGATTTTAGATTGTAGAGACTCAACAATATTAGCTAATAATAGAACTTTAAGTGCCTGAAATCGAGATTGGAAGTGAGATTAAGAAAAGTAATATTTTTGTGAGGGAGTGTAGTTTGTTAAAGATATAAAACACCTTACATGAGATGTGTTTTATAAGCACTTAAAATGAAATCATCGTTCGTAAAACACAATTGTCAGTAATCGGTTTGAAGTACCACTTCAATACAGTAGGCAATTACCGTAATATGATTTGCAATTACTTAATAAATCTCCTCAATTGTACACTGCTTGATAGAGGAGTATTATCAATATATAGATAGATGTAACAATGGGATTTAATAATAATGATGTTTTTAGCTCTTTACTATATCTTTGTGTTTTTATTGGATACCGCGGTGATGTTAGAGTTACCTCAATCATGATTCGTTGGCTCCCCTGGTCATTGAACTTATTCCTACTGCGTCATGACCGTCATGTCGTGATGCTTTAACCCATGACTCACTTTAAATTCAATTTCGCCTTTTACCGCATTGAATAATCAATATGTTATTTTGTTTAAATTTTAGAAAACCTACGCTTCTCCTCTTTAACTCCACCTTTTCAATAGAATAGATGGATTTAAATCCAAATGTCAAAACATCCATCATGATTTAACTTATCTCAGATTAAACGCAAATTCTGTAGTGCATAAAATTTTGCTAATACATGTACTAATAAAAAACTATCAAAAATCTCAATACCAAATTTCAGTCAAAAATATCGACAATTAGTCAATAGTATAATGACTTTTGAGAAAAAATTCAATGTGACCTTGATATACCATATTACATGTTTACAAGGCCACATGACCTAAAGTGTCCTGAAATTTTATATATAATATAATCATTGAATCGATATGACATGAAATAAAAACAATGTTATTAAATACCCAAAAATATTCTTCTTAATTCCAATAAATATTCTTTGATATTGTGCTTGTTTCAGAGAACTACTGGAGTTAACCCATGATGATGCGAAATTGATGTTTAAAGTAAGGGGACATATCACCAATGCAAACTACTCCTGTAAGAGGGGGACAATGCTTTTGTTTATTAATAGTAAGTATTTTCTGAATTTGAGTGTGTAGTACATGGGCGTAGCAAGGGGGATGCAATGGGTGCGATTTTGTATAATTTGTTGAAAAAACATTAACAAATTATAGTTTGAAATGCTTAGAATGCACCATATACAATGGAGATTGGCTCGCTTCGCTCGTGTTGATGCAAATCCCAAAAATTGCACTCCCCATGACAATTGTTGGCTACACCCCTGTAGCATAATAATATAAGTGTCATGTAAGCTATGTCTGGAAAATATGATTTTACTGCCTTAGAAAGCAATGCTTCAGATTCAAACTCTACTGTTCCTTTTCATTTATTCAACAAGTAGATCATTACTTCTCCATATGAAAAGCATTCCGATACTAACATCTTTCTGCCTTCAACTAGAAAGAAGCAAATATAAGGCCTTGCTTTCTCATGATGATATAAAAGGTAATTGAGTATATCATGATATAATCATTTAAGAAACATTCTTCCCATTTTCAATGCTATTTGTTTTCCAGTCAACATATGGGATGAATATACTTATTGTTGGTGCAACTCAGCATTTCAATTTGCAAAGTTTTTTCACCTTGAAACATTTTAGTTATCAGGAAAATAAAGATAGATCTGAAATACATGAGATAGATGTGTGGATCGTGTGATTTAGCTGAATTAAAAAATCTTATTCCTATCATACCTGTTTCTCATGTTTGAAATTCAATTGACAAATTTTGATATTCTATGTTTCTTGAGCATTCAGAGCATAATGAGTAAATCCCTTTATACTTTTAACTTTAAGTTTTCTATTTTCCTCTCAATAATTTACATTTCAAAACAAAACCATTAAAGTACATCTGTACTTTAGTTATGGGTAAAAATTGTTTTGTAGTCTAGGAATATGTTTTTAATTGACAGCATTGATAAATGACTTGAAAACAACACCAGGGGGGGTTCACTGTATATAAACCTTGATGAGGATCCTTGGCACACATTGAGTACCCTTTTTTTTACATTTGGTATGGCAATGGACCCAAATTTTAGGATCTGGTATGAGAATCCCCAAATTAAGACTTTTGAAGTTGGGCAATAGTCGGATTTTTCCACTTTCTGGTATGAGAATGGTTATGGAAAATATGGTACCTCTCACTTGTGGTGTGGCATTGGTCTAGTTGTTACACATATCCTCAGTTTGAGGTTGTTTTGGATCATTTTCCTCAAAGATCTGCCTTCTTCCCGGGGCTTTAGACATTTTGAATGCCTTTGGTCTTATATTTGGATATTTGGTATGGCATTGGTCATTGGTCTTATATTTGGACATTTGGTACAGCTTTTTGGCGTTATTTTGGTTGGTATGGGAACACATTGAAATGTGAGAGATTAGTATGGGAACATATTGATATCTGAGGGTTCAGCCTAGGACCCCAAAGAATTTTGTATGCAGTGAACCCCCCAGGAAAACATTAATCCAGGAAGAATCTATTTCCAATAGGTACTAATAGAAGAGATTAAGAACCCACTTGGAAAAAGATTTATGATACTAACTATATCATCTTTCCAGAGATTTATATCACAGGGGTTTGTGTCACCCGCAAGCCTGGAGGTAAAGGTAGATTTAAGTTCATTGGCAAAAGATGCATTCACCTCTGCCTTAAGTTTCAGGTTAGCTGTTGACACAAACTTCTGTGATTTAACTCTTAAATAAAATGAAACACTTATTTATGTTTTCATCAGAGTACCTTAAATTTTTCCCATGACCATGTTGTAGTCAGAAGTCTATAGACCCTAACACCAACATAAAAACTAGGAAATCACCTCTAGTTGAGCAGGAATATCAAATTCAAAGCATTTTTGTAGAACAAATTGATATTTCAATCTTTACAAAATTTATAGGAGACAAATCCTATGCCTTCTCATAATGAGTCATACTACCCTATTATATACACATCAATTATTGGTGAATGAAATTCACATAAATGAATTGCTTACTTAAGTTGTTTACTTGGTTAACTCATACAATAAGTAAGTTTAATATGTATATCTCATGTTGTTGTTGTTTCCATAGCAATTAATTGCATTATATAATCAATAATGACTAATATAAATCACGTTTATATATATTGTTTACCAGACATTTAGCAAAACATAATTTACTCAATTAAGTTAAGATTTTCTCTATATTAAGTCTATATTTAAGACATCAAGGAGACAACTTAACGCTCTGCAAATAGCAGTTATAATGAGTGAATATCCTCCGCAAATCCTGTATTTTTAAAATGATATCTCTTATTATCATAGATCTATTGTGCTTGAAATACTCTAAATGTGATAATTACATACGCTGTATACTTCCCATGGGTTTCTCTATGAAATTTATGATTGCCCACATTTTCCTGGCATTTATATATAATTTTAGGTATTGATTATACCATTTCTTCCAATCTTGTTACTTTTAGAAACATACATTGTATCTACCATAGATTTGTAGGAATTTTAGAAACTTAGGTTTTCTAATATAATACATGTAAAGTATATTTGTATACAGTTAAACCTGTCTAATTCGAACAGCATTGGGACCGGCTTAAAGCGTTCAGATTAGGAGGTGTTCATATTTCGAGGTTTTTGCATTCACGAGATTCCTGATTCTGAAAAAACGTTAAAACATTCTCATATTTATTGTTCATTTGACCACATAGCTTTATGGCATTTCAAAAATTTGAAAATTCAATTCAAATGAATCTAGTCATGCTGGAAAGCCCTATTATAATCAAGACCATTCAAGTTTTTCCAAAAGTTTTGATATCATAACAAAATTTGGGCAATTTTGTATGAAACATGTGAAATTTTATGAAAAGTGTAAGAAGACAGGTTAATTTTTCAAATATGACCGTTCACTGTTCAAATTGAGAGGTGTTCACATTTCAATTTTTTAACATGGAACTCAATGGCAGGAAAAAATGGGACCAAACAAGTGTTCAGATTGGGAGGTGTTCCGATTAGCCAGGTGTTCAGATATTCAGGTTCTACTGTATGTTCAAGTCATATTTGTATTTGTTCAAGTTCTTGTATCACAATTCCGAAGGAAATTAGCATGATCGTATAGGCTTTAACTTGAATATTAAAATGAGACAATATATAACTTTAATATTAAAGAGGAGACATAACTGTAATAGTTCCATTTTAATGAGATGCAAGAGATCTGCATTTTTAAGACTAATATTTTCTAATATTTCATGTCATATTTGAATTCTGTGTGTCTTTCTATTATAATAACTTATTTGATAAATCTAGAAATTGAAGTGATTTTTGCCAGTAGTTTTGTCTCCATCTAGAAAGCAACTCCTCCACAGTAAGTCTGGTATACACTATAAAGAATGGCTCAGAATAATTGCAAGTTAAGAAACATAAAAACTTCTGTTAATATTTGATTGAATCACTCTTTAATGGTAATTTATTGATAGAAACATCCGATAACTTGATTTTAGATGTTGATTATAACTCAAGAGTCAATGACTTTCCCAACACGTGTTGTCAAATTTATGAATAACTATCAATTAACTGCTCTAGAAATGTCATGTTTAGTTATAGGCAACATTATGCCATTAAATCATAATTAAAACCAATGAACTCCAGACTTACTCGTTTTAACATTTTTGCATATTGCATACATGTTTGATTTAGAATTGAGTTTTAAGAAATGCAGTGAAACTTACGTGAATACCTCAAAATGTGAACACTACAGAACCTTTAATTCTGTATTACACATTAAATTTGCTGCACTATTATTTCGCCAGAGTGCCTCCCCGGGTTATTAGAGACATTTAGTGTTAGCGATTGCCTTCTCCCATGTTCAGATTTCAGCTTTCCAAACAGTCCACAAATGTTCCATTGTCATACCGCTGGTTATGTTGTCTGGTTATTCCATTGGAAATACACAGGGGATCAAAAAAGACTGCTTAGTGTTAACCAGGTTTGATAGTGTTTTGTGTTCTTCATTGCAAATGTCATTCAACCTGTGTAAATCAGTGATTCAATGAACTAGGGATCAAGGGAAAAGCTGCCATCAATTAACTGCTCCAAGAACAATTCTGAGTTATTTGTGCTCTAATTGAATAAGCATTGTCTGTTTTCTTTGAAGGCAGTGTATCATCTAAAATATGTCACAGACTTAACATTATATAGTAGTCTCGTGAGGCTAATATTTCAGAAAAATACCCTAAAATGTTAAATTTTGTATCAATTCTGTTCACTTCATTCATATATTTTTTTATCACTGTAATTATACTGATGACTCTATTATATGTTATTGTTTTATGTTATTGTGCTTCTAGATCGACTAGTAGAATCCAGCGCATTAAAGAAAGCCATAGAAGTTGTGTATTCAGCTTATCTCCCCAAGCAGACACACCCCTTCCTATATATCAGGTATGTACCCTCCTCCCCCGGTTTGGGAAATGTACCTGTGATCACGATGTGCAAATGAAAATATTGTGAATTTATGTAAAGAGGAACGGATATATTTTTCATAACAAGGTCAAATGTCAATGAATCTATGGTTTTCAGAGGTTTCATTTATCTTAGGTAAAATTAAGATTTAGTTTGCCTACAGAGACATTTCAAGCAAGGAAACATTATCATCTCCTACACTTGGGTCCAGGGGTAATAGTAGACCACTCATAGTGCTATATAATCTCTGCCTTTGATGTTAAGGCGCTCTGGGGTTTTCAAAGAAGTATCATCCATGATATCAGACTTATTTTTTATATACTGATGGACATTAAGAGATGCTTTCCTCGATCTAAGACCATGCTCTTGTTTTATCAATTAAACTTATCTTATTGTCCTGATCTTGGACCCCTAAAATCTTCAGATCAACCTTGACTTTTAGGTTGGTTTGGTGATAATACCAGTTATAGACCTATACTGTTATTTTGTCACCACCAGAAATGGTCACATATTCTCCAGTGGTTGGTGTTTGGCAGTTGATGTTTGGTGTTCGACATATGTAACAAATGCCAGGTTGTGACATTTTGTATGTAAATGCCTTGAATTGATTTGGGAACTACATTTATTCTGAGTAGTTCTATCAGTACAAAAAACTGATCTTCTCAGAGGCCCGGCGTACAATATGTCATCAAACCCGCTCCATCAATTGCAAGCAGCTATGCATGTGAATAAAACTTGCTATGAATACTATTAAACAGACCAGCAGTTTATCATTACATTCTGTTCATTCAGAACCACCTATAAATTGGAAATTTGGGATATATTTATGAACTTTTTATGAGATCTCAATGGAGTTGCAGTAAACCAGCTGGCCATATTAATCACTGGTCTGTATTAAGAGATTTGTCCATTTAAGACTATTGATCTAAATTAGGATGAGGATATATTTTAATGTTTGCTTTGTGCCTTTATAATATTGAACAACTTATAAAAGTGGTGTTATGAGGCAATTTGAAAGTTAAAGTGCTTTCAGTTCAGTTGTAACATTTAATTCTCCATATTAAGCAAACTATTTGATGATATCATATTTGAACTTCTAATTTTAAAAAGTTTTTTATCAGTTTATTTAGGTTGGGTAGATTTGCTATAGACTGCATGTTATAAACTACTGAAAGTATATGTTTTGTTTTATTGGACCATACTCACTGAATGCACACATGTATACATGACTGTATCAAGCTGAAAAAGGCGAGGAAATAATATCTCCACTTTATCTTTTTCTATTAAATAAAAGTTCGGGGTAGCTCCAATCAGTAGTAACCATGTTTTCTTGTCTGTCACTGTCACCTAGTGTTGAAACCACTGGTAGGTAATTTAACACCTTGAATATCAGTTTCAAAGTTTCTTCAAAATATACACTACAGATTGTGTAATTTTTTTTATGTTCCAATGAGCATCAAATATTGTTGAATAGAAATATGACAAAAAAGGCAAAAAATGAAAAATGCTCTTGTATATTAGAGTTTAATATGACTGTGCCTAAAGTCAAATCAGAACTCTTAGAAGTTTGTTTCTGAACTGAGATTGAACTAATCTCTTTTTCTCAAAAACTGGATTTGCAGTATGGCTTTACAATTGCTCATATAATGTTTTAACCTACAAATCTTTTGTTATTGTTCTAAGCCTGACAGTTAAGATGGATCACCTGCAATTATTAGTGATCTCTGTCTTAAACTGGAGATTAACCTGGAAGTGAAAAACATGATAGTCAGTTTGTTGAAGAAGTAGAAAGAGCAAATGAAATAGTAATCAGCCTAAAATCTTTGCTAATATTGTATAACACAGAATTGTCAAGAGAATCGGGTAGTTCATTCAGATTCCTGAGGGGGACTTGGTATTGATATTGTTTACTTGAAAGCCAGTAAAAGTTCACGCCACATTAGTTACAGTGTTGACAGCTTCATTCATCAAGTTCCAGTGAAACATTGCATAACACATCAGATAGATATCCAATTAGTTTTCTTTCTGTGCTACATGCAAAGAGTCTTGTCTAATGGAGAGCAATGCAATGTGTGTCTAGGAAATTGACCGCTCAATGTAATCAATGAATATAACGTTGTAATCAATGGATCAAAAATGTAATCAAACACATACAGGATTTGCACAAATAACCTTTTTTGATAAGACTGGCGTCATCTTCTTCTCATTATTTGCGATGAAAATTAGTCTCGATGTATTTCTGACCAATTAAAAAGGTGCAATGTTGTTAAGATCGATTATTCTCAGGATAATTCAATTTCTGTCGACAAAGTAAATAACGAAATTAAAGTAATTTCAGAGCAAGTTGATCCAAAGTAGATCGCCTATTTCAAACTGTATCACATAGAATATAGTATGGCATTTGTCCATGCCTTTTCTGGACCACAGATACTGTATAAGTGGTAATTTTGTTTAATCATTTAATTTGCCTATAACCTAATTTTTGTCAGGTTTGGAAAATGTTGTAAATACTATCTTCATAATGTTATCCAATGGGAAGTTTCTTGTCATTAGGAAAATTCAAATTGGGAAAATTTGACCATTTGGCAAATTAAGCTCTCAGATTTTTGTAGCAATTTTGAACAAAAAAAAGTATTAGATTTTCAAATATGGCTGTTCACTATCCAAATTGGAAGGTGTTTACATTTCATGGGATTTTATGGAAGGCAAAATGGGACTTGAAAAAATGTTCACATTGGAAGGTGTTCAGATTAGAGAGGTGTTCAGATATACAGGTTTTACTGTGCAATCTTTTATGCAAGCCTTAACCATAATGAAGAAATTTCTTAAATATTGAAAAACATTGTGTTGCTCTTATGAGTACTTTGCATCAACTTGAACTAAGCATTTATTATAGGTTTAATTTCCTTTGAAGAATCCTTATGCACATCTTTACCTTTAATGTGCCATATTGTATTGACACCTCAGGCTTACATCATCAACCCTAGATTGGCAGCAATTAGTTTGAGATTATATTCTTTAAGCCCATTTCGAGCAAATCTTAACTTAACCTTATATGAAGCTCTCTAGGTGTTCCATATTAAACACTAAAGACTGAACTTATAATTTCCTTTGTTCCTTAGGTCATAGGAAGCTTATTACCACACCAAACAAAGTTCAAAAAGGGATTAAGAAGCTATCCATAATTCATTTCATCCATTCATTTGTGACCATCAACAATTTTTGAACAGATGAAATTATGATCTTGTGTAACTAGACAACAGCAATGCCAAGGCGTAGCAAATCTCATCGAACAGCCATGGCTGCCATTTTTACAAAATCATCTTTCAACTACTTTTTCAGTTATAGCATAAATTGTGAAATAAAACACATAAAAATGGCCACCATTTTCAAAATGATCGCTCACTAGCCAAGTTTTCATAAGAAAGTGTAATATGCTTCTTAGAAGGCACATATGAAATATCAACAAAATCGCATTTGTAAATGTATCATTTTGATGATTTTTACACCCCCATGTGTTGTTACACTTCTTTTAGTTGGGCAAAGGCCAGTTCACCACATATATCTTCTTTATACATTATTAGTACTATAATATGAATTGCAGAATTGATGCAATAATGGTAGACAGATAATTCATTGTAGAAGTAAGTAGAACTTCCAAGTAATTTGACATTTGATTGAACAGTTGTCACTTAGAATGATCGCTCATTTTTCATTACACATAATTGGCTCGACATTTGATTAACTGTATGTCAGTTGAAATTTTGTTTAAAAATAAATCTTATTGTTTGTTCAATTCATTTTCATGATTCATATCTTTTTAATTGCGCAAAAGTGTATTTTTACAGCAGATATAGCATATGAAGCTCACGTAAGTAATTGTTTTTACCAACGAAGACAGGTTGAAATGTGGAATTTAATCAGATTTTATTTTGACTAAACAGTAAGTAAACGTATTCAAACAAACAGAAAACTTAATTAAAAAGCATGCCAGTGTTTCTCTTACAATTTCAATTTTATTAGCTGGAAAAAGAAGATATCTCAATATGCAAAATGCCCAGACTCCTTAAAAAATCAAATTGAAAAAGTCCATTTTGTGAAATTTTTGCCAGTTGACCTTAAAAATCAAAGGATTATCAAGAAATAAAGTTCAAATTATTGAATCTTTAGAAAGTACATAAGTAAGTAATAACAATAATTGTTAAGTTCAACTAACACTTGCTTATTCATTGTCACTTCCCTCATATTAGACCTGAAGTGTTAATTTCCTGATGGTTCTGATGCGGAGTGTCATTTATTGGTCCTCTCGCAAATTCCTCTCTTCATTCTATTTCAGAAACAAGCCAACTGTAAGATTTACTTCAGATCATACGAGTCTTGATCATGATTGATCGTTGTAATCGGAGAAAAGACAAAAACACATTCATTTCAGACCTATTAATATATTAAAAGATTGAGCCTAAAGGACAATGCTAAATGAGAGATGAAAGTTTTCAAGTCATCAATATTTAATATAAAGTCTGCTACTTACATGGATAAAAGTGTGGGATTGAGCACCAAAGAATGGAAATACAGTTAAACCTGTCTAATCTGAATGCCACTGTAAATGGATGAATGTGTTCAGAATAGTAGATGTTCACATTTCAAGGCTTCTGTAACAAGGGAGATAACAAAATCAGGACTGGGAGAAAGTGTTTATATTGAGAGTAGTTTGTATAAAAGAGGTGTTCAGATATATAGGTTTTACTGTAACATCTGCATGCAATAAATTAACAGTATGTAAGAAAATCACTGAAGTGTGGCTCATGTCAGAGAATTTAAGAGTTTTTTCAAAATTGTTAACCAATTGCTTGGAAAATAGAAGACATTGAGGCAAAGAATGAATAGGGCTAATGTGGAGTTAATCAGTTTTAGCTGTCAGTAATTCACCAAACTAAAAGGAAGACAATCCCACTGATGCATGATATTAAACTTCAAAA